CCCCTCGCGAGCCAGCATAGTGTTCATAACCGCGCAGTTGTACGCTGCTTCGCCCGGCGGTATCACCACAAGAATGTACGTATTGTCTGTGAACAAACCGAGAAACACGTTAAATTGTGGGGTCTTTGTGTGCATGACCAGGAAACTTGCTGACGCAGGGGTTGTATGCGTATTCCTAGCAGCACAGTGCTTGAACGCCTTCATGATGTTTGATAGCCGCTCGTGGCGGTCGTAGATAGGATTTAACTTGCCCACCTCAGACGTGACAGAGGTGATGGTCAGAAAGGTCGATCTTTCAAACAGAACCACCTCTTCAGCATCGATTTTTGCTGCAAATGCATGCAAAAACCTTTCTATCACGGAGAGGTTTGGGATAAGTTTATGTACGATCCCAGCCCAAGCTTTGTACAGCGACTGGTCCCAAATACTGCTGCCAAAGGTATCAATGGAAAATGAGCCAGATCGGGCGCGAATCAAGGCCGACCGTTCCTCACATATCCGCCTTCGGTGTTCGGCCTGGATTAAATCGAGCTTATGTATGAGACAGAAGACATAGGCGTTCGGACTGAATTCTTGGAGGGCACCGATGATAGCGCTGTAGGTGTCGAGGTCTCGCTCGACTTCACGGGATTCGATATCAAAAACATATACCAGCACGGCGACATCGGAGAATATATTTTCTCTCTGGGATGCGAGATACGTTTCCATGAATGCGTCTTGTCTAGGAGGTCGGGCATATGTCAGCAGCTAACCACGGTCTCTCGGGAGGGGGGATGCCGCAACGTAACCTACCCTCCGCAATCCCATAGGTTCAAGGTTAGGTTACCGATAAACTTGACATGGCTATGTTCGACGTCAATTGTAGCTCCCAGCCGCCGCACATCCTTTGCGACATAGTTGCTGAATATTATCGATCGCATAGAGGACTTCCCCGAGCCGCTTTTGCCCATGAGCAGGACCTTCCGCTTCTTCTTTTTCATATCCATTGCTGTAGCGAGTATCGAAACTTCGACAAGTCAGTCGGGTCAAGTGATAGATGCTGTGTAAGGACGAACGAGCTAGGCACTGATGGAACTACTCGTCAGCGGGAAAAGATCTGGGGTTCTGGGGAATGAAGGATGGCATTTTGTGTGAGGAAACTCGCAAACTGACGTAGTGACGCATGGAAGGTTTGGCATTGCCTGGTTGGGATTAGCGCGTCAGCTACTGCTAACACAACAAGCCAAGTTGTCTCCGGCCTATTTACAGATAGACAACAACCCTTGATGGGTTTCTCCTTTTGTTACTCCCTTCCTATATAATACAACACACGAGTTCCCAGTTTACCAGAGATATGCTTGCATTAACCTCATCTATCGTTGATCGGATTAATTGAATAAGTAGCATACTGGAGCGGGATCCCCTATTTCTCTTCCTGAAGAGACTATCCAGTATCTGTTGGAAATGAATCTAGGGGATGTCGAAAGGCGAAAGGCTACCGATGAACCTTTCGCATCGTCTTGAAGATCAAAAATCTAGCAATGACCAGCTTTGATAACAACGTTCCAGTTGTCGCTGTCAAACTCCTGACCTCTAAGTGAAGAAACCTCGGGATTCGTAACGCATACATTTACAATATCCTGAGCATATTCTGCGATCTGCTTGCAAGGAACAGAGACCGAATGCGTGTTCTACCACGCATAAACTCAGTAAGTGTTGATAGTAAGCCGGGATTATACAACTTACATCGTTACAAAGGTAGATGCCTGCCTTCCAGGAGCAGCTCACACGGGTACATGTCCGTGGCGGGGCTTTACAATTTCCTTTGAGCCCGTTAAGATATTTAATGCCATCTCGGATTGTTCTGAGATTAGCACCGTCGCCCTGTGGGTGACAGTTAAGCGAGACCTGGATTTTATCTCTCGTTAACAACCATCCGCAGCTAGATTTGCCAAACAGTTGGATGCCTTGGGTCAATATAAACTACCTTAGAACGGGTCTGGAGCTTATGTTTAGGGCCATCCTTTGGGGGGTCCTCTGGCTTTAGTATTGACCCGGTGAGATCTTTGGCTTGGGAGTAGATCTCCTGGACAGTGCCTTCAAGGGTCACGTTCTTCCCGTTTACCCCAATAGGGCCAATGTATGTCAGCGGCCCAATCGGGTATGGAAGAGTGTCGGCGAGCGGGCTTGCATAGACCTGTTGTCATGTTAGGCGTACTTTAGCTCTCAACTGGTTACCCGGTCGCGGAACTAATAAAATACCTTGGTGGCGCCGATGCCGAAAGCTACAACGGTAGCGAACATCGACGCAGTACTGAATTTCATTTTGCCTGTCAATAACAAGTGATGCCAATACAAGCCCAAGCAATAGCCAATAAACGTCAAGGCGCAAGTAATTAGTCTGCAAGGAAGAGAGAAAGAGAAGTCGAGGAGGGTGGATTGAATGGGTGGCCTTTATAGTTTTTCCATCACGCTCTGCAAGTGACTACCCGGATGCAGAACACAGTCGTTCCACAACCACTTTTGGTCACTCAGGCGTCGCGACACCGTCGACATTCACGACTCAGCTGCTTCTCGTTGCTGTACCTGAATTTCTGTCTCTTGAGCCGCTAATGTGGGGCGTGCAGGCGCCCAGCGCCGGAAGAGGACTAGTTCCCGAACGCGGCAGCCGCGCCGTGCGCCAAGCTGAGTTTGTAGGCGCGACCTTCTTTGTCGCTCGCTTGCGATGACCATATTAAGGGTAACAGCTTCGCACCATTCGCAGATTCAAGAGGCAGAAACGTAGATTATACGTATTATATCCTTTTTCTTTCACTCTGTATCCCCTAATGAGGGGTAGGCCGGGGTGGTAGGAATGGCCAAAAGCTATTCAAACCCATGTACGAAGAAGTACTTGCATATTTAATGGAAAAATGTTGCAGGGAAGAAATCCCATGGGGAGTAGATTCTGCCATATTCTTGTCTAGCTGCCATATCGTGTTCAATTACACAGCTTTGAGAAAGTATGTACAGCGCTTCATAGAATGTATGGGTCCCATATCCCTGGATCTCCGCCATTGACATATTTCCCTGCAAGGTTGGAGGAGTATTGGGCAATAAAGTAGGTTCGTGATATGCTTTCTGCCTAAAATACGTGCATTCGGATATCATTACCCGGTATACTCCGTCTTATAGTATCAGATGAACGCCTTTGTTGTTGGGTTTAATATGCGAGGAATAGAGACGTCATGGTAACTTGATGTCCCCTTCTAGCGACCGAGGGAATATGTAAATTGAGAACACAGAAAGGCCAAAGACGGTCCACATATTATCTGCAACCAATAGAGAAACTTGTGCCTCTCCTCTATCCTTGTTTCTCTCCGCAGAACTGTTCATATAACGTTCCTCTAGCATGCCTGAGGTAGTAGGCAGCCGAAGTATAAACCCGGACTACTTGCTTGCTGCAGGCCATAAAGAGCATGGGCGAGACTAAGGTAGTATCGGTTAGACCTTCATGACCTCATAATCAAGCTTTTGCCCCAGTATTATAGAAGGGTATAAAACAAGCCCAGGTAAGGAACCCGACTAAATTGCTTGACAAAAGGCGGAAGCAATCTGCAGCACGAGGGCGCGAAAAATGCACGTACTCGGAATAGTCGCATTAGCGACGTGATATCGGAGCCGCCACACTTCTTTTGGCGGTATTACTTCCATGGGGTGCCCGATCGCCCGAGTCCTCTAGGTAATAGCATTGCTGTGTAATACCGACATGCCGTCATAGCATATATGATAAAGGAGGAATGGATAGGACAGATGGTTAGTGGTACCATGAATAAGTAAGGTTCATACGTGCAATATTTACACTACCGGCATCTACCCTTAAATATCAGCTTCCAAGGTTGCGGCTTTCAAGTAATATCATCCAAGAGGGCTGTGCTCTGTGGCGGCCTGTTGGTTAGCGCACAGGGTGACAATGTAACTGGTTAATATATTCGCATAGCCCAGGGCTGACTGAGGAGGGGTGATCCCTTGGGCCAGAGGCTGTCCGTTGGAAAAACAAAAGCACTAGTAGATAGTTAGTAGCACAGACGAAGATCCGGCTGTGGTAATTAGCTGAAGAGCGGCTGCTGCCCGCTGTCATCTGGCACCAGTACCATGACTGCTTTAACCAGCAACCCGTGGCAGACACCAAATTAAAGTTGATAGTCGCCGTTTGGAATCGTGACGTTGGCGTAGGGTGCTGCAGCCTGGTGCAGCTAGTTATATGTACGCTCTCTCGTGTGCGGGTAAGCTAGTCGTGGCCTGCATCAGCCAGGGATTGACTTGAACGAGCAAAAAGGATGGTGCGTATAGTAGCATTCCCGGATGATGAGAGTAACTACTCTCCTCTTCTACGCGTGGAAGAGAGCTGGAAAGGAAAAGGAAAAAAAAAAAAAAAAAAAAAAAAAAAAAAAAAAAAAAAAAAAAAAAAAAAAAAAAAAAAACAAAAAAAAAAAGTACAGTAATCCTGATTCACTGCCCGGCGGGGAGAAAAACACATCGAGAATATCGTCCTTGCCCGCGTATATTATCCGTATGTATGCATGGTCCCCGTGCATCGTCCCCTTGGCCCGGGAAGCTGCAGTGGTCGAGTAGCCTTTTTGTTTGTCGCCTGGATGCTGGGAGCTCGAGGACACAGGACGGCCAACAAACAGGCTGTCCCGCTTGGCGACGGGCAGGATAGAAGGGCGTACTGTGTGATAGCCATCGACCGGGGTGTAATCGGTGTCTCTTTTGATCGCACACACGCCATCTCTCGTAGAGACAAGGACTTTCTCGGGCTTCCCATCTGCATCTGTGTCTGTAGGCTCCCACCGGCGTCCGCGTGAAGCCCATTCGTAAGCCCTGGAGCAGGCTGATTTGTCACTGCAGCGAGCGTCCTTTTCCAGTCAGCCTGGTGTCCCCCCGTATGGGCACCGTCCTGTTGACTGGCCCGTTGGTTGGATGCTGCGTGGTTCGTCTGCTAGTCAACTCGTTAGTTAGTTAGTGAGCTGGGGTCGAGGATGGCCGCAACAGAAGAGACGCTCTCACCACCCGCCACCAGCAATGAAGAAGACCTCCTCCGCGCAGCCTGTAGCTCGTAGACGAGACGCCCTCGCCCTCGCCCTCGCCCTCGCCCGTCCCTCGAATAGCCCAGCGAGACCTCGCCGGCGCTGCTGCTTGCTCGCGACCAAAACGGCCGTCTCACGCTTCGTCTTCTTAACTAAGCCCAAGACTGGAGAAGAAGCAAAAAAAGCCTCCACCCGAAAAGAGAGAGCGACGAGAGAGAGAAAAAAAAAGCCGCCCACCTGTTTTCGTTTTCGTCCTCCGTCCTTCTTCTCCTGCAGCCAGACAACCGACATCTCTCACCCTCGCCCTCGCCCTCACTCTCTCTCACTCTCTCTCTCTCTCTTCTCCCTCGCCTCGTAAAGAAGAAGAAGAAGACGAAGAAGACGAAGAAACAGAAGACGACGCAGACACTCTTCTTCGTCTCTCCCTTTTCTTCTTTTCTCCCTCTCTTCTCTCCGTCCTTCCGTCTCTCCGTCTCCCCGTCAAGTCCCCTTCGATTCTATCCTTAACCACGCTCTCTTTTTCCGCTGCCAGGATCTTCTCTGTTTTGGTTATATTATTCTTTTTCTTGCTATTAACTGGGGGGGTTTGCATCGTCGGGGGTTCCTGTTTTTCATTCACTGTGTTTTTACTGCTGCTGCTGGCTTCGTTTCCATTGCTTCTTTGGCCGCTTGGTTGCTGGGAACTCGCCCATCCATCTACAAACAACGCACTCGGGATTGAAGAACGAACGGCCTGCTGCCTCCGTCAGTGCTGAGCTCGCTGCATCTACTCGCCCTCATCCACCGTAATCGCCTCCCGTCGCCGTCGTCGCCGTCGATCAGCCCGGACAAGCATCGAATATGGCGTCCATCCAGTCTCCCACCCCAAAACTCGACCGATACATCATCATCCACGTCGCTACAACCTGTGATGAACATGGCGTCTACGTTACAAAGGACTCTGCCGAAGTCATTGAGCTTGGATGGATACTCCTGGACACCAAGAACTGTGAAGAGGTAGGCCGCCGTGGCTTCACCCAGCCCGTCTCAGAGTGGCCAGCTTGCTGACCACGTATATCAATTACCTCCAGATCCACCGTGAGAGTGTCCTGGTGAAGCCAGTCAACACTCCCATTACGCCTCTTTGCAGTACGTCTTCTCCAATTCCGCTGATATCTTTTATTTTTCTTATATCATACATATATATTTTTTACTCGCCGGACCTGGCGTGGAGACTTTTTTTTTTTTTTAAGCTAACCAGGCAAACACTTACAGCGAGCTTGACTACTCTTACGTGGGAACACGTCCGGTCCGCAGGTACTTTCCGCGATGCCATCAATCGTTTCGACACCTTTGCCCAGGAGAATCTCCTGTCGAAAAACCTCGAGTTCGCCTTTGTGACGCTGGATTCATGGGACATGCGTGTGCAGCTGCCTAGGGAGGCCCGTGATAAAGCTGTCGTGCTACCTCCGTATCTGCAGCATTCCCGCACCTTCGACCTTCGCACCGAGTATCAACGATGGCAGCAGCACCACCCGGAGTCTCTCCCATTTGGTCCCAGCGACCTGGCCAACATCTGTGCCGCCCTCGAGGTCGAGCCCGTCCAATCCTCCGCCCCCATTAAGCACAACCTGCCCTTCCACCTGCAGGCTCTTGCCCCTGCGTCTCCTCGCCGTGCAATGGAGGAAGTAATCACACTTGCCAGAGTGCTCCGTGGCCTGATCCGCAAGTCTCAGCCTCCCCACGAACACCCGGAAATTATGACCCGCCCCATGGACGCCAGAGCGGACGTTCGTGCGTTCTTGGCAGAGCGTAGTAAGGTTTTGCATATGAGTGGCTTGCCTCATGATACCACACAGTCCGAACTCGAGAGCTGGTACACTCAGTTCGGTGGACGGCCTATTGCCTTCTGGACCTTGAGAACCCCAGACCAGCACAAGCCCACTGGCACCGGCTTTGCAGTCTTCTCTTCCCATGAAGAGGTAAGTCTATGCTTATTACCTTATTTCAATAATGATAATAATAATAATAATCCAACCATTGGCTCATGTGCACATGTAGGCTGCTGAGAGTCTTTGCATGAATGGCCGTGCATTGAACGACAAGGCAATTGAAGTCTCCCCTTCCTCGAGCCGTGTCCTCGACCGTGCCGCCGAGATTCTGGCTCCGTTCCCGCCTAGCAAGAATCGTCCTCGTCCTGGCGATTGGACGTGTCCATCCTGTGGTTTCTCCAACTTCCAGCGTCGTACTGCATGCTTCCGCTGTTCGTATCCAGCTGTTGGCTCTGGCCCAGACCCAATGCCATACGCTTACCCTTATGGACCGCCTAACATGATGCCACCACCACACCACATGGGTCATCACGGTGGTCACGGCGGCCACGGCAGCCATGGAGGTCACGGAGGTCACGGTGGCCATGGCATGGGCCACCACTCAAGAGGAATGGGAGGAAATGGTGGTGTTGTGCCATTCCGTGCTGGAGACTGGAAATGCGGGTCTGACGGTTGTGGCTACCACAACTTTGCGAAGAACATCAACTGTCTTCGCTGCGGTGGACCACGTTCAGGTGCCGCAGTTGTTGCTGACTCTGCATTCCCAGCTCCCATGGATCCACAGTCTGGTTTCGGCATGGGAGGTCCTCCTTCCATGGCAAACACTCCTGGGGCTGGACCTTTTGCTTCTAGCGGTGGTAATTTCGGCGGCTTTGGTCAGCAGTTTGGCGGTCCACCCAGCACCTACTCCCTTCCATCCGGTATTGCCAATGCCCCAGGACCCTACCCACCACCCATGGGCCAAATGAACCATGGCGGTTATGGCTCTACTAGCGCCTCTCAGTCCGTTGCCTCCTTCGGCAATCCTGCAACCCAGGCTGCGTTCACGGCTGCCGACCATACCCCTCAGCCCGTTGGTACCTCCAATGGCGGCGGATTCTACAGTGGTGACGGAGCATCGGATCCCTTTGCCTTCCTTTCAACTGGTCTTGGAGGCCTGACTGTCGGAGATGAGCCCCATGGACGCAGAAACGGCGCATCTGCCAACAAGTCTCCCGCATAAACCCGGAACGAATCCGCCTTCGCTGGACTGTTGTGGATAGCCTGACTACACCACTGCAATCCTATACGACACGAAACTTTCTTTTATACAGGCCTAAGACCCCAAGATTGTCCCATTAGAACTCCTTCTCAGTCTATCTCTGAAGGAGTTGGCCCTTATTTCTTCGTTTCTTTCTTTCCCGTTTCTTATATGTGCAGTCTCTCCCAAACCCATGCATTGTTTTTGTTTCAGTCCCATTTTAGTGACGGCCTCGGTCTCCTACCATTTTATCTTCATCCCAGCCGAAGATTCTTTCACCACTCGCAACATCTTCCGGTCGATTACAAGAAGTTAACCGCTTCAACCCGGGCCAGAAAACCACCATACCACTAAACACTTCCGGCTGACCTCATTCTTTCAGTCGCCTTTTTCCGGAATAATATAAAAAGCAGTTCAATAGACCGGTCCCAAATAACACTCGATGTGCGAACATGGATCTGATTCTTCCTGGGTTTTATTCTTTCTTTTTTGGTCTCTTGGAGCGGGGGTGTGGGATGTTGGACGGATGCTTCTGCTTTTCTTATGGCATTTTGAGCGAAAGAGAATATACCAAAGCACACTCTTCTTTTGGACACAACTACAGTCAAAATCACACCGAAAACGATACAAAAAAAAATAATTACACCAGCGAAGCAAAATCAAAAAGCAAAAGAGCGGCATCCAAAACATCGGAAGGAAATTGGAAACGGGTTACAGAAAGACGGGTATTTTGTTCCTCTCCTTGACGCAAAAAATATTTCCCCAGTGGGAGGACATTGGTTATCTTGTTAATTCTTTTATTTTTTCTATCTTACTTTATTTCTCCTCCGTGCTATTTTTTCTTTTACCTTGAAAAGAATTTGACTGAGTCTTGGGAAACGGGGGAAGGTCGGAATACAGCGGACGGGAAGAGAAAACGAGCAAAGCGGGAGAGTCGGGAGTATTTTACCTTATACATGGCATGCGGCGTGTCTGTTCTGTTCCCTTCATGCCAGGAAAATGTTTTCTTCTCTTCTTCCTTATTCCTCCTTTTCTACATTGATCGCTTACCTTTTTCTTTGCCTTGCCGGCCCACCTACCTACCATATCACTGCCTGCCCCCTTGCTATTCCATTGTTACCCCTACCTTATTCTCTTTTCTTGGCCTGTACCCTTTTCTCTCGCCCATCACCATATATTTTTGTTCAGTCCCCTTTAATACGTTACTGTTACTGTGTTGATTCCATCTCTCAAGCTTTGGAGGGTTGCCCCATGAACGGACAATGCAAGGGTAGTTTTGGTTGCAGGATGGAGTGTTTTCCTTTGGCCATCAGTTGGAAATGGGTTGGCTCTTTTTTGGGATGGCATGTGGGTTGTCTTTTATCATTGGAGTGCGGCTTGGAGGAATTTCCTTTTCGTCTGTTTTATTTTCTTTTCTCCTTTGCTTCTTTTTCCTTCTAATTGAATTTTCCATATCCGGCCTTCTACTATCTACCTCTTCTCAAAAATTGCCTTCTGTTTTACTAGTGTAAACCTGCCTTTATAACTTCCTCCATTGTAGTTAATTCTACATTGTCCCGAAAGTTTCATACATACTTCCTTAGAATGACTCTATGTATGCTACGAATGTTTGTGTTACGCATATTGCCTTGGTTTGGATCTATTCCCCATTTAAATGTCAGTATATAAATATTAGATCATAGCTGATATATCATTCAGCATAAAAAGAAACTGTACAGGTGGGCCAATGTAGACAGAGAAATCGAGATAGTTACAATTGGATATCAATTACTCTGTATCATCACCCGGAGCAGTACTGGCCACACTTTCTGACCTTTCTGACCTTCGAGCTGATGATCGTCTCTTTTCCGTCTCCGTCTCCTCGCCTTCATCTTCCTCCTCAATGCGGCTGATGTTGCTTGTTGCCACTGAACTGGCCCTGCTCGCCTGTGACATTACAGTCACTTCATTTTCATCTTCTTCCTCAATTGGCTCATCCTTGACACGGACCCTCTCTCGTCTACCAGGCCGTGCAGACATGGTGCTGGAATCCATATCTGAAGGCTTGATAATACCAGCAAGCAACTTGAGGATAGAATTCTTTGCTTTCACAAGTGCATTTCGGCTTGACGCATCACTAGCGACACCAGCTGAAATAGCTTGATCTAGAAGGTCTTTAACCTGGAGAGGCAGCTCATCGTCATCTTCTTGGAGCTGGGAAGTCATATTGTCAGTCCTGATGCTGGATCTCAAACTTTCCCTTTCATCTGGAGCTCCCTCTGGAACACGAGAACTGGCTCTTGATGAGGGCATTGGAGCGGGAGTGGGCAAGTGTAGCTTGCTTAACATCGAGAGCAAGTATTTCCTTTCCTCTCGCGGTGCGGTAGCGAAGCCCCCAACACCCAGAACTCGTTGTAGGATATCCTTAGCGAGAGCTAAGTGAAGGCTCTCGCTCGGCCGGAGTGTCGAGTTATTCGACAGGCTCGCTGGGGCCAATGGGTCTCCTCCACCACCTAGGCCGATAATGCGACGATCATCGGTCCACTCCGTCAACATTCCAACGACGCCTGACATGAGTACCTTCGTCTCTTTTTCACCGACACTTCCATCTATTTCACCATCACTATCCTCCTCTGCCTCAAGTGCATAAAAGTCATCCACAGCTGCGAGGACGGTGCGGATTGCCGGGACTGCAATCTTTCGCATATGCTGGGCATTTGCGATGTGTGAATGGCAGTAGACAGGGAAGAAATAGGTTAAGGCTTGCCTGAGAGTGAGGTTGTCTCGCGTCCTTGGGTTGAAGAATGCAAGGACAAGAGCTTGAAGGAGGGTTGCAACGGAATTATCGTTAAACTCCTTGATGGAGGGAGGAATTGATGGGCTAGATGGGGAGAGAGCATTCGTGAGGAGCATTTTGCTCAATGCAATGACGGCTGCACTTTGAGCATGAGGTAGGTTGGATGTCTTCAGGGCTTTTGCGAAGGCCTTCAATAATGGTTTTTGGAATGGTGGAGGAGTTACAGTGTTGGGGTCATTTGCGGAAGCAACTGGCGCAAGTAATGAGTTATGAGTTGTGACTATATCCGACAGAATCCTGAGCGCCATTTCTTGAAGCGACTCATGACCCTTGGTATAGCAGTGGATAAACAATCCCAGGTTTTCCTCTGCTAGGGACTACTCAAATGTTAGAATCAGGATACAAGCAAGCAGCTTGGGGTATAATTTACGTACCTTATCTAACAAACAGCATAATCCTAAGCATTCAAGTCCTCTTTCGCGAATAGGGGCTTCATGACTTCGGACGGCAGGCACAACTAGGTTATTCAACATCGTCACAAGGTGCACGTTGTCTTGAAGATTTCCCTCCACATTTTGAAGCATGCACTGTGCAATATAGAGGCACTTCATGTTAACCACGATTTCCTTGAGAACTTTAGCCTTGGCCTCTTCCTTGTTAAAAGGCACCTCGCTGTCTTCATCTTCATCGTCGCCTCGTCCCGCGCCGCTTTTGCGTTTATCCTTTTGGGCCGGCTGGTTACTGTCTTCGCTAATCTCTGATTTAGCTGAGACAAAACTGTCTTCCGAAACAATTGTGTCGTGGACTTCGGCTACAGCTTCAAGGACTACACTGCAGAATTCACCCTCCCCAGCAGCGTTGGGACTGCAAACGCAGCGTAGGACCTCGACTGTAAGTTTTGTAATCTCTTCAGGAAGGTTAGGAACAGCTAAAGTTTCTCGGAGCAGAGAAAACATTTTTCTTCGCCCAACCTCGTCACTGTAGTCAAGTGTGAGACAGATATAGAGCAGCTGTTCAACTATGAATTCGTATTCCATGGTCTGCTCTTCTCCTCCCTCTGCCTCCTCGGGATTGTTCAACCGAGTAAGAAGAACATTTGTGTACTTGTGCAGATAAAATGCCATAGCTGTGACTTCGGGGATTTTTTCATCAGCTAGGTCCTCGAGTTTCCCGTTGCCCTCCTGTCTGCAGAAAGAATTGAAACTTCGGGCCATGAATGCAGATTCAGCCGTCAAGGTTTCCCAGAACTGTTGATCAAAAGTAACCGAATCACGGTAATCAGGCCTTCCTTCCCAGAAATTCTTCATGGCTTCATGAGCAATTCCATTGTCTACCCCTGAGTTCACCACATCAATGCGCTCCAAAAGCTCAGTGAGAGCGGCAATTGTGGGAGATGAAGACTTCTCCCCATCTTCCTCTTCTTCTTCTGTTCTATACGAACTTGCGCAATCTTCAATCCAACGGTCATAGAATAGCCGTCCAGCCGCCTTTCTGACACTATCATCGCGATCACGCATACCCCAGCGCAGTAACTTCTCTCGCATAGAGAGAGACAGGTGGCGGAAATCACCAAGCGTGGGTAGTAGCCTGGTATACAGAGCTCGTCTAGTTGGGCCGTCAACATCTCGAGCTCTTTCAAGGAGGAAGGGCAAGGTTGATGGGGTAAGCGGAAGGTTTAGTAGAAGCGTACGCCGTACTTCAGCGCTGGTATCATTTTGAAGCACATCAAGAAGCTTCTCCAACAGAGCCGAGGGGCTGTCTCCATTGTTTCCTTCCTCATCCTCCTCATCATTCCCTGCTAGTCTGCCGAGTCCCATAACTGCTTGTACACGAACAGTAGGCTCTTTATCTCTGATTCTTTTGACAAGTCCTTGCCGTATCAAGTTATATAGCTCATCATCAATGGAATCCAATGAATTCACTATGTGCGAGATGATCTGGGTCGTCCTGTATCTAACCGTCTTATCCTTTGCGGCAAGTAGTGGGATGAGTGTGGACACAATTGTGAATGTGAGCCGCGAAGAAGGGGTCTCCGGTAATCCACGTGTCTCGTCAGGATCATCGTCAGAATAAATCTCAAGGTCTGAGCAGTTAAGTCAATTTCCTTGATCAATTTGTTCAACTCAGTCAACAAACGTATACACTTACCTTTGTCAGTGGCAGCTTTCAAGAATGTTCCAAGAAACTTGATAACCCTATCGGCCGCTCCTTCGGCTTTCTTTACCGGGACTACTCGAATCAAACATCGGCAAATCTCAATGTTTAACTCCTTTTCTGGAAGCCCGCCTCCGGCTAAGTCAGGAATTTCGCTGAGGCGGGAGCCTTTTTTTCCGTCCACTTTAGCTACCCGGAGTCCACAGCAAACTTCCTGAATTTTTCTCAACTTAATAGCAAGTTTCCTATGCCCTGTAATTGCGCGCTGCGCATCCGCAAATATTTCGACGACATTTGACCGAAGAGACGCAGAGGTTGTGGGTAAGGCAGGCTCCTCTGGGATATAAACAGTAGGTGCGCTTGTTGGTGGTACGGATGACTTGCGTGTTGACGCAGCTGACGAGGGGCGAGTGGAAGAGGAGCGTCCGGGCATCGTAAGTTACGCCTAGTGCGCGGAGGTATAATCGAGTGTCAGATAAAGAGTTCGCAAGTCGTATGGTCGATAGATTGTGGACGACGGCGAGGGGCAGACGTGAAGTGCGTGAGGGAAGGTGTCGGGGTAAGTCACGCTTTGCCGGTAGTTATAGTGAAGTAGAATCTAAATGAGCTCCGGCGGATGTCGGCATCAATATCGATATTTCGGTTAAAACATGTTGCTTCCTGCTCGCTTTCTGTCTTTTTGGTTGTCAGTTTTTCCTCTTCGGGACGAAATAAACAAACACGCGATAAGATAAGCGCGGTAACGCTAGTCTACTTTCGGAGTGTACATCCGAGTGCCGCGGTGTTGCCCGATGTGGAAACACAGACTTCCCTCGCAGGTTTGTATCGAAGATGAACTTGAGCCTCAATTTAATTCCCCGGTTTTATTTACATTACATTAATATTTTGCCTAAGAAAACATTGGTATTTCGCTGTCTATGTGCTTCGCGAACTAATCACGCCATAACTGTTTCGTTACTTCTGACTAATCGGATCTAAACTACGGTTCTCCTCCGCCTTTTAACTCCCGAAGATGAGAGTGACCGCTCGGCTTTTCTCTCTCCCAATTGACAACCTCTTCTACCATTTAATAACATATTTATATATTACATAGTCATCATGTTTAGAAAGGGGGTCCGGACGTTCACCTCTACGGCCCTGAGGGCAGCCGAGACCGCCGCTCAGATGGAAGCCAGGAACACCTATGGTGTCGGGGTCTCCAAGGCGCAGGGTGTGGTGAAGGGCCTGACCGGAGGTAAGTGAATGGAATCGTGTACCTTTTTGGATTCTTTTTGCACCCAGGACTAATGAATATGGGTCTTAGCGATCGGGAATACCCCATTGATTCGCCTCAATCGCCTCTCCGAACAAACCGGCTGTAACGTCCTGGGAAAAGCCGAGTTCCAAAACCCCGGCGGAAGCGTCAAGGACAGGGCTGCATTGTTCGTGGTCAAGGACGCTGAAGAGCGTGGACTACTTAAACCAGGCGGGACTGTTGTTGAAGGAACGGCAGGAAATACCGGAATCGGTCTGGCCCATGTCTGTCGATCAAGGGGGTACAAGCTAGTCATCTACATGCCAAACACCCAGTCCCAAGGCAAAATCGACCTGTTAAGACTTCTGGGCGCAGAAGTCTACCCCGTACCTGCTGTCGCATTCGACAACCCAGAGAACTATAACCACCAGGCCCGAAGACACGCTGAATCTCTTGAAAACGCCGTTTGGACTAACCAGTTCGACAATATCGCTAACCGGAGAGCCCATATTGAAACCACCGGTCCTGAAATCTGGGCACAGACGGAGGGGAAAGTCGATGCTTTTACTTGCGCTACCGGTACCGGTGGTACTCTGGCGGGAGTTACCAGGTATTTGAAGACTGTTAGTGACGGCAAGGTGAAGTCCTTCCTCGCCGATCCCCCAGGAAGTGTGCTATACAGCTACATTACCAGTGGAGGCACTCTCATAGAGCGTACTGGTAGCAGTATCACGGAAGGCATCGGCCAGGGCCGTGTAACAGATAACTTGCAACCTGATATCGGTCTGGTTGACGGAGCACTCAACATCAGTGACGAGAAGAGTATTGAGATGGTGTACCGCTGTCTTGATGAAGAAGGCCTATACTTGGGTGCCAGCTCTGCTCTCAATGTGGTTGCTGCAAAGGAGGTTGCCGAGAAGCTCGGAAAGGGACACACTGTCGTCACTATGCTGTGTGATGGCGCTTATCGATATGCGGACCGATTGTTCTCTGATAAGTGGTTGAAGAGCAAGAATCTTCGAGGAGCTATACCCCGACATTTGGAAAAATATATAGTGCTGCCGTGATTTGATATATTACACAAGCATGATGATATATGTACTTGATAGCGGCGTTAAGCAATATAGATCATTATGTGCTATTGAATAAAAGGGGATTAATGGGCAGTCCCATGGTCCCGGATATGAGCTTGACATCAACATTAAACGGAGCTAAGTCATAAAAACCACCAACGCTACCTTTTGGAGAAACCACTCGTTAGAAAACAAAAGAGAGTTCGCTTGCTCAACAAGCACGAAGAAAGAAATTTAACGCCCACCATTTCAAACAATGTTGACATTCCAGGATGCACCGTAGCCGTTGTATGTTACGCCGCGAATATTCCATTGCGAGAACTCTGGTTGTGTGTTTCCTGCTGCATCAGTGGCGCGACTGTATATTGTTTTGTCTTCCCTCTTTTCAGTCTTGACCCTGGCTTTCCATAAAGCCCAGGTCCATTTTGATTGAGGCTTGTCGTCTTGTAGTTCGGCATCAACCCAGCTCTCTCCGCCATCCGTCGAGACCTCAACCCGAACTACCGGTCCTTGGCTACCAGTGGGAACAGCGTATCCTTTAACCTCGATACAGCCGTCGGAAGATAATTTGACGGTTTCTCCGTCATCTGGGCAGGCAACAACTGAGTTCACGGGCATTTCCTGGATTGACGGGACGGTACTCCAGTAATTCTCTGCGATTTCCCACGTGGTAGCCTCTGGAGGGAGGACTTTGTAATCATGCTGCTGGTAGAAATTGGGAGATTCATCTGCTTGTACCGTGATTCGATCGAGCCATTTCACCCATCTTGCCCCGGCAACTCCTGGTACGACTACTCGGACGGGGAAGCCATACTCGGGTAGCAGCGTCTCATCGTTCATCTAAAGAACAGTCAGGCAGTCAGTCAAAAGAGCCATCGGGGGTTGACGGTGGGAGGTTCCTCATACATCGAGGGCCAAAATAACTTCTTCGCTCATCTTCATGGCTCTCCACAACTCAATGCTCACACCGTAATAGTCGTCATCCTCACAGGGTGCTTGAAAGCAGGCGAAAGCGACATGCAATAAGCTGTTTTCCGGGTCCTTGTCCTTGAGTTGTGCTTTCATCAAAACGTCTCTGAGTCGCGGGCCCTTCCACTTGCAGTTCATGACAGCTCCATCGGTCCAGTCAACGCCGTGTACTTCTTTCAACTTCGTTCGCATAGTATGACGTCTATTTCCTGCGCATTGCATTGCGCAAATGACTTCATGTTGTTCAAAATCGTTCCGGAGTTGCGATACAGAGAGCGTGAACGGCTTGTCGACTTCGCCATCAACGGTGATGAAATGCCTTGTCCCGTCTAGCTGTGGAATGACACTGTGGTTTCGATGGTAGGCACCTGTCGTCGTTAGGAAGCTGTTGTGGATTTAGCTAGCGGTTAGCTGCCTGATCTCCGGAGAATAAAGTCGCCAATCATATACCCCTGTTGCATGGGGGAGGGGAATACGAGCGACAAGCACTGAGCAGGGGTTTTGCATGCTGTATCCTGCAAAACACCGCCAACAGAAGTATATCAAAACAATAGTGCATACCTCGACACAAGCTCTTTGACCGGCGGCTCTCGGTTTATGATCTCAGTCAGTCCTAGCGGTGAGGAATGTGAAGACTGGTTATCCGACAAGCAGTCAGCACGTAGCACAGGGATGACGGCCATCAGATGGTTGGCAGCGTACCTTATCCATGGCCAGATATGCCCTGATGCGTTTCACAATAAAGGCGAACGGTCCTCTGGAGAAGAGGTCCCTGATGAAGCTCAACAGGGACCTGAACGCTGTCCTCAAACCCGGTTGCAACATGATGGTCAGTCTCTTCACAGGTCACCGAGCTTGCTCGCACCTTTCTCACCACCGTTCACAAGCTCAGGGCGGATATGGGCTATCCATATATATTTTTCTTTAGTTACCTTGTGTGCTGCCGGATGATCAGACCGTGTAACTATCTAGACCAGCCAAGGGATTTTCCCGGTCTATAAGAGCTAGATATTACTAAATTTTCGACGGCCCTGCTTTCCACCCTCCTGGACTTGCAGACGCTGTTGGGTTTGCCCCCCTAGGGCATGGGCGCATGGATGATCAGCGGAACGGTGGAAAAGGGACAGAATGAGGCTATCTTAGCTAGATGCTGTCCGGGCTCGACTGCTCTTCTCCTTTTTTTGGTCTGGAAACTGAGCTGTTTGCGATCTCTGCTTGCACCCGTAATACTCCGTGATATCACTCTAGACTCCGCACTGGAATCTCGCAAGGTGAAGCGGAAGCTGCGGAGGCCCCAGAAGTGAGCGCAACCGAGCTCCATCGCAGAGTGGGAATCAAAATCCTCACGAATTGCACAGCGTTGCCTTAGCACACGGGGATCCTGTGTTTGTCTGCTTGGAGACTGGCGATGCGCCACTGGCTCGACGATGGCTATCTGAACTGGCCTAGTGTGACGTATGTTTGCGTCAACAGCGCCGCCAAGGGTCCAGAATAACATCAATACACCCCTGCCGGCCGATAGCGAACGGGATGGCTCGCTTTCTTTGTAGTTCTTTTTGCAAGCAAGTTGCCGAAAGAATGAGTGCATGGCCGGTTTGGCTGCTTGCCCTGATTTGTCCGGCGTCGCTTGCAAGGTTGAGATGCTGAAGTTTGGGTGTGGAAGTTGTCCGTGGACTGAATGTATATATATACTCATTATGTCTCGTATTAGTATAAAGTAGTTGTACAGCTGTAACACCATCTTTGGTTACATATATCTAGATCTTTTCTGCCTCTGCCAGTGTCGAGTCGACTGGTCCTTCGGTCTCGCTGCGTACGTATGAAGGGGACGAGAAGCTGTTGGGGATGAGTGTCCACCCCTAGCCAGTCCTTAATGAAATAGTATCAGAGTTCAGCCAGCCCGAGTTGACCGCGGATCGACCTGTCCATCGTTTTGTGTTTTTGTGAACCGGACGCCATGCGGAGCCTGGCTGAAGCTCGGCAAGAACATGATCCTCGGGAGCTGGGAGCAACCCAGAGCGTCGTCTCTCAAGCAACTTGGAGACCAAACACAGCAGCAGACTCCCATATGCATGCCAAGGGCCATGACCAAACCCGTCTATCCAAGGAACCTAGACCCCCATCCGTGCAAAATAAACGCCAAGTACTCCGTAATACGCCGGTAGTTGTATGTTGTGATAGTCCGCCAAATAGCACCCGCACAAACCTCTATAAATCGTACAGATTTTTCAATCAACATCAAGTGGTGGAAATGAGAAGGGAGTCTGTCCAAAAAAAGGGAGACTCGGCCGGGTCTTTTTAACCCCTTTTCTCAGGCAGTTCTTTTGTCGTCTGAGACATCAACGGCCTGAGAGAGTCGTCTCCCGTGTGAAGAAAAGGAGGTAACGCCAGATTAATCGGAGGGTTGTCGCATGTACGCGTCTATGGCCGCACTAAACGCCGCAAATCCAGCGCATCCCAGGAGAGCCGCCTGAGGACCTGCTTTGGCGCCGAGTATTCCACCAGTGATGCATCCGGCAGCAATACCGTTAGTAAGGTCGTTTTTAGCCCGGAGTCCTTCAATGCAGCATTCTGTTCCGCTGAAAAGCGCACCGACAACCATAAAGTTCTTCGCGCTGCTATACGATCGAGATCCCATGTCCTTGAAACCCCGTCTAAGTTGCTCGCGCACCGGTAGAGAGGAGATTTGTTGTCCTTGGGGGGTGAGAGGTGTGTCGTATGACATCTATCAAGGTGAAAAGTCTCAAGGTAAGCCATTGAACCGAGGATGTCGGGAAGAGAAAAAAAGGGGGGGATAGAAAACATACACTGCTCATGAACAAGCCGAAGGCACCTCCCAGTGCAAATCCCATTCCTCCCGCCATTACCGTTTTAACTGGACACGACTCCATTGCGCTGGTCATCTATCTCCCGAATAAACAGCATATCAGCATTTCCGTCCGAACTCATGCTCAAGGCCGTCACCATCAGGGTAACTCACCATCTTAACCATAGCCTGTTCCTGTTCGTTTAGTCCCGTCGTTGATGGAGGCAACCCCGCACTGGTGAAGCCGGGGGTTATCCCCGAACCGCTTGCGCCTGGCAAACTCATCGTGTATAGCTATATCTCGACCTTGGGGCTTGGGACTGGTGGGTTTCTATTGCCGGGCTCAGCTGTACTGCCAGTTGGAGTTGACTTTTCGGCCAAATCAAGAGTACCAGGAAGACAAACTATTACAGCAAAGCAAATTAACAAATAGGACAATATTCAGGAGTTGGATGAGAGCATTAAAGCATCAAAGAGCATCAACGGCTCTCACCTTCAGAGCTTGCAATATCAAATCTTTCGTAAAAAAAAAAAGTTATTTTCAACGGAAAAACAGCTCGGACGTCTGCTGACATAAGACCATTCAGTATACTATAACTTTGTCATGTGAACCAAATCTGATGACTAATGGAAATAATTTCCCTTTAGGCTAAGCGTCATTGAAATATAAGCTTAGTCACCAGAATACACAATATTACGAAATATACACAGAAGCAGCCAATAGAAAGTAGGGCTGGGATGTATATTTGTATATGTAATTTCAAGCCTTCTGCTTAGAAGACAGAAGAAAAATTGAACGCTTTGGAGGATGAAATTGGAGACACTACAAGACGGCCAAAATATCATCTTTTCTATGATGTGAATCCCTCCTCCCCTTGGGGTGAAGGCCTCTTGTTACATCCAACAAGTTACCCATTTTGCAGCTCCTAAGCCAGCGCGTTTGAAAAAGGTGTAAAGGCTTGTGATTAGCGGAGCCCCTGCCGGCTGGTTCGAAGAGAGCTGGGTAGTTCTCTACGTCTTAGCAGCACTCTGTCAATGTTCGGCTTAATCACAATCACAGGCATAACTCTAACCGAAGGGCTTTACGTGGCATAGCTAGATGGGAAAGATAGGTAGGTAGTATTTAGGCAATCGACTTTTGCAAGGTAACATCCATTCAACCTAGAGTTGAAACTCACTCCCCGAAGCCACACTAGTGATAATTATGCAGGATGAAGTTGTTCAATACTCCGTATCGTACTCTGTGTACATGGTGACCCTGTTCTTGCCACCTCCACTTCAACCCTGGCCTTGTTCAGGCCGCTCTGGCAGGATTTCCAATTTGCGTATATTGCATCCAGTGACTCTCCCTTATTACCCTGGGTAACCTTGGAATCTAAGCCTAGCTTTCTCGCGTTTATGATTGCACCCCGTAGCAATACCTCCTTGGTCTATACCCCAAATTGCATTAGCTATGCCCGAGACACGATAATATTAGGAATAACACCCCAGAGTTACCCTCTCTGCTCGAGATCCCCCTTGTTGTGAAGAGATAATTTGAGGCGTCTCCTTCCGCCTGGCTTTGGTTTCTTTTGACGTATTGGGGTTTCTCATGGTTACTGTCATTTTTACGGAACAGAGTCCCCTAACATACCCTCGTATGTTTTCTACTGTTACTAAAACCCTTTCGGGATCGACTAGGATATCTCTATCGGACTGGGTTCTTAGTATTATTACTTGCAGATGAGGTTGCTGTGTGCGGGTTTCTTTGGGGTTCCGCTCCTCCTTTTGCCGACTGTTTATACTGCTCCTATCAGTACGTGAAGTGACTGCCCGAAGTGACCACCTGCCTTCAATATTAACTGCAGGCAGTCACTCCACCCGCCATTCACTTTGCCGTATGTCCTGATGGGCCCCTGACACGGTTATCAGAAAGCCGAATACAGAATTAGTACCCTGGCTTGTCCCGAGTTTCCCAATCCTACCGTTTCACCTAACTGCCAGCTACTAACCTCATCATTGAATGCTCTGTCCCTCCTGTTCCTGTTCTCGACTCATTCTCCCTCGTTGTACAGACTTTGTGCTGAAGTGATAGTTACAGGATGTATAACGCTCTTTGTCGAATAGGCTGGCGTTTCAAGCAAAAAGTATAGTACCAGATGGGCGGTTAATTAATCGCAATTGCATTGGCCTAAGGGCCCATTATGTCAATCTGGTTTACTGCATATTTATTGAGTAGTAGAATCGTTAAGAATATTAATTTAAAAAAACCTCCAAATCAATAACAAGACTCAGAGAAGCAAGGTAATAATCGATATACAAGAGAATAGAGAGAAGCAAAAGGACTCAAAACCCGGCCAATTGGTTTAAGAACGAAGAAATCAGAGTAGGTAAAAGGAACAGTTTGTCAATACGATCAAGATAAACGCCAACATATCAGGTCCATAAATTCGTGTATAAATTTCCAGACATGGCAGGCTTCTCCTGTTGATGCGCAAGAAACAGAGAATGCGTCCCCATATTCGATCTTTTTTATATATAATGATTCAATCATGGTCGTCATGTCGTGGAGTTTTTCTTTTGGTGGTAAGAAAGTTGTAGATGAAAAAGTGATATCAAGATTGTGTATGTGTGTGTGTGTGGTGGGAGAGATATATATCTAGTCGTCTTTGGATCCTTTCTTTACACTGTCTGAATGAGACGGTGAGAGGCTTCGTTCCCACTCAGCCATCAAGGTAGAGGCTGTGCGTGTCAGATTGGAAGGGGTCGATTTGGTTATGGCAGGCCACGGGATACCACCTGGATGCTCGGGGTTGCTGAAGGTCTCAACATCCAGATCTTTGTAGTCCATCACGCTAATTCACAAGCAAGCGTTAGCTGCGGGTGGATAGAAGGATGGGGGGAGGGCGCTGTATGTATGCTGACCTTGCACTGGTCCGTGGGCTGCTAGCATTTGTCGAGGGCGACTGGTCTCTTTTGGATGGGAATGTCGAGCTGCTCGAGGATGGGGTGTGTGTCTTGGGCTGGGGGCTATCCCAGATATCCCAGTTGTCGTCGATGTCTAGCAAACTAGCCTGATTGCTCGGATTATTATTTGACTTGTTGCGATTCCGATTGGTAGCCTTGTTTGACTGTGTCTTATTTGGAGCGGTGACGCCAAATTCCTCCCAGAAGTCGGTTTCTGAAGCCGCTGCACGTTTATTTTGCTTGGCGGCGGTAGTGGGCTTTATAGATGCAGATCTGCCAGTTCTCGAAGGGGCTGCTGCTGAATGTGGTTTGGAGTTTACTGTCCCCGCACCCGACCTGTTGATAAGATGGTCCTGGCGCTGATAAGCCTGCGATGTACGAGATTGGGTTGCATTGATACCCTCCTCTCCTACTGTAGCCTGGCGGATATCTTCCAGAAACGTCCACAGTCCGTCCTTGAAATCCGTAGCCATCTGCTTTCCTGTTCGCATGAGTGCCTCTGTGGTTGGGTCTTGTGGTATTGGCGGGAGAGACCTTCGCCATAATCCTTTATCCTGTACTGATTTCTGTTTCGCGGGGGACAAGATGAGCGGCTTACTGCCGTTTGATTCTCTATCGACGGAAGGGAGAGTCGCAGATCTGGGATAGCCAGAAGGTCGTGCGCATTTTGAATCGGCTGATTGAGGGGAGAACGGAGAGCAGTTGTCATCGTCTCTTGCGGAGAGAAGAGACAGAGTCCGAGTATGCCGGGACCCTTCGAACACCGTTCTTGCTCTGGACAGCTGGCCTGGAGCCGGTGAATGCGGTGAATGCGGTGAGTGCGATATTGACTGTCTCAAGCTGTGTCGTCTGTCCAATTCTCGGCTACGTCTCTTCAACCCGGGTGCGTCACTGTCGACCGGCGACTGAGTAGCTCCCGTCCCTGTAAGCGAACTTCCTTCCGCCGGTATCTGCTGCCTCAACGGCTTCATTGCTTCGGCCCGATAGATGGCCTGGTTGATCTTCCGGCCCTTTTCATTCTGCTCCCACCGTTTCTTCAGGGTGGCGAGCTCCAGCTCGGCCCTGTGCAGCTCCTCCTTGAGCTCCAGCACCTTGCGTTCCTGAGCAGCGAGAGCCGTGAGGAACCCGTATCCTTCATCTGGCGGCTCGGTCAACGCCGAAACCGAGGGCGAAGTTCGATGGGAGGCCGGCATGGTAGGTGATGATTCTGAGTGCGGGTGTTTCACCGGGGGCGAGTCTTTCGCTGAGCGAGGTCCCTGTTGTACCAGCTCAGGCGGGATATTGATGGGGAAATTGAGCGTGAGCCTCTTTGCATGTCGAGCAGCGCCATTTGGCCTGGGAGGAAGCGATGCTCGCTGTCGCTGCCGCGGGCTGTCGAAGCATGGCTGCGAGGACTGTGAGAGTTCTGGCTCTTCCATGGTTCCACGGTGGGCACACTGGAGTAGCGTTTAGTAGGAGTCGGTGTTGAGATGCCAGCCAGCAGCGGAAGCCATCGCCCTTCAACGCTGTCCCGTCTCGTCCCCCTTTTTCGTTCTTTTCGTTCTCTTCCCGCAGCCGTTGTCTGTCCGGCCGTCCTTGCTGGCGTCTCGACTGGATGTCCTGATGTCTCGCTCGGTGGAGTTGGCAGCAAAAAAAAAAAAAAGAACTTCAGGGGGAGATTACGACGTGCATTTAGAGTCTGCACGTGACTAAGTACCTCGCCGCCTGTTTTGCGCCTGGAGATACTTCGCTCCGTGTTTACTTCCCTTAGCTGGGGAGCCGGCCTATAGATTGCCTGCCAGGAGTTGTTTGTTTGCTCTACGGACTGGCGTCGACGTTGGCGGGAGCTCCCCGTTAGAAGGGCGAAAGGGCGCGCGGGAGGAGGAGAAAACCTGCAGCCTCTTGCTCGTCGGTCCTCTGCCAGACAACCATGGCGTACTCAGGCCCGGACGAACCTGCGAGCGGCTATCTCGACGACTCGACCAGCCAGATCGAACTGCTTCTCGGTAGCGAGGATGACGGCAGAGCATTCGCTCGCTTAAAGGAACACGGGAGACGGCGAGCCTGGACTGTCCAGCGCTGCTACCGCTGCCTAGAGAACCTTCTTCGCGACCTGATACTCCACCAGCGACGGCGGTTTCGCTGCAGGGCTTCCTCGCCAGCTCACACACTCTGGCTGCTGCTCAAGATTCTCATCTTCTTGGTAGGCGGATTCGTCCTCGTCTCTGTGGTGCAGGCCATATTTCACCCTTCTTACCAGCAGCCCCCTGAACACTACGCACAGCTGCAGAGGAGGATCCTCGCTTCGTCAGAGCCCGGACGTGCAAATCAGAGGAACGAAAAGATATTCATCGCTGCAAATATCATCAGGGAAGACTTGATACGCGGGGCCTGGGGTGCGTCGCTGCTGGAACTCGTCGAGTTGCTGGGGGAGGACAATGTGTTTGTCAGTGTATACGAGAATGACAGCGGGAAGGCAACTAGCGAGGCGCTTATAGAGCTCCAGGATAAACTTCCATGTTCGTGTTCTCCTCCTTGGATTTCTCGCGACTCTCGAATAAGAGAATTAACCTTAAAAACCATCAAGGTAACTCGTCGGTTGTTGCCGGAGACCATCTTCGCCTGTCTGACCTGCCCACGACCACGGCGCCGGGCGGCAAGCAACGTATCAAACGGATAGCGTACCTGGCAGAAGTCCGAAATCGAGCGCTTAGGCCTCTAGATGCGACCTACACCCCTACCTCAGCCGAGTCGGAGAAAGGCTTCCGTCACGCTACGGAGAAATTCGACCGCGTGCTGTTCCTGAACGATGTATATTTTTCCGCTACAGATGCCGTGCAGCTATTATTCTCGACAAACGCCGAAAAGACTGGCCATGCGGACTACCGCGCCGCCTGTGCAATCGACTTTACCGCCAATGTAATGTTTTATGACACATTTGTCGTAAGGGACAATGAGGGTTACGGCATGGGCCTTATGTTCTTTCCGTGGTTCCCAGTGGTAGGAAAGAGTGAAAGCCGGCAGGATGTCCTTGCTGAGAAAGACGCAGTTCGTGTCCGAAGTTGCTGGGGAGGGATGGCCTCCTTCGACGCCCAGGTCTTTCAGAAATCGTCTGGAAACCATTCAGAGCTCGCACTCACCTTTCGCCACGAGCCAGAGCCATTTTGGGAGGCAGCTGAATGTTGCCTTATCTTCGCAGACATGGAGTCTACCTCTCTCGAATCTAACGGTGCTGGAGTCTACGTCAATCCTTACATCCGGGTTGCATATACGGAGAACACCTGGGCATGGCTGGGGTTCTTCCGCAGATATGAACGAATATTTGCCAACCTCCAATGGATTGTGAGTAAAATTGGCTACCCTGAATATAATCCTCGCCGACTACACAATCCTGGTCAAATGGTCAAGGAGAAAGTATGGGTTCAGGGCGACGACGAGAATCAACTCGGCTCGTTTCAAATGCTGGAGCGAAAGGCAGCAGTGGGGGGTTTCTGCGGCCAAAGGCGAATGTTTGTCATGAAAGATGACATCAATGACGCCAACAAGAAAGGAGAAAAAAACTGGGAGAAGATACCCGTTCCGTCTTATTAGAGTGGAATATAAAATTAACTGCATTCATAATTTATAAATACTAATCACTCAAGGCGGTAAGGCAAATTATTTGCCTAACCCTTTACATAGCCACGGCTTCCTAATAGTAAATAATGAAAAACATGTTTACTCTTTCTCCTCGGGTACTTTAGTTGGTGCAGTGACTATGAACGGTGAGCCTACCACTAGTATATTTCACTAACTGTATACTAATAATTCATCTATAAGCAGGAAGTTATTCTCCTTTACTGCCAATCTTAGATATTGAGCCAGTAATCTAGAATTGGGGCATGATTTTCCTTCGAACTGGAAGGGGTCTTGGTTGCATATAAAGACCCCCGTGTCTTCTAGAACTGCACTTTGTGCTGGGGCTCATTTAGGAAATGTTCTACGGCGAATCATATCGAATTGTCAGAGATTATGCGTCCATTCATATTTTCGAATATCAACAATGGGTACATTTCATATTGAAATTGATGTTCAATGACACAGTCCCAAAGTGGATAGTAATATCGCATTCCCTCTTCGCGACATTATGACTGCCCCCGTATACCATGCATGAGAACCTCCTTGCCATAATTATCTAGCAATCGTCCGGGTTAACATATTCCTCGGCAATCTTGAAGCGTTGGGCCCTGCTGCGTTTATATGGCTGTAAACTAACGACCATATTCCGGTTGGGAGCGGTCGTGTTTCTCTCGGCAGTCCAAGCAAGTTTTTCGCCAGTTTCGGACTCTAGGGCAACGACATAGGATCCTTCTCTGTCAACCTCAATTCGGAATAAGGATGGCTTTGAGGCAGCTTGTGCGATTGCTCGAGGCCGGTATTCGGGATATCGGAAGTATACTTGTCCGCGCCTGGCACGGATACTGTAATAGGTCCAGTCGTTGATCTCAGGAGCCACTTCATAACGGGTCCAATAACGACAGGGACTGCCTGGACCAAACTCGATGCCGTTTGTGGTACCGTTGAGTGTGACGTTGAGTCCACTGGATATGCTTGTGAAGACGGTATAATAGTTAGAGGCGTCAACGCCTGCCACGAGGCCGCAGACGGCTGTAACGAAGGGTACAATTTTCATGTTGTAGCTGAGATTTTTAATAAGTGATTTCTGGAGAGAGAAAAAGGAAATTTGCAGGGCGAATGGTCTGAAATTTTGGTAGAGCCGATGTTGGGAAGATTCAGTGTGCCTTCTTATGAAAGGATGATGCAACATTAGGCCAACTATTCTACGCAGGGTATTCTTGTCAGGTTCGTGATTCAGAAGAACCACCATGCCGCGTTTATCCAGAGTAGAAGCTCGTATCTCCTGCTGTCAGCATTTAGGATGAGCGGGTATCGGGTATCTCAGCAATCTCGTGTTTGCTTTCACCAGCTGACATTGGCAATGTACAAGGCAAACGGGGATACCTCCATTCTGGGAGTAATCTATTTCGGTTCATATGGCTATCTAATGGCTAGTGATGGGTTATTCATGCATGTCAGATTAATGTCAGAACCTGCTACCTTGCTAAATGATCGGTCCACAGTAATGTGGGAGGAATTCCACGCTTTCATCCGAGGTGTGGGACCTGCTCTCGACTGTGATGATCCGGGGAAGTTGCCGAAGCCATGTAAGTAAGCCCGTACTATCAGCTAGGGCCCAACCTAATTCTTCGGCCGAAGTGATTTGCAGCTCGGAAAATATACCATGCAATAAACATGCACAACTATAACATGGAATTCTTTGTTTAGCAAGCCATTATTATTTTTACATTTTTATATTTTTGTAACCCAACGTTGGTACATTATTACGTGTCCGGCCCTAACAGTCCAAATCATACTAGGAAGCAATTCAGATAGCATGGGTTGCCTTGCTATTGAAGACATTGCAACAGTGTCATCAAATACCCTAGCCATCACTGCAGTAAGATTTTAGTCTTGTTTTGATCCTGTGAAATGATTGAAGCCACGAATACCCATATCAACGGTGTAACTGATCTTTTACACATGCAGCCTATATTTTATACCGAGTACTTGGAGTAACTAGCCGTTGTTACCCTGGCGGATAATGCTGGTGCTCATGCTCAGGTTTGGTCAGCATCGTCTCATAGTTATTGCTGGGCACAGGGCTCCACAAATTATAAGCACAGTCACGCTTCTCAGTCTCGGAAGCATCGAAAGGGCTTGTGTCGGCAAAGAGGATATAGAGACCATTCCCTCCTTTAACTTCTCTTTCTCCTCGTTGATATCACTGCCTCTCTTTCTTGTGAAGTATACGCTATTGCTCTATCCATTTTACAAGTCCCCTTGATTTACCCATACTTCTTCTCTGTGCTCGCTATAATGCGACTCCTTTCTGTACTTTCGTTGTGTCTGTCCGTATCTGGAGGAAGTGCCCAACTTTATGTTGACTCGAGATCCTCGGCTTCAAACACGACTTCCCTTCAGAACGATGGATATAATCTACGGTATGAATACAGAATGGTTCCTCTGAATGCGGACTTCACCGTTCTCGACGACTTTAACCACGATATCCTCTCCATCGGTACCAATTCAAACGGGGAGGTTGTTGAAGTCAAACCCAACGACGGTCGTAGTCAATGGCATATGACGCGACTGGCGAGCTACACGCATGTTGTACGCGACAAATACAGCAACAAATATATACACTTTCCGACTCTGAAGGATGGTGCTGTCGCCACTCTTAGCTCTGACGCCGCCACGTTATTCGAAGCCGTGATAGGCCCAAACGTTATCTACAATCTCAATGCAACCGATGCCAACCCTAGAGACGCTCCTTTGTTTTGGACGGTGGAACCACTCAGTGCAACGGACCAACGCCCTGTTCTGAAGCTACGTAAGCCGGCATTTGGAAGAGCTCGTCAGGATTTTCTCATGAAGAAGACCCCACAACAAGGCTCTTAAGTACAAAACATATAGTACTCAATACACGCAACTTTCGCTGGACGTGTGGGAGCATGAGTCATTATACCTACCGGGTTGCATAGCCTTGCGCTTGTCTTAGCTCCTTGATCAATCTTTCGATAGTTAACAGGCCTTTTCTTTTAATATCCATGTCCAACAAACCTGCCCCTATCATGTATTTTCGATGCAATGGCTCCTTTAAGAGTAATATTATATTTCCTCTTCCAGGTCCCTCGCCAAGACTTGTTCCACTCTTTTGCCCCTTTTGAGGCTGGAATAAGGTGATGACTAATGAAATTACCCACAAAAATAGAACATGGCCCTTGCTCCTTCCGATATCCCGGCAAAGCTTAACCTTATGTTTACCACCTGCCATGCACAAAGTCGACATGGCTCCCTGGTTGTAGATACAGGGAACAGGGAACATCACGTAATTACATTGAGTTTTTTCTCTACATGAACAAAGGTTCTTTTGGGCCAGCAGTTTATGGCTAAATTCTAATGTTCTCATGGGATTTCTTTCTATAATCCATCAATCTTGGAGGTACAATTGAGTTATAGAGGGCATCCCACCCACTGCTCGTTGCCTGAGTGCAACCCCACCTCCAACCACCGCTGCTCTTAGGCCGTGGCGTTTGATTCTTCACATTGTTGCTCGGCTTCTATTTAATTGCTCTTCTTTGGAGGTTTGATGAAGGTGAAATTCTGTCGCTTTCCGTCTGTGTTTTCTCGGAGTTTGATCACATAGCGGTTTGGTTGTTCAGTACTGTGACGTTCCACAGTGAAAAACAGTCCTGGTCCTTCGTGGCGTATGTAGAACTTATATTGGGCATTGTCATATACTGTTGGATCAATGACAGTCGCCGCTGTTTCGCTTACAGTGGCAAGTGAGCCAAGTTTTGGATCGGGGATATGAATGTATCTGTTGCTGTTGCTCTCGCGGATTATGTAGTTGAAGTCAAAAATTTGCTCAAAATGCCATCGCGTGGTGGAGTTTGGTTGAACTTCAAGTAATCCATCACCGCCAACACCAAGGCCGAGAATATGACCATTGAATTCGTCATAAACAGTGAATGAAGTGTTCAAAGGTTGTTCGATGTAGTAGGTAACGTTAATTGCCGTGGCGGGCCTGCAGGCAAGGAGGAGGAATAAAACGGTAGAAATCAAAATCATCGTGAAATAGAGAACTGAATTTCAATCCAAATTTTATAGATTGCCCCTAGAAACAGTACTGTGATGCTCGATGGGAAAGGTACGACGGGACATATGATGTTGGCAACGAGAGGAGGGTGTCAGGTCTATAATGGAGGAGATTTCTAAGTTATCTGCTCACTCAAAAAGTATTATAAAGCGGATAAGTCGGACCTTAGCTATGCCATCCCTTAGGTAACCGTCTCGACATTATCCGGTGTATGATCCCCACTGTGCTGTAAGATGTCAGATATGTCAAAAGTATATCATCTTATTGCAATTGCGGCATAACGAATATCAGTTCCTGCCACCTGGCTCGGATAGAAGAGGGAATATCATCGCAATGTACATCTTGAGAAATGCCAGACTAAAATCTTACTTGCAGCACCATCGGGTCAAGTAGTAAGAAGGGCCATGCAACACTTCCTAAATTATGCAAGTTCTTACTTTCAGCTTGTTTAAACTCTAAGTTATATCACTACCAAGCAAAACAGTACGATAAGACAAAACACACACGGAACCTGTATATAATTTGCAAGTTGAATGTAATCATACTTACCTATTTTGGATGTAGGTCGAGGGCGATGACTCTGGAAAGAATGTCTCATATCTGTATTAAATCCTTGTAAGCAGGGGCAAAGTAAGAAACTCAAATCTCTTCCACAGTCGTATATGCACTAGATTAGTTGTCCATGACAGCCGGTTAGAGAAACTCACACGAGGCTAGTTGAGGAGGGTATAGATATATACGGGAATCCGGATAGAGCCACAGTTTGTCTTGTCGTACATATACAACTTGGCTATAAATGCACATTGTTCTCACTTATCGGCATACTTCAGCAATAGTTACTTGTACATTATTCCAAATCAACAATCTCACACCAGCAAAAATGCAATTCTTATCATTAGCTATTGCTACTCTCTGTGCATTCGCAGCTAGTGTGTCGGCGCAGTCCCCGAAGCTGTACACTCTCATTACCAGCAAGCAATATGGATTGAATCTCACACACAATTCCGACACCGGTGCCGTCGAATTTGAGAGAGGCAGCTTCTATAGGCATTGGACTGATCATCCAGTAACTCAAGGAGCCCATAACTGGCACTGTTTCCGAGCAAGGCAAAAATACGAACTGGATATCATTTACTGGGTCCGCTTCCAAAATTATGTAGCTGGACAATCTGCAACAGCACCCCGAACTTATGGCTACCCCCCTTCGCTATTCGAAGTTGAAACCGACGGAGATGTCAGCTATCTAATCTCTCTTGAGACTCCAAATACGGGGGAAAGATTAGCCTGGACAATCGAACGGAAGAATGCGACGGGGAATGCCGAATTAAAATTACAACCCTATAAGAGGTCGCCTAGCCAGCAATTCATCATAACTCAAGAGCCAGGAGATGATGAGTTTCCACCCAGGATACAATAGTGGTGAGGTATGCACTGTTCATGGCGAGGGTATTACAAGTACATTGGACCAATGTTCCGGAATTTTGTGCAAGATGTTCCAAAATTATATACCCTGAGGTTGATTGGAGTGCTTTCCTGCTCGACATCAACTGTGATTTGCTTAGGTCGTTTCCATTGTGTGTATCTAGCTACTAGCTGTCATGTCATTTAATTAAATCTCATCCGGATACAATGAAGGGAACAAGCAAACTTGGGCTCAGGAATGTTTGTCAAACAGACAGGCAAGATGAAGGAATGCCGACCAGTTCGAAACTTGTTTCGTAAGCGTGTCTTTATGAAGGCACGAGTATGCGTCTGTCACTCCGTGGTTGCTTTCTGCAGCTTATTGTCCCTCCTGGCTGATCACACAGGCTGGGTTAGTACGATGCCACTCAGCCGCCTGATAGATTGAGGCGAGTCGGAGAACTGTAGCTGTAGGGATATTATGCTTTTATTTTTATTTTATTTTATTTTTTTTTCTTTTAGCTCCGAGTCGGTGGCGAACGCAGTACAGCTAGGAGATTAGGCGAGCTAGGAAGCCTTTCGAATCGGTGGAGCCAGGTGTATACATTAGTTAGGATTTAGGTTGGTTACCATGACGACCGAGATGGTAGTGTTTCATCCTTTTCGGGCCTTCGGCTATGAGGTCATAAGTAATGCATATAGTTGATACGATGGCGCGCTAGCGAGCGTTGGGCAGAAAAGCTTAGCGGAGGAGATAATAATCTCGTCGTTGGCCCAAAGCAGTTCTCTATTTGGTTGTTGATGCCCAAGGTGATGGTGTTTTTTGTCGAATGTATTTTTTGGTCAGCCAACTAACTAGTCTGCCCTGCCCCATATATACTGCACATAGATTATATTTATACAAAGACCTTCAAGCTAGACAATCTCAGGGAGCCCAACAACTGACACTGTTTCTGAGCGACGCAACAATATGGTACAAGATTCTGACGGATCAGAGAGACATCAAGTCTCAAAAACAATAGACAGCGAAAAGGGACTGGGAAGTTAGAACAGTAAACGATCGAAGACCTAAAGATCTTCCAGGGCAATTAGTACCTAGGAAGCAGTGCAGAGAGTAGACCAGAAAATAAGTCCAGAAAAGAGGGGAAGGGCCAAAAGGCTACCGAAACTCTAACGAGGGAAGTAGATAGCAGAAAGGAGCGACGGATTCCAGTTCCGGCAGAAGGCCTTGAAGCGCACTTATGAACAGTATGAACGATGCTTCCAATAATCAATAGCGAGGGAAAGAAGAACAAAACTCCAAAGGTAGCCGCCGGTATATGACTCGAACAAGTCTCAACAGATCACAAGCAATGCAACACGAACATGATCCAAACGGTAAACACAAAAGATCGGGTAATGTACAGTTTATGTACACAAATGCTGGAGGTAGGTAGCCTGTGCCCTAAAGCAAAGGCTAGTGTCGCAAGGTATTATAGTATTATACTGCAGGCCATCTGTTTCGGAGGCCGTCAGTCCAGCGGGTATATAGAACATCAGCAAGCTGTTTAGTGTGCTCCATTCCAATCGGGTGTTGCCCAGCCATGGTGGTTCCAGAATTCCAGTTCTGTTCTGATTGAACCTGAGCGGATTGTCTTCGCCTGTGGCTTTTTAGATGTGGGTTATTCTGAGCAAGGACCAGTTTTGGCTTTTGTGGCGTTTCTGGAGCTGGCTTCGGAAGTATGGCTGATAGTTTTGGATCACTAAAAGTAGTTAGCAAGGGTTTTGTGTATTTACCGGTTACAAGGGGGGCTACTTACGCTTGAAGTTTCTCAAAAGAGGACTTAACAATGTGATATAGTCCTTCGGGTCAATCATCTCGAGATCACTGAAAGCTTCTGCCAGTCGCGATATTGCCTCTCGCTTTTCTTGGTCGCTAGTATTTGCCAACACTTCCTGGCAGGTAAGCCCAATGCCAGAATTATACATCCTCCGGCCTAAGATTGCTTCTTTGGTGTTGGGCTCGGTGAATAGCGTTTTAGGCATAGAGTTCTCATTCATTCCTGGAACATATCCGGAATTGCCATCAAGGGAGTTTTGCCTATCGGAGACTCGACGGAATTGTCTCACAGTTGAAGGTGAATTCCCAAACGTCATATCCAAACCGAGAGGCTGCTTGACGCTACTTGATCGGCGTCTAGTGGAGCGCTTTGACGGTGTTCTAGATACCGTACCACGGGTGCGACGAACGGTTGAGTTTGCGACAGGCTTAGGACCAGAAAATTCGCTTTCCAAGGTTAGATTGTACATGGATTCTGATGGCTCATAAGCATCTTCTGGGTTGGAAACTGAAGGCTGATTCCTTATATGCTGGCTCTTTGACGGGGCAGGGGTACCGGGCTTTATCGTGTCGAACACCCAAGCGTCATCATCGGTATTCTTATTTGTAATTGTATCCCTACACTGGTGTTAGCAACTCGAATATAATAGCCAAGGGTGTGGTTCCATACATTGGTTCCGCGTAGTATTTTATATTAGCCGCAAGGCCTTTTGTAGCTTCCCATTCTTGTCGTCGTTGTATGAGTTCTTGGAGAGCCTCGGTCTTGCCAGCGCTACGGATAAACTTATGTTTGAGGAGTTCCTTCGCGGTAGGACGCTTATCAGGATCTTTCTCCAGGCACTGAGCAATAAAATCTTTGAGTTGCCAGCTGTAGGCTGCACCTTCTAGCCGTGGAGCTGACGCCTTTGGTATCAGAAACAACACCTTCATCGGATGCGTACTGGCGTGTGGTGGCTCGCCATTTATCATTTCCATTGTTGTAATACCAAGTGACCAGATATCGGCCTTGAAATCGTATCCAGCTTGCTGAATAACTTCTGGTGCCATCCAAAATGGGGTTCCGACGAAGGTGTTGCGTTGCGATTTGATGTTGGTAAGTTGGGCAGCAACGCCAAAGTCTGCCAGCTTTACCTTCCCGGTATGTGACAGAAGAACATTCGCCGCCTTTATGTCGCGATGGATTTTGCCCTCCTGATGGAGGTAATCTAATCCGAGAAGTAGTTCACGGCAAATGATCGCGATGTGTGCCTCGTTAAACACGCCTGGTTTGAGCTGCAACTGCGTTAGGACCACATAACTTCCGTAATGCATAAGAATAAACATATCCTCACCAGATCGAGACAAGAGCCTCCTCCCAAATATTCCATCACAATCCATAACTTGTATCCTCGGAGGAAACTGGTCTTGTACTGCGTGACATAAGGACTGGCGCAGGTCGACAGAACTGTAATCTCTTGTTGAATTTCTTGTATATCATCGTCGCTGGACTCGAGATCAATCTAGACCGTGTAAACACCAGTAAGTTATGGCCTTGTCAATTCAGTAATTCCAGTTCATAACATACGTGTTTGATGGCGACAATTTCGCCCGTAGCTCTGTCAATTGCTTTGTAAACAGTTCCAAAGCTCCCACCTAGTAGTAGTCAACGTCATTAGCAGGATTCGAGACGTGATCAGTGGTAACCTGTGCAAATATGCATACTTCCAAGCTCCTCCAGCATCTGGTACTTCGCTGCCATCCCACTTTCGTCCGCCATTGCTGTGAGATGCGAGCCCTCTCCGCCCCCTTTTTATTGTCTTTGTCTCAAAGAATAGAGGAAAGCACGGCGCGCAAACCCTCAGGATAGGGAACGCCGTTGTAGAGCGAGTGATGTCGACGTCTCTGTCCCTCGAGAGCTGCAGCTCGACGAGTCCTGGATTAAGATGATGAAATAAAATACTAATTTTTCTGCATATCTTCCTCAAGGTCGTCAACATGTTGTTGTCTATGGCAACAGCCGCAACTTTAAAAAGAAGTGCCAGAGTTTGGAAGAGTTTGCACGTGATGTTGACGTAAATTTCTTTTTTTATGTTTACCGAAGTAGAATGCTACCATGCAAGGGACAGAGCCGAGAGGCAAGGATGTTGCTAGTGATACGAGATGCTTTTGCAGGGAGATGACGGTGTCCATAGTTTGGTAGCCAGCCATGAGACTGCCGGTTATATATATTTATATGGGTTCATTATCCCGTTCTATTATGGCAATGTTAGTCGAAACATCACAGCCAGCGGGGAGGAAGAGGAGTGACTTACCGGGTCGTAGAGCTTCTTGAGCTGTTGCATCAATTTAACCATCGAGTCATTTTTACTATAGCCAATATACTCCTTCTTTGCTATCCCAAGACCGTGTTCCGCGCTTATACTGCCATTGCGCTTCGCTATCCATTCATACACCCAGGGTTCGATCGTCTTTTCGACTTCCTTGCTATACTGGCGCACAGCAACATTCAGATGAAGATTGGAATCACCCATGTGTCCATAACCAACAACCTCATGAACCGGGAAGCTGTCATCATTTCCAATGAGACCGGCGTTTGAGAGACGGTCTCGCGTGTCATCAACAAGCTGGTACAACTCTGATAGTGGTATCGACACGTCGTACTTGTACGTGCCACCAAGGTGACTGAGCGACTCTGTGACACCTTCTCTCCAGCGCCATAGAGCTTGTGCTTGGGACTCATCCTGGGCCAACACACCATCTGCGACAATACTCTCTCCCATGACATGCTCCAAGAATGCCTCGAGTTTTGCATTGTCATGTTCGCCATTCGAACCACTTGTCTCAACCAAGCAGTAAAACGGATATGACCCTTCAAGTGGGTGTTTTAAACCCGTAACCTGACGGACGATTTTTTGACTTTGTCCATCCATCAGCTCGAAGGCAGATAGGATTTCCGATAGCTGGCCCTTGGCTTCCAGGAAGGCCTTGCGAACATGTTCAAAGCTTTCTAGCCCAAAGAAAGCGACATTTGTTGCCTTTGGTCGTTGAGGGCATATTATCGAAACTCCGGTTATGATCCCTATTGTCCCTTCGCCGCCGATGAACAGATGTTTTAGATCGTATCCAGTGTTGTTCTTCCTTAACAGTGACATATCCTCCATTATAGTCCCATCAGGTAATACCGCCTCAATTCCAAGGACGTTTCCATGTAAACTTCCGTATCGAAGTAAACGGAGACCTCCGGCGTTCGTTGCAACGTTGCCGCCAATTTGACACGAACCCTTCGCACCTAGATCCAGGGGGAATATGTGCTTTCTCTCTGCCAGGTAGTTATCAGCAACCTCCAAAATTACTCCAGCATCTACAGCCAAGACTCCCGAATTCTCGTCAAAAGATCGAATGTTGTTCATGCGAGAGAGGTTCACAACAATCTCATCGAAAACAGGGACCGAGCCTCCAACAAGGCCTGTATTTCCGCCCTGAGGCACGACGGCGAGCTTCTGTGAGTTACAGTATTCAAGTACCTTGCTCACTTCTCTTGTCGTCTTTGGTTTCAATACTAGTTTTGTGTGGCCTCTGTACTTTTTCATCCAGTCGCGGTTGAAGGGTTCGATATCGTCCGTTGCATCGGCTGTTACTCCATCCACAACAGCCGAACCTTCTCCCAGAAGCTCCTTGAAATACTGAACATGTTCTCCGGTCAATTGGGCAAAATTCGGGTTTCGTTTCAGTTTTGGGTATGCATCAGTAGTATATTTTGTTGCTTTCGAGGTTGGCGCATTGGCTGTCTCAGGAAGACGCCGGCTTGTCGAAGAAGAGAAATGGGCGATAGCAGGACGAAGGGCAGGGTAATTCGCGAATGTGATTCGGGCTCCCGTCGTCCCAACGCGACGGAGAGCGTATGACAGCCTCCTTGAACTCAACATCACCGAAGGCTCCTGTAATATGCGAAGGCCGGAAATTCCTGGCTTGACCGTGGTGTATGAAGGTTGTTGAGATCAAAGAAGCAAAACTGCCGACCTCGGAATTAAATCCCGTGATCGGGCCTGGGCTGAAGGAGCTTGAGCCTCATCTCGGCTTTTCCTCTTTCGACGTCGGTTTCTAGTTATTTTTAGCTATCAACAGGCAGTCTCAAGATTGACAGGATTACTATTCTGATTGCTACTATCTATTAGATGCTATTGAGATATGTTATATTTTTAGCCGATGGAGAAGATCCGATTACCCCGATGTTAATATCCAGTGGTGCATCTGGGTGGTTTCTCGATGTCCACACAACAGGGCTCTCTCATGACTATCCCGTCTCCAGGCTCACATTAAGCAGGGGCACTAAAATTCTGAGTCTGTATAACTTTTTTACAGTCTACCTAACCGTAAGAGATGAGAGACTACTATTAATCTATCTCTTCATGATCCTGGAATGGCCATTTCTGCAAAATGTCTTCCCGATCCTGTTCCGTCTCAGCAATCTCTAGCATATGTGCTTTTATATGAGCCATTCGCTCCGTTGCTTCTTCATACATTTCTCTTGACACCCAGCCGTCCACATTTATCCCAATAGCATCCCTAAGATTTTGCATTTGAGTATTCGCGGTCTTTTGTTCCGCATCCAGGTTCAGACATTGTTTAACCTCTTCAGGTGAATATTTCAAAGGGTACTGTGTGTCTTTCATTTCAGCAGCTGCAATCCCCGGCCAGTAGGAAGACATCTGGATGAGGGTTGCCTTAAGCGTTGTGTTATCGCCTTCCCAGGGGCGATTGACGACATCATATAACCGGCTCCGCATCATACCGCTGTAGCTTCCCATCGTGCGAAAGTGGTTCAAATTATAGCGGCTGGTAAAGCCGAGGTAATAGTAATGAGTTTGTCTCCTTCGATACATTTCTTGTTCCAGTTCTTTTTCATCGTCAGGAAGCGAGTTAAAATCCTCCCTTAACGCAGGGAATTTAAAATTCTCTGAGTCTTCATCTCCATAATTCTCAAAGTACCTTGGCATCTTCGCTTGGACAAAAAGAGGAAGGATTGAAGTGCGTTCCCAGTCAATAATGCCACTGATTTCCCCAGCCTCGTCTATAAATATATTATTCGGTGAGAAATCAGGGTGACGAATAGTTGGCTCATTAAGGAATTCCTGGCTTGGAATTATATGCGGAGCAACTGAAAGGAAGTCTTCGAGGTTACGGATTTGTACCTCCGGACTTACTTTCTTGTTACCATACAGCCGCCTATATAGAGGCTCTCTAGGGTATCTTGGGGCCCCAAAGGTACGAAGCCACTCTATTTCTCGAAGTCCAATAGAATTTAGCAATTAGCAGACAGCTTCCCTATGCTGTGTTAGCCATATAGTATTTTCATCGACATACATGGAAAGATCATACAAGGGCCTTTGTTAGTTTTCAATTCTCCTCGCTTGTGATACCACCATAGGTACTCTGTGGAAGGCCCGACACAAAATGTGCTATTGCCAGGGAGAACAACCATGTCAGTGCCGTGCGGTAAGGAGTCCGTAAAATAAAGGCTACCAAACGATGGGAGCTTGAGATTAAAAAGGAGGCTTTCAATGGCAACAATCTTTTCCATGACCGATTTCCGTTCATCGAAGTTCATTGAATACCATGTCGCTTCCAGTTCCTTCCCCTGGCCTTCTCCATTATGACATACTCAGCCCCAAGCGGATTAGTGGCTGGGGAACTGCTCCAGTCCAGAACCTTGGGTATAGGAATGCCCTGCAGCCGAAGGTATTCAATCGTTGCAACCTCACTTGCAATTCCATAGGTAGGCGGAATGGTACATGGATAGGGTAACCGGGCAATAACTGCCAGTCCATCTTCGAATTTGGCTTCGAAGACGCGGTATGAGCCGCCTTCCCCAATCTTAGAGAACTCTGTAATGTCATTTTCTGGCCGAGCTACGGACTTAGCGATGATATTTAGCAGTACATGCAGATTAAAATGCAGATGACGCTCTGATAGGCGCTTTGCTTCATTGTACCTTGAAAACTGGTTAGCAATTCTGCTATTTGTTGGTCAATAGTTAAGTTACCTAAAGGAGATCACTCACATCCATCTTCCAGATGTATAGTTGTAGAAGCTATGTCTCGAGTCAAAGATGTCCTTGATCGTTGATCCAGCACAAGAAGACATCTGTCGGATGCGAGCTACAGAAGACTTAGGCCATTGTCCCGCAGCACAACTCGCTCTCAGTCTACAGAAAAGAAATGATTTTTTCATGTTCCCTGTGGTACAGTAGCCAAATCCTCAGGGTTTGGATATCTTCTATCGTCCACGTTTAGGAGTCGTTAGCTAGCTAGTTAGGTACCAATTTCTGGTTCAGGGTGGAAAATTGAATCCCCGACTTACATTTCGCCCCTAATGTCCCGTCCAGGTTGCTCCTTTTCTGTATCCAATTGACAACGGATAACGATAGTTCTTAGGGCCTAGCCACGTAATCCAGAGCTATCGCTGTCCTTAGGCTTGAAGTTTCTGTATTGTTAGCTGCTAAAGCCCACAACCATCTACAATATTGCAACATAGAAAATTCACCCTTAATAAAATTGCTGTTTTAGGCCTCCATTTCAGGTCTATAGTGTAGCTAAAACTGTGCCGTTTATTCCTTCAAGCTAGCAATATACTCAAGCCCCCTCTTCTTTGCAATCTCTTTGACGTATTTTTCGCCCTTTTCACCAAATATATCTACTCCCCAGAAGAGAGGTTGGCTGGCTCGGGCATTACGGTCAAGCGCATTTATTTCTTCCATTGCGGATTGTGATAATTCAAAGTCTATATGTCAGTGTGTTAGAGGTCATCCTGAATTGCATCACATCAATAGAAAGGGGCGCAAAGACAACCAACTGACCCTTGAAGTTGTCAATAATTCGTTCAGGAGTAACACTTTTGGGAAGGACCACAGTGCCACGTTGGACATGCCATGCGATGAGGACCCGAGCAGAGCTTACTCCATGTGCCTCCGCAATTTTTTGAATCTTTTCATCGTCCATTGCTCTGCGAACTATTTAGTCTTTACCGATGAAAGCCCTGGGACGAGTTGTGTGATATCATACCTAGGCATATTGTGAAGATTGTTTCCTAGGGGACTGTATGCTTCCAACAGAATGTTCTTTTCGGACAAGTATTTCTTTAGATCTTCCTGTTGAAAGTATGGGTGCGCCTCTACCTGGTTCACTGCCGGAGGAATTTCGGCGCTTTCATCCGCGTTAGACTGATATAAGAGAATACAGCACAGGAAGATTGTGCTATTTGGTAGACTCACTATGAAAGTAGGTCCTCGATTCTCTCTTTGCTAAAGTTGCTTACTCCAATGCTCCTTACTTTGCCCTTCTTAACTAGGGATTCCATTGCCCTCCACGTATCTTTAATGGTAACTTTATTGTCCAGGAGAAGTTGACCCGTTTCGGTATCCTTTGGAAATGCTGCTTCCCCCGGAACAAAGGCCACAGGCCAGTGCATTAAGTAAAGATCCAAATAATCAACTCCAAGGTCCCGCAGAGTCCTATCGCAGGCAGCCTCAACATATTCGGGCCGGTGGTGGGTATTCCATAGTTTAGAAGTCAAGAAAACCTCCTCTCGAGGAACTCCGGAGTTCTTCAAGCCCAGGCCAACTTCTGTCTCATTTTTATAGGCAAATGCGCCATCGATATGTCTGTATCCTGCCTTGAGCGCTACCTCGACCGCTTTCTCAACTTCGTGCGGTTTAGATTGCTGTCAATTATGGTTGTGTTAACTAGCACATTCCAACCAAAATCATCGCAAACTCTTCGGTTGTTCCGGATGCATATACTAACCCATGTTCCCAAGCCCACTGCCGGTATCTTATGCCCGGAATTGAGAGTGAAGGTGACTTTGCTTGCCATTTCCTTTTGTGTCTTCCAGAGAATCCCTTGCTCGGAGAATTTGTGTATTCAACCAGTGGATCTGGGATTGAGCAGCAGGTGTGCCTGCTTTTATAGACGACATTGCTATTCCGAAACCCCTCACTTGCCTTAGGAGATACTGCCATAAAATTAGTTAGTTACCCCACACTTGCATGCATTTGCATACCCTGAGCACGTAGAAGCATGCCATCGTTTACCGAAGCCAATTAGGTTGATTTTATCCCTGGAGTTGGTGCAACTTTTGTCATTATTGAGTAATCAGTCCGTGCATGTACTTGTTCGTTTATTAATTCTTGCATCTTCCACCAGCATCTCCACTTGACCGGCTCATTGGATAGTTACCTTCGCCCACTCCTTTCCTTGTCACTGTGTGCGTTTGATAATCGGCCCGTAAAGACAGATTCTATGGGCAAACATGGTGTTGGGCCTCTGGAGACCCCAGAAGTGGGCCTTCTCTGGCCGCCTGGCTCGATATCATATGCAGCATTACCATCGTTGGCATATACAGCGCCCGTATATAGTTGCCACCGGGGTTTGAATCCGGCTAAAACGAACGCCATCACCTGAAGCCGAAAATACCACCCGCCATTCAAAAAGAAAAGAATGCCGGCGAGAGGTTAATTAGCTTGTTAGTGTCAACATGTGCTACTTGCTATAATTAGTTCTCTATTATTTATGTTGAGGGGAAGCTAAGCACTCACAACATCGAATATCCACTTCAGCAGGTTGATCTATTTTTTACTGTTAATTCTGATAATTTGTCTGCATTCAGAGCTGAGGCGCTAACTCCGTCAATGGTCCACTTAAAGGGCATTTTCAAATACTGGCAGCAGAGTTTCTCTTGCCAGGACAGAATTAATCCACACGAATGTGAATTTGAGTCGTGGAAACCACAGTATTCTTGTCAGAGGCCAAAATTATGGCGATGGAATCGGTCTCTAGTCAAATAGGCAGAGAGTTGTTGTGTAGGAAGAGTGGTGTAAATAAATAGGCCGCCCAAGCCGCGCGCTTAGCTTGGCGCGCGGATTGCTTGGACGGAGCTCCAAGGCACCCGCAACTCACGTCAACCCGTAACTCATCTATCTGTCTGCTGTGAAAGCTCGCTCAGCAACGCACCAACCTACCACGCTGCCATAAAAGCCACGATAGCCTTCTTGCCTGTTTGTATCCTTTTATTACCGACTTTTATCCCGAGTGGTAGCCAATTTAAAAGTTCAGCATGGCTTCAGGATACGACAGAGCTCTTTCAGGTAGGTAGAGCACCCACCAGGTTCAATCACCGGCTCGCTAACAATTATCTTACAGTCTTTAGGTATTGCTTCACCTGTTGTTCTAGCGGATTTCTTCGTCTCTAACCTGTCACGGTAGTCCCGATGGACATGTCTTTCAAGTAGAGTATGCCTTGGAGGCTGTCAAGCGAGGTAAACAATACCCTCTCTACCTATAGACTTGCGGGTCAGGTTCCGCTAAACTGACACCGAGTAGGCACTTGCGCTGTTGGAGTGAAAGGTGAGGGCATTGTGGTGCTCGGCTGCGAGAAGCGTTCGGCGATGAAGCTACAAGATACACGAATTACACCCTCGAAAATCGGTCTCATTGACAATCACGTTTGTCTCGCTTTTGCTGGTCTTAACGCCGATGCTAGAATATTGGTCGACAAAGCTAGAGTAGAGGCTCAGTCACACCGACTTACGGTTGAAGACCCGGTGACGATTGAGTATATTACGAAATATGTTGCCGGTGTCCAACAACGATACACACAGAGTGGTGGTGTCCGTCCTTTTGGAATCAGTACCCTGATTGTTGGCTTCGATAACGGTGACAAGACACCCCGACTCTACCAGACAGAACCCTCCGGCATATACTCTGCATGGTGCGTTGAACTCGGGGCTAGAAAAAATATAGTATGATGGACAATGAGCTAACGCTCCAGTTTAGGAAAGCCAACGCCATCGGCCGATCTAGCAAGACCGTCAGGGAATTCCTTGAGCGAAATCACAAGGACGGTATGGACCGGGAGGCTACTATCCAGCTTACTATTAAATCTCTTCTCGAGGTTGTGCAGACGGGTGCGAAGAATATCGAGATTGCCATCATGGCCCCCGGAAAGCCAATGGAGCTTCTCCCTAACGACGAGATTGAGGCCCATGTTAAGAGCATAGAAGCTGAGAAGCAGGAAGAGGCGGCCAAGAAGAAGACTGGCAGGACTCCTGGCACGGGAACTGCCACTCTATTGCCCAGACAGTCTGGCGAAGGCTCCTCTAGCTGAAGCGCGGCAGATGGCTATGGCGTTGAGGAGTAAACGAACATCAAGACGAATACAATTTTATCAAAAGAAAAAGATTTATCTTCTTCTATTACGGCCTGATCTTATATGGTATAAATAATTGTATCTATCCCTTTTGAAGAGCAACCCGTTCTTCGTGTACTTCGTAAAACATCACACAGGCGCTCTATCCAAGTCTATTTGGTGCATCCTTCACATCGAATATCGACCGTTCTGCCTCCGCCCTTACTCTCTCGTCCTTCAGCATCCTCGAGTCCTTTCGCGGATCCTCTCCTTCTACCTTCACAGCTGGCTTTGGCGTAAGGGCGTCTATAACGAAATGGTTATCGCAATGTGGGCAGTACTCGTCGCTACATCCAGCAAAATGTCAGATGGTCAAAACTCCAACAGGTTAAAGAGTGACAGTAACGCACCTCTCTTCAAATTCATTGGCATCCTTTCTAAAACACTTTTTACACTTCTTGCAAGCAAGAGTCTAGTATAGTCATTAGGTACGCCTGATCCTCCCTCACGTTTGGTATCTTCGGCTCACCATCTCTGTCGAGGGAAGTAGCTGGTGGGTTTCCTGCTCCCTGTGACAGTCCGCGCAGTCGAACCATTTACGGCCTAACAATATAAGCATGGCACTTCCCCAGGTATCGGTCTATTCGGCGAGCTTACAGCATGGCGATCGAACCGCGACTTGAGCGTTGAGGACGTGTTTGCTGTATGAAGCGTGCGAGTTAGCGGAGACCGTTTCGTACACAAGTGAGCAGCAATATCGAGTATGAGACATACCACATCTTGACAACACAGGATGGTACCAGAGAAACAGGCTGTCGTGCACCGGATATCCGTAAAAATGGCAGACAAGTGGTTATCCCACCGACTTGACCGGTTTGAGAGGGTGGGCTGTCAAAAGTTCATCCAGCGACTCCTGGCGATTCTGATATTTCCTACCATCCGATGCCCGCCAAGAGGGCCGCAGATGAAGAATCGGACTGAAATAGCTGACAGACGACAGCCGGAATACTATGAAATATTATTCCAGCCTACTTCTATTCCCTATATCACGCTCTCAGGCTCGATAACCAGATGCCCGACCAAAAAGGGGCCCACAGATTTTATCTACAGTCATAACTAGCTACCCTGTAAACATGTAGATGACCAGTCAACGATGGTAACGGCACATCAACTCTTCCTATGCCGGCGACTCCATCTTGATCTCCGCTGACATCGACTATTGGGATATTCATATAAAGGCCGCCGGAGCCAGCTACTTCCGTCTGGCGCCATCAGGAAAAAAAAGTGCCCAGAAACACAGAAACAGCCCCTATTTAAATAACTAGGCCTGGGCCGCCAGGAACAAAAATCTTCTTCATCGGCCTAGACCAACGAGATCAGGATAATTTTGAACATAGCCCTGGGCTCAAGATGACAGCCTCACCTGTGGAGAAGAAGTATGACTTTGGCGGACCGTAAGTTTCTCTCCCGGCTGGATACATCTAAGTATGTCCTCCCTCAGGTTCGCTGACCATGATACCTGCAGACTGGGTGCAGCAGCCATAACATTTGGCCTTCCAGTGCTGCTGCTCTTCTTTGCATTCGGGTGCAACGATGTGACTGGCTGTCCGGTGCCGTCACTGCTGTACCCGAAGACATTTACCTGGGAGCAGTTCAAGCTGGAGAGCGGATGGCCGGCCGGGGGCGTCTGGGACCTTTTCAGCTGGATTGTTACCGCTGTCACGTTGGGCTACTATCTGATCAGCTTGGTCCTGTGGAAATTTCTACCTGCGCAGGAGATCAAGGGAACAAAGCTCGTTCACCATGGGAAAGCATTGGATTACCGCTTCAACGGTGAGTAATTGTTTTCTTGATTGTGCGCGGAGACCAGGGCTGACTGAGTATAGCATTCTCATCAAGTATTGTACATTTGGCTGTCTGCGCTATTGGAACATACTTCCAGGGCGCCAATTTCTTCGTCTGGACGTATATCACAGACAATTACGTGCAGCTGCTCACGGCCAACATTGTGATAGCCTATGCAATCTCTGTCTATGTCTATCTTAAGAGCTTCAGCGTGGATACCAATTATCCTAACAAGGAGCTGCGTGAGCTGGCTATCCGTGGAAATACAGACAATACCATCTATGACTTTTATATCGGCCGCGAGTTGAATCCCCGAGTCACTCTTCCGCTTTTCGGTGAAGTGGATCTCAAGACCTGGCTAGAGCTGCGTCCAGGCCTTACCGGCTGGGTCTTGCTGGACCTTGCATTTGTCGCAAAGCAATACCGCACTTATGGCCGGTTGTCGGATAGCATTGTCTTTACCGCGTTCGTGCAGACGTACTATGCTCTTGACGGCCAACACAAGGAGTCGGCCATTTTGACTATGATGGACACTACCACGGACGGACTTGGATTTATGCTTACGTTTGGCGATATTGTCTGGGTTCCGTTCCTGTACTCAACTCAGTGCCGCTATCTCTCCGTATATCCGGTACACCTTGGTTGGGCGGGCGTCGCAATTGTTAGTTCCGTGTTTGCTCTGGGCTTGTACATCTTCCGGGCATCAAACACTCAGAAGAACGTCTTCCGCACACGCCCAGATGATCCGAGTGTGGCTGGACTATCTTATATCCAAACAAAGCGTGGAACCAAGCTGTTGACATCTGGATGGTGGGGCATATCCCGCCATATCAACTATTTTGGCGACTGGTTGCAGGCTTCTCCCTTCAGCTGGCCTACGGGCTTAGCTGGTTACATGATCTTGCCAGCCGGGAGTGCTGCTGCTGCTGCTCAGACATTCACCATGTTAGATGGCAGGGAGGTAGTTCAGGGGGAAGCGAAGGGCTGGGGTATTATTTTTACGTACTTTTACGTGCTTTACTTTGCCATCTTGCTGATGCATCGCGAACGACGAGACGACGGGGCATGTTTTAAGAAGTATGGCGAGGACTGGAACAGGTACAAGGCTATTGTCAAATGGAGGATTCTACCATGGGTTTATTAGATGGATGTCGGCGGGATCAGGGTTAGACTTGGAGTAATACAGCAAGTTAGAGGCTGGGTTATATAGATGATGCATGCAACATAATCTTCTATGAAGCACACTTTCAATGTGTATACTCCCTGTATTCACAGACCATATATACGTAGCTAACAATAGGTCTATGAATTACATTCTAACATTGTAACCTCGCCCATACTCTACGGATGCCTTTCCAAAGCACCTCTAGTATCCTAGGCCTCGGTACCTAGATATCATCATGCTCGCAGCCCTGTCCCCTTGACCCTGTAGCCGTTGGTGACACCCTGATATTCATGCATACAATGACCGGCACCACGGGTAAGAACAAACTCAAGCTTTGGCCCCTTACAAGCCACTCTATCCAACACTATTCAAATCCTCCTTAATGCATAAATATAGTAAATATGTTGGATATCAATACACCAAGAAGCTGCTGTACCCCCCTAGATCATCTCCCAAGCTGTGCGTGGCAGTAGACCTTCTGCTAGGACACGGTGCGTGGCATCTGCGAGGCCGGCAGGGGTCTGTGTGGGGGCGGCCGTGGCGCGTGGCAGTAGTGCCTGGCCCGCTGGTGACGTCGTCCTCCTCGTCTCCGCTGCTTTTAAACCTCCAAAAATAATTCCAATTATTTACCAAACATCGATCGACCTCTCGACCTTTTGACCTCGCGCTGCTGCTCTGCTGCTAACCACCGCCTCCTCCGCTGCCTGCGCTGCTGAGATGAGAACGCCCGTCTACGACTCTCGCTGCCTGGTTCGATCGTTCGGAAAAAGCAAAGACGGAGGCACCTCGCCATAGGGTGGTGTGTCCAACTCCCTCCCTCTCGCCAGCTGGAGGACCCCCGGATGAGCCACCACCACCACCACCACCACCACCACACCTCCCTCCTGGCCAACCTACCGACACACACGTCTCGAAGGCTTTACTCTCCTGATCCTGGGATGTTTAGCTCCGACTGTGCCGCCCGCTCCTCTACTTAATCGCCTGTCTCGCCCTTGCTGGCCGGTGTATGGATAACTACTGCTTTGGCCGAGTCGCTGAGACAGTCTTGGACGGCTGCCTTGGAACGGTGGTGATTCTATTCGACCTACGCAGCTTGCGGCTACCACCAGCTGTTTAACTATGAATGCAAATGATGAAGATGGAACGGACCAGCAGTCTATCGTCAGTCGCAAAAATCCCTGTTCTACTCTATTATATGTGTTGAGAAGCTGTGGATACTAACTAGCATGACTTCCACATGTTCAGAAGCCGGTCTCGTCGCTGCTATCACACTTCGAGAACCTCTCTCATACCAAACGTGAAGCTCAGGATGGGCCGGGATCGCTGCTGAAATCACCGCCAGTGGCAGATAATGTCGCGACAGGCCGAGTTTCCTTGGATCTGCCTCGATCAAACACATCATGGGGTGGTTCCCAGCGGCCGAGTCAGGGCTTCTTGCGGCCCCAACAGACTGGAGACTCCCCTACCCGACGACCCCAGTCACGCCCGCTATCTATGAACTTACAGTCCTCGCCTCCTGGACGGCCTATATACACTGCGGAATCGTCTCGAGCTCCGCCGCAACCAAACTTCTCGTACAGCCAGAGCCTCCCGCATACCCAGAGCCGCCCACCCCACGCTTTTTATGCGCCTAATGGTCATGCGACATCAAATGAGCCTTCCAGCAGCCCTCCGTCATCCTCGCGCACCTCTACACGCCCAACGACACCGCTCGACAGCCCGTCACACTCCGTGTCCATAGACATCAGGCGTACTACTCCAGTGAGCCAGCGGACTGGGCACAACGGGAAGAGCACTTCGGTACCACCGCCCGTAAATAGAGCGGAGAAGCCCAAGATTCCTCTTCGGAAGCCAGGTCTCTCACCCGGATATGATGCCCCAGCCTCGAATACCCTTGCTCCGCAGCCATCATCCCAGCGTACGTCGATAGATGATAGAATATCACCGTTTAGTACCCCTCCTAGCAGCCCGGAGAAAGGACCTGGAACGCCAAAGCTCAACGGAGTCCTCGAGCCATTGAGCCTGGGTGACGCCCATGTCACAAGTCGAATACAGCAATCGCAACCAGCTCCGCGGCCTTCACCGGGACCAATTTCCAGAGAAGGGCCTCCAGTATCAAGGCTGACGAAGGGTAACCTGATCAGTGGCACAGTTCCAAACGCAATATCACCTCGTCTACCCCCAGGCGTCGGCGCAAAAGCTGCAGCTGCTATCCCTATCCCACAACCCTTTAACCGGCCAAATGACGACGACGATCAACCCGTCCGGCAGAATGCGCAGGGACGACGCCCTTCTCCTGCGCCACCGCGTAGGTTGGACACATCAAGGGCTGCTTTGGGGATGCACAGGGAAGATCTACCCAGTCCTCAACGAGTAGTATCTGCCGTCGAACCTCAAGCTCCAAACCCATACAAACTGCCCCCAAGGTCATTGAGCATTAAACATTCTAAACCGACACCTCCCCCTCCTCCGCCTCCTCGAAGAGAAACAAGTAATCTCTCTGTCAAGTCAAATCAAAACACAAACCGCCCTCCGCCGCCTCCCTCGAACCCTCCAACTCGCTATCGACCGCCAGCAACTGCAACTACCAATGATAAGGATGCAATCAAGTCTCTAGAACAGCTCACACGCCGTCCGGAGCCCGTTGTTGTCACTGATACAGACATCCATCCGGATGCCACCCTTACAAACCGTCGTCCTCCTTTTTTCAGGTCTGGAGCGGCAGATGTGTACACTAAGTATGATACTCGAGTATTTGATGTATGCGGACAATACGCATGCACAACAGGTTTCTATACTAGGGTTTGGGATCTTGTTACCGGGGAGATGGTCATGAGTTTAAACCACGGTGAGACAGTGAAAGGCTCTGCAATTGCATTCAAGCCAGGCAGAACTGTTGATGAAGAAGGAGCCATAATATGGATTGGTACCACCGCTGGGGAACTACTGGAGGTTGACGTCAGGACTCAGGCGATTCTTAACACGAGGCCAGCTCACTCCCGTCGGGAAATTATCCGGATATACAGATACCAAAAGGAACTCTGGTCTCTGGATGATGAAGGAAAACTTCTAGTATGGGTCCCAGATGAGTCAGGTGCCCCGAACCTTCAATACAGTTACAACCACCCGTATGACCGCATGGCAAAGGGGCACACATTTTCAATGGTTGTCGGAGACACCATCTGGTATGCCACTGGCAAGGAGGTGCGGCTCTACAAACCCCATGCACAAGATACCGCCTTTCAAGTGCTCACATCGCCTCTGGGTAAACACCATTCAAGCGAAGTGATCTGCGGAACAATGACCACGAGCAACGGTGGTATGGTATACCTTGGGCATGCAGATGGCAAAGTGACAATATACAGTTCAAAAGACTATGCTTATCTTGGTACTGTCACCGTCAGTATGTACAAGATTAGTTCCCTAGCTATGGTCGGCGACTATCTATGGGCGAGCTACAAGACCGGCATGATCTACGTATACGATACCTCAACGAACCCATGGACAGTGAAAAAGGATTGGAGCGCTCATAACCATGGGGTTTGCGGGATAACACTTGACCTGAGCTCAGTGTGGACTGTTAACAAGCTCCAAGTCATATCACTTGGTGTTGACAACTATCTTCGTATTTGGGATGCCATGCTCGAGGAAGACTGGCTTGGTATGTTAATTCCCCCCCTTTTAACTCATACTCATATACATATACTAATTGCTGCCTACTGCAGAGGCCAGGATGCAAAGTAGAGACGTTGAATATTGCCAATTCAATGAAATTTCGGCCGCAATTGTCACCTGGAATGCTGGTGCAACTGTTCCTGGCAAGTTACCAAATAGCAATTTCATTCGAGACGCTATTCACCCCGAAAGTGCTCCGGACATATTGGTGTTCGGCTTCCAAGAGCTTGTCGACCTTGAAGATAAGAAGATCACTGCAAGTTAGTAAACCCTACAATTCTGTTTACAACTAAAGCACCCATTAACGACATTTTTAGAGAGTTTCCTGAAAGGCAAAAAGAAAGATGCCGACAAAGAGAGGATGAGTAGGCAATACCGTGTCTGGAAGGATTATCTTGCATTGTGCATCCGTGAGCACATGCCGATTAATGAGTCCTATGTCTTGCTCCACACTGCAAGCTTGATTGGACTGTTTACCTGTGTATTCGTAAGGCAAGAAACGCGCGAAAGGATCACGAACGTAAGCGCAGCGGAGGTTAAACGTGGAATGGGCGGTCTTCATGGAAATAAGGTACGTACTCTGCTCATCATGTCTTCTGATGGGCAATACTAATCAGTTATCGGTAGGGCGCCCTCATTCTCAGGTTTCTCCTGGATGATAGTTCTCTGTGCTTCGTCAACTGCCACTTAGCGGCTGGCCAAAGTCAGACAGCGCACAGAAATAATGACATTGCTGCCATTATGGAAAGCGAAGCACTTCCCAGAGAACCCAGTATGTCGGCTCGAATTGATCGCTATACTGGTGGTGGAGACGGATCGATGATTCTCGACCATGAAATATGCATATTAAACGGAGATCTCAATTACCGCATCGACTCAATTCCTCGAAACACAGTGATCGAAGCCGTTAAAGCTAATAACCTTCCAAAGTTGCTCGATCGAGATCAACTTTTGGCCTCAAAGCGCAAAAATCCTGGGTTCCGGCTTCGCACATTCAATGAAGCGCCCATAACCTTCGCACCAACATATAAATACGATGTTGGCACTGATGATTACGATTCAAGTGAGAAAAAGCGAGCACCGGCATGGTGTGATCGGCTTCTATATCGTGGCTTCGGTCGCATCAAGCAATTGGAGTATAGACGGCATGAAGTTCGTGTATCCGATCACAGACCAGTCAGCGGCACTTTCAAAATAAGAGTCAAGTCCATAATTCCAAAGAAGCGAACGGCAACATGGGAAAGTTGCCAGGAAGAATTTCTCACTGAGAAGCAACGCCTGGCTACCGAAGCTAGGTATGTACTCCCCCTGCCTTTGTTTACCGCGACGGCTTTTTGACATCATTTACTAACCCCTTGCTAAATAGTGTGTCGTATCTTGTCCGCTTTCTAGGACTGAGCCCACGAGAAGCTTATGCCCTAATAACATCACCACCCGGGGTATAATTATAACCCTTCTTTGCCGCATGTCTGATTTTACTTCCTTTTTCCTCGTGGCACTGAGGAGTAGCCTTCTTTCCTTTACGTCCGCGCTCTTACGAATTTATGATACCACATAGAACAAGTCATGACGAGTGATGCCTGTATTCTTATCATCCCCATAGTCGCATTTAATTGAGCATCATTTTTCCGTTTCCTTGAGCTTTGTTATTCTTCTAATCTTGTAAATAGCCGCAGTTGAGCTTTACCATTGTGCTAGATTCAGGAGGATGTGATTCAATCAAACAATGCATCTTTGATGTAATGCTTCCAGGTTCATGGATGGGCTTCAGCATGTACACCGCTATGCCCAGGTGTACAAGGCAGCAGGCCATTGATATCCGCTTTTCCCAACAAACAAGAGTCTCCCGCATTTGTTTCCTTTCGCTTCTCCACATCCGGATACAACTTACAATTCAAGTAGTAACTAATGTCACTCTCACCGTCAAACTCCTCCGTAGTAAACCCGCTACCCAAATATCCCCATCGATTCCCACTCCAATATTCAATATCATAGTCCTCAAACTTAGGCTCGCGCATAACGTCGAAGAAAGCAAGCCGACTACCCGGCCACATCACGATGTTGCCATCTTTTCTCCCCTGTTTGAACCAACTGCTGCACGGATCCGCCCAGGCAGTACGTCTCAAGTAGACTTTAGCATGTTCATGAAACGCAGCAGCCGCGCTCTCCTTGGGGCTTAGGCGACGAATGTGCTCTTTGCGCATCTTCCTGATGACAGCTAGGAAATAATTGGAGTATAACGTGAGCAGGGGTAGTACAGAGCCCTGCGCCAGGGGCCCGTAGGGGCCGGTATATGTGAAGTAATTGGGAACATTGGGAACGCCGACAGCTACATAAGCGTCTGGCTCTCGTGCCCAACGCGTGGCTAAATCCTTCTTATCAAGGCCAATGATGGGGAATCGAGGACGGAATGAAGTGTCGAATCCTGTGGCACAGATAATGACATCCACTTCTACCTCTTTGCCGTCGGGGTCTAGAAATCCCTTTTCGGTAACTTGCTTGATGGCTTCGGTATAGCAGGTTGTCTTCTCACCCACAAGAGCTTCGAGATATCCATTTCCTGGAGTGGCGCGTCGGCAACCGACGTTGAAGTTAGTGGGTATTATTGTATCTTTAAGTCGTGGATTATCTCCGAGCTTCGACGTCATCTCCTTATAGGAGAACTATCAATACCAGATATCTGTTAGTATTGTGACCACATTGGTAGTTAATTACCGGAAGTGAACCCACCTCATTTGCATCATCAGACTCTTTGCTATTTCTTAGAACGAATCTAAATCTACTGTTTAGTTCATCTTCGATCATTTTTCTGTATGTTCTGTATTTTTCAGGGTCATCCCTCCATATTTTCTTTTGTTCTTCATCATCTGGTATCAAATTAGCAGTAGTTCACTAACAGATAAAAAAAGTACGCTGACTCACAAGAAAAGTTTGATCCCCCTTCTCCAGCATATTTAGGTCCGAATCCAGCAGTGATCCAAGTAGGGGTTCTCACCCAAGTATAAAGCCTGTCCACGTCATTGTATACAGCTGCCACTGTCTGTACCCCTGAGCTTCCAGAGCCAATAACAGCAACCCGTTTGGCCCTTAGGTCATATCCTTCATCATACCGCGCGGTGTGAAACAGTTTGCCTTTGAAGGACTTAAGGCCGGGTATGTCTGGCCATTTCCAAGCACTTTGTCTAGGTATAAGCATCCAAAGTAGAATACTTACTCTAGGAGATAGGTGGTAAAAAAAGTGCTATGCTCACTTTAAGATTCCCGTCCCTGTCAAGAATAAGTCACACTCCTCGACCCAGGTATTGACAACAACGTCAGTTGTGTCCCTTTCCTGGACAGTAATTAGCCATTTCGACCTGTCTTCATCCCATTCAGCTCGAATGACAGCAGTTCGTAATCGTATATACTTCATCATCCCCTCTTCCTCAACTATCCCTTTAAAGTATTCCCAGATCTCCTTTGATGGGGAGTAATACTTTGTCCAGTCGGGATTTGGTCTCCAGGGGAACTGGTAGCTAGCACTTGGCACATCACAGGCACAACCTGGGTATCTATTCTCCAGCCACGTACCGCCAACGTCATGGTTCTTTTCATAGCATATGAATTCTACCCCAGAGTCACCTTCCGCCCCAAATTCCTTCACGGCATGGTGTAGGAAATCGATTCCCGCTGGACCACAGCCGGCCATGATGATCTTGAACGACTCCTTTCCCGGAAATGGCTCATTGATCATATGTTCGGAGACACGATAGCCGCTTGGCGAGACATAGTCCCATTCTTCAGAGACCATCGGACGAGTTATAGATGCCGGGTGGGGGATATCCGGGTTGTTACTCCCCAGGCCTCGAACCTGTCGCTGAGCCTCCATGGCGCTGGACTTTCACTCCGTCACCAGTAACCACCAAGTGTAGAGTCTCTTCCGGAGTATCTAGCCCGGGAGAAGACAGCAAGAAGAGTTACCATGCCCAGACGGTACCCCAGACATGGCGAGAAAAGCCACGCTGGCCGGGTATTTCTGCAGACTCCTTGCAATGGCGGATGTAAAGGCGTCAGGGAGTTAATGACATTTGCGTGGTGGGAAAGCCGCCCAGGGTCCTCAACAGGCGACCTTAGTCTGCGTCTTATATCAACACCGGCAAGGTGGCCGAGCGGTCTAAGGCGCCAGATTAAGGCTAACCTTAATCAGTAATAATCAGCGGTGATCACCACCCTAGATATTCTGGTCCTCCTTGAGGGCGTGGGTTCGAATCCCACCCTTGTCACTTTTCTTTTTTTTTTTCTTTTTTTTTTTTTCTTTTGGTCGACCTCCCAAGCAACGTCCATCACAGTGATTTTTTTTTTTTTGATACCTCCGCTAGGCCTTGTCTCATGGAGAAGAGGAAAAGGAAGAGATGTTGACCGGCACGGACCATACAGGCTCAGAAGAGCTGGCAATAAAATCTACGAGGATACGGCGTTTTCTCACCCTTCTCGCGCTTAAGACGACGGCCAAGTTCTTCAAGCGCGATGGCTACTGTATCCCTATATCAAGACACAAGATCGTCAAAACAGGCGCATGGGTTCATTTAACGGAGGCAGCAACCATGCAGTTCGTTGCTGAGAACACTTCTATTCCAGTCCCCAAGGTCCACTGCGCGTTTGTCCACAAGGGTCGCGCATATATCGTGATGGAAAGGGTCCGAGGATCCAGCCTGGCATCAACTTACAATAAATGCTCCGAGGAGTCCCGTGAAAAGATATTTGCCCAGTTGAAGGATATGCTACAGGAATTACGGACACTAAAGCCTCCTTCTGGCACAGGAGTCCATAGCTTTGCCGGTGGATCATTATATGATTCTCGAATAGCGCGCTGCCAACCACGGTTTGGACCCTTCAAAACCATCCATGACTTCCATTATTGGCTCAGGGACGGCTTCGAGCCACCTGAAGATCGGCCAAAGCAGATAGAGCCTGATGAATGGGAAGATCTCAAGGACATGGTTGAGATGCAAGATGGCCCATGGCCAGAGCCCGTTTTCACTCATGGGGACTTAAATCCATCAAACATCCTTGTTCAAGGGGGGAAAGTCATTAGCATCATCGACTGGGAGTTCGCCGGCTGGTACCCATCTTACTGGGAGTATACGGCTGCATATCAAGTTATGTATACTAAGACACAGTGGCAGGGCTTAATAGGTAACTTCCTGGACCCCTATACCGAACAGCTAAAGATGGAGAGAACCCGCCAAAGGTGGTGGGGAGAGATATAATACATATAGATACCCGTCATAAATACACATTGATTCTCATTCCTCTTGCTCTGTTCTACTACAAAATATTTATCTAATGGAGGTTAAGGATTCATCAAGTCGGAATTTGCTTACCATACTTGATACTGGCCACTGATCACCACACCATTGCCAATAAACATGCCTAATAAGTGGAAGAAATCTCTACTTTTCGGGCCCTATGGTAGCTTCTCCTTGTTTTCCAGCATATCCCATGTAGGTTTGGGATGCTCAAGCTTGTCGAGACTGTCATATCGGCCTCCAGCGGTCTTGTCTGCAACATAACTCCTCGCTTTGGCTTCGATCCTCTCCCAGTCAAGTACTGAGGTCCCAACTGCCTTGCCATCAGTCTCTATTGCAACCAGAGCATTTTTAACCCAAGTACGGCACCTCCAGCTTTCGTCGTTCTGGACAATAGGGACTTCCCGGAAGATCTTGACCAGTCTATCTTCGTCCTCTATCTTCCCAATAAGGAGGCGTGCAAGCAAACTGACGGTGTTTTTTACATTGCGTAGTTCAACTTCTTCGTATTCCCATATCTTGAGTGGATTGTTCTTGACGTGATAACGCTTTCCGGGCACCTCGTCGGCCTCCTCGGCTTTGGGTCCGACCAGGAAGGCCCAGTGGTATCTGTAACATAGTTATATAAGTTAATGCTCAAAATGATAGATAGTTGCACTCACTTGCGTTCTGCATTATTGGTAACTCCGCTGGGGTACAGCGCGACGTAGAGTCGTTTCTTTTGAGAAACCATCTTGGTTATTGCTCTGAGCGGTTTGAAATACCTGAGACTTGTATGGATAGTGATTCTGATCCTTAACGTAACTTGTGTTTTTGCCTTAGGATGCTGATAATAACAGTTAGGGTTGCCTGGTTGCTGTTGCCGTTATCAAATTGCAGATGTTGCGATAAATTCCGTCAACTCCGAAGCCTTTTGAATACAATATTCATCTCCAGGAACTATGCATTGAAATATAAATTCAAAGCCATACAAATGGGGCCTATTTGTCTGGAGTTTAGCGGGGAAGGATGGATGTTCTGTGATGTAATGTGATTGGAGTCAGGTACAAGCTATTTTATAGGCAGCTAGTATATTCTAAGAGCTTATATTTAGTAGGAGTCATAATTATCACTTTCGAGTCTCTTGTGCTGTTTGCTACAGGCTCTTTGTCTTGTATCTGTCGGTCCAAACTCCCAACGCAGCCTTCTAACCAAAGAACTACCTGTTATCTACGCTCCGGGCTACAGAGTGGGCTGGGGTTGTGTCTCTCCCTCCAGTCATGCCTTTTCTCCTTGGATCGTAGCCACAACATTCCGGGTATGCTTACTGGTGCGGAATTCCAGGTACCATATTCCCTGCCACATTCCTGTAGCCAGCCGCCCGTTCGTAATTGGAATTGTGACAGATGCACCGATCAGAGAGGATTTGACGTGGGCCTGGAATAGAAGAGTGCAACCGGTTAGCTCTCATCGTTGCAAATCACTGCATTGTAATAGAAACTCTCCTACCGGCATGTCGTCTGGCCCCTCTGCGCTGTGGCGGTACAAAGCTCCCTTGTGGTCTTCAGGTGCGATTCTATCCAAAGCGTCACTCATATCCTCTCGCACGTCTGAATCATAGTTCTCGTTCAGGCTCAGGGCACAACTTGTGTGTTGGACAAAGAGGTGAAGTATGCCGGTCTTGTATGAAGAAATCTCCGGGATCTGGGATACTATATGGTCTGTGACAAGATATGATCCTCGCGAACGGCTGGGGAGAGTGATCCTTTTCTGGAACCAAGACATGGTGGGTATTGCAGGTGTGCAGATAGTTGAGCACGGCGGCAGCTGTGGTTTAGGAGGCGCGGGGGGCTGTGAGGATGAGGAGAGCAGTTGGTAGACGAAGTAAGGAACGGTGATGAAGAGGTCTGGGAAGAAAGCGAGGATGAAGATGAGGATGAGGAAGATGTGAAGCCACGAAGCTCGATTTGATGTGGTTTGCGACCACGACGTCATGAATGCGGGGCGGCGGCTAGCTAAACTACCAGTTATAAATAACCAAATAAAAATACATAAAAATAGAGTCGACAAAGTGATTATTAGTCTGAGGGAGCGTTATATATGCGATCGGCAGGAGAGAAGAGTCGGTTAAGAAGAGGCCGGTGATGATGCTTTTTTTTGGTGCTACGGGATTAACTACAGAAAGAAGCTTCACGTCTACGGCTCTCCTTCCATCAACTCACTCGAGCCGTTGATTCCTATCCACTTCGGCTTTCCGTCGGGAATATCAACTACTCGCTGCGAGTAGAACATATGCGACCTAGGACGACCGGAGTCAGCGTCCAGCCAGTATCACGATACCCTTAAATCCGCAATCAGTTGGGATCATACTTGGGATAGAAGATTTCCTTTAGCTTCTGGCGGTCTGGCCCGCTGTCATGTTTGATCAGCTCCGGGTAAAGCAGCAGGACATGTCTCCCTTCATCCATAATCAAGGAATGGCAGTTGGAGCAGGAGATCTTGCACGGGAGGCTATGCGCTGGTTCCATGGTAGAGCTGTTATAGAAATACAGTGAATCATGACCGCGCACGAACTGGACATCGTCCTTGTGAAAAATGGCCGCCCATTGAAACGGCGCTCCTTGAGCAATTGTTAGAAACGCAGTGACTAACGGCAAACACGGACTTCAGTAGCTAAATATGCTAACCGTGTAATGTCTGGCAGCCATTACAGTGGCAAAATTTGGAGTCCAATGGCTCTCTTCGACTTATTTCATATTCAACCCGCTGACATTGACAACGTGCTCTCCACTGCACTTCGCCAAACGGTCCGTTCTCTGGTCGGCGTCCGTATGGAGGGTTTGCCATCCACTTGTCTTCTGATGAGTACGGCATGGTACTGGGTACTCGAAAGGGCCATAACATTGTGTATCTTTTTCGCAGAGCTGATACGTAGTATCACTGAAGGGCCGGATTGTTTACTTCTTCTATATCGAGAGGAATGGTATGACGTCATGAGAAGTAACCACTTTTCCCAGCTACCTGGCTGAGGGTAGCTCTCCAGTCTTCCCGTCACCTTGCATCTTGACAGGGCACTGCAGAAAAGTCTGCTTGTTCTCGTCTTCTTCGACTCCTTGCGATGATCGTGTCGTTGGATGTCGCGAAAGCGAACAAAAGTCGCAAAAGAGCGAGATGCTTGGCGTTGTGTTGGTGTGATTATATAAGCGGGCCTCGGCCTGCTGGTAAAGAGCCGAGGAATTGCCGAGAGTAACTAGCACGAACGGACCTTCGCTGGCTGCTTATCTAGACGAACGACAACAAGTAACATTCTATCTAGACCATACCCAGGCATATATGCTCAGCAGTTCATGGTGATATATTCCATAGGCTACCTCTATATAAACAGCTTGCTTCATAAGTAGCGGGAAATATACCTCTAGCCATGTCGTTCTCCTCCAGTCCCCCAGAATCCCCCTTCTACACCCTTTCCTACCCAGAACAAGGGGTTCTACTAGCAACTATAAATCGCCCCAGACATATGAACTCCATCCCATTTCAGGGCCACTGGGACTTTGAGAAACTTTGGACTTGGTTTGAAAATGAGGGTTCCATGCAAGTTGCTATAATTACTGGGGCAGGTGACAAGGCATTCTGTGCTGGACAAGACCTCATAGAAATTGAACAAAATGCAATAAACCCGCCCCCAGAGCCTTATTTGACCGGCCATCCCAGGTCAGGATTCGCAGGTATTAGCCAGAGGAGAGGGAAAAAGCCTATCATTGCTGCCGTCAACGGGTTTGCTTTCGGCGGTGGCTTCGAGATTTGCTTAAACTGGTATGTTTAGCTGCCTAGTACCCTGCCGATAGTCAATCTATACTAATTGTTCTTAATCAGTGACATGGTGGTCGCGTCACCAAAGGCTCGGTTCTCCCTACCTGAAGCAAAGCGTGGCGTCTATGCTGCTGCCGGTGGCTTAGCACGTTTGATGCGTATTGTTGGATTGCAAATTGCATCTGAAATTGCCATGACAGGCCGAGTAATCTCTCCCGAGGAAGGGAAAGCGTGGCAGTTCGTGAACCGTATATCCAAGACCCATGAGTCGTTGATCGAAGAGACATTGGAGCTTGCTAGAGAGATTTCTCAACTTAGTCCTGATGCTCTTATCATCACCAAGGCTGGGCTTAGAGAAGCTTGGGAAACAGGAAACGTGGAGGTTGCCGTTGGAAACATCAGGGCTCAGTATGACAGAAAGCTTTATGAAGGCGAAAATCTGGCTGAGGGTAAGGCAGAATGCTTCCGTACATCTCGATTTGTTGATTCCTTCACTAACTGGTGTTCTTCCCAGGCCTCGCTGCATTCCGAGAAAAGAGAAAGCCTAACTGGGTTAAATCGCAGTTGTAACCGTATTGACTGTCATCTATGCCGGCCACTAGCTTCATATTAAAGGATCATATTGAATCGTGGCAACTTATGCTTGTGTCTACACTTGACATTCTGGGGTATGTGTAGGCTGAGGTTGCTCTAACCTTTGTATTCACAAGAATAATCTAAATGAAACCACAGATACATTGGTGAGATGTACATAATGAATACAGAAACTTGATTTGTAAAACAGTAATATGGAATGGTCACACTATGAATTAAACCTATCGTTGCTCAAAGCCAGATGGAGTAATACGTTGTGTTTCGTTGATCTCAGCGGCATCCCCAGTAGCCTCTAGTGGGTATGAGGTTCTTGGCTGAGCCTCGAGGACTGCACGGTGGTGTTCGTTTGCCTATATAGTTATACGTGTCAGTTGAACGTAATTAAATAGACATAGCCTTGAATATTCGGATGCGTCACTCACGAAGGGAAGGCCGCAGTATTCGCAAGGGCAAATCTGGGGTTTGTCGGTGTTGATGAAAATCCTGGGATGGCCGAGTGGGCCACCACCGCCGTCACACGATACGACTCTCTCCTTTGTCCATCGTACGGGCTGTTTGTGGATTAGATCGATGGCGGCATAAGGTTGAGGCTGTATGTTTTATCACCAATTAGTCCACAATTCATCAAAACAACATGTAGAGTACCCAATTGACACAGGATCTCTTCATTATTCCATATACATCCCCGAAAACGCCCATAATCAATTGACTGACCTGGAAATCAATGATTGTCTGCTCGAATCGTGGACCAGCCATGGCCTTGGACCGCTCTTGCTGGTTCTTCGCCCAAGTAGTTGCTCGGTTTGGGGCCTGCATGGAAAGCTGCTTCTGCGCCTGCTCAACTGTCTCTTGCATTGATGCGGGCTCTCTGGCATTGGTCTCGGATATGCTCGTAACCGGCTTCTGGGGGTTTGGGTTATTGGTGGGAATAGTGTTTTCGCTCAAACGAGGGACCGTCGAGGTGTATGTGGCTCGCTGAACATAGCGGGACGACTGCGCCGCAAAAAGGCACAGCCGTGATCGTGTAGACGACAACATTCTGGCGGTCCGGATGCAATAAGTTGGCCTCGCAGTTGTTGAAGATGGGTGGATTTGATTTGTTTCGATATGAGAGGTGGTTTGGTTGTTGCCGCTTTAACTAACTAAGCGCGCAAGCGACGGCGCTTGGCGGAATATTAAAATTTATTTATCGCGCTTCGGCATCAAGATCTCAAATAAATAGAATCGGCGAAGAGAAAGAAAGGACGCTGCTCCAAGAAATAATAATTATACGCTTCAATAGTGTCCAAGGGCTCTTTAGGAATATCCAATTGATATATCCGCACCAGGCGACTGTTACTAACTATAGATTCTGCAACCATGTCGCAGCCAAAGGGCATGTCCTCGAGGCTGCTCACAATGAAGGTCCGTTACTGTTCTCTAACTTCTTCCAGAAATGATTTTAACATTATATTTAGTTTATGCAACGAGCAGCCGCTTCCGGAGCTAGTAATAACTCAACCCCAACTCAATCACCCTCGGGATCCCCCTCAGGCCGCAAGCGCGCCGAAGATATATCTTCCCCAAGCTCAAAGCGACGAAAGCTGGTTGAAGGTTCACCTTCCGAACCTTCCATAGCACAATCGAACAGCTCTGATATAGAAGCGATATCAGCTGCAATTCGAGCCGAGGATAGTAAAAGGTCAGAGGCTATAGCACGACAAGCTGCGGATGCAGGAGAAACCCAATGGGTATTAGAATACCCTCCTGGGGCTTTAAAGTCTGCAGCGCCCCGAAATTCAATAGGCAAAATAAAAGACGAAGAAAACCATAGCATTGAAACTACATATACAGGGAGGAAGAGCTATGGGGGTTTCAAGAAGAAACGCCAAACAGAGGTGAGTGCTCCATATGTTTTATCTCCTTGGTCAAAATTTGGAGTTAGCGGCTCACGCAGACTTCCTTAGACTCCTGAACCGTCAGAAACACCTAAAACAGATTCAAATGCCGGAAGTAGCGCAAAGAAAGTCAATCTTAGTCGTGCCGTTAAAATGGGCCGAATATCATCAGGAGGCATCAGCGGGAATGCGTCAAATAAAGGAAAGAATTGGAAGAATCGGCAATAAGCTTCTTCCTTTTCCCTTGGGAAAATATATGAATTTTCTGGCAAACTGGATCTATTTTGAGCGTGTTTTCAGTGTTGGTAGCACCATGGATTGTTTGGCATCATAAATAATGTTCTATTTTAATGATACCCAGTTGTTACTACTGCCACAAACTGCACTATATATTACATATGACCGAGATATTATATAGACCTTTCTGTTTCCATTACAGCTTTGCCTTGTCGCTCCGCTGCTTCTCTTCCCATCTTGCTTTCTCCCTATAATTTCTGGCCAGGTTCCATGCAGCTACCCCAACCCCTAACGGAGGAACTAGCAGTAACACCCATGCCCACCACTGGGGGCTTGTGGAACTGATATGCGTGATTGCTCGTCTAACCTCGACTTCCAACTCTGACTTATCTCCATCATTCCAGACAATAACACCTCTTGCATTCTCGGTCCCTCTGAACTCTGCCCTCTCAACCTTTCCCTGTACGTCTCCTTGGCTCCTCACACGATTCTCCGCATCTTCAGCACTAAGATGAGGATCCCTGGCACGCAGTCTCTGCATTTGAACAGCTGGGTCTTTGACTCCAACAACAATAACAGTCCCACAAAGAGCATCCAATCCACTCTCGAAAAGAAGAGGAACGTCCAAAACGACAGCCCAATGTCCATGTATGTAGTACCAAAGCAAGGCTCGATACATCTCCCATCTTACAGCAGGATGCACAATTCCATTAAGGACTGATCGGTCCCTTTTTCGCTCTGGAGAGTCGCCAAATACTCGTCTGCCAAGAACTGGTCTGTTTAAGGGTCGCCCTTTACCGGGTTGTTCCTCGGGGAGTAGCAGATCAGGAGTTGTAGGTTCAAAGTAGTCGACTATAGCACGGTATCCGGCAGTCCCAGGCTCGACAACTTTTCGGGCCAGCACATCTGCATCGATTATGGGGATGTTGTAGGGGGGAGAGGAGAGGAGGGACGAGACTGTCGATTTGCCGGTGGCTATTGAGCCGGTTAAGCCGATAAGAAGCATGCTGCGTGCCCGAGCCCGAGTTCAATGGTATCAGTCTAAGCTGGTGATTTAAGAGCAAGGCCCATATAGCTACAGACAGCAGAGTATATGATAGATGGCGTTGTCATTGCATTATACAAAGTGTAGTGTTGTTGGTGGTTGCGGAATCAGGAACGACGTCACCAAGAAATAAATGTCACTTCAGCCTCGGCTTAGCGCTTGCTTAATTTGTCTCTGCCAATAACACCGAAGTTACAACTAAACACCCCAAGTAGAATATATATATATATATATATGTATATATATTGGGTTATGCTTGACTGACACGAACGGGAATCAAGGAGATGCGAGGATGATAGCCTTCGCTAATAATTTGATCATTTTAACTTAACCGTTGATTTCTCCATATTCGAGCCATCCCATAATAATAAGAAACCGTCAATATCAGCAATTGAAGAAACAGAGACGAAACAAGCGCATGAGCGGCCCAGGCTAGAGATCTACCAGCAAATGGAACTAATAAACAAAAAAATAACAAAATTACTCCTGGTCGCCTGGAGCGAATTCATCCATCCCGATGTCTTGTCCATTTGCTGTGTCTTCTCCGCCTGCCAATACTTTGCTCTTTGGATGGACTCCATTGCTAGCCTGGTGGCCAGGAGTAACAGCCACAACATTATCGTTCTCATCAACAAACTCAAAGTTATACCGAGATAATAGATGAGGGATTGCTGAAAGCTGGGGCCCGTAACGCGCGGTGTTGTCGTATAATTCAAAGAGGGGTACTGCAAGTAATTTCATGTTCTTGGGGACCGAGAGAACCTCTGTAGATAATGTCAGTGTTATGATCCTATTATAAATCCTTAAATCCATGCGCTCAAAATGAGATGTAACATACTCTTTTTGGGAAGCTGGAGGAAATATAACTTTTTACACTCCTTCGGTCGAGTAACATGCCCCGGTAGGAAGGGGTACATAAATGTCTCGAAGTTTGGCCGCCACCATTGTGCCAGGGTGTCACCGACTTCCCAATCTTCATTGACGCCTTCGCCAGTGAATTGTGAACCAACCGGCGCAAGTCTTTCGTTTAACCTCGCCTTGAACCCTTCGATCTCGTCATCTGAATGTTGTAGGTAGTCTCCAGGCCTATTATCAAAGACGTCAGCAGGCTCAATCGCAGGACGCCGTGACTCGGGTAACATGCTTACAATTTGAAGAAAGCATTTGCAATTTGTAGCATGAGAACATGTGGATGGTTATGTTCGTGACATACTAGTACGCCCTCACAAGTACGGCGCATTCCATACTGCTCATAGTGTTCTTCTAAACGCTTTAGGCGCGCGAGCACTGAGGGGTCCTCTTCAGGCTGCGTCTCCTTGGTGCCGAATGTGTAGTTTGATAGAGGATATAGTCTGATTGTCTTTGGTTGGTTTGCGGAGAACGATTCGGGTATGATAGGCCTGAAGTAAGTATATGTCAGTAAATATCAGAAATGGCATGGTCCGCCTAGATACTGCATTTGGCCCTTAAACTGCTACCTATGTTGGCGGTAGCTTCCAGTAAGACAACTTACGGTCGTGAGCTTTGCAACGATATCGGGGACACGGCGGACATGATGGTTGATATATCGTGGACAATCGCGCTTCCCACGTCCTATCAGTCACTCTATATTGCCGTTGATTCTTTAGAGGATGCACCAATTTGTTCTCTTGATGTTTGCAGCCCTGAGCTTTCAGTCGTGCCTTTTCTGCTTGCTACCTATCAGTTGGTAGGCCAACGGGTCCAAGCTCTACCTGGTCAGGTGACTGATACACGGATATTAGATTATCCGCTAATGATTACGTAATGGTATCTATTTGACACGTGATTGACACTCTGCTTAAATTAGAGTTTGGGGCTCCCAACCCTAACTTCACTGTCACTTCAATAACTTCAATAACTGGTGAAGCCTCAAAGTGACGACTCCGCGATTCACAGCCACAATTAAGTATATAAGGACATAATGTAGCATGTGGAATACTACTTTTAGAGTTCTCCTTCTTCGTCAATATCAAGTGCCGCAAGCTTACCACAAACCATCATTATCCTCTCGCGCACAGTACCTCCCTAGTCGCAGACAGTGATCGGCTTCCAGACCCTGATAAGAGGGATATCGACGATTTCCACTACTTCAGAAAGCAGTTATTGCGGCAATACGGAGTACACAACCATGAAAGTGTGGCGTATTGATCCTTTAGCCCCTAATTTGAGGGTGAGGTGCCAGAAAAGTTACAACTTCATATAGCTGATACTATATATTGCACGAGATGATGTGCCCTCTATAAGAGGGGAAGGCTTTCTCTCAGAATATACCGAGAAGACCATATAGCTATCTATTTCTAGAAGAGGAGTTGACTATCCGAGATTCCCGGACCTCTACTGGAAGATGCTCCTTGGATGCGTCGGGACAGGCGATGGATAAAAATATTGCCCGATTTATGACTACATACGCGCAGCAGCAAGCTCCGTCAACACCAGGAGAGACTACCCTCGGCAACCCCCAGCTCAGCAAGGTACCTTATGAAGGAGTACTGGAAATGAGTGGGGAGAAAAGTTCCGTCAAACTGCAGGAGGACTCCTCAATTTAACCTGCGGCCCGCAGCAAATCGAAGGTGTTTATAGGTACTGTGCCTATCCTCAGGGAGCTTTAGATACTATCGGCACCATTCCTCCTCACCTACAGAACGCTTGGCCCCGGACGACTGGCTCCCATTCCTAGAGGATATTGGCCCTCTGTCAGCTAATAACCTCCCGCCTTTTGCCAAAAGGGAAGACCCCTTAATTGGTAACTTCAATGTAGTGGTAATGTGTGGAAAGCGAATGACATGTGTTGAACTGAGAAAACAACAGACTCAGACACCTTTAGTAGGAAAGGGCCAAGCTTTCTTCGCCATCTCCGGTGACATCTCTTCGCTCATGGTCTTGATGTAAGTATCAAAAAGATACTCGTTCATCTTGTTTGTTGCCTCCCACCTCTCGATTGGGACCCAGCCGTTGTCATCGATACGAAGTTGGCCTTTGATGATATCTAATAAATAACGGTTATCCTCATAGCATTGGGCTTGCTCGTTATGCCTTTTTAAGTCTTCCTTAGTAAATTCAAACGGGCAGCTACCCGAAAATCCAAGGAGGTTCCAGTCTTGGAAAATCCGAATAAGGGAGTTTCGTAGTGGAACTAAGTATCCCGTTGAGGGAAGTTCGCAATACATAAAGGGTTCCCATAGCCGTCGATCCAGTTTCATTGCATTATATACAGGTATATTGTACCCAAGGCAGTACATTTCATAGTACTTCGATTGAGTAGCTAGAGTGTGCTCTTCCTTAGCAGTCTCTTTCTCCTCAATGTTTAAGTCGTCGAAATTATCTGGTAATTTGGGTATCTCCGTTCCCGGGCAGTAACTTTTTGGTGGCCGAAGGAACTCGGGAAACTGCACCTGCGTAAATAGCGGGCTTGCTTCAATTGACTGCCAATCAATCACGCCTTGAATTTTAGTCGGATCGTCAGGAGAAATATATATATTCCCCAAATGGAGGTCATTATGCCAGATGACTGAATCTGACCATTTAAGTACCTCTAGGTCCTTTGATAGGTAAGGAAGTACCTGTGTCGCCTTTTGTAATAGATCAGAATACTCGTCGACAGACTGGTGAGTATCGAACCGATTAAGAAGGGATTGAACTCTGTCCCTCTCCATAGCAATTAGGGCTAGTTCTTTCTGCGGTATAGATAGCGCAAAATCCGAAATCGTATCCCCTTAACAATATTAGATAACAGAGCATTCGTCGCGTTAGAAGCATAGAATTAGACTCACATGGCCCAACAATAGATTTGGATACTTCTGTAGGCTTATTATGACACAACAGTCGACTGTTCGATGGGCCAATGCAGAACAACCCATCTGAGTCCAAATCCGAGGGGAGTGGATAACGGTGGTATTCAGGTGGTAGAGAATCTCGTAGGAAGAGTCTGCCGTATGCTGGTAATTTCAAGCTCCTAAATTCTGTTTCCATTTTCACAATTTGGTTAATTATCTCGTAGCGTTGCAACGAATTCATTGACTCCCATTTCTCTGCAAGAGCAACTCCACAGATCTTTTCCATAATGATATATTCTGCTCCCACTGGGTTTGATGAGTCCGAGTCCCAGACATATACTTCGGGTACTCGAATTGATATGCGAGATCGCACTATTCACCAGAATATAAGTATATCAAAAATGAATAGTATCGGTGGAAAGCTTACAGAACTTCAACGTTGCTACCTCGGAGGCTGTTGTTAACAATGGAGCTCCAGCATTGGGACAGGGGATCTTCGCTATCACTTCGTTCCCATCGTCCATCGTAAGAAGAAAGGCCTTGTTAGAATTTCCCTCAATCTTGACAACCCGCACACATTTCGTTTTAGGTCCAAATATAGCAGCAGCACGGGAACATAGCTTGTCAATGCTAAATTCCACGAAACGCTGATCAAGTTGATGTTTCTCATTGATCAACCACCGTCCAGAGGTATATCTGAATAGATCGTCCCGGCCGTGCGTATTCAACTCTGTTATTTTATCAGGTTATAGTTCAATTCAAAAAAATCTGATAGAGGACTGCACGAACTGGTGTCGTGTACCGCGTGTTCATCCCTAGGTGCCGTTGAGTTCATGAAACCTCGAGAACCACGGGTCAATCCGCTGCGAATAGGGAGATGAAATAACGAGCGGAAACGGGATAGCTTCCACATTATTTGATTATTAAATCCGGAGCATCCAGGTTTTCCAGACACCGTTCTGTCTGTACTGTTGCTGCCGATTTGGTTCGCGATCTATGGCGTAAATCTGGAATTGTCAGTTATCAAGGCATGAAAAAAGTTTAATTGTGACAAAAGCGTCCTGCAACATACAGATCAATGCAAATGGGTAAAATAAATAGAAAGGTCACAGGCTTCCTTAGGTTGCGTTGAACTCCTCGTCACCGTCAAGTGCTAAGTCGATTGTTTCGCTGTCCAAAATTTGGCCTCTATCCTAGGTTTTGACTTGATTCGTTGATAATCATCGTCTGGACCCTTTGTCAGCAGCTAGTTAACTAGTAAATACTCCAAAGTTACCTCGTATGCCAAGTACTCCGTAACTAGCACCAATAACTTCGTACCTCCACTATTCACAACTACCAACCATTAGATATAACTTAAACCAACTGTCACTGCTGAATACAATTGTACGTATCTTTTATAGTTAAAAGATCGAACAGGGGGAAAAATAGAGAAAGTGCAATCTGAACAAACGTATCAATTACCACTCTACACAATGCATCTCTAACACGGAAGCCGTCTACCTAAAGCATCCATACCACACCCTCCATGGCGCCACCTGTTGAAAGATATGCCCAGATCAAAAACCGCCTCCGTAAGTATACATACAAACATACCCCAGTCACGTCAAGTGATTACCTATCCAAGCAGAAAAGAAATGTCTAATTTCAGATGTAGAATAGATTTTCTATACCCTATCTATTGGACTTGGGAGGTTCATTCGTTCTCTTTGCTCGGTTCTTAGAGTTTTGGGTCAAAGTCTTCGAATTCAGACAGATCGACGACCGGGGCCGTTGCAGGGCTTACGCTGAGACGAGCCTTGAATTCAGGGACGTTGGTGATGTATATTGGTTTACGGCTGGATGGCTTGTCTGCGCTGTTGGAGGTGCCATTGGCGGTTGGAGTTGGATCTTCCTTTGATTTAGATTCATTGTCACTGTTGGTTACAGTCTTGATGCCGGCTTGGGCGAGCAGGGCTGGCAAGGCACCCTTCGCGGGCTCTAGGAGCTTCGTGGCTTCGTCTTCGGCCATCTGTAGCACGGAGGTGAGGTGGTTGTGCACGGTGGAGATGATGCCATCCAGGTTGTTGCTGGAGATAGTGATGTCCTTGAACGCCTCCTTAAACTTCTCGGTATCGACTAGAGCTCCGGCAGAGCCGAGGAATTGCTCTATCTTTGCAAGGACAGCGCTCTTTTGCTCTGCGGAAGCAACGAGGCTTGCGCTTGCTTGGGCCTTCATGTGAACGGATAGCTTAGCACGGGTGGGTGAGTTGGGGTCGATGTACTGGCGGTAAAATGCAATGATGTCATCCTTGGTCAAATTCTCCAACACGGCAGCATCGATCTCATGCTGTGTGAAATCGAAATATTCAGAACCGATATGAGACCAGAATCGACTGGTTTCGGAACTAAGGTTCTTCAGCTTTTCCAACCGTTTGTTAATGATGCTTCGTCTGTGACCCTCGAATTCTTCATCAGACATGGAGGTAAGGGCCTCCCCGAAGCCTTCAAGGAAGGAATCAATACGAGATTCAAGGTATTGGTTATCTCGCTCACTTTGGATGATGACACGGTAGCCCAGAGTTGTGGATGAGTAACGAGCACCGCTCCAGACAACATACCCAAGCTGTTCCTTGGTACGTAGCTGATCAAATGCTGGCTCATTAGTCATTTGACCGAACAACAAGCATTTAGCACGTAGTTGTGCATCAGTCAAAGCTCCGACGAAGAGATAATACTCAATGCAGTGGTTGATGTTGGCAGGATCCTTGAGAGTCTCCTCGTAGATGTAATTGCTACCAGGAGGGATGATCATGTTTCTGCGCACGTGCCACTGAGACTGTGGAAGGACTCTCGGCTTGAGGGTTGATTCAATGAGATCAGTAAGCTTCAGGGCATCTTCCTTGTACAAGTTGCCGTGAGCAAGAACTTCGATGTGTGTCTGGCGAAGCAACTGTGGGTAAAAAGCCGCAACATCTTCAAGTTGGATGTGTTCCAGCTCAGGGGCCAGTTGCTCGTTGATCCAAGCTTTCTCTGCAGTCAAGTATCGCGTGAAACTTCCAACCTGGTAGTATGGTAGTTGGTAGTCTGCGTTCTTATATCCACGAGCCATACGCTCCTTGACGATCCGGAATCGGTCCGGTTTGATCTCGAGGTCGCGCATGATGGTCAGGACCTTCTCAAGCAAGACTGCCATCTTATCGTTGTAGCCAACGATTGCTACCTCCAAGCCGAAAACGCTTGGAGACAAGTCATAATCCAGGCCTGCGAGCTCAGCATCATAAGAGTATTCTGTCAGGGCGTCCCTGACTAAGCTGCAGTATAGCTTGGCCATCACATTGTTTCCAGGGGTCGCGTAAACGAGAGGGGTTCGTAGAGTGATTTCCAGCGCTGCCTTGGGGACCCAGAAAGTATCATCCTTCTTGAACCACGTCCTGACCTGATCATCTCTTCGAATCAGGCTCGGTCGCTTGGCAGGTTGGTCAACTTCCTTCTTCTCAACATCTAGCCTAGTTGGAACAAATTCGTTCTTATGGGGCATGTGCAGTTCTGAGGTTCTGCCGGTAGATGTCTCCAGTGAACGGCGAATCTCAGATAGGAGATCCTCTGGAACCTTTTCCACCTTGTACTCGGTGCCGTACCACTTCTCTTTCTTGTCCCAGCCTCCAGGGAAGTGCTGAGATACGATCTCGATATTGAAGTTGTCCGCCCTAAGGTACGAGAGGCCCTTTGTGATGAGTTCCGGCTCGAATTTGCGCAGCAAGCTCGAACCGCTCAGGAGCCATTCGCGAGGGTATGGTTTCTGCATGACGCTACTAAGGCTGCTGGTGAATTTGCTGGCAGGAGACTTCTGTTTGAATTTGAAGTCTACTTCAGAAAGGTTCTTCATCTCATCGAAGATCCACTGCTCAGGCGCTCGCTCCTTAATCAGTGAAATGTACTGGAATATGATCTTGACGACCTCTTGGTAATGCTGAAGTCCATCCTCTGTCAGACGAATGGAAATGTTGAATAGAGATGACCCAGGGGAGAGGGGGGTAGCGCCAGCAGAGAGTTCAGTTGCCCATCCCTTGGATTTAATATAGGCCAGGATGCTGCCGGGGCCTTCGTGCCCGATCAAGTGGCTGATATACCGGCTAGGCTGGGACTCATACAAGTCTTCCTCATCGGGGTAAGGGAAATAGATATCCAGTGTTCTGCTGTCCATCACCGGCTTGGCAAAGACCATCTTAAGCAGGTTTTCCTTCTCGAACACTTCAATATCATCCCACCGATTCTGTGGGAGGTCCTTGTTCTTGACATCCGCAAACAACTCCGCAACCCATGCCTCCAGTTCATCCAACGGCTCTCTTCCCAGGACAACCAGCTTCATTCGGTTTGCCGAATAGTGCTTATCATGGAACTTCATAAATTCACTCCTGACATCTAGGCCACGCGCCTGTGGGTCATCACGCAGAGTCTTCAGGTTTCCGGTTGAAAAATGGCTGTAAGGATGCTTTGGGTTGGCGAGAGACTTGTTTAGCTGTAGCATACGCCAAGGGTCACTCTGCAGGTTCTTCTTGTTTTCGGAATCGACAGCCTGGAGCTCACGGTCTAGAGTGGAAGGGAGGAAAAGAGGTGCAATAAAGAATTGGGCAAATCGGTCAAGTGCACCGTATAGTGGTGGAGTCAAATCGCTTATCGACGAGCTGGCGCTGTTTGGAGCGCCCTCAACGGTGAGATGGGACATTTTATCTGCCAGGATGCCTCCAGGGGTTGGAGCCTGAGATGGTGGTGCAGATGGCACAGCAGACGGCGTGGCAGAGGGGGCCTTGGAACGTGGGTGGGAGGTAGCAGCAACCTCGAAGAAGTAGTTTGTCTCCGTAGCAGCTGTGTATGCATTCGAGTGACCGGAATGAGAGGCCAGATACTGGTTATAGTCATTTTCTTTTGGGTACTATTTTACAGGACTCTGTTAGCAATGGTAGATTTATCAAGGTATGCAAAAAGCGGGGGCAGACCTTCTCGGTACCCATGAAGAGCAGATGCTCGACAGCATGGGCCATGCCAGGCATGTCATCGTCGTCGGAGAAGTTCCCTACGTTGACATTGACAGAGGCACTGGCCTTATCTGTATCCGGGTCATGGACAAGGAGGGCCTCGAGCTGGTTAGGCAACCTGATGACTCGATACGTGCGGTTGTCAACCGACGGTTTCTCCAGGCTATCAGCCAAACGCTCGACCTGCGCCATTACGGGGGAGCTCGACTTGTCCTCCGGTGACTCTGAATATCGGGGAGTGGCTGTTGCCGTGGTAGTATAGAGCGAGGCACCTCGCTGCAAGAAGGCCAACGATGAACGAGGGAAACGAGCCGGCGGCTGACCGAGGAGCAGCAGCGGCGGTGGTATGGAAGGAACAACAGGCTGAGTACTGGAGGGACGGACGAGAGCAGCAGGACCAGCAGTAAATAAGGGAGGCCTGCGTGAAGCTGGGATGTGAAGCCGTCTCGTGAGGAACCTTGGAGGCATACAGCAAGCACAGCAAGCCAACGCTGCCAACCCAGTTAACTAGCTCGGTGGTTAGCGATGCAGCGAGGCAGACGTGTCTCTCTCTGTCAGGGCACACGACAGACAGACAGACAATACAGACAGGCTTACCTCGTCGGACTGGGGGATTGGTGAGTGAGAGAAGCGCGGCAAGACGAGGGAGTCGGAAGTTGGACTTCTGGATGCTTGCTTGACACTGTGTTCCGTTGCAGGCGATTACCTAAGCCAGATAGCCGGCCCAGCCCCCCCGGGGGGTTTTCCCACAACGGATTATCCAGCGCGGATGGGGGGACGGGACGGGAGCAACGCCGATACCTAATATCCTCCCGTCACTTCGTCTCGTCCTCGAGATGCACGATGTCGGCTACTATGGCCCCTGCGAGGGTATACTGTTCTGTGGATTTGCCCTCTGCTAGGCTTCTTACTGTCAGGCCGACTCGAGATAGGCTGGCTCGAGCATGTTATGCACCTATCTCGTACCTTACATTCGTCGCCTGGCAGCCACTGAGCCGCTTCTCCGGAACTGTGGAATGCTGGCTGGCCTAGTGGAAGATAACATGCAGTACGAAAAGTTCCACCATCCTGTTGAAATTATTTCTTTTTCAACATACCAGGAATCACGCCGGTTCTCGGTGGGAAGGTAGAAGAGCCAGAGACCACGTTATCGCACTTATATGATAGATACCCCCTGAAATACTATAGGTACTGTGACTGGAGATCCCTTTGGCCCAGTTCATCCTGCGCTCAAAATGGGTTGGTGAGGATGATGTCAGTGCTTGTGCAAATGATGCCAACATGGGCCTTGGGGTGTCTGTCTAGTGCAAAGCTCAGGCCGGGTGAATTCGCATTTCAATATCTCTCCTAAAGTACCTGTTGAGGGACATGGAGGGACATGGAAAGAGTGGCATTGGATTTGCATTCGGTGTTAGCGGGCCGAAGGCTAGCTGAACCTACAGTCCCTTTGGCTATGCAACAAAATATGTACAGCTTGGCCTTTATACAGTTTGACCGGTCATCCTTTCCTTCAAGTGTTCGTTATCCATCTCTCTCTTCCCGGATATGTTACCACGGTCGATAGTCATTTGCTGTCACTAAACACACAAAATCTTCGATAAGACCGGCACCGCAACAATAAATTCGAGAAGCATATCGTTCTATCATTTTGGAGTGATTGTGAATTGTTGGCTCGGAAGGCGCATGTACGGCCGTAATTTTAAGAATACCCGGGGGTCTGTTGAATTTCTCTCGACCGTCCATGCCAGAGTTGGTTGCCCGCTGTCTATAGACTGGACGTCGATCACGTAGGAATGAGACTCGGCTTTTCTAATCTCAAAGATTCTTCCTTCATCCGTACGTCGGGCAGTGTCTCCATCACGGCCAAAATCAAATTGGAGATAGAAATAGCTAGCACCAAAGGCAAACCAGTTCTTGAGGTCGCTGGCGACAGGATACATGTTCCACGCCGAAATAGTGTACTTTCTGATCCCGGGTTCCATGTATATATAGTCGTCATCGTCCCAAGTGACGTTGAGTCCCGATGGTTCGTTTCGTAGGTAATATTCACGTTGAGCATAAGTACTGGTGACAAACGCGGAGATGACAATCGCAAATAGCGTAAACCGCATTTTCAAAATCTTGTGATTGAAGCGTTGAAGTAGTTACTAAATATAAGAGGAGGCTGCTGAGGAATTGGAAGAGTGAAGTGGGAATAGGATCAGGCGAAAAGTAGGACATGAACTACTTTAATATAGATGCAGTCTCACTTTACCTCTTCCCGGGCAACTACCAAGACCTCTTCTATGCGACATCGTATGGCAAACACCGATATCGAACCTTCAGTAAATTTGATATCCTATCAATAAAGTAAGGTTACCATAACTTAACTATCTAGTTAGAACATAGTTATCTAGCTATGTTGCCCTTGGCGTAAGCTTACTCTCACACATTATATTACATACAATGGACTAGCGAACATAATCATGGGATATATAGGAAGGAGAGGGCCTAGATCTGGTTATAACTGCAGTTGACTAGTTAGATATCCCGTACTTGGCATAAGCTTACTCTCATCAATGTATATTGCATTGATAACTATCTACAAGGACCAGTATATGCGTTATGTCTGCAGTTATCCTAGCCTTGGGGTGTTGCAACGGATATAAGCAACTGGTAGTAGCTTTCCATCTCTAAGCGTATATAAGTATTATGCTCTTATGGAAGTCATAGCAGAAAGAAGAAGCCGAAAAAAGCTGAAGAAGATCCGGCTTTGGGCGCATTGGTCTCTGCATAAATAGTTGTTTAGATACCTACCGTTTACTACCCCTATACTTAACAGGTTTCAAAATTCCACGCTTCTTTTGCTCCACGCCCAGTTTGAGCATTCAATTGAGCCTTGTATGAGCCATGCATCTCTTCAATTTACCCGCAATCTGCCTGGTAGCCTTCTTGGCTCAGATATGCCTCTGCCTCACGGGAAACTTCACCTTTCTCGAGAACTACAACCACGACGGTTTGACTATCAGCCCACTTGATGGACTCGTTGAAATTAAGCCAAATGCAACCGATATATGGCGTATAGAGCCCATTCCCCCAGACCGCGGATCTCACATTATACGGCACCCCAAGACCAATCAGTTCGTCTATTTCCGTCAAACAGAGGATGGCACAACAGCAACGCTTAGCAAAAATGCAGCGACTGTCATCACTATAGCAGCGAATAATCCATACCATTGTCTTCTCTACGGTCTCAGGCTCAGGTCGTCAAGTGGATCTCCATACTACTGCACCATGGAAGCGAACAGCAACACTGATCCACGGCAAGTTCTGAGACTATACCAGAAGAGGCCGGCCGTGGATTTTGCATTTCTCCCAGAAGCATTTGGAAGAAAGTAGAAGAAGCCGCGGAAGGCTGATGATGCGGTGAAACAGTTGTCGGTTGTATGGGCCTTGGGATATCAAGGCGGGCCTGTATTTAAAAGTGTGGTATATACCTTATGGTGCCGAAGACATCGCCTCAATAACCAGTGTGGTTATTTCAGATCCTGGGGTATTAGTTGAATCATTATGTAGTTAGATGGAATTATATTCATGTGAGAGCCATGTTTCAAAGGTAGCCACCAAAGTAAAGAATATTGGTATAACCTGTCGTCTAGACTCGGTGAGTCGGTAGCAAGTCAGCGCGGTCGAATACAGTGCTTCGAAGGCGGACACCCACTAGCGCGGTTGCCGGCAGGCCTTCTGGTTATTTACCTCGTGAGTCCTATTACGGATCAGCTGCGATAGTATTGCGATAGACAAAAACTATTCAGAGGATATAAACACGATATTGGTCTTCACTTAGTAGATGGTAGTTAGGTGGAGGTAGTTAAAAAAAAAAGAAAAAAATTATAGCTCCTAGCCAGGATCGAACTGACGTCGTCGGAATCAAAATCCGATGTGCTACCACTACACCATAGAAGCGAGCCTTTAGCGGGAAATTCTTCCTCGGTTGTTTATAACCACTTACTTGCCTAGTACGAAAAAGGGGGCTACACAAAGGCATACATAGTAGACGACGAGTAAATAGATGAACAATACAGACAGTATGCAAATAAAATATATTCATTATTAATGGAGCTAATCCAATACGCTCACGTTCGCTAACGCTCCTACTGCTAAATCAAATAGTATAACGGAAAGACTCCGACCCCTCGATGACAAGCTCTCCCCTGTCAGCCTTCTTGTTCGATCTCCAGAAGTGCCAGCTCATCACCGCTGCAGTCAAGAGAAGAACAAGCTGCGACCTATACCGTTCAAACATGTGTTAGCACAGTCATTATGTAAAGCTAAGGGAAGATGGAACAATCAATCTTACGTGATTGCAGCCCAGATACCGGGTATATATGCCGGCGCATCCTGGGATCTAAACACCAGACTGCCCGCGATGCCACCGATGCCTCCAAAGCCAACGAGTGTAGCGCTGGCCAGGGCTCTGGTCCACTGGCCACGAATGTTGTTGGCCTGATATGCCATGGCAGAAGGGATGTTTGCATTCGCTCCGGCCGTGGCGAGGAAGACCCCGGTGTAGCGGAGGGCGCTGCCCTTGCCGAATCCCACCATGGGCAGACCGATGAGCGTAATAAGCGAGTTGACTGCGATGACGGGTGCGCGGATACGGTATTTATCCGCAACATAGGCAGAGGTGTACATCACTATGGCAGCAAAGGCGTAGGGAGGCGCAATCAGACACTGGGACTCGCCGACGCCAAAGCCTAGTCCGTCCACTAGGATGATGGGGAGGAAGTATGCTATGGCGTAGGTTACGGTGGTAGAGCAGCTGGAAGTAGAAAGCATGTTAGAAAGGGAAGCGAGTGAAAGATGGGGTATGGGTTGGGGGGGTGTAGAACGTACAAGAAGATCAGGGCGAAACCCCATATCTTCAGGTCGAGGGCTGGACGGAGAAATCTGCCCAGGGTAAAAGGCTCGACGTGCACGTCTCCTCTGTCACGGTTGACTCGTCTCACGACGAAGGCGAGTTCCTTTTCGTTTAGGAATCCCCATGCTCCGGAGGCTCGGTCCGGGAAATCAATGAGGAAGATGTAGCTGAGGATAGCCACGAGGATGGAAATCTGTTGTTCATGTTAGGGTACGACGTTGGTAGAAAGTAAGGAAGGAGAATGGGCTTACCACTCCCTCTATGATGAAGATCCATCTCCAGCCACGGATGCCCTGGAGACCTTCCATCTGGCTGAGGCCGAATGCAAGGATGCCGGAGAGAGAACCGGCCACTGCACCGATGATGTAGAAGACCGAGTACCGCTTCTGGACCTCATCTATAGCATTGTTAACTTGTGTAATTTTTTTTTGGCTGGGTATAATATCAAAGGATGACTCACGTCGGCAGTACCAGGTGGACAGGAGGTATACTGTTCCCGGAAAGAATCCAGCTTCGAGGAAGCCCAGCAGTGCCCGCAGGCCAGCCATCTGCTGCCAATCCTTGACAAAGCCAAACCCCTGCCGGAACGTACATGTTAGAATATCATTTTAGCAATGAAAGCATCAAGTCAGGGGGTACCATACTATCAGAATGACACCCCATGTGAAAACAATGAAGGAAATGAATATTCTGGGCCCAATTTTTCTGATGGCTACGGTTGCTATGGGTTGAGCAATGATGTATGTGACGAAGAACAGCAGGACAATAATTGACTAGTAATAGCGTTAGAAGATTGGTCGTACATTGTCAGGGGTCAGATATGCCGGGCAAACTCACGTATCTAAATCCTATCTTCAGACCCAAATCTTTGGTCATGCTATGGCATTGTCAGTATGGACTATAGATTAGCGTCAAGTAGGTAGGTAAGCAAGTAGTACGCACCCAGCAATGGCAGCAACAGAGGTGTTGGTCCTGTCCATCAAGCTGACGAGGTATCCCACACCACAAATGACGACCAGCCGCGCATCGATGCGGTGGATGATCTTGCGCTGCTGCTGGCGCGAGAACTCTTCATCCTCATCGACATCAGCAGTAGTAACCTGCTTCAGATCATCGACATGGTCCGCGGCGCCCTTCGAGGCCTTCTCTTCATCCGTCCGCATGATCAATATCAGATATATCAAATATCAAATATCAACCAGCAAGAATGGGCCAATTCCAACAAAATCCCAGGATAAGTAGGTTATATTTGAATGCAAACGTCTGAAAGAAAGAGAGATCAAGAGAGAGAGGGGAAAAAAGTAACAACAGGCCGGGGGATCGGCGAACCGCCCAGGTATTTATCTCTCTCGCCCCTGACCAGCGAGTTGACTTAAAGGTCTAGTTACTGATAACTAGTCCAAGTGCAAATCTGTATCAGGACACAAAGCGCGACTCGTTCAACGCTCTGGAAAAAGGGCCGGAATTACCCCCGCACACGCCAACGACAGTACCCATTAACTAACTAGTTAGCTAGTCTTGCCGTCCAGATGCAGCCCAGGTCCAGGCCGATACTATCTTGTCTACAATGCGTTAAGCTGTACATCGTTGAAGCTGGGCGCAGAACGGGCCAATGGGTCGGGTCGGTTGAAAGCAAAAGGGGTCGAAGGCAAGTTCCATCTTGGCCGTGTCAGGGAAAGAAGCGAGATCCTCAGGAATAGCCGGCGGGAATCGACTTGGGCCTCGGCCGGCCGTCAGATTTACCAGTGTCGTCGATACATGGGAAGTAGGTAGACAGGAATAATAATGGCGAGAGATGGAAGTTCGCCGCAGTGAGGGGGGGCCAAGGGGGAGCAGGTTGATGTCTTGGGATCATGCTGGTTCGTTGGCTACCCCGGATTCTGGGGTTGCTTTGGCCGGAGACGGGATGCCAATGTTGGATGGCGGTGGAGCGTTCGTATTTGCTCGGTCAAGTCCGTGGCTGGCTGGTCGATAACTTGTATGTAGGGTGTTAACAGCCTATGTAGACATGCCTGGAGTTGGTCTTTTGCCGCGACGGAGAGCTTGGCTGGCGAGGTTGTCCGTAGATATCGGCTAATGCCATGCCATGCGGTCCACGAGTTGGGCGAAGTGAAGATAAGATTGAGATGCGCCGGCGAGAAGGAAAAGCGGGCGGAAAGCTGGTCGCGTGCCGCAGTGGGCCAATCAGAGAGCCGCAACGCCGAGTGCATGGCCTTCCCTTACGTTCCTATATATCGGTCTACAGAGTGATTCTACGGGGTGATTCTACGGTTATGGAAGTGATAGAAGTATGGTCATATGAATGGCATTCATTCGTCGAGGACGTAGCAGACTGCAGGCCCAAGTCTAGGTGCAGCCGAGCATAAGTAAGCAGACATTAAGTAAGGTGGAGTAGAAGAAAATAGCAGAGTCAAGTATAGGGCGCAAGGGCTGTGTGACTCTTAAACAGCAGAGTCGGCAGCAGCGTCGAGGACAGCGTTCTTCTCGTCAGCGGCGGCGGTCGCGACATGGCCCATCTCAGCGGCAAAGGTGGTGTGAGGCTTCCACTTGGAGGACTTGATGGGAGTGGTCTCCTCCATCATCTTGTCGACCTGCTCGAGGGTGAGGCCCTTGGTCTCGGGGATGAGGAAGAAGGCGTAGAGGAAGCAGCCTACGCAGAGCGAGCCCCAGATGAAGAACACCTTGGCGCCGAGGTTGGCCTTGTCGGTGCCGACCAAGAAGGGAGTGATGACAGATATGATCTGTAAGTCTGCATTAGCATCAAAACTGGGTGAGAGAGTGAATGAATATTGTGACTTACGCAGTTCCAGAGCCAGTTGGAGGCGGTAGAGAGACCGACACCTCGAGAACGGATGGGCAAGGGGTAGATTTCGCCGATGACGACCCAGGCGCCGGGACCCCAGGTCGAGGCGAAGAAGAAGATGTACAGACAGATCAAGGCAATCATGCCCTGCACGGCCTTGCGGTTCTCGCCGTCGGTGACGCCCACGATGGCGACGATGAACTCACACGTGAACATGCCGATAGCGCCCCAGATAAGCAGTGCCCGACGACCGAAGCGCTCGATGGTCCAGAACGAGACGGGGGTAGAGCACACGTTGACCAAGGTAGTGATCAGGCCGATCAGGAAGGGATTGTCGATGGTGCCCAGGTCTTGGAAGAAGGTGGTGCCAAAGTAGAAGATGAAGTTGATACCCGTGAACTGCTGGAACATCTGCAGGGCGGTTCCGAGGATGATACGGCGGATGTTGCTGGCCGGGTTGAACAGGCTGCCGCTGAAGCAGTGCATCCAGGAGGCCCAGTAGCCCGCGGGGACGGCCTGCATCTCGTACTCGTGGTTGGCCACGATCTCAGCGAGCTCCTCGCGGATGTAGTCTGAGTCGCGGTCCTGGCCACGCAGCCGAGCCAGCACGCTCTGCGCATCCTCGAGCTTGCCCTTCTTGACGAAGTAACGGGGGGACTCGGGCAGGAGGAAGAGTCCGCCGGCCAGGATGAGGGCCCAGAGCATCTGCAGGGCGATGGGGATGCGGTAGGAGCCCGAGTCCTGGCGCGACTGGGTGCCGTAGTCGACGCAGGAGGCGAGCAGCAGGCCGACGGTGATGCAGAACTGGTAGCCGGAGACGATGGCGCCTCTGACCTTGCGCGGCGCGATCTCAGACATGTACAGCACGATGATGGCGGAGACGAATCCCACGCCGATGCCCGCGATCAGACGGCCGGCGACGAGCAGGTTGAGGCCCGCCGAGGCGGTCTGGAGGATGACGCCGACGATGAAGATGCCGCAGCCGGCGATGATGGTGGTGCGGCGGCCGATGATGTCTGCGAGGTCTCCTGCGGCGATGGAGCCGAAGAAGGTGCCTGCAGACAGGATCGAGGTGATCAGGGACTTCTGCCACGAGGGCAGGGCGAACTTGTCTTCGTGCGGCGGCGGGAAGTCGGACTTCTTGAGGCCGGTGAAGAGGGTGATGAAGTACTCCATGCCCATGACGCCGTTGATGTAGCCCGAGTCGAAGCCGAAGAAGATGCCTCCAAACGCCGCAAAGGCGCACATGAAGTAGGCCTTCATCGTCACCGGCGCCTCGACGCGCGAGACGTCTGTCGTGCCCGCCATGCTTGAGATGCTGGAGGTGTTGCTGTGAGGATGTTGCGGTTCCGGATGTCCTGGGGTGTTGTAGATAGAGGTAGCTGGGTGAAAAAACCTGGAGATCTGGAGACGGCCTGGAGATGAACCTGGAGATGAACCTGGGGAGCTCTCTCTTCTGCTTCTGCTTCTTCCTCTTTGCTTCTTCTTCTTCTTCTTCTTCTTCTTCTGCTTCTTTTGCTTCTTCTCTTTATCAGTCGTTGCTTTTTCCTCGTACAACCACTGGCGGCCAGGAGACAGACGGACAGAGAACGGGACGACGAGAGAGAGGAAGACGCAGGCAAGACGCCGTCCTTTAATAAAACGATCTTTGCCTCTCTGCCCGCCCTTATTTCCTGGCTGCAATAATAATGGCTAATGCAACCGTAATAATAGCAGGAAGCAAAAGAAGCAAAGAGAAAAAAGCCGAAGCAAAAGAGCTAAGGCCTGCTGTCTTTGCCCCTGCGACTGTCATCCCATTATTCGTTTTGCCTGTGCTCCGTAAAAGCAACTATCCCCGTACTCCCTAAAGCACGGAGAGATCTGTTTCCATGGCTCGCGGCGCGTGGCCTCCTTTGCTTCTTCTTCTTCTTCTTCTCCTTTCTCCCTTTCTCTCCTTTTCTCTGGCTGCTGGTTCCGTCCTTCTCCTCGTCTTCTTCCCTTGAGTCTTACTCTTCTCTTCGGTGAAATCTCTTCCTCCAGGCCTCTTCCATGCCCACCAACCCCCTGTCTAATCACCGAGACGGGCCATCCTCCAGCCCAGCCAGCCTAGCACCAGCCAGCAAGGCCCGTCCAACCAACCAGCCCGCAGTCTCTGTCGGCGGCAAAAGACCAGAGACCACCCAGAGGGCCCTCCCTGGCTCCTCTGCTCGATGTCACCCTGCCACCTGGAACCGGCCGAGCGTCGAACCGTGGATCGCCGTCAGAAGCAAGACGCAGCGTAAAAAGGTAACTAACTATGCATAACGAAGTGTAAGTGACCAGTGGACCTCGCGTGGCCGGGAGTTTTTTTGGCTCTGTGGAGATGCGCTGGCCAGTCAAGATGGGAAGAGGCGGCGATGGACAGGAGAAAGAGGGACAGCTTGCGGCCAGGACGAGAGGCAGACCAGACGGACAAGACGGACAAGACGGACAAGACAGACCAAGACAAGAGGGACGAGGACGGTGGCGATGGTCGCGTGTCGAGACAGGCTCATTTCCGGCCGGACAGCCAGTCTAAGCTGTTGGAATAATAATAATAATAATTTGAAGAGGCGTGAGAAGAGAGATGGAGACAAGCTTTGTGGCCTTGCTAGCCAGCCGGGACTCGTAAAGGCTGGCGGCCTCAGGATCGCTGCTTGGAGACCAGACAAGCAGCCAGTTAGTTAGTTACTGTATAACTAGTTCCCTGGTCTAGCGGCAGCGCCGGCTCTCGTCCTGGTCGGGGTTACATCTCGTCTCTGCTTCGAGGATTCTAGGGTTCTACGGATTCTACGGATTCTACGACTGCGCTGTCAACGGCCACCCCGGACTCTCGTTGCTTTTTCTCTTCCTTCATGCCAGCTAAGCTCGTCTTTTTGACTCTCTCTCTCTGTCCTTTTGACTGTCTTGACTGGCTGGCGCAGGCTTTGTTTCAGGCGCATGGCATGGTCACTCGGGCAGCCTGCATCGTCTCTTGCATGGGGCGCTACGCTGGGCCATTGGACGCATGCAGGCAAGGACAAGAAACAACAAAGTTAACCTTAGATGTAATAATACTTAATAGCGACTAAGTAGAAGAAGAAGTTAGAAGTACTCCCGCAGAGACTGCTATGAACTGCTCTCTGACCCGGCCTCGACTCGCTCCTCAATCCACTTGAACACATCGGCGCGGTGGTTGACCAGCATCTCGTTCAGCGTGTGCGCCGCCGTCGACTTCACCAGCCGCCCGTAGCGCTTGTACTGCTTCTGCTTGTTCTCCTGGCCCTCCCACACCATGTGCCGGTGGGACACAAAGACCAGGGAGTTCTTCATCCTTGTTACTCTTCTGTACTTTTTCTTCCATTTCTTTGTAAAAATGGGCCAAAGATAAAAGGGACTTCGGACTTACCTCTTTGTACCACTTGGAGAGCCAGGTGATGGTGGTGCTGGCGACGGCGCGGACGGGGTTCTCGGCCACAAAGCATATCACGCCACTGACCATTGTGTGGACTCGCTCTAGTTAGTTAGTTGCCCAGTTAGCGGAATAGCATTTGAAATAAAAAGGTAGGTAGAAAGACAAACCCTTGTTGATGAGAAGGTTCGCCAGTCCGAGAAAGGCATCGCCCACCCCCATGAAGAAGATGCGGCTGGCGTCGTTGGTCCTTCTGGTTGTTAGTAACAGCCATACTGCTGCTGCAAGTAATGACAGATCAGTGGGATAGACGCACTCGATGTAGTTCTCCCACAGGTACTCGGCAAGCTGCTCGGAGAAGAGGGCCCGGTTCGGGCTCTCCCGCTCGTAGCTCCGTGAGTTTTGCTGCATTTAATTAATAATAATTAGTTTATTAATTTGGTTACTATTTTATGGTGTGGTGTCACTTACGTCGGCTTCTGAGATGTGCTTCGGGATGTTGACGTCGATAACGCCCACGTTATGCTCGACCGCCCAGGAGATGTAATCCTTGACATTATCAGCCTTGTTTGTTCCCTCTGTTAGCCACTCCTCGTTTCGGACTTGCTTGTGACAGTCTGTGGGCAGTCAAACGTACCAGCCAGGTGTTGTGGGCTTCAAGCACGTTGGTCACCGGGTGCGGGATGCCCATCAGCTCGGGCCTGTTTAGTTACACTTATTTTAGCATGCATACACCAACACTAACGACAGCAGTAACGGTGGTAGTAGTAGAACTTACGGGTCGTGGAAGATAACAAGCAGAGTGTCCACCTTGTCGTAGTTCTGGCTGTGTAACACCCACCAGTTTAGTTATAAGGTCGTCGCTTATTGCCGAGTTGCAAAAAAGGCGAGAAAATAATATATACGTGAGTTGCCGAAAGACAGAGACTTACCTCGCCAGCACCTGGTTCTCAAACGACTTCGAGATCGTGTCCCGGTAAATGTACAGGCTCGTCAGCTTATGCTCCTCATACAGCTGTTTCGCCTGGTACTGCCGGATGATATCTGTAACCCCCCAACACTAATTAGCAGTCTTCCCTCTTCTCCTGTTATCACCATACATACCATGTACACGGTTGCCGGCAAAGTTCGACGACGGGCCTAAAGCGGTAAGGTAAGCGTCCATACATCATCATCGTTTGCCTGCTAGTTTGCTTATTCTTCGCTCACCCTTCGGATACATGCACTTCCAGTACCGCGAGTGCATCATCGCCACCTCTCTCACCGTCTCAACGGCCGGCCGCGACGCTGACGGCGCAATCAACCGATCGGGCGGCTCGCCCATCAATGTCCGCGTAACCGCTAGCGCGGACTTGGAGATCGAGCGGAAGTTATACCCTCCCTCAAGACACACCGCTACCTTTCCGTTGGCAAGGTTCATCAGCATGCGTGTCATGTGTGAGTAGCAAGGGGGTGTCACGAAACAGCCTCCCAGCTCGTCGCCCGCCGCCGCATCGAAGCCGGCGGATACTACATGACACCAGGCTGTTAGACGTGCAACATGGAACCCTGAATTATGTATTTATCCGATGATTTGTGATAACGGCAACTTACTGATGACGAGGTCGGGATCAAACTCGTAGCCGATTGGCATAACAACCTCCTGGAAGGCATAGAGGTAGTCGCCGTCTCCCATGCCTTGTGTCGGCCAGGGGATGTTGACGTTCCTATAACAGTAAGCATAAAAGATCATACCATCATGATATTATAGTTTGTTTCGACGTACTTCCCTAGACCGAGACCTTCACCGCAGTAGTCCCAGTTGCCCTCGTCACCGCCGGGATAGAAGCTGCCATCCCGGTAGACATGGATCGAGATGTATAGTACGTTCGGGTCATTGTAGAACATCCTCTGCACGCCATTGCCTGGTACCGTTAGACCCCATACATGCATCACAATTTATTATATTATACTGATAAAACCGCACATACCATGATGGACGTCCCTGCAGCAATAATTAGTCTATATCAAGCATCAAGTTCAAATTTTGCCTTCACTTACCAGTCCAGAATCATGATCTTGCGACATTTGTCCCCAAGAACATGCTGGCATGCCCTCGCAGCCACAGAGACATTATTAAACAGACAAAAACCCATCGTCTTATTGCTCTCGGCATGGTGGCCGGGCGGACGAATCACCGCAATCGCATTCTTGACTCGCTCCTCCGCCACAGCCTTGCACGTCTCAATTGCACCTCCGCACGAAAGCAGCGCAGACGTAAACGTCAACGAATTAAAATAGATAGAGTCCCGCGTATGTTCAAGCTCAAGCAGTTCATCCTCCGACATATCTACCCCCAGTTAGTTAGCCAGGAACACAAACCAAATAAAATCCATTCATCATCAGTCAACCCTTCTCACTTACCCTTCGTGCTTTTCACAAACTCATAATGCTCCTTGGTATGCACTAACATGATCTCTGCCTCCGTCGCATCTCTCGCCTCAATCCTCTTCAGCGGCTGAGGCACCAATGGCCCCTGAAACTCCCCTCCATCAGCAATCAGCCCAGCCCTACCCAGCTCTCGATAGATATAATACACGCGCCTGGGATCTTCCGGATGGACGTCCAGTGTAGGCTTCACTTCACAATGATACCGCATGCGATTATCATAGCAATACCCCGTCGGAAGCTGGGCGCGGTGCAGCGCCCTACTGCGCCCTTCATGGTGATCAGCAGACCAATCTGAGTCCTCTGCCTCTTCGTCTGCGATGGCGGTATCTGCTTCGGCCTTGACGTGGTGTCCTGCCGCCACAGTGGGCCGGGGCGTGCCGGTAGTAGGATCGTTGTTGGGAGTCGAGATGCCTGCTTGGTGGTCTTCAATCTCCTTCAGCAGTTTCCCGGGACTATGCACTTTTTGGTGGAAGGTCGCTAGTAGGGACTGAGTATGTTCCTTGGATCCATTGGGGGCTTGTATTTGTGCTTCTGGCGTGAGCGATGCCTCTTCTGCAGACGGAGGAGACGGACGACCGCCGCCGATGGGGATGGTGGAGGTTGATGTGGGAGCTGGGCCTGGTGCGGATTCTGGTACGCGAGCTTCGCCCATGACCACGTCTTCGTCCCCGTCCATGATGCTTGGTACGTATACGATCGCTAAGAGATGATGGAAATGAAAAAGGAAGTCGACGGTCAGAGCTCGATGGTCATAGTACGAGCTAGAGATGGTATCATGCAGGAAAAGACGGGGCCGTGGAAGCTATTCAATTCCTCTGGTTCTTTTCTTCCTCCGCGGGTGTGACAAGGCAAAACCAAAGCTGGAAATGAGAACCAAATGCGCTAGCTCAACTCCCCATCAATGTAATGTTTGAGATCTCAGTTGTAAAGAAGAAAAGTGAACAGTAATTGACTGGCTATTAGGCAAAAGGTCCAGAGGCCAGGCAGGCGCCTTTGGGCATCAGCACGCCAATGCGGCCAGGACAGTGTGTATAGAAGGTATAGATGCACGGCAAAGACGTCAGCGGCGCCAGATGCACATAGAGCGAGAGCTATGTGTGTCCTGTAGCCGCCAGCGTTGCCAATTCCAGGGTATAAGATGCAGACAGCCTGCGACGAGGAAGAAGATGCAGTGCAAGATGCAGCAGCCAGCGGATGAAGATCGAGCAAGTCAAGCAACTTGATGAAGCTTTGAGGGCGTAACTTTTTGGCCTTAAGAAATAGAGGATCACGTGATATAAATAGTTAGTTGTTCACGTGATCGGCCTTGCTCGCGCATTCTGCAGGGGAAGATTTCAAAAACGGCTTAAGATGATTAGGGGTAGCTTAAGGGTAGCATGAGAGCAGTTTGAGAGCAGATATTTTTTGATGAAAGTGGATTGAAGTTGAAGATTGAGAGGTTTGGGGTTAAGGAGAAGATGGAGACCGGCCTTGAAACAGTCAGGCAAGGCCACTACAGGTAAGTTTTGTCAAGAAATACTGAGATAGTGGCATTGATTTCATATTTATCCATTCTTATGAATATTTCAGCCCTTCACAGGCAAAGAGAATTACATTCTTTTTTTTATTTACTTTTCTGGGGTAAGGTGGTATCCACTTTTGTTGGTTTATATTGGTAGTGGGATATAGGGAGGAAGAGAGAGAAATGGGAAACTGGTGGTGGACCTAACTAGAGCATGCTCCGTTGTTCCGCACTTCCCGTTAGTTGCTATTTGCAGCCGGAGTCGACCTTGGCGATGTAGGCTGTGGAAGATGCGTGTTAGTTTATGCCCTGAATTCGAAGCAGACAAAACAACGAAGAGGAGAAGCTTACAGATGAGGTCAACGACACGGCGAGAGTAGCCCCATTCGTTGTCGTACCAGGAGACGAGCTTGATGAAGTTCTCGTTGAGGGCGATACCGGCACCGGCATCGAAGATGGAGGAGTTGGTGTTGCCGTTCATATCAGTGGAGACAACGGCGTCCTCGGTGTATCCGAGAATACCTATACCATCATTAGACAAGTTATACTTCCATTGAGGATAGAGAAGACGCATAAAAAAACATACCCTTGAGCTCGCCCTCGGAAGCGGCCTTCATGACCTTCTTGATCTCGTCGTAGGTGACTGGCTTCTCGGTGCGGCAGGTCAAGTCGACAACGGAGACGTTGGATGTGGGCACACGCATGGACATACCAGTGAGCTTTCCGTTGAGCTCTGGGATGACCTTTCCGACGGCCTTGGCGGCACCGGTGCTGCTGGGGATGATGTTCTGGGCAGCGGTACGGCCACCACGCCAGTCCTTGCCGGAGGGACCGTCAACGGTCTTCTGGGTAGCAGTGTAGGAGTGGACGGTGGTCATCAAACCCTCCTTGAGACCCCAGTTCTTGTGGACGACCTTGGCGAGGGGAGCAAGGCAGTTGGTGGTGCAGGAAGCGTTGGAGAGGACCTGGACATCGGCAGTGTACTTCTCCTCGTTGACACCCATGACGAACATCGGGGCATCAGCAGAGGGAGCAGAGATGATGACCTTCTTGGCACCCCCCTTCAAGTGAGCGCTGGCCTTCTCGGTGGTGGTGAAGACACCGGTGGACTCGACGATGTACTCGGCTCCAGTCTCGGACCATTTGATGTTGGCTGGGTCACGCTCAGCGTAGAACTTGATGTGCTTGCCGCCAACGACGAGGCCACTCTCGTCGTGCGAGATTTCATCCTTGAATTGGCCGTGTTGAGAGTCATATTTCAACATGTATTCCTGGTCGATCGATGTTAGCAGGTCGACCACATCAATGCATCAATGCATCCCAGACAGACATAAGACATACGGCGTATTTGGTCTCAATGAAAGGGTCATTGACAGCAACAACCTGGATGTCTGGGTTCTCGTAGCTATGGCACCGTGGTCAGCTATAATTGTCCTTCTCTCACGGCGTCCACCCCCTCAATCCCACTTGTCGAGGCCCAACTCACGCATTGCGGAAGACAATTCTGCCAATACGACCGAAGCCGTTGATTCCGACCTGGGACTCCTGTTAACCTGACGAACCGCAGTGCGAAAGAGGTCGTTTTTCTGCTATTATATGTACCTTGACAACCATGATGGCGGGATGATTCTGTATAGCGGGGTAGCAGTTAGTATCCCACCACAACCACAAAACACGGCCGTCTCGGGGTCGACGGAGGCCATCGGCTTACCTAGATAAGACTTGAGACGAGCTCGTAGACGAGAAGATGGAGGACTTCTGAGATGGTGATAGTGAAGCAGAGAAGAAGCAGAAGAAAAGACGAGAGAAAGAAAGAGGTGGAGGGGAGGCGGGCGAGGGGCAGGCAATAAATAACGCTCTCGGCCTCCGCCCCGACTTGCTTTCAATCTCTTGCGAGCAACTGACGCAACAGAAACTTAACCCTGGCAGCCCTACCCAGCTCTCGCTCAACCACCGTTTTCAAGGACTATTACAGGCCTACGGGCTACGCTGCCGTACTACGGAGTTGGTTTGGTGCCCGCGGGTTCTCCTGACACGCCGGAGAACAACCGCCCGCAGACATCTCCATCTACTTTCGGCCGCTGAGACATGGATGGCGGGTTGATCATATGGAGACGGGGTCAGTCGGACAGCTTCCTTTCCACTCCCACGCCTTCCTTTCCTCCCTGGCGAAAAAAAGACTCCCGAGATGTCCCGCTACAGGAGGTCGGGCGGGTAGTCGTGGACAACGCTTAGTATTTCAGTTACCCACCCGGCTGGTGTCTTTCCCTCTGCTTCGATGGACTTCTACCGCTGCAGCTCTCGGCTTCTTTCCTGGCTTGCTCTGCTCGCCAATTGACCAGTTCCAATTCGTCTTCTGTGTCCAGAAGAACTTCATCTCAGCTATCAAATATCCATTCCTTCATCTTATTTTCCTTCAAGGTTTGCGGTTTCGGCGGCAAAAAACACTCTGCTGCATTTGGAAAATTTGTCCGATCGGTATAATGTTGATCCGCAGAAAGAGCCGGACAGCCGAATAGAATGCATGGAGACGGGAAGATATACTACTTCTAATAATAATACAGTGATGATGGATCAAATGGATAGATTGGATGTTTATGTGACTGGTTTGTCTATATTGGGAAACCCTCTTCATATAGTGGCGCACCTCGACTTGGACAAGCTCTAAGGGCGCTGGCGTGTTTGCGGAGTAGACCATACTGGACATGGTCACGCTTGGTCACAAGCCGGTAGTTCCTCCCTGGGAATGGCGGCTCAGCATCTGGCCCTACTTTAGGGCAGAGTAGCGTTTCATTACCTTCACCGCCGAACGGGTTGCGGTGAACTATTAGCCTTAGCGATCGGATTCCCTCAGGCCCAAACGCCCATTGAACAAACTTGTCAAAGTCCTGAATCAGGCGTCGATGAACAGATAGAACTTTAGAAAGCCTCCCTATTTCTTCTAGTCCTTTAAATGGTTCAGGATGTATATGGAAGCCTCGAATAAGCAACACTTTCAGGCTGCCCATGGTAGTTAGCGGAGAGAGAGCTGGTATCTAACAACATCGACTTATTAGTATTTTTCCCAGAGCATTGAACCAGAATCAAAACACACCAGGTATCTTGGCTCATAGCTGACCCCGAGCAGCTCCAAATCCAGATGCTTCAAAGTCAACCTCTCGGGTTCTATCTCATTGTGGTACGGAGGGTCAAATGAAAGGTTCGGGACATAGTACGGTGTTGGAGCAGCATGTGGACCTTCAGTTTTGCCGGGAAGAGAGTAGAAAGCAAAGGACTTGAGTGTCTTTCGGTGCCGAAGGAGCGATTTCCAGAGTCGCTCAAGACCAAATGCCCGTTCTATTGCAATAAATACGTTTTCGAGTGGTTGACATTTCTCGATATAATTTGCTAGTTCATGGCACTCCTCGGTCTGCCGATCCATCACTCCAGGTAAAGATCCGGAGTATGCCTGCACCTCCAACGTTCGTAGATGAAAAGGGCGGTCCTCAGAGTTAAGTAAGGGTAATAAATCCTCCCAGAAAAGGCAAGATCTTAAGGACAGGGTGTGCAGCACCTCTGGATTCAAATCCTTGAGTAAGCTAACTCGGCCTTTGTTGAATAGATATCCTTCGAGTACGAGATGCTGTATATTCGGGAACCGGAGCTGATCATTTCGACATGGCTTTATCAGCGCCTCCGTGAAGTGCTGGTCCTCGATATCATATTCATCGCCCAAGAGCTGCCAGTATATGCAGCTGATTTCAAGGTACTCCAGTTGACCGCAGTTGAGTGTCACGCAGTCCCGGATATTCTTTACTTCGGATTCATGGTCAATAAACGTGGATTCTTCCACATTAAGTATTGCCAGGCGTTTTAACCTGGAAAATAATTGAGGGTGTTGTAAATTACAACATTCAAGGAACCCAAAGCGGAGCTGTTCTATAAAAGGCTGTCTAGTAGGAAGATACCCCCCCTCTCCCATGATCTCAGGTGGGATAACGTCTTGCCTGGCCCAGCTTCCATAGTATATTCCTATGTCAACTCGCAATTACATTACTTGGGACAGACATTGCTCACCTAAAACTCTTCAAAAATCCCTCCCTGCATCTTATTAATACGGACAGTATCCTCCGCCTGGATCCAAGGTTGAATAATTCAGGATAAAATTTAGGGTCGCCATCAGGATCTATCCACCGCTTCTTATCCGCTTGCTCGGCACTACTGAGACCTTGGTAAAGATCCCAGTTATAAAGAGAATCAATCACACTTTCATTGCTATCGAATCTGGTGCAATAGTGGTTGGGTGAGTCGGTGCAAGGGGAATAGTCTTCAAAATCGAAATCATTGGGCCCAGTTAGAGATTTGTTGCATAAAACTTGAATATTCCTGGTATATTGAAGTACTCCCGCTCTCTGGTGAGCCTGGATTATGCCATAATCGTTCCTAGAGGTTGAAATAAAGATATTTCTGTATAGAAACGGATTAGTGACTTCGTTCCAAAACCGTGATGTTTCGGACAAGCTTTTCAGGTCAACCCGATCATCAAGTTGTGATACGATCGTCCGAAGAATATCTAGGGGATAATTCTCCAACATGCTGCTCCCATTGGACAGCAACTTATGATACCAAGGAAAGCAGAGACGAAGTTTGTTGATGGCTCTCGAAAACATTGATCCTAAAACAACTGTAAGGGGTGAAGAAACATCTTATGACTAAGCAGAGATAACACTGGCTGTTAGATAAGATATCTGAATTGTTTCTATCAAAATATGTTAAGTCTATGGGATGCTTCTTTATTTATCAACGCAACGCCGAGGACAGGACGCATAGCCGATAAAAATGAAAAGAGGACAACCAAGCAAATAAAAGGGGATAAAAAAGGAAGAAAAAAAAAAGAAAAAAGAAAACGAATATTCATAATACCGGCATGAAAGGAAGAAGAAAACAGCTTTGCCTCATAATGTCACAATTCCCAATCCCATTCATCCACCCGGTCCGGCTCCAAGACAAGAAGAAGTTTTGAAAAGAAAATATTTCGCCTCAGTGTCTTTTTACTTTACTCTTCCTTAGCACCGCCCCTCCAGTTCTTCTCAGCAGACTCAACACTGGCCTTGTCGGTCTTGACAGGTGGCTGGCCCATGCCCATCATTCCACCGGCAGCCTTCCATGGTCTTTCAAGATCACCCTTGGCAGGAACGTTGAACAAGTGGACCTTGACGATGTTGCTCTCCAGGGCGCTCTTGATGGGGATGATGGACTGCATGAGCAATGGGTTGGTGTATTTGAAATATAGGTGCATGACGGCCATCATGCCGACGCCCATGAGCTGGGACTTGAGGGCGGCGCGAAGCTGTTGCTTGTCGTACTCCTGGACGGTGGTGACGACCGGACGGGGTTCGTCTTGGGAGCCCATGGCTGGGGGCTCAACGTACTTGAGAGTTTTAAGGTCTGTATCTGTTGCGTTAGTGGGCGACGGTTGAACATAGCCTGAACTGGAGATTGGTTAGGCGTACCTTTCTTCTGGACAATAACGGTGTAGATGTAGTAGTAGAGTGCTGCAATGGCAATGTTGGAGGCGATGTACATGGTGCGAACGCCGAGGAGGACATCTGGGTTATCGAAGGGGATCTTCTTCGACACTTGCATCATGACCAGGATGATGGCAAGGTTGGTTCTATAACCAAGCTGTTAGCATGTCTTCTTCAACTCTCCCAGCCTCTCCAGGGTTATCCCCAGATGCGCACGCGGGCTCTTTGCTATCTTGGTCAAAATTGAGGGTCCGGGGAGCTCTTACATTTGGGGGCTAAACATCGAGAAAGCCATGGTGAACAAAGATGCAACTGAAGACTGCAGACGACAAGACAAGACAGAGAGTAAGACGACGGATAGTAAAGCAACGGTGCTGCGATCCCAAGGCTGCGAAATTTATCCTGCTTCCTCCTTGCTAAACGAGAAAAAGGGCTGCTGAAAAGTTTCCCATGCGGCCACCAAAGCTATAAGTCACGTGATGTATTACATAATCTGATATCAACTCCTCGCCAGAACTTCAAGAAATGGGCCGACGAAGAAGCGCACAGAAGAGAGAGAGGATGGAGGCCGAGATGGAGACGGGGAGGCCAGAGATGCTCGAAGCGAAGACGCATCGCCCTCCGGAGCGATGCCCCTGTGCAAGAAAGAGAAGCTCCAAACCCGTCTTCCCTGGCAAGAGTGACTACCTACACTCTATATGTGATGTTGGACATACTCGCAAGATGGCCATCCTCTACCTACTAACACAGGCTGCTGAGCATCTCGACAGCGACTACTAACCACCACTAACTCCAAGCAGCGACAGGCTCGCCCCTACGCCATGCTATCCGCTCTGTCACCGACCTGCCACCGCCGCCACTGCCTCCCTCCTTCACTTCGCGCTGCCCGTCGCCTTCACTCCCGCTTGCTTCACCCTGTGACAACCGTCCGTCCGAAAGCGGTCTAGCGCCCTTTCTCTGCAAGCAAGGAAGGAAGAAAAAAAAAAAAAAAAAAAAAAAAAAAAGGGCCCACGCTATGACCAACATCGACCGACCGTCCACTGAGGAAGATAAACTTACCTTACTTAACATCTTTATCCCTCCAAAACCCTCCAACTTAACCTGCCAGGCAGCAGAAGAAGAAATACACGCGAAACGCACCACGCTTTACTCGCACCCTCCCCCACTCATACAAAAGCACACCAGCTTCCGACGCGCCATAGCACCGCTCGCATCGCCTTTTCCCGTTTTCACACGACGATAAAGACAAGGATACAACCATGCCAGGAGGCAAAGGAAAGTCCGTGGGAGGTGGAAAGGCCGCGCCCAAAGATGCCAACGGCAAAGGACCACGATCGCACAGTGCAAAGGCCGGACTGCAGGTTCGTTGCTCCCTCCCCTAGTGACCGACAGCTGAGTCGGCTATCTTTTCATGTCTTTTTATCTCCGCCTTGGGGGGGTGAATGACACGTGTTTGTTGGTCGTGTATACACACAAGACCACAACGCGCATCGCAGTCGGTTATCTACCTGTTGATGCGGCGATAGATGCTGACCGGTGGTTTGCTATGTAGTTCCCTTGCGGCCGTGTCAAGCGATTCCTAAAGAGCAACACGCGCAACAAGATGCGCGTCGGAGCAAAGGGTATGTTATGATTTTATTCCCCTCCCCCTTCCCTATTCCACGGATGGACCCGAATGCTTATACGCCCTTCTCTTGCTCCCCACAGCCGCCGTCTATACTACAGCAGTGCTCGAGTACCTGACCGCCGAAGTCCTGGAACTCGCAGGCAACGCCGCCAAGGACCTGAAAGTCAAGCGTATCACGCCGCGACATCTCCAGCTCGCCATCCGCGGTGACGAAGAACTCGACACTCTCATTCGCGCCACCATAGCCTACGGAGGTGTCCTGCCACACATCAACAGAGCCTTGATCACCAACGCCGACAAGAAGAAGCACAGCTAGAACACCTTCTCCCAGTCCAACCCCCATCTTCCATATCCATACCCATACCCGTCAAACTGTCTTCGAACTGTGACAAACTACTTGTCTCTTTTTTTTTTTTTTACTTCTTTTTTCTTCTTCTTCTCTTAACGCGGCGTTCTGCTTGTTTCAACCGGTCCACTCCGAAATATCCATACCTCAACTCACCTCTTTCCCGTGCTAACCAGGGATTAAACCACCCCTTTGCTTCCTCGTGTGTTGCTATTATATGAATTACGCGTTGCACGCGCTGGTTTTATTTTGACGTGGGCTTCAATTTTTATCTCTATACAATACAGCAACGTATACGCTATGCTTACGCCAGAAAAAGAAAGAAAAAACAAAAAAACAAAAACAAAACAAAAGAGATTCCATCTCTCTGACCTTTGCTTGCTTACCTGCTTTTCACCTTTCATGTCGTGTTTGGTACGCTGAACGGATGGAAGAAGTCAGTAGATTTCCCAGGTAACCAAACGAAACTGCTGCTCTCCCAGGTCGATCGATACCCACAGCACAGCCAAGGTCAGCCGGCCAGCCCAGAGTCAAAGTCAACCAGCTTCGTTCTGTCCTTTTTGTGTCTTCATTTATATCCTCTTCGTCCCTTTTTTCCTTTTCTTCTCTTTCTATTGCTTCCTTTCCTTCTGTCATGTTATATTAGGGCGCTGTTTAATAGTGGGTGGTAGATGGGCATGCAGTGGGAGGCTCTGGCTTATAAGGAACAGTTTCTATCTTAACAATCGAACCAAAACTGCTTGATATAAAAAAATGGACGGCTTGTATGATTTTTTCCCTTGATTCTATACTACTTGTTTCACTTGGTGTATGATAGTTTGTCTTTGTGTGTTTCGTATTTGTAATTGTGATGCGGATGGAGAGTCAAGAACAACCTCGTATTTATCTGGAGCGAGTATAGATGCAACATAGTAAAGTATAGAGTAGTAAAGAGTTGGCTGACAGACTTGAGATGCTTATCTATGACACTTGGTAGTCAACTACAATAGGTAAACCACCATGAAGCATTAATATTAGCAGCAGGTAGTTAGCATAGTAAACAAACATTAACATTGTCAACAACATCAACATCAACAACATCAACATCAACAACCACAACATCAACAACCACAACATCAACAACCACAACATCAACAACCACAACATCAACAACCACAACATCAACAACATCATACTATCTATCTACATCACTATGACCGTCAACCACCAACGTCTCCTCAGATTGGAACATGCTAGCTGTCTGGCCAGTGGCACTACAACTGTAAGCATATCTATTCCAGAAATCTCATCATAGGAAACCCAACATCTTCAACATCGTCAACTCAAACGTGATATGTAAAAGGCAGAGCATGAGGATTTGTCACTGTCCGAAGACTCGAAACCAACGTGTAAAAGTGAATCAAGTTGTCACTGTTGCGAGGGAAGGGAATGGGTTGTAAGTGCTTGTGTTTTGTGTGGGTGGGAATGGATGCTCAGTGTGGAAGTCATATGTATGTGTATGCAACGCGTACCGCGCATCCACTCCATAGGCTCAGATCTGGTGAGAATGCACTTTGTAGCACGACTCACAACAAGACCCTGAAAGCCGAAGCAGTGGGAATTGTGCGTGTCTGTTGCTTTTTGCTCTGTTATGTATCATCATAGCCATGTGTTCCTTGCAATGTAGAACATTTGTGTGTGAAACGAGAAAACACCCTAAGCTGCTCGAGAGAAGCTGAGAGGTAGACTCGTAGTGCAGAAGAGAAAGGGAAGAAAGGGGAAGATGTAAACTAGAAAGAAGTATTAGATGTCTGTATATCGCGTTGTTGGTGATGAGAAAAGCAAGAAGAGCAAAAAGAGCAAGAAGAGCAAGTGCAAGAAGCAAAAACAAGAAAAGGGGCTGGTTGGCTGGAGTGAAGGAAGGAAAAGGGAAGGAAAGAGGAAGGAGGTCAGGAAAGGGAGGAAGGAGGCCCTTTTTATATCTGTTCTGGAAGGCGCCAAAGCTAAGCGAGGTTTCAACTACGCGCTCTGATTTGCCAGCGTTGCTTGCCTGATTTGGCAGTCGCGAGGGCCCAGCCTCCCTTTTTTGGCAGTCACGACCTTGTGATGACAAACAGCAGGACAGGACAAGACAAAACAGGAAAGGACAGGACAGGACAGCGAGGTCAAGATATTGGAAGATTGGAAGACAGACAGTTCAAGTATTCAATTGCTTGATTTGTTTGATATTGGATATAGAATGAGGTATCAACAGCAGCAATTTATGTCATTTTATGACCCTTCTTTCCTCCACAACCATCAACCGCCACCACCACCACCGCCATTTTTGAGAGCGCGCCTTTAGATTTCAGCACAACGCCAGAGTAGTAGATCAAGAAGCAGAAGAATATGAAATAGGAGACAGACAGACAGATAGACAGATAGAAGAAAGGAGAAATAGGAGACAGGTTTTGAGACTGTCTCTCTTTTTTTTTTTTGTAGTTTTTGGCTATCACAAGTAGGTATGTTTCTAGTTCTCGCCCAGGATAGTAAGCAACGTAGCAAGGGGCAATGCGAGAATTGGGGGTATTCAAAGTAGTAGTAGATGAAGAGGCAGCGACTCATATGTAGAACTTGGGGAGTGGGTATTGATAGTTTTGTTTTCATGAACTCGAGCAAGGGAGTAGTGGTAAGGATACGCTTTGGTCTATCTTCTTTTTTGCTCTTGCACTTTTCTAACGATAGATGGAACGGCAGAAGAGGCGGGCGTCAGTAACTAGGCGCGTTGATAGAGAGCGTTCAATAGTCTCTATCACTCATCGCTGGTTCCGAGCACTGCGTCTCTGCATCATCTGTGGACTGCCGTGGGTATGTCCTGTGCTGCCGTCTCCTCCTCGGCTCTGGCTCTGGCTCTGGCTCCGGCTGTGGTTCTGACTGTGGTTCTGGCTATTATCATCGACCAGCGTGTTAGCAGGACTCGTTGCCTCGCTGCTAGTGAACGTCTCTGTGACCCTGTTACGGTCCAGATCCCGTCCGACACCGCTACCTAGATTGTTATTATCATTGCTATTCATGTTCATATTGGTAGAACCAACATCGCCAAGACCACTTAGGCCATGGCTGGACGCGCCGTCGAACTGATCAAACGTGTCGAAGAAGTTCGGGGTTGGCTGCGATGGGTCGACTGACGGGTCGGCAGCCAGAGTGTCAAAATCGAACAAGTCATCTGTTTGGTTGTTGTCAGCCGTAGCAGTGATATTGTTATTGCTGTTATTGTTGTTATTATTATTGCTGTTATCATTCTTTCCTCCTGCAGTGGTAGTTGCGGCAGCGTTGTTGGGATCTGCCTGGTTTTGGCTATCCTTGGAAGAGTTGTTCTCTACGCCAGGGATGTCAGAGAAGTAGTCGCCGCTATTGAAGATGTTGTCTAGGTCAAGTGGTGGAGGCGGTATCTGGGTGTTGTCTATTCCTGGGATGGAGCCCGTAGGACTAAGCGGCTGTAGCATGTTCGTCAGGTGTTGCACAGATCTAGCCTGCTCGGCCTGCATCTTCACCAGGTTGTCCAGCTCAGAGCGTGTATTAGCAAGCTGAGCTGAGTAGTTGGACGGCATCTGAGGCGCGTTGGGCGCAATCAAGGCATTGTTCTGCGGTTGGCCACCCGTTGGATGGGCAGCATTGTTCTCATTTGAGATTAAGCGGAGCATGTCAGCACGCTGAGCAGGAGTAAGAGGTGAGTTGCCGCCAGACGTTTCGAGGGAGGACAGCACAGTAGGGAAGTCGGAAGGGTTAGTAGAGAAGCTGCTGCGTGCGTTGGAGTTCTGGATAAGGGACATGATGTCTCGTTGTGGGAGGTGACCGGGACTGCCCTGGTGCTTGGGGTGAGGGTGTGTAAGGTTCTGGTTCTGCGCCTGTGTCTGTGGTTGTGGTGTCTGCCGGGGCTGACCCTGGCGTTGTAATTGCGGTTGCTGCTGAGCTGGAGCAGTGCTGGTCATCGGGCTGGTAGGGTCAAACAGCTCCTCTACTTCAGAGACTGGCTGGACACTGACCTTGTGAGGGCCAGAGCTGCTACTGCGTTGATGGCCAACATACGCACTGTTGGCCGGATTTGGAGACAGGGTATTATGCCTTTGGCCATCGCGAGTGGGCGGTGCTCCAAGGAGAAGTCTCTGCTTCTTAAACGGTGGCTGGTTGGGAGTGAGCTCCGACTCATAGTTATCTGCCAGCTCATCAACGTCGACAATATTGCCTGACAGGCCCTGGTGGTCCTGGGATATAGCTCCAGCAAATGAGTTAGCTAGCCCCTGAGCACCTTCGTGGCCCTGTAAACTTCTGTTGTAAACAGTAGCTAGAAAGGTGAGGATGGCGTTGATCGAGTTTTCATGACGGGTATGTTGTTCCTGGAAATTCGCAGCCTGCTCATACAATTGTTCATGATCCCTTCGTAGCTTCTGGATCGTGCTCGAGATAACATGCTGCTGATGCCGAATGGCTTGCAGCTCACGGTAGACATCCGTCAGCTGATCTCCATGTAACATCCCTTCTCCCGACCCGAGAGCAAGCTGGCCTCTGAACCGTGATTTGTCTTCTCGGCCTCCAGCACCGCTTGGACCACCGCCACCTTCTTCTCCAAATTCTTCACCTTCGGCATCATCCACATCAGGCTCCAGCTTGACACGGCCGCCCTTTGAGCCTCCTCTGCCTTGGCCGGATACATTTTTTGGCTTTTGGATCAGCCACAGGAGGTCGGGTTGTCCACGTTTGAAGTAAGGGTTCGAATATTCACTGGGGCTCTTATTCTTCCTCTCGCTAGCTCTCATCGAGTTGTCTGATAGTCCAACCTTCTTGTGGAAGCCATACATGTTCAATTGCCGTACAAACGAGGCATAGTTGTTGTGCTTGAAGAGTTCGGGTATCAGCGATTTCGCAAACTCATCCTCATCCAGGACAATGAACGAGTTTCCATCCTCAGACCACTGAATTAAATCTGCGTTTTTCGAATCGTCGAGGAAACTACAGTTCACTAGTTAGTATAAATGAAACGGTCCGGTTGAACTAAAGGTTATAGCAACATACCTGGTCAGCTTCTGAATGAAAGGAGGAATATGTTTTCGCTTGGCCAGCGATTCCTTCTTGACTCTAAGAGCTCTCTGTCTCATCTCTTCCTCAGTCTCGCCAGTTCCTGAATTGCCAACATCATTCATGCTCAGCGAGTTTTGATCCATCATCGGTACCAAGTTTTGATCTCCCATCCTAGCCCGACTGATTATCTGGTTGTTTCCGGGTCGTCTGGTAAGTTGGTTTGACATTAGCCCAGTCCCATCATCGCCAGCCGTAAACGCAGCGCTGTTCGGGTTTGGTTGATTTACACCGGAAGTTGCCGTGTTGGGCGCCCATTGCTGTAGAAATTGCTCGTTCGAGAGCTGCGATGGAATTGGGAAGTTTGGCAATGAAGACATCTGCTGATGCGCTAATGGTGTTGCTCCTGGTGCAGGCCTCTTGCGCGAGAGGCTTTGTGATGACATGACTTCGGAGATACCGGTATTTCAAATAACAATAGACACCCCCCTCAGCTCTGAGCTGGTTGTGTCCTTGGCTTATGGAAAGATTGACCGGGGGTGTGGGGGAAGGCTCGGGAGGCAGGTGAAACGAAGATGCGTCGGTATCGGGATGATAAATAAGGCAAATTGATCCGTTATCGCTGATATGATGAAAAAAAGTAGATATGTAAGATGGATGTGGTAGATTGCGCTGCCCTGGCCGTAGTTGTTGGATGCGACGGAAACTCGGCGGGGAGCGTCAGACTCGACCGTTAAACTCGACAGATCACCTCGAGAACTCGAAAATTGCCATCAATGACTCTGCGCCCTCGATTTTTTGATGCAGGATATCGGCCTGAAAACTTTTAATCCTCCTTGTCCTATCTCTTCGACTCGCATGCAGGCTCCAAAGCCTTCTGACACACCGCCTGCAGGCCGCTGCAAGAGGGGAAACGTCACAGGGAAGTCGGACGAGGAGAAATGCGTAGGACCGACAGTACAGGAGCGTCGAAGGGAAGAGATCGATTGCACTGGTGCTGCAAAGGGCGAGTTGATCTGTTGACATGCGCTAGAGATACAAGTCAGCTTTCGTCTTTCTCCCGCAGAACTGATATTACGTTAGATAGGCAAATTCGCGTCTGGAAGGCTTGGCAAAATGGCATGTTTTCATTGGTTCGGAACAAGCCTCGGAAGCTGAGTCAGCGAACTTTAATTGCACATCCGAGATAGGGGGAAAAGCTGAAAAAGCTGGAGAGAGGAAGCAGAAGCAGCGGAAGAGTGGCAGATACAGGGTGGCAGAGGCAGTGGATGATGATATTTAATAGATGCAAAGGAAGACAAGCTGTCAATAAGAAGTGTTGTTCGCTTCTTTCATGAGAGAAATAGAGGTGGTTAGTAGAACTGGTTCAGGATATTAAGCTATACAGCTATTTTTTTGAGGATAGGCCTCTCTGGCTTCTAGCTAACATTTTGGGGGGTATAGTCTGGCGGCGTAGGAAAGACAAGTCAGTCATGGATAAGCGCTATACAAATCATTGTTCAGTGGTGTTCTATTCCCCAGAGAAGCATTCCAACAAGAGATCAGAGCAGACCCTTGGTATCCTCTCTCCATATCAGAGTCATGAATAACATTGTTATCAAATCTAGCGGTCCATCAAAGGGTATTGTATGCTTAACTCCTTCCTCTTTATCCCGCAAAAGGCCTTCAGGACTCGTTTCAAGACGTGTCTCAAGGAATGTCTCAACCTCTCTTCTGTTTCATGCTTGCGGGACAGTAAAACTTATAAACTTCCTTTAACTCTTTCATCAACTTGCGACACGCATGGTATACCTCTTGGATTGGCTAGGAAAAATCGATCAAGTACACGAGACCATTTTCTCATACGCTAAACTGAGGCCTGTGCTATATTTTAAATGGTATTGGCCCACTGCCTGAAGGGAATTTGCCTAGACATGATCCCTGGCCCTTCGGATGTATCCGCGAATCCGGTGGATGTGCCAGCTGTCCTGAAGAATACACTTCCACTTTGTAGCATGTTTCTCCACGGATATTCCCTACAGCAGGCCATCAATGTCTTACTGTTAAGGTTAAGGGTATGGGATGTTTTTTCAGGCGGCGAAACGGCCAATCCGCCTCGCCACGGCATTCCGATCAACACAGCAGACAACATGGCCCAGTATAATTCTTCTACTACCTCTAGAACTAGTTTAATCGATTCTCATAGAATGAGGCACGCATGCATAAATATCGCTGAAGGGTGAAAGGAGACACGAGCGCATGTAGTGATAAGGTTGAGCTAAGCGGCGAACTAAGTAAGCGCCGCTTGTGGATCAAAACCGGCCTAAAAAACGGGATATCCATTCGCTTCCCGTGTTCAACGGTCGTTCTAGAAAGATAGTCAAGTTCTTCCACTTCGAAAGGAGAAAGCAGAACCGCAAAACACCCCTTTATGTATTCTGTTCCAACTCTGTAACGTTTATTTTCATTAGGCTTCGGCGTCGACAATTGATACTAATTAGCTCACATTAGAACCTTGGAAATGCGTGTAACTATCACGTGAAATAGCCGCTTCGTTAATTCCAAGCAAGAGTTTCTTTGCAACCCCTGATATAAATCCTCATCAATCATTCCTAGGCACACTTGTTAAATCTCCCTTAATGAGTTGACTTAGGCCCTTCATATACTTCTAGGCTCCAATATAATTCAAGAAATTATACTACATTGGAATCTCGTCTCCCACTTCGCCGTCGCGGCTCGCTTCTTGGTCCAGACCAGACCTTTCCCTTGAGCTATCAGTCTTGCCCGATATTTTATACCTGGGTTGGCGCTTCGAGGTGCCGAGCATAATTCTAATTGCACTGTCAAATACCGACGGTATGATATCCCAGCCGAAGCATATGCAATTGATTTTATTGCAAAAATACTGTACAGCAAATCCTTCGGTCGTAAGGAGCTAACTGGCTTTATGGTACGTGCTACACATGATGAAACGATGTCCCGGCGCCCCCCATGTCGAATATTCCCATATCCATGGAAGAAAAGAAGGCCCCCCACTCACCTACGGCCACATGGATGAACTCCATCCACTAGAGCCAAAATCAAACCGGGGCTGTTGGTTCAACAGATTATGCAGGTTATGGCCCTTTCGATGATCTGCGTCTTAAAGGCTGCATCAAATTTACGCATGGCGATCTTTCACCGCGTCATATTTGGTGTTTCAACGACCGCTTTACATGTATAGTTGGCTGGAAGTCAACGAGCTGGTTATCGAGCGTATTCAATCACCCGAGACTTCTCCGGGAAAGGCTGATCTGTCAAAATACCCAGTTAAATTCATTGGACCTTTCCCCCGGAAGCTTGAGGAAGAATGAATGAGTTCATTGGCAGCTTTCTTGTTCTTCTAGGGAGCGACGACTCTACTTCGTGAGCTTACTCTCCACAAGTATCGGACGAGACAATTATATGATAAATCTTGCACCTTGGATACCTTCTCCATTCTTCTCGCTCCATCTGCCATTTGTAAAATTAAGTCAAAGCTGGAGCTTCTCGTTAGCCTCGTTTTATGAGCCCGATCTAGTGATGTGTACCTGAACTTATTGATCATTCTCACATGCATATCACATTGGGACACAGATGTGGGATGTTTCGGGGCAAGCTAGATTAATCACCAATCAAATACCGAGGCAGACGACACAAACCCTTTATAGTACTGAAGCATCATTTACGGAAGTGAGTTGATTACATATTTTATATGTGTATTAAATAACCCTACCTTCAAGCTTACTTCTTACCTAGATAGCTTCTCTGTAAGCTTAAGAGTAGAGCGGACTGAATATCGAGCACCTTGTCAGTTCTAGGTACACTTAATTGTCATGGCAACGCAACCACGTCTTCCCTTTGAGATCACGTAATATTTTCTTTTTTGTAATATGGTAGGTCAACCACTCCTTTTGTTTTGGTCGTACTACGTCGAATTTGCTTGGGGGAAGCAAAACAAAAATCATGCGAAGTCGGGGTTGCATGGCCCAGTTACCCGGGTAGTCCTATCGATAGGCGTCCATGAACGCCGTGTTTTTCTCTGATGCTGTGCGACACATAAGCACATGATGCGAACGGTGCTCTGGTCACTAACCAGTCTGGTACGCAAGGTTGTGGCGTATATATCCAAGATCTAGCAAGGTCGAGATGGAATAGAACGGTGTTCTCCCCTGGTAAAGTTCCCAAACATTGAGTTGCACCGCAGAACTATGGATGGAGATGGTCGAGGAGATGGGTGATGCTTGTGATATTGAGTCGTGGCGGGCAGGAGTCTGTTCATGTATATATAATTATGAAGCACCCTCCTACTTGTCTCCAGGCTCATGCATTAAACTATTGCGCGATCGTATGCATGGGCCGAGCCTTGAGGGTGATCGTCGTGTTTTGAGAGGACTATTAACACTATTAGTACTCAGAGCTTTCTGGTAGTTTCTTTTTGGTTGTATGGTGCGCCCTAGTTGAAGAGAGCAGACACAGCATGGATGTCTAGCAAAGAGACTGGATGATACAGACGCGGGAGCTATTAAAAGCAAGACATTAGGCGCCCATACTCCGTGCTGGTATGCAGCTTCAAGCTTCGAAGGGCTCAATATCAGGTCTTGATAGCAGCGGTCTCCCTTGGAGTGTAGCTAAAAGTGTATGCATATAGAAGGAATGAAAGGAGAGAAATGACAAGTGGTAGCTATCACCCAGTGCCACCGGGGCGACCATCTTGGAACTGGTCACATTCACCACCAGGGCCCGACGGACATGGTCAAGTGGCCGTGGCGGGCGTTGCAGACAGGCTTAAACGAATGAAACAAGCGAACAGGCCTTACTTGCCATGAGGGAGAAAAAAAGGATTAACAGAGGAGGCGAGCTTCAAATCGTCTTTCTCCCTTTTTCCTTTGCCTTCTGCTCTTCCAGCTATCCAGTCGGCTGCATCGAACTATCGATATACGCCAACTAACGTTTGAACCCGCCCTTCAGGGATCTGTTGTTGGTCGACAACATAATTTTGGGTTGAGGCCCGTCTCTAGCATGCTTTCTTTTTCTGTCTTTTTGGGTTGTCTCTGTGGATGGAATTGGTGTACGGAGTAGTTGAGCAGCCCTCCGTTCCTCCTGTCGGGGAACTAAGGAAAAAAAAAAAGTAGGGAGAAAAGGGGCAAAGAAGAGACAGAAGAGTCGGATACGGAGACATCAAGACTTCCAGAATACGGTGGCATAGCCACCCCTGGACGAGTCTCAAACAGCGTCTGGCCCTGAATCATCTCGGCTGAGCGTTTGGATAGTTATACGGGCAGAGCGAAGCTGGCTCCAGCGGGTTGTAAAGGGGCGATACCGCGGGGAGAGAGGCTGTAATACTCATAATTAGCACGTCTGCCTTCATCGCTGAGGTCGGCTCACCATCTTTTCTCTGCTCATCGCCCTCCCGTTGCCGTCGTTTGCTCTGCTGTGTCCGTGTGGTTTTTGGTGGGCAAGTGGGTGGTTGTTAGTCTTCCGTAACGGTATTACCACCACCACCACCACCACCTTTTTTTTTACTGCCGTCGTGACCGCCCTAGGACCTCGTCGTCTTTTTTTTCTTCCTCTTCTTCCTGCACCAACTTCCACCTCGACTTCACCTCTCTCACTTCTTCCTCCTCCTCCTCCTTCACCACCTGCATCTTCTGCCAGAACACTGCTGCAGCTTGCTGTCGTGCTTGATATATCTCCCTTTTGAGTCTGTCTCTTTCGCCGGCGAGGCTCGTCGCTTTTCGCTCGTCGAACCTGGAGGTGTGAGTCCTGACCCTTTCCTGACGGCTCTGCGCCCTCGTAAACCAGGCAGCCTCAGCCAGCTCGATCGGCCGGTTGTGCTTTGTCCATCCGCCTGAGCAGCCCCGCGTCTTGACCCAGAGACGCATTTCTCGGTACTTTGGCCAGCTGCCTACTCGCTATTTGGCCGTGTTGACCTGGTTTTAGTCAAGGGAGAAAGACGGGAGAAAAGTCGCCATTTTCCTACCACCGAACACCTTCCATCCCTCTCGCACTCGTTGACTGAGCCCCATACGGAGCGGAGAAGAAGATATCGTCCAAGGAGATCAGACAGACAGTCCTGCTGTACAACTTTGCTATCTTTTCGCTTCCGGCCAGGAACTGCTGCCTCTTTATTTTTTCTTATCCCGGAAACAAAAAATACAAGTGCGCATGCAGACGACTCAACTCTCTGGCTAGCTTATGCTTGCTCTCTGCCTCTACTTCGTTGTCTTGACGACTTTGACGTTTTCGACGAACTGATGACCTCCGCCACCCGCTTGATACACTTTTAGACAGACCTCGTTGCCCTGCGCGTCGGCCTGTTTTCGTTTTCATTCGCACCCCTGCCTGACCTGCAGCTTAGTCTCTTTATTCCACAAGGTCTAGCCAGATCTTGCAGCTGTCCAATACATCCGTCCCATCTCTTATCATCCTCCCCATCTCCTGAAACATCGCTCACTGCCCATCATGAGTGGTTACCAGGATATGTACAATTCGTCTGCCTCTCGATCTCCTGGCTCCCACCGTCACCCACCACAGCAGCTTCGCCGTCAGCCCTCTCGCCAGTTTGACGCCTACGGGCCCATGTCTTCCGCTCTGTACGAGGAGCCTCCGCTTGGCCGTTACGATACAAATCCGTTGGATAGGTTGAATGCCACTATGCCGAGTGGCTCGTATCCATATGATATATCCGGCTCTCAGACGTGGAATGCAAACAGTGTTGGTCTGGGTGGATTGGCAGTTAATTCCGCCACTGCCACTTCTAGGATGAGAAATGTTCGTTCACGCACCGCTCTTCCCACGGTAAGTGTATTTTCGTGACATGGAGTAGCGAGGCGATGGTTATTATTTTTTTTCTAACCTATAGCAGACCTGGTTGGATCAGCAGAACAGCCTCCCAAATTCGTTCTCTCTAGCGCCTGGTCAGCACCAGCCCTCTCCTCAAATTCGCGCGGAGAACCCTCACGACGCGGAAGATGAACTCATCCCAACCGCTATTGTTATCAAGAACATTCCCTTTGCTGTGAAGAAGGAGCAGTTGATACAGCTGATGACTGAAATGAATTTACCGTTGCCATATGCCTTCAACTATCATTTCGATAATGGCGTGTTCCGAGGTCTTGCTTTTGCAAACTTCACCTCTGCGGAGGAGACGGCTACTGTTATTGAATTGCTAAACCATTTCGAACTTCAGGGAAGAAAATTGAGAGTTGAGTATAAGAAAATGCTCCCCGCGCAGGAACGTGAGAGGATCGAGAGAGAGAAGCGAGAGCGTAGAGGCCAGCTCGAAGAACAGCATAGGCCCATGGCTACCTCCCAGTTGCAACATCAAACTTCCATGTCTTCGTTGGCGTCACACCTACCAACCACTTCTCCCTCACCCGTCTCCCAGCGCGCAGGTAAACTAGGTATGTCATCAAGTAGCTTCTTCAAAATCCTTCTTATATATGTCACTAGTACTAATATCCACTTCTAGAGGTTGATATGAACGACGCACAGACGTTGCAATACTACTCACAGCTGCTCCTGTTCAAACAGGACCTGAGCAAAGAAGCTCTCATTTTCGGCACAAACTTAACTCCCGCCCAGCGCCGGATAGTGCATACTATCTCCCATAATATGGGTCTTGCTCACACTTCCCGTGGAACTGGTGACCAGCGTCAGGTGCATGTCTACCGCGCTGGCCCCGGTGCCAATGTCAGCCCTCCTGTCCCGGCTATGCCAGCAACGGTCACTTCCGATGCTGCTCGCCGCGGTCTCTCCCGTGCGGCTACCATTGACTTTGGGGAGTCCCGCCATGAACAGCAAGCTTATGGCAGTAGCATGCGTCAGTCCTCGTTCTTGAACGTACTAGACTCTCCAGGCCCAGGGGGTTACGCAAACGCGCAGAACCTTCGTGCTGCTAAGTCGTTCGCCGACCTGCGTTCTTTTACTCCATCCCCTGTTCCATCTTCTGCTAGCTTCCCAGCTGCCTTGCAAACTAACGGTGCTCGATTCCAGCAGCAGCAGCAGCAGCAGCAACAGGCATATGATGCCGGGACCAGTGGTGCCTCTAACACCCCCACACTCACTCCTACTCCGTCTGGTTCATCTCTTGGTATTCAGCGTGTCGATGACAGTCTCCTCGTTAACAGTCTGGGCGGCCTATCACTTGGTACCTCGGTCACTGGACCCTCCGGTTCTCCTCGCCGTACACGCGGTATATGGGATGCTTCTGATCTTCCCACAACTACAGCGGGATCAAACAATGGTTCCGGATCCAGTGCTGGTGCTATCGGATCTAACCGCTCCATTGGACTTGGATTTGATTCCGGAAACCAAAGCCAGGAACGTGTTCCGGTGAGACAACCTAGAGGCCCTGCTCCGGAGAGAGGTCCAGGATTCCGTCGCCAGAATAGCCACCAGCAACGTGGCAGCGATGAGCTAAGGAGCAATCCCGGCGTGGAAATCATTGTTGAGTAGGAGAACCAACAAAATAAAAATCAATAGAAGATTCTGGACCCAGTCGATCGATAACTCTGTATGCCCATACTGAACGAATCCATGACCCTTATACCACGACGACACGAAGAAAAAGACATAAGCGATACAAAGAGTTAAAACCCATGAAATATAATTTAATATACAATTTCAATTCAATTCAAAAAAAACACGTACCTGACGACGCCATGCCGAAAGGAAGATCCACGACAAATCCCCCTCATATATCAGACAGCAGTTAAGTTCAGGGGAAGAGAGGACAACAACAAATGAAAACAGCCCTTCAATCCCAACCAAATGCAAACGCCAGCGTCCCCTTTACGATTCGATGATGGATGACGAAATGACCTTACCACCCCCCAGAAATTCAGAGGATGAAAAGAAAGAAAAAAACAAATAACCAGCCAAGATCCCCACAGCCGCAGAAAAGGAACAAAACGAGCTGCAACCCCAGTTTTTACCCTTTGCCGCCATACCGGAAGTCCCCAAAAGTTTTTGACGATTCTATTTGCTGACTTGTCCTGCTTGCGTTTCATTGTTTGTTTCATAATGGTTTAAGACATGGTTAGATTCTGATAATCTACAGTCGTTGCCGTCATCACTTGCCACAAATGATGTCTGGACCGACCCCGGGGCAACCCAATCCGACCCAAACTCAATGGATACCAATGCTTACAGGTTTCTTTTTGTTGAACACCGTCTTCAATTCCAACGACTGGATGGCTGGAAATTGGAAAGCGATTGAAGATGATGGGATGAATAATATACCTTTTTTTGCGTTTGATCGTTTATTTTCGTTTTGATATTGCCTCTTACCCTCGTGTTGAGCCAGGCGCTTGTCATTTTTTTGCGTTGGAAGTTCATTTTTTTGCGTGTCCGTGAGTATGAAGTGAGGAAGAGAAGGGGAGTGAAGTTCAATTTCGAATCCAAGTTCGAATAATGAGCCTCAAAAGGGGAACGTTTTCGTTGAACGGAGAAACTATTAACGTGCCATGGTGATTGCATTCCCCTATCTGTTATCTTGCCATTTATCCTGTTTTGCCATGATTTACTGCCAACTACATCGCGACGCAGCAACTCCATGCTACTTACCGTTCTACCGAAAGACGGAGATTAGCTTGTTGCTTTGTTTCCCTTCATCCCCCTAACCCCTTGCTTTAAGGTTACTCTCTTCCCTTGCGTTCTTTCCGCTGCTGATCTTGTTTCCGAGGACCTGTCTCCGTAAGGTCTGGCCAATCGAGGTTGTTGTTTTCCCCCGTTCCTCAAAGTCGGCTTCTTTAATGATTTTTTATACACGTCTTTCTTCTGCCTCTTTCCTCTTCATTTTCGTTTTCATTTTTTTTGTTTTCTTTTTTTCCCTTCTCCATTTCTTTTCTTAAAAAAAATCATAAACTATTTCCCGATTTTCTGTTTCATCTCATCTCTCTACTCCCGTCCCCCATTACCTTATCTGGCTTTCTGTCCTGGCCCTAATGGTTTGGTTTGGTTTAGTTTGTGGTATCCGAAGGATTGATTGTTCTTCGCCGTCCTATTTTCTTTTCTTTTATCAAACCGGGGGAAAAGGTATATTATGTGATAGTTCGTTTCCTATCAAGTTCCTTTTTTTCTTTTCAAGTCCTGTCTTTTGTCTTGCATTTGCATATCAAAGTCTGTGTTCTTATCTACGTTTTGTTTGCTTCTTGTCTCGCCTGGTTTCTGATCGAACCCGTGTTTAATGTTGCTGGGGGCGTTCTTTTCCCCTTCCCGACCTGGTTTTTGAAATGGTGTATAATTTACTCATTTTGATCTATCATCTACATCTACTCACTCTATTGTCCCTGCCCCTGCCTACTAGGAAGGAGAAGTACAGATCAGTATGTTTTCCCTCTGCCAATTGTAAATGCAGTATCAAAACACCTTAATAGTGTTGGTTATATTCAATTAATATCTTTACTCATACAAACCAGTCATGAGCGACTATTCCCAGCCTTCTTAACATCTCTTCGATCCCATTCTCTATCGTGCCCCGTTTCAAGCTTTCTCTTTCTTTCACGCTCCCTCTTTCTCCCTCCGGCACCAGTAATCTCTTTCTCCTTCTGCCGCGGATCAATAACAACTAAATCATCATTCTCCTGATGTTTCTGCTTCCAGCTTAGGTCTTTTCCAAGAGTATCTTTACCAAACTGAAGCGTGTGCGTCATCCAACCCGTGTCATCGTCATCATCCTCTGCCCCAGCCCTTTCTGACTCAGGGGCGTCCCATGATCGACATGATAGGCACCCAGCAACAAAGTGTAGATCACAGACCTGTTCTTCCTCCTCATCCTGGTCATTAGATTGTCTCTCTGTATCTTTCTTCACCCCAGGTTTAGAGCTTGTATCATGGCTTCGTTTTGATTTGGATGACTTAGATGCAGAATCTGCGTTCTCAAGCTTGGCTTTGAAAGCATTGAACATATCCAGCGCAATTGCGTCTTGTGAGGAGCTTCCTGCCGCCGTCCTCTTTCTAGCACCACGTACTGATGTTTCTGGTATCAGTGACTCTAGAGCTGATTTCTTCCTGACTGGCTCCGCAGGTGCGGCTGCCGCACTTCGTTTCATAGACGCCTTGAGCGCGGCGATTTCAGCATTTGTTTTGGAGAGTAACGATTGACGAGGCGGCGGTGATTCTGACTCTGAACCGGAAGGAGATGCAGGACGAGACGGTGATTCAGGGTCTGGTATCGGAAGTTGTGTATTTGGATCTGGCTTCCGCGGTGGTGCCTTTGGTACCTCTTGCTTTTTCCTAGCAGGAAGCTCTGTGAGTGCTCGCGCTGGCTCTGGTTTATGCATGTCCCTGTCCGCCCTCTCCCTTTCCGCTTGTTTCTTTGCTACTGAAGCAGCCTCTTCCTCCTCCCTGACAAGCCGGGTATTGAACTTCGGCTTTGTCGGCACGATGGCCTCTCCATCCTCTTCATCACCTGCAAAGCTCAAGAGCGCCTTTCCCACCTTGGCTTTCTTCTTTTTTTTCCCCTTCACGGGCGCCGCTTCTTCGGAGGCCTTGTCTGTAACAGCTATACGCTCTCTCCGCTTCAGCTGCCCTTCGAATGGGCCTAGCTGATCCACCTCACACCCAATAATCTTCACAGCATACATTGGCCGGTCAGAGCCTTCTACCAGCTCTGCTTCCGCAATGCTAGCAACTTTGTATATGCTCTCTCCTTCCACCCTGCCAAACATGGTACAGCTATTTTTCAAATCTCTCTCCACGTTCGCCAGTGTGATAAAGAATTGGCTCCCATAGGTACCATCTTCGCTCTTCGCCAGGCCTACCAGGCCGCGCCTGTTGAATCGCAGCCGGCTGTGAAATTCATCTTTAAACACGACCTTTTCGCCATCACGAGGATCGTACTCGAATTCCGGGTATTCGTAAATGGAGGAACCTCCTGAGCCGGAGCCAGTGGGATCACCACCCTGGATAATGAAGTTGGGTACCACGCGGTGGAAAGTAGTGTTCTCGTAGTATCCGTCTAGGCAGTGCTGGAGGAAGTTCTTGCACGCGAGCGGTGTCTGTCGCGCAAACAGGGAGATGTGTATGGGTCCGACGGTGGTATGGAGGGTCGCGGAGGCTGTTGGAGGGGGCTCGGTATCGTAATGAGCAGACATGTTTGATTTTCAGGGCTGTTCTTGAGCTCTCGTTGCAAGGGCGATGTTGGGATGTGGCTGTTCTTTGGAGGTTTGGCCGGGGAGCTCGAAGTGACTTCTGCCCTGCTCGTACTTGGCTAACCAGCTCAGCACAACGACGGCCGGCTGCTATTTGCAGATCCTCATGAACATATGCACTGTATCAATGCAGACTCCTTTCTCGTCCATAGCATCTAGCTGGCCCTAAACTCATCTACCACGCTCAAAACAAATAATTAATTCCCATGGAAAATATGTTCTTCCGCTGGGATGGCCTCAGGTTAGGTACCTAGCTCCATGGCTACAGGAGTTGAATCTATATAAAAGATTTGTATATAAGGCTTGAGGGTAACATTTATGTATATCATTTCATTAATATCGTTGATGGCTATAGTAGCATCAATTGAGTGCAAGTGTTTTTAGTGTGAACATAGAATCATAGCTGTAACTAGTGTAGCAAACAGCTTCAACTACTCGTATGAACGTGAATCGTCAGAGCATATCAGTTCGTAAGTATAGTTATCCTCTCCCATCTCATTCTCAAACAGACCCTTGTTTCATTTCACCGATGCTGTTCACACGCTTACTTTTGCGTGTAATGGTGAACCCGCCAACGAAGAAGACTAGAGCCTGCACACCGAGGATTACTGAAAGAGTAACCAAGGCACCGATAACACCAGCCACTGGCCTGGAGACACCACTGTCACTGTTGGACGAGGTAGAATGACCAGAAGCGCCGCTGGAAGAGGGAGCTCCGGGACACCCTTCACTTGCAGTACCACAGGCTTGACACCACTGATCCTGAGAAGTGATGGCAATCTCCTTCATGTGCGAGACAAACTCGAACCAAGGAAGTAGGGCCTTCTCCTGGCCGAAAAGAGGATAGGCCGTTGGCTCTGTCTCAGGTGAGCCGGCGATGGTAGTTCCGTTGTGGAAAAGGAATCGGACGCTAATTTCTGATTCAGCCGGGAAGGAGCCAGAAGAAGTGCTGGCGTTGGTGACGAGCTCAAAGACCATGGTAGACGCATAGTCTGGTATGCCGTTAAAGTCATGGTTGGCAGTAGGAAGCTTGGTCAAGCCGAAGAACGAGAGGAAGGTAGCGTAGGCCCCGAATTGGACGTTGACCTTGGGCTTGGTCTTGGGCGCTTTGATTGTATCCATGAAGGAATTCAGTACTTCACCGGCCAAGAGAGCTCCGCTGACGGCACGAATGGGCTCTGAGGCATTGTAGGCCAGACCGAATTCATGGATATTAGCCAGGGATTGCAGTTGGCTGTAAACTTCGCTGGACAAAGATGGGAAAGAGTCTGATGAATTATGGATGGAAGCAACGTTAAGCAGGTCGAAGACGGTATAGGCATTCTTGAAGTTGACCTTCTCCGCAACAATAGTGTCTTTAACCAGAGGAGCAACATCCTCGTAGAAGCCCTCCGATGACTTTAGCAGGTCCTTGTACTCCTTTGAAGCGAAATAGTCGTTGCTGCTGATCTTAGCATTTTTGCATGCACTGGCGCTCTGCAGCCAGGCAACGTTCTCGCTGTTGGAGCCAGACTTGACCTGCTCGATGGCAACGAGCTGGTATCCGTCCATGGGGGCCTCGACGACGGTGCCATTGCGCAGAGTCGTCTTTGCTTCTTTGCCGGCCGGCGGGTAGAGGCCCTGGAAGAAGGCGAGGGCCGACTTCTGGAGGACCTCGTCCTGGGGAGCGGAGGCCGTAATCTCGCCTGGAGAGATGATGTTCGGGCTGATACCTAGCACCTGCGAAGAAGACGAGGAAGATATGTATCGATCGCGGTAGTATCTGCCCGACGAGTAGACCTGGCTGTATCCCAAGTCAGTCAGAACGGTGGGAGGAGTCGACTTGGACGTCCGGTCTCCATGGCGGGAGAAGATATAGGCTCCCAGCACTGTCTCTGCCGTAGCAGCCTGGGCCAGCAGGGAGACGGCCAACAGCGACGCCGAGTTCAGCATCTTGTGTTCCTTGCTATTCCTCTTTACCAATTGACTTGATAGGTATTCCTCAGTGCTTTCTCTGAGGGTTTTTGGAGACTGAAAAAGGGCCCACGGCGGTAGTTATATAGCCGTGTAACTTGGTAGCTAGCCGGCCGGCGCAGTCCTCCGGGCTATCGGCAGTCAGCGTCGAGGGGTCCAAGTGGGGGATGAACTGGATATATGCCTAGTTCATGCTTATCCTTCTTTGTTTTCTCCGAAGCAAATGCAGGCCTGCTTTTATGGTTATATGACTGGGGGCCCGTTGGCTTGTGGGTGGTCGAACCGTGGAATCCGCACTCGAACTGCGGGCTGCCGTTGGCCGGATATTCGTATCCAGCCAGTGAGACAAAGCCATGAGTCGAAGAAGCATTCGGCTATGACGCCTTTATCCGCGGTCTGGTTCATGCACGAACGCAGCATCTGAGCTGCGTCTTCCGTCCTTCCCGGCCTCCCTGTCGGTCGTATTTGGATCCTGATAAATGGCTGGGACGCTTCGACAGGAGAACAGCTGGAGTATCAGACATGAATTGATCCCCATGATGATATATATGGGCGGGTCATAACTTGTCGATTGCAACAACGTCTCTCGGCTCGTCTATCAGGTAGCCAACTCTTCACTCGTCCTTGGAGATGCCTGGATGGCCGTCAGCTCGTAACCAGACGCCCCCTTCAGCAGGGGGTTTGTTTCTTACAGCCGAGGGCCCTTTCCCCCCGCAAAAAGTCGAAAATGCTTGACATCAATGTTTTCTTTTTCTCAAAGCCTTGTAGGCTTGTTGATCAATATTCATTATTATTGAGACTTGCGGGTTGGCAGCCTTGGGATGTCGTGACTGCTTTGGCTGCAAAGATCAAACTCCCGCATAACGAGTTGAACGACTTCGGCATCTGGATCTCGCCTGATCCAGCTTGCACAAGACGAGATGTCCGAGAAGAAAGCGAGTCTCCTGCATGGAGAGCTCGATGTCGAACGTCCAGAAGCCCCGAGACGTCCTGGCTGGCGCACCATCGCTCTGCGGCTTGCTCAGCTCCTCGGCTTGACCGGCGCACTTTATGCCTGCATCTTATATGGCCGTGCTAACCAGGGAAATGGAACCATCGATGTAGACAAGCTGATGCGAGAGTCTCCATTGATAGGTAAGTTGGGCTTTGTGTTCATAAATCTCACTTGCATGGCATCCGGCTAATCCGTTGAGCAGATACGCACGATGACTTCCCAGAGTTCATTCGCAGGATGTATGGGAATGACATCTATCAGAAGAACTTCACCATAGAGGACCGTTTGCCCATGCATGTAGACTTCCCCAGGCTCCAAAAGGGCCGTGTGGGGGGTCAGTTCTGGAGTGTCTATGTCGATTGGTAGGATATCTCCTGCGTTGCTATATGATATATATTTATCAATGGAGAAGCATAGCTAATCGAGTCAACAGCCCGGAAGAATCAGACAAGTATGATGATTCAGTCTATTCAAAGAGCGTGCATGACACGTTTCAGCAGATCGACCTAGTTCAGAGGCTCATTCAACGATACCCAGACACCCTCGTCAGCGCCCTGACGGCAGCAGACGTGAAGATGAACTTTGCACGGCAGCCAGGCAAGATCTCCAGTCTGATGGGCATCGAGGGCCTTCATCAGATTGGAAACAGTGCCAGTATCTTGCGAGCATACTACAATCTTGGGGTCCGATATGCTACGCTCACTCACTTCTGCCACAACAAGTACGCTGATAGCGAGCATCCTGCAGAGCCTCTCCACGGTGGTCTGTCAGACGCCGGCAAGGACCTGGTGCGTGAGATGAACCGCATAGGCATGATGGTCGATATATCGCATACCAGTGCAGACACGCAGCGAGATGCACTGAAGGCCTCCCGCGCACCCGTTATATTCTCTCATTCCAACGCCTTTACTGTCTGCAAACATACAAGAAATGCACCAGATGATGTGCTTAATATGCTCAAGGCAAACGGAGGTGTGATAATGGTTACTTTCTTGCCGGGCTACGTCAATCTATCCGGCAAGGCTACTTTGTCTGATGTTGCTGACCACATTCAATATATCGGCAACTTGATCGGCTACAAACATGTTGGAATTGGCTCTGATTTCGATGGCATGAGTGGTGTTCCCACAGGGCTTGAGGATGTCTCTCACTATCCAGATTTGATCCAGGAGCTGGCTAACCGTGGAATTGGTGCTGAGGACCTCAAGGATGTAATGGGCCGTAATATCCTGAGGGTCTTGGGTGAAGTCGAAGCCGTTGCTGCAAAGATGTCTAAGTGTACCAGACCTCTTCAAGATTATATCCAGCCACGGTAGTCGCTTTTGGAATCATTTGATACATTTTGTATATACAACACGGGTATGGTTATTCGCACACGTATGCATCTTTTCATGAAATCGACACAGACTAGAAATCAAAGACTGGTCGTCTATTCATTCATTAATATATCTTTATCTCCCATTAGCTCGCAGCCAGAGCGTATTACTCCAATCATACCACCCGTCTGTATAACCTCACTTCCACCGCCTGACAGTCTCCATTCGACGTCCGCCAGTCCTTCTATCCAAGATACCCTAACTTGTGCAGGGACCTCTAGGCTCTGAAGTTCCGTCGAGAGTGCGGAGATTATATCGGCCAATGCCAGCCCTTTGTTGGCCTTGAGGGTTTGTACAGTATTTAAACACGAAGTCACGTCTGACGTTGACAGTAAGGTTTCGAGGATGATTTTGATATCGGCTGGGTGTGGTGCAGCGATACATGTGTATATCGTCTCTTCGGTTATTGTTTCTCTTTCTTGCTGCTGTTCATTAGCATCGCCATTTTTCGAGGGTAGAGGCATGCCTGTGTTTGGCTCGTTAGCGATCTATACACATTGAACGCAGTAATAGAATACCCAAATGATACTTACTGCTTGCGTGGCAGGCTTGAAGAACGTTCAAGGCTCGTCTCATATCTCCCTTGCTCAACTTAACCAGGCTGTCAATGGCATCTGGCTGTATCTGCACTTCTTCCTTTTCTATCACGGTATCAACTAGCCTTCTGATATCCTTTTCCTTCAATGGACTAAATCGAAACCGTGTGCATCGAGACAGGAGTGCGGGCGAAAGCTTGTGTGTGTAGTTCGCGATGATACAAAATCGGGTGTTGGCGGTGTACTTTTCCATGATTCGACGTAGTGCCATCTGGGCCGCGGAGGTCATCGCATCGGCCTCGTCAAGAATAATTAACTTGAATGCCCCCAGCCCCGAGCCAGACGAGGGCGCCGTTGAAAATATTTGTTTCGTGCCTACAATGATAGCTGTTAGTGATTCTGCCTCGCTTCTACCTTTGTATACTAGAGACGTACTGGCAAAAGTCTTAATCTGCTCTCTCACTACATCGATTCCTCTATCGTCACTTGCGTTAAGTTCCAGGACCATCTGCCGCATATTTTTTGATCCATATATCCGCCGCGCCAGCGCGAGGATTGTGGAAGTCTTTCCAGTTCCTGGAGGGCCATAGAGCAGGAGATGCGGAAGTCTCTACATATAGTACTTTAGTAGGGGGTTCCATATGTTTGGTATGCCGGTTCGTTCTCACATTTGAGTCGACAAATCTGTTTATCGTAGCAATGATATCTTGGTGTCCAGAGACATCGTCGAGTGTATCTGGGCGGTATTTCTCAACCCTATTTTCTAAATCAGCATTACATCATAGCTATCGAGAAGTTCCTAGACATGGAAGAATACCTACCAGGGAAGATTATCTCCGGCTTCGACTGGTAAATCAGCAACAATTCTCTTCCCCTTCACATCTGTAGGGTCTGCAGTAAACGCGGCCGTGTCCCGGGCAGGCGGGGCATCAACGTCCATATCATCCTCGTAGTCAGACATGTTGGCGTGTATTCACAATCTCTGGATATTCTGAAAGTAGGTGACAATATATCGATCCTAGAGAGCTATTTTTTAGTATCGCCCGGTCTTAGAGGAACAATTGGCCTCTATCAACTGCTTCTTGATAGCTTCAGCTTACTTTTTGACGCGCGCTCGCGGCGCGTTTAAAGCGGCCGGAATCGGAGAAACAAAAACCCGTGCTTCCGCGGCTGCCGCCCACCTGCACCTGGCAGGTGTTATCCCGCCATAATCAACAAGCTCGGCGGCCTTGAAGACCTGATACCGTATTGATAGACGGCACGCAATCCACAACAGAGCACAGGAGTAATTCTCAATCTGACTTATTTCCCCGCTTACTGTGTTACACTCCTGTCATAATGCCGGTATGTGGACAAATAGCCTTCCTGCCAGATTACATTGATACCTAACTCGCAAACTAGGCCTACCACTCTATCTTCCTCGATGAAGCCAATGTGCAGACCATAGGTATTCCATACATCTGGACTAGCGCAGTTATCTCTAAGGAATAGACAAGGAATATTTGCTTACTCGAATTAATAGGGAACTTCCCTATTCTTCCCCTCCGCACCCGCACACGCGGACCAGCATATACACTACCTCTACTTCCCCCAGGATCATCCGACCTCGATATCGACCCTGACAGTGAATCGTACGACTGCCTCGATGAAGTCCTCTCGCTATACCGTGCCAATACATTCTTCCGTAATTTCGAAATCAAAGGCCCCGCGGACCGCATGATGATATATGGCATATTATTTGTGAGCGAGTGTCTTGGTAAAGTTAAGCCGAACATGTCTTCAAGGGAAGCAGAGAAGGTATTGTGATAATTCGGGCGGCCGGGCATGTGTACGATCAGTCGCTGCTGACACTTGCTAGGCACTTATCAACGCTTCCCTCGACCACTTTGCCATACCTGGCGACGCCGCCTTTCCTCTTAACCAGGCGTTTGAGCCTCCAAAGGACCGCCAGGATGCTGAGGCTTTAAGACAGTATGTCGTGTTTCTGTCCGGTGCTGTCAAGTTTTGGTGAAGTGTACTATGATAGGAATTAACGCTGTACACCCAGATATATATCCCAAGTGCGACAAGAACTTGCAATTCGACTTCACACCAGATTATACCCCGGGGGTGAAGGGCCATCCAAAGTAAGTCAAAGCTCCCTTCCAATAGACGTTCTATGCTAACACGGGTGACTGGTAGTGGTGGCTAAGCTTTTCGAAACGGAAGTTCATGGGGAAGTCCCTGTAAATACTCTTCAAGGATTGCTTACTTTGCGCTCACCCCTGTTTATGATATGGACTGCCACACAGGCCGAGAGCCGGAATCTTATGGAGATAGATCTATCGGCTAAGTGTACCTATTTTACATGAGCATACAAGAAATGAATGAATCCTTATTATACCGGTCTCGCAGCTTTGGTTCCATGTATCCATACCGGCCTTGTCCGCTCCAGCAGTTTTTTGAGACTGAACCCATCCCAACCAGTCCACTGCACCTTATGAAACTCTCTTGATCCTTCAATCCTACATATTTTGTTTGACGCGACTGATGCATGGGGATAAGACAGCCTTTCTTAAAGCCGGAGTACCCGGACTTAAGACACTCTCTCTTGATTACGTCATAAACGTAAACTCCGGGCTTCAGTCTCAAAGTCGAAGGGCAAAAGGAAATCAATTAGCGAACCGCCCGATCCTTCAGGGAACCATAGATGAAATCTAGGAACGGGGTTATCGGAATCCTCCCTTTCACCATCTCAATGCCTGGCAGGAAACGGCCCTGGCTAGCGATACCAATAACATAAATATGACCCCAATTAACGTGCCCAAGTCAATTCTTTAGCAGGCAATTCTATCTTCAGCCAAGCACTCGGACAACTTCAAGTCTTCACCAAGATACCTAATTTGCGGCTAATATATAATCAACTGCTTCGAAGAAATTGCTACCATCGCATTTCCAGCATGTCTTACCTAAAGAAGGTCGCCATTGTCGGGGTACGTAGGGGGCAACTAATAGTCGGACATATATGTACAACGCTAATTGAACTTCCAGGCCACCGGGACAATTGGACAACATATTGTTCGGGAGATCCTCAAGACTCAAAAACATGAACTGACTGCTATTACGCGAAGTGCTAGCAATACAGTGATGCCAGAGGGGGTCAATGTTGCCAAAGTCGATTACGACAATCAATCTACGCTGGTATCTGCACTCCGGGGACAAGATGTCCTTATCATTACTATGGCCGCTTCTGCACCAAAGGATATACACATCAAATTGGTTGAAGCGGCTGCAGAAGCCGATGTTCCATACATCATCCCAAATGGCTGGGGACTGGACGCAACTCATCCGGTGTCTGATGACGCTTTTATTGGACCTCCCCAGCGTGCGATCTATAAGCGTATAGAGGAGCTTGGTAAAAGCGCCTGGATCAACTTTGTGTGTGGTTTCTGGTATGAGTTCAGCTTGGTTGGGGGCCCAAACGCATACGGATTCGATATCGATAACCGCTCTGTGACATTTTTTGATGACGGCACGGCCCGCATCAACACCTCAACCTGGGATCAAACGGGACGAGCAGTTGCAAATTTCCTTTCTCTAAAGGAAAAGCCCGAGAATGGCGAGGATGAGCGCCTGACCATTTCTGGCTTCAGGAACACGAACGTTTTCATATCATCCTTCCTAGTCAGCCAGAAGGATATGTTCCAGTCCATTCTGCGAGCAACTGGAACTAAAGAGGAGGACTGGAAAATCACCCATGAACCATCGGAGCAACGTTATAAAAGTGCAGTGGAATCATTCCGCCAGGGGGATCGGGGTGGCTTTGTGAGGGCCATGTTCACAAGAATGTTTTACCCAGAAGGGTCAGGAAATGGCTCTGGCGCATTTGAGGCTACGAATAAGCTTCAAAACGACTTGCTCAACTTGCCAAAGGAAGACATTGATGGGCTGACAAAGGTCGCTATTGAAGACCCTGAACAGTTCCGAAGGAATTACTCTTAAATAGAAGGACTGGTGCTTCGTGAGCTCTGTGTCCTTTGCGAGAACAGGGTGACTTTGGCGTGTAGGTGTTATGACAGGGGGAATTCAGGTTGAGAACTTGTCATATATTAGGCCAGAATAACCAACTAGGCAGTTCATTTTTGTCAGAGGAGGATATAGTAAATAGTTACTCAACCAATCAAGAGCTTCTTCTCTTATCTGTCGCCCGTAAGTTAAAGTTCAATCACTAGCTAGCTAATCAATTATAACTACCGGGGAGAGGCAGCTCACTGCAAACATTTTACATTACCAACTACACAGATAGGATACTACGAAAAGCATTCGGCCATCACGGCACCATGGCTAGTAGTACTTTATTTGCCTTGCTAAAGACACAATTAAGACCCCTGATATCAACGAAAAAAAACCTGATACCCTTTGCGCATTACACTCGCAGGAGCGTGACAACTTTACAACCCAGCGATGTGAAGTACGAGTACGTCGAAGACGTCGAGCGGCTTGATTACTATACTCATGGTGGATACCACCCAACCATGATAGGGGATGCATATCATAATGGTAGATACATTATATGCCATAAGCTGGGGTATGGCAGATCTGCAACGACCTGGCTAGCTGAGGATACGAGAGAAGGTCGCCTGGTTGCACTCAAGATTTCCACAGCAGAGTCGGTAGAGCGAACCTGTGAGGCGCAAATCCTCTCACATCTCGCAGACTCTCCATCTGAACATCCTGGAAAGATAAATATACCGTCACTATCGGACTCATTTACCTTCCCTGGACCAAATGGCACCCACCGATGTTTCGTTACTGATGCAGCGAGAATCAGTATCCATGAAGCTAAAGATGCATCTTATCACCGGCTTCTTCATCTCCCGGCGGCTAGAGCAATTGTGTCACAGCTTATACTTGGCTTACAATTCATACATTCCCAAGGAATTGTTCATGGGGGTACGTTTGGACATATTTGTCAAATATTCTCCTTCTGTACTATAATCTGAATCCGAATATAGACCTTCACCTCGGAAATATCCTTCTCAGCCTGCCTCCTGATATACAAAAAATGAGCAGTCAGCAGCTCTACTCAAAAGCTGGAGAACCAAGTACTCAGCGCGTTATTCGTTGTGGACTGGTTCGACGAAGATGGACGAAAGAATGTTAAAGAGAGCATTCGTCAGTGGTATGGTAACGAAGCTAGAGACTGGGATCAACGTTTTCCTGGGGATATACAGAAATTTCGACAGAGGAAAAAATTCGAGCTACTACAGCCTGACGAGGAAAAGGCATTAAATGACATGCTAAGGTTCCTAGTTTACAGAATTGAATGCCAATGGGCATGGAAATAAAATCGTCATTGAAACGCCCCTTAGGTTGGCGTAAGCTTCCTTGGGGATGGAAAAGTTGTCTTTTTGAAGCGAGTGATGATTTCCCAAAGGACACAAATGGCGAAAAGGACACAGCATTGAAGACGTTTATTGAAACAGCCAATATCCTGCCATCTGCTTTCCCTGATATTGAGACGGAGGTTTTAAAGTGTTCACTTCACCAGGGCTTGCTAAGGCTCGAGTTCAGAGACGAGTTTCTCCACCTTAAAGCTCGGGATCAAGGAGTCTAGTATGGAATTCCGTACAAATAAGAGCAACGGGCTGGTCAATATGACGCCAAAGACATTGATAGACCCTATTCGACGATGGAAGCATGGCTTATTGAGATCAACCCTCGACCACCAGGTTTACAGGCTCTGTTAGCTTCTGTGCATGTCTATGAGGTAGATTACATCGGCAAGTCCCTCTGCTTTGCAAGTCAGGACAAGGTAGCAGCTACAAACCCCTTTCAGGGATGATAAAGTGGGCAACGGGGCTCAGTGTTGGAGTGCGATCGTGTTCATCCTGGTGGTAAAGGACGGTGCATTTGACTCCGACGATGTGTGTGCCGATCTTCAAAAACGACCTCCGGACTTGACAAGGTATATCTCACACTGTTTCTTTGGGGGGGACGTGGTTGGGGATCCTGGTAAAAAGAATTTTCACTAGTATTAAGTCTAGTTAAGCTTTCAAATATTTGGTTAACCAAGTACGGAGTAGTTGCCCGCTATTTACGCGAGATAAAGCAATTAACTAGTTACTTTCTGGGGGCATACAGAAACATACCGGAAGATGCTGGGGGAATTATTTGACCAGTGCTATCAAACTGCCCCTCCAAGCGGTAGGAGTTACAGTAAAAAGGGCAGAGAGATGATGTATACAAGGATAGTAAAAAAAGTTCGAATACGACAGCAAATAATAGTGGAGCTATCCAACACTAACTAAATAATCAAACAACTCAGAAATTTGAAGCATCCATTGCCCCTAATATGTGTCATTTGGGAATTTGCTAGGGTTCTTGCCTCATTTTCATCGTTAGGGTCAGAGACGGGATTCAGGACTGATCGTAGAATTCGCCTATAAGCTCACGTCAGTATGTTATCCATGCTGCTATTCTACTCCAGAAGACCTACCATTGTTTATATGCCATCCAAAGATTTTCGCAAGGCTTGCTCGAATATTTCCTCTTTTGCATCGATTCCTTTCTCAATGTACATTGTGGCAATAACCGCATGTGTCCCCCCGTTATTCTCACGCCAAGCTTTGATTGTTGATGGGATTTTGCCTGCATTTGGTTGGAGTTGGTATTTGTAGTATTCCTTGCCGTCTTCTCCTTTGATAACTCCGTCGTAGTCCCAACGCACTCCGTATCTCAAGAAGTCCGCTGGCTTCTTGGGCCAAACAGTTTTTCCACGTTCAGCAGTTGGGGCGAAGAACTTTCTGAGGTCGCCTGGTCGGCCCATGACAACCTTCCCCACTTCTAGGAGTAGTTTGAAAACGTTCCCCATGTTAGGTACAGGGAGAATCTTGATAAAAGTCGAGCAGGGGGTATGAAATGAAGACAATAGTTATATAGTACGTTCCGTAGGTAAAATAGGCACACAGGGAATAGTAGACGATGAGTATAATCAAAGTCCTGGGGGGTGGTTGCAGCCTTAAGTATTTCATGAACATGACAACTTTAGCTGTAAGCGCTTTACCAACATTTCCATGCCAGAATAGTTATGTTATAGTAGTCATAATTTGTTTCATTCATCCTAGCAATCAGACCACTGATTGGCAAATATTTATAGCAGTGCGATAGATGTGATTGCTGTTGCAGTAGTGTGTCTTGACATTGATCTCGTTGGCCATTACAGGGATTTTGCTAGCGCCCCTAGGTCTGGTTAATTGGGGGCCAATTTGTGGAACTGGGGTCTAACTTCATTCGAATATCAATCAATTGCAAAAGATTCGAGTTGGACTAGGCGCTATTGGCTATTTCAGCTGTATCCATGTGCCGTGTGCTGTGTACTGTGTCATTCGCCATTCAGCACTGTCTCTCCCCTACATACGGCGCATGTGGATATGACTTGGAATGCTCACTCCGGAATGGTTATTGATGTTCCAGCGCTCGTAGAATTGGATCTATTGGCAAGCTGAGCCAGTTCATTTTGTGAATTTGAGGATGGGACGATATGGAGATTGTCTACGAGAGCAAAAATGTTTGGATGTCCACCCTCATCGGCGCATACCAGAAACTTTCTACCTCGTCTGGCGCCGGCCTCGGGTTAGACTTTTGACCTCCTGGAGCAGAGTGGAGCCTGCCGGACCCATGCGCCCCGGGCCAGCTCTAAGTCACGTGAGGGATTGGATCCCGCCTATTGGAGGTTGGCATTGACGCTCGCTTTTTTTCGGGCGCTAACTGCATGAATTGGTTATAAGGAGAGGGTTGTAGCTTGGACGCACCCGAGGCGCAAACTCTGTGGACTTGACGCATTTCATTTCTGGCATCTTCGGCATCTGTATCTTAAAGAAGGAGCTGAAAAGTGACCTCTCCTCGTTTTCCTTTCGTCCCTTTCCCCATCCAAATGCTGTTGGCAGCAAAGCCCGCCGGCGTTTTGAGGTTTTCTCTTGGAAACAAGTCGATACATTTGCAAGTCCGGGGATATCTTCGAGGGATGAGTATGCATATATTGTCACCCATCAATGCCTCCTTTCGCTAACTCTTTATTATCAATACTAGGCACCAAAGTATCCGAAGACCTTTTTACATACACGTCTGGCAGATATGTGTTCAATGAATCTCTCAGGAAGAAGGAGCGCTATATCAGGTTTGACGTTGATGCTTTCAAAAAACTCGCTGCGGGACATATAAACCATGGGAAAGTGGCAGATATTACAAAACTGGCAGAAGGGGGCTTCAACCGCGTGTTCCTCCTGACTATGGAGGATGGTTTCCAAGCAATTGCGAAAATGCCATACCAGACTGCGCTCCCAAAATATTATGCAACTGCAAGTGAGGCAGCGACCATGGAGCTATTGAGGACAATGAATATACCTGTTCCAAACGTGCTTGGATACTCTGCCTCCAGCGATAATCCTGCTGGAGTTGAGTATATAATCATGGAGAGAGCTCAGGGAACCCAAGTAAAAGAACAATGGGATTCTATGACAAAACGACAAAGGCATAAATTGGCCTCCAGTTTTGTGGAAATTGAAAAGACTTTATTCTCTCTACCATTCAGCTCAATTGGGAGTGTCTATTTCAAATCGGATATACCAGCTGAGCTTCAAGCGCCGTTACATGATGTACCCCCCCTTAGCCAAAGTGATGGACAAAACATTCCCGACAAGTTCTGTATTGGCCCAATTGCTGATTACATGTTCTGGTATGGTAAACGCGCACGGCTAGATATATCAAGGGGACCATGTATGTGCTGCCTTCACTGAATGTATCAAAATGGCAACTGACTCTTCGACAGGGAACAGCTCTACTGCCTATCTCCAATCCATCGCGGACAAGGAAATTGAGTGGACACAACAATACGGAAGGACACTTGAGCTTCAGTTCCCCCACAATGGCGTGCTGACTGGCAAGCAAAATCCAGACATCTACGTTGACCTTTTGCGTAAATACCTGGCATTAGCCCCATATCTTCTCCCAAGAGAAGGCTCTGAACTAAACACTCCAACTCTCCGGCACCCCGGTTAGTGAATCTTTTATTCTAGTGCTTTTTTCTTTTTAATTTCCAAAATGCTCACATACCAACAGACCTTAACCCAAACAACATATTCGTTGACCCTGAAACGTGTGAGATAACTTGTTTAATTGACTGGCAACATACCACGATCGAACCACGCCTCCTTATTGCTGGCTATCCCCGAGCCTTTGAGAACCCCGACACCGATGAACCGCTCGATTTAGAAGAGCCAACTCTACCGCCTGAGTATGACAGCTTAGAGAGCGATGAGAAAGCCGAAGCGGATGAACTGTATCGTCGTATGCTGATGACCCATTACTACCGTATATATACGGGTGTGTACAACAAGCCCCATCTCAACGCCTTAAGAGATCCCCTGTTGAACCCAAGGAAACACCTGGTAGATAGGGCAGGACGCCAGTGGAGTGGAAATACAATTACCTTGAAAGGTGCTCTGGTCCGGATGGTTGATTACTGGGATCAACTCCCAGAAACAAAGGGAATTGAATGCCCTGTAAAGTTCGACATACCAGATCTCGATGAATTTCTAAAGCAGGAAGAGATGTGGCTCTGCTTCAACGCTGTCGTGAATCATTGGCGGGATGAACTGTCTATCAGTGAAGATGGCTGGGTTAGTAACGAGAACTATGAAGCTGCAATGAAGGGAGTCCAGCGACTCAAGCAGGATATGCTCAACAAAGCAGAAGGCGACGAAGAGGACATCATCCTGATCAACAAGGGGTGGCCGTTTGATGATCATGAGGAGATTAGCTGATATGCCATCTGTACTTAAACATTAAAGTGTCGTGTAATGGTATCCTCCAAAAGACGGGATATATACTCCGTGGTCTAGCACTACTCTGTAGACTTAACGACATGGTGAATGGGTTAAAGTACTTTCTCTTTCCATAGCTTAGAGCTACAGTATAAAGCTCTGATGCAACTAAGACATGTTGCATCATACCAGGTTGCTTTGCAGACACGACTGGAGGAAATCAAGCAAAATCTATGAATCATCTGGTTCACCGTCAATCGCCACCGACGACCCATTGCGCCTGTAGAACGAGCGGTCAAAATAAGCAGAATAGAATCCAGCATATTCCCAGTCTATGATTGTCCTTGAACGGCTTTTGCATAGCACGATAAGGAGGGATCACAAGTTCGTGAAATTCGGCATCAGATGTAGCCGTGCTAACGTAGTATCAGAGTTTGGTTCAGAGGAGAGAATTTCGGATAGCTGAAGCTTTCAATGTGTCACGTGCGTCTTCGGAGTTGGTAACTAAAACTAGTTAAGCTTAAACCGCTGGAGACCAACCTTAAGGTTCCATTTTACCTCCACTGCTCTGCTACGACGACTATCCTGCTACTTCTAAGTCCTGGTTTCTATATCTTACACCTCCATTAGCATCAGTGCTATGATTAGCCCGGTGCCCGATTGCACAGGCTCTACGCCCGCGCTCGACTTTAGGGTATATTGGGAAGATGAGGACTTTCTCGCGCGGGGAGAGTCAGAGCCGAGTGTTCGCTCGCAGACTCTGGTGTACCACCACGAGCGCAAGAAGTGGTGGGTTAAAGTGACACTAGAGGGCTCGGTTCCTGGCATGTCGAACGAGCGGAGGGCCCCCAAACGCGAACGACGGAAGGAATTTCAAGACTTCGCCAAAGCGATAAACTACGGATCACTTGCCCTTTTTGATGATACGGTGACTGAGATAGTATTGAGAGAAGAATCGGAGCCAACGACTACTATCAGACTGGACTATGGTACCAAAGAACCTACGAACAGGATTGCGAGGATGGCGAGAAAATTGCGATATCAGATTCGGGAGGACCCGCAAAGGGTCGTATACCTATCATGCGTGGAATTCCCTTCACTTGACCGGATCAACGTTACGGAATTGACAGACAAGGAAGAAATCACAGACGGGGTCTTCCAGGTCTACAGAGCCGGGATCCCGTATATTCTCAAGATAATAAACAGACCTTTCTACCAGCCCCGCGACACGGACGTCATGCGAAACGAACTAGAGAACCTTGAGCGTTTTCGGGAGGTCTCAAATATTGTGCAAGTGGCCGGGATCGCCGTCGATATAGACCCATATAAGACCTCGCCAACGGGGGAACAGGTGGTGATCGGTACTCTACTACAGTTCTACAGCGGTGGCTCGCTACAGCGGGCACTGGATGATGGTAGCATAAGCGGATATCATTGGGAGAAGTGGGCTCTACAGATTGGAACCGCATTGCGCCTCTTTCACGCGGCAGGCAGGACTCATATGGATATAAAATCCTCGAATATAGTGCTTGATGGGAAAGGTAATGCGATTCTTATTGATATTAGCGGCATTGGCGGAACAACTCACGAGTGGCGCGCCCCAGAGATCCGAGACGAAATATCACCCCTCGACCTTCCGTTCGAAGTGCGGTGACTAAACGACGTGTGGGCATATGGGAAGCTCTTATCAGAAATCGCATCTCATGCCGGCGGCAGCCCCCATGCAACCGTTCTGGAACAGGTCGCGAGATGTCTAATGAGAGAGGACACGACGACACGCATAGGTATATCGGAAGCAATGTCGCGCCTAGAAGCCGTCCGTACCAGGACAAGGCGTACGATAGCCTAACGGAGACCGACCCATACTATAGTTATGCCGGCTAATACTCGTCCCAGTCAACGTCAACCTCGTCGAATCCACCAACGGTTCTGGCACCTTCGGTGCTTCGTTAGCAGGCGTTAGAACGTTGGTATAGCTACAAAACATGTCAACCGCATACCTGGGCCCTCACGCTTTAGATTTGGTTTCTTGTCACCTCCGATGATCCCGCACTGAGGTGATCCGCTCGTCGAGGCATCTTCTGTGGTTACCCTCTCACATACTTCTTTGCGGCCCTTCGCCCCGCTGCACGGGTGTTTGAGACTCTTGTGATAGTGGCAGCAATTATGGACCCGTACTCTGAAGCTGCACCTTCTGAGGAGATAGTCCTGTATAATGTGAAGGGGAGAGTATTGAACTTCTGCGTAGTATGGGTGTCAAAGAAACATAAGACGGCTTCATTCCTGGCTTTAAATTCAAAGATGCAGCCGCGTGGACAGACTCTACCCCTCTTCTACCATCGTTCATCATGCATCACAAGGATCGTTATTGGATTTACCTCACCCTTCCCACCCTCCCCCAATAAGCTGCTAAATACCTAGAAGCGCCAGGGGAGTCGTCCCATGTTAGGCATGAGAGCCCTGCAAACTTCAGGTACTGTGCATATAGCTAATGGATAACTTTAAGTAGTTAGGTAGTTATTACTAATGCTGCACGTGACGCAGTTTTCACCTACTTTTCGTTACTTGAAGCGCGAAGACTTCGACAGCCCCTTTTCCCACCCTGTCATTCTGGGAGTGAAAGTCGCTAACTCGCTACGGCTAATCAGGTGTGCAGGCCCTTGCCAGAACAATTGGCCGGCTCCACGCCAATGTACTGTGTGGGGTGGCCAATGATTTCTGGCCTTGTACTTACTCCGTACTGTGTACGTCTTGGACTCGAGAAAACTCAAAATGGCCCCTTTATCAACCGCTGCTCAGGCTGTCCACACATTCTGCAGCCGCTTTCTGAGGTTGTTTATCGAACCTCCATCCTCCACAAGTTACCATATGGACCATGCATCCAATTCAAGGACACCTGTTTGGAACAACTAAACAATTGTTCTGGATACCAGACCAACATTTCTCAACGAAGGGGCAAGCATGAGGATCATTAACCACCTAATGCCAGGGATTACATTTATAGGGATCCTTCTTCGCTTGGACGGTTACCACATCAATAATATCTTCAGAGAACGCATGTTCATGTTTTAAGGCCCGTGATTGGGGTCAACTCTCTTGGGTGGATGGGCCTCTTTACTTGTGGGGAGCATGGCTCCAATCCAAGTGAGAGGATGCCTTGCCATGAAGAGCTCGGGCTGGTCCCCTAATTAGTCATGGCGAAGGCCCACAAACATCTGATAACAAGACGCAGGGGGAGCTATCTAAGCTGCGGATCTCCCGTGTCTATGTTATAGTGTCCAGGGACATCCCATATTAGCAGCTGAGGAACATATTCAGCTACTATGCTGCTCTCTGCAAGTTCACACTGGTTCATGTTGAACAATATGAAAAACGTGAACTGATAAGGAATACTACTATGGAGTATACCTACTGCAACCTAAGAGCTATAACGATATGTTTCAAGATTGGAGACCGATGCCAGCCACGCCTTAACATGACATCTTAAACTACTAAACTTTGATGGGTTGAGGAGTTTTGAGATAGTTCGGCTAGCTTACCGCCATCCAACGGCATGGGGTTTTCTAGGCACAACCTACTATATTTCCCCTGGAGATTTTGAATAAATATGGGGCAATAAACTGTCACCGCTCCAGTTGTTAACTCGTTCTCCGGTCGGCTTACCTTCTTGAGGAAATGCCCGAATGTGGTCGTGATAAACTCGAGCAAACATATGGTTCGACTCAGCGTCGTTCCTATTTTCCAATTGCCTCGGTAAAAGCTTGTTACTATTATCACGAGAGATACCACGCAATACGAAATTCACCATTTTTATCGACATGATGGTTATGACCTTTAGTGAGAGCTTAGTGCACCGTGGGGTTTACTAGAAGCCTAGGGTTCCGCCAAATGTCCGTCAGGCGCATAGTATAGAGTGACTGTGTCCCTTTTCACTTCCTATCCAGTCATGCACAGCAATTCAAGCTGTCATTGTTGATTATCATGTTTTGATGTTGTGATGGCCATGTCCGAATGATGCTACATAATTCCGGGTCCATGCCCACGGATATCCGAAAGTTAACTGAATGTCTCCAGCAACATCCTATAAAACCTCATTATATATTATATTACCCCAGTGGATAATCCTACCTTGCGGAACACTGCTTCAACAGTCTATCATGCTCACCACGTTCCAAGTCCTACACGGGCATGGCAATGTCAAAAAAGATATATAAAGTGACATCAACCCGCAGTCATGATACCTCTATAGCCAGAGCAGCCAGTCCCTCCAAACGCCCTCTTCAATTCTAACTCACCGTTTCTCTGCTCCCATATCACTAATTTCTCCTTTTCTTCTCCTTACTACCATACAAGATGAAGTTCCTCACTGCTCTCTCCGCTATTGGGGCGTTGGTAGCCACCGCTACGGCGGCTGCTGTTCCAAATACGCCAGCAAAGCAGTCCATGATTGACGTTCAGCTTTCGGCTACCGGAAACACCATGATTAAAGCCACCATCACCAACAAAGGAGACAAGGCTTTGAACTTGCTGCAATTCAATACCATTCTCGACAAGAACCCAACCCGCAAGGTCAGGGTCTACCAGAACGGTAAGCTAGCTCTTATTCCGTTATACAACTCCCTGTATATTGACTCTGTGGAATAGGCACCGAGGTCAAGTTCACCGGCATGCTTCCCCGATATAAAATGTCTAATCTCTCCCCTGAATATTTCACCTCCCTTGGCCCAAAAGCCAGCGTTGAAAGCACCTTTGACATTGCTCGTACCCATGATTTGACCCGCGGTGGAAAGATCACCGTCATGGCCTCCGGAACCATTCGTACTGCCGAGGGACATGGCGCAAATGCAACCACCATCACCGGATATGCCAGATACGAATCCAACAAGCTTGAATTGGATGTTGACGCAAAGAAGGCATCTTCCGTTGGACAAGCCATGGGAAAGGTCAAGAAATCACGCGGAACTATCGATAAGCGCACCAACATCGACACCTCCAGCTGCACCCAGGGCCAACTTGATGCTCTAGAAGGCGCCCTTTACAATTCTGCTGCCCTCGCTCAAGCTGCTGCCGAAGCTGCCCCTTCCAACCTCAACACTGTCGCAGAGTTCTTTAAGTCTACTAGCAGCAGCACTGTTAACACCATCGTCTCCCGTCTCCAGTCCGTTGCCAGTGAATCCTCCTATGTTGATTATGGAAGCACTACCTACTATTGCACTGATTCCATGAATGGCTGCTCTCCTGGTGTCCTTGCTTATACTCTTCCGGACCAGAATCTCATTTTCAACTGCCCAATCTACTACTCCGACTTGCCTGCCCTTGCCCAGTCTTGCTACGAGCAGGATCAGGCCACTACCACTCTTCACGAGATGACCCATAACTCTGCCGTTGTTAGTCCCTTCTGTGATGACTTGGGTTATGGATATGAGGATGCCACCTCTCTTTCTGCTGCCCAGGCAATTCAGAATGCTGATTCCTACGCCCTTTTTGCTAATGGTAAGCTTATCCTTCACCTTCATGAAAAATCAGGATTTTGACTGACCATATCTTTAGCTATCTACCTCGGTTGTTAGGAGGAATGTTTAATGAAGTGCAGGTAAAATGAGATGGCTCGTTAGAGTCATTGCTAGACGTTGTCTTTGTTACGTATATAGAAAATATTCTGTTATAATAAAAACTTGACCTATGTTTCTAATAATACTGTTTCTCTGTAAGCAGGAATTCTCTTCAACAACCGGCTATAGCCAAGAACCAAAAGGAGAAGAGTGTTATTTGCAAATAGAGCATCAGGATCGTAAAAATAAATAAATAAATAAAAAGATCAAAAAGATCAAAACATACGAAAGTCGGGATTCGCTGGTGGTCACCCACCCAACTACTAACCGACCGGCAAGTGGCTTAAGTACAGCTGAGCGGACGGGAAGCTCTGTTTTCCACTTCCTGTGTTCGTATGTGCTAGATACATAGACGAGGGAATTGATATAGATGTGTAAGAGTTCCAAACACAATGTCAATCCCATAATATTCTCATAAATTCAGAACCACATACTCGTATGACAGAGGCATTTCGCTGATGGGGAATAACGTGCACTTATATACAACAAATATCGTTAACTAAAGCCGAAGCATCCGAACATAAGAAATAAAGAGATGCCTAGGAATAGAATGCTTAACCACCAATGCGGTGAATCACATCACAATGCAATCTTTATTCCTATCTCTTTCTCTATAGTAATCGTCACGATGGGGTAATGAAGAGGTTGACAGCGAGCCAGGGTATTGTCGTCTCCTGCCAGGCATGTGTGGACTTGGACCATATCCCGACATTCGATTATATTGAGGATTTGGGCCCATAGGACCGTTATAGGGTTGCTGCTGCTGCTGCTGCTGCTGAGGGTGCAAGGGCCCATTAGGTGGTGGGATATATGCTGGTTCTTGAGCAGCTTGCTCATAGGTCGGGGGAGGGGCATTAGGGTCATTGACGGGATTATTTTGGTTAGTGGCAGGTGGAACCATTGGAGGGAAGCCTTGAGCCCTTGATGGGGGTGGGCGGTGAGTAGTAGGTGTACGGGGGAGGGGGGTCAAAGTTGATGGAAGGGCAGAATTAGGTCGTGAAAAGCTAGCGGACCGGGTGTTCCGGATTTGATGTTGAGACCGACCCCGGGGAGATGTAGTTTCAGAGCTTACTCTGAGGTTGTTCTGTGACCTGCGTGGGGGTTGTGGAGGACCTTGCTCGTTTCGCCGGGTTTGCTCATCTTCATACTGTAACGAGAGGGCAAAGGCATAATCTGCATCTGTTTGTTCGGTAGCACTCGCATTCTCCCTCGAAGATGGCTCTTCTGCGCATGGCGGAGGCTGGCTAGGTGCAGAGCTGCTATGCCCTACGGGGCGGAAGTCACCGGAGTATAGCTCCGAGTTGGTGCCATTCACATCCACCAGACTCTCCCAGACAATTTCTGCATGGCCGGCATACCCAGCATCGGTAACCAGTGTGAATAGCTGGTTAGATATCGGGTGTTTAAAGAGTGTTGCAAAGTGATCGTTCCTGAATAACACACATATGCTACCCGCTGGTATGGATCTCTCCAGGTGCTGGAGGCCAAAGGGGCTCAATTGGGTAGGGTGGTCTACGGTCACAAATCGTTGGATGGTATCTATATCCTCAAACAGTCGTTGTTCGTCTGGAGCTAACGACCCGGTATTTATAGCTCTAGATTCTAGATCTTCTCTTTTGAAATGAAGTAACTGAATATCGTCGTGATATTCGGCAACACGAAGCATTGCTTCGTGAGTTGGTGAAGATGGTGCCGCAGTCCAGCCATGGACTAGCGGGAGGTTAAATGTACTATATAGTTCAATATCTCGTGTCTTGAGAAAAGTTCCAGGTGTAGGAGGATGTAGTATCTATAAAGGTGAGTTAGAGAACTGAAAAGGCTGGGTCAATTCAGGAACATACCGGAGTTAATCGTGGATTTACGTTCATTCCAGTGTGCAACATTGTGAGAAACACGCTTAAGGCTTCGATATCAGGCAGATCATTATGTCCGTCTGGTGAACTGATGAGTTCATCAAACAGGGCCTGTATGAGCAATCCTAGAGATATCCTTTCTCTAGAATGCAATGCCCGGATAAGCGGCGTTTGCGCATTAATCGGAGACCTTAAGACAAGGCCGTTGACTAACGCAAGGAGTGGACATGGCCCATTTTCATTTTGCACCAAAATTGGCGACTGGCGTAACTCAGTGGTTCCATCTGTCCAATTAACAATGCGAATATCATATATTTCAGACTTATGGCTTGAGTGTTGAGATGACGGCGCAGGGGATGCAGGTTTAGGACTCGAAGCTGGTTCAACTATGCCCGGAACTAGAGATGGGCCGGTTGGGTTTGTCACAACAGGCTCTAGATGTTCACTATTTTGAATGGCCACTCCTTTGCCTCTATCTTTTTTCTCATCACTAGACTCGCTAGGAGTGTGCATCACTGAGTGTGTCTCTGGTTCTGAGTGGTCATGAGAGTTTAAATCGATCAGATCCCCGGATTCCGTTGGCGATGTAACTTCATGGGTCGCGCGCACCCTACCTTCAGCAGGGACGGCTTGGCTATCATGAGCGCCAACAGTATTATTACGTGCGGAGGAATCCAGGGTCAAGTTGCCCATTTTGTCGCAGATCTGGTTGGCATTATAGGAACGTTGGGGCTGAATAGAAGCATTCGGGTTATCGAAAGGGTCCTCAGTAGCATTTGATGCTGTGTTCAAATTTTCTATAGCTACGGTCAGTGAACGCTGTCTAATTGATGAAGTTAGAAGACACCCACTATCGCGACTCAGTTTGGCTTTGAGAAATGGATTATTCGACTGTAGCTGTATGCCAGATGTTGGTATCTCACCCCGTGTCTGGTCATTTAGAGAGGTGGAATCCGTCTGTCCCGTTCCTTGGGCAGAAAATGGTTGCGTAGGCGGATTGTATTTTCGCAAATCGCTATTTACGCTGTCGGCCCAGATGTCTGCGGAGTTTTCGAGACCATCGGTCGGAGGAATCTGAGGCAAGGCGGCATGCCCCGACTCAGTCACAGAGGAACTCGACGTTCCCTCTACAGTTTTGTTCTGGCCGTGGTCAACTGTCTGTGACAGTGGGGTTTGCGACAACTCCGCAGTCGCATGTGCATCGTTATGCGATTCCCTCACATCAGGAGAGGGCCGTGTGTTAGATTCATGCGACATATCCTTATATCCCGCAACATGACCTGCCTCAGGCTCAGTGCGTGTCGAAACCATGGTTGCCAACAGCTGTGTATATGTAGCAGCAGATTGGGCAAAAGGTGAAGTTCCCTTCTACCAGCAAAAAGCGAAAGTAATGATAGTCGTGTTTAGCTTAAAACTTGGTTGCATCATAACACTGATTGCGGCTTTATATCCTTTGATGGCGCAGGATTGTGAGAAAATGCCCCGTCCCTCTTTCATATGGAGGTTTTGACGGCAGCCTGGATGAGGCGCAGGTCTCCACCCAGTGACACCGCGAGAAGGAGCAAACAGTCGCGGAGGCAAACACAGCTGTTCGATTCGTGAGGCTGTGCTCGGGGATTCGTTTCGCGCGCTGTCGTCGTGGAGCTGTTGATAGCCGGCAGAGAGGCTAGTTAGCGGTTAATAATTAGTTGCTTCATGCTCTCGCTGCGGTGTTAGTAAAAAAGAAGAAACGGGAACGAAAGCCGAAAGAAAGTTAAAATAAGCGCCGGATGACGTAAGGACGGCGTCCGGGTAATTAAAGCTCCGGCCCGTGGTGTTTTCCAATTCAAGCTTTTTTCTCTTTTAGGAAATTTTGACGGTCAAAGTGTCAGCTTTCCGAGATCAACGCGGGGGTCGAAGAGCAGTTTGTAGGTGGGAAGTAGATCAAAGATGCATTCATCCATACCACCAAATGTTTATGTGGCGCTTAAGCTGCCGTCAGACGTCACGAAGATTATACAGACAGTACCTAACTCGTAAGGTAAACCCCATCTCACGAGTCCTGGAGTGATAGCTAACGGTAGCGGTAGGAACATATCTCTTGGGAAGTATGGGTCGTTTCCATGCAACCAAATAATTGGCAGACCGTTTTATGCAACTTTTGAGATTGCAGACAATCCAGATGATGACGGCCATGTCCTGCATATTGTGCCCGCAGCTGAGCTTCATACTGAGGCGCTACTTGCAGATGGTGAGGGTGAGGGCGAGGGTGAAGCTGGGACAAGCACTCCATCTGTGCCATTTCCTCAAGAGGATAACAGGCACATCATTGACAACAAGAGCACACAGCAGCTTACAATGGAGCAGATTGAGGAGCTAAAACAGTCTTCTACTGATGCAGGGAGAGAGATCATTTCAAAACTGCTTGAGTCGCATTCTGCACTTGACCAGAAGACGCAGTTCTCGCGTGCCAAGTATATGCTTAGGAAACGCAAGAAATACCTGCATCGATTCACGGTGGAGCCAATGGATGTAGGGGTGCTGACTGAATGGATGCTTGAGCAGAAAGATCCGGGGCGGGTTTTGGAATTGCGGGATGAAACTATAGGTTTAATTGGAGCTTGGGCTAATGTACATTATGGCGGCGGCGGGGAGTCTGATGGTGCGGCAAAGGTGAATGGGGCGGTCAATCAGGCTAAAGGACGATGGTTGATAGTGGACGATACCGGTGGCCTGGTCGTCGCCGCCATGGCAGAAAGGGCAGGCATTCTATATCCTCCCGAAGTGCTCTCTGGGGAGGGACTTGGCAGCATTACAAAACAGGGAGCAAGACCTGCACAGTCTGTGGAGGATGAGACGCCAGCAGTGGAAGCAATGCCTGCACCCCACACGACATTAACGGTTATTCATCACAATTTACAGCCGAACTTGAGCATGCTCAAATACTTCTCTCATGATATCAATGAACCTTCGGAAACCCATCCACTGTCTTCTCACCTGAAGACCTTATCGTGGCTGCAGCTTCTCCATCCATCTGAGGACGCAATATATGAAATGGAGCCACCCGAGATTAGCGAGGAGGAACTGGCGAGCTGGAAACCCTCCAAACGATCAATGCATTTCAAAAAGAAACGGCGCTGGACAAGAGTACGTAATACGGTTGACGAAACAAGAGCAGGCGGATTTGACGGACTTATTGTTGCAACTCTAATGGATCCTGCATCTATACTCAAATACACGGTCCCTTTGCTGGCTGGGTCGGCACAGGTGGTGGTGTACTCACCATACATTGAACCACTGGTGCAGCTAGCCGATCTCTACTCAACTGCACGCAGGACCGCATACATCACCTATAAGCGAGAGGTGGCAGAAGGGGCTGCAGAAGATAAGGAGGAGGACTTCCCCGTTGACCCAACGTTGCTGCTAGCGCCCACGTTACACACATCTCGAGTGAGGACGTGGCAAGTGCTTCCCGGTCGAACACACCCTCTCATGACTGGCCGGGGTGGAGCGGAAGGATATGTTTTTCACGCAGTTAGGGTATTGCCCGCAATAGGGAAGGTTGAAGCCCGAGGTGTTCAAGCGAAGAAGCGACGAACAGAGATTTCATGAAAAGGGAACAGTCTATTATTGGACTGTGCCCCTGGCATGGTACGATGGCACCGAGTTAAAAAATGGGGTACACTTATGGTTACTTTGGTGGTGCCTGGCGGTCTGGACGGTGTGAGATAGATAAGGACACGAAGGATGCGGAATGGAGCACCCAGCGCACTGGGTTTGCACGTTTTTAACCACTCACTAGGGGGGCCACTCCAGTGCTACTGCCGGTGCTAATGCAAACGTTGGATGCAAGGGGAGGGTCAAGCATGGCGATGGTTGAGATAAAAACATGGAAGGGGTGTTTCACCAGGAGACCGGACGTTCACCCGCATAACTCGTCAGATTCACAAATTGACCTGCAGACCCTTGTCCAGCACGTTTTTTTCCTGCTGCCTTAGTGCGGCGTTAAGAGGGGGGGGGCCTCTCGTTCCCCCCAGTATATAGCGTGGATGGGAGTGGAAGGATGGAGAGTTGATACGTGCACACTTCTATGTATAACAATAATGGGGTTAAGGAGTCCACCGTGTTTCACCAATTGCATAGCAAGGATGCCTCACAGAATGAAGCCTGGTACTATGAAGCAGCCCAGAACCGTGGAGCAGCAAATTGCCAATATATTATTGCCAACACGATGAGCAACTACCAAGAGATTGAGCGAGCTTCTAACTTGCTGCCATTTGCAATGGCGGCCTGCTACACGTGAAGTCCGACTAAGAGCTTTGCTATATGCCCTCGGCCATGTAGACGAGAGACTGTGGTGTGATATGAAAAAAGCAGATGAGTCCCCCCTCCACTCCCCCTAGCTATAAACTAACGAGTAAGGCTTGTGAACAGGGACCCTTTTTTTTTCACCTTTTTTCCAATAATAAGTAATTCTCGGTGACGTTCCTCATCGACAACTGGTTGCCATAGCTGCCGCATCGCCGCTGCATCGCCAAGAGGTACATGCATGTACATCCCCATACATCGGACTACTGCGAGGTACATCACAGGTACCTTGGCCTATGGGCGACACGTGCGGCTGCTGTGGTCGAAGATTTGCTCCCTTCTCCCCGGCCGGTCGTCGCCTCCAACCTTCGCTGCAGCCAACGCCGAGCGTAAAAAATGGGCCAGCTCGACTCGCAAAACGACCAAGAAACGCCCAAATTAGAAGCTCAATGAGGGCAGATGTGCGCGATATGCGCCGTGCCTCGAATCAGAAGCTGGTTCCGCATGGCCTAGCGACGAGCATGGCCGAAGCATCCCCGGGCGTGGGCTCAAACCAAAGTCGAATGGATGGCTGTTGCACGACAGGCTTGCCCCCTGGACGACCCCTGATACGCCACAGAGGAAGGGCCAGTAGTCCCATAGTCGGGGGATTTTTTAAAGAGAGACCAGCAAGAATGCAAAGACCAGTTCTATATATACATTACACTCTCCGTACGGAGTCCATCGAGCACGCATTACCGGCACGCTGGCTTGAAGGCCTAACCTTACGAGAAAAAGGATACGCATCTCAGTACTCCGTACTTAGAAAAGTATTTTTATTACTATCCGTACTCCACCAGAAAATAACAAATAACCCAGCCGAGCCATCTTCCCTGTTGGGACAAGACAAAGAGAGAGAGCGAGAGACGTCTAGCCCGGAGCCTCGATGCCGAAAGGCGCTGCCAGGGCGAGCGAGAAGGAAGAGCGCGAGCGCTGTGCTATTTATTATCGTCGCCATTGTTAATTATGGTGGCAGGCGAGTTAGCCGCAGGGCCAATAGGCAGCCCCTTGCCAGCCTCCCGAATCTGCCACAGCCGTCGATCCAAGCTTTTGCCTCTTTGCCGGCAAGCCCTTTGCTTCTTCCTCCTCCCCTTCTCCCCCTTCTTGCTGCTCACCACTTGGATGGGCCCAAGGTCAGAAGATATGCCCCTGCCGCCCAATCACCGTCTCGCTGACGGAAATATCAAGCGTCTCCCACAATCCACTTCGAGGCGTACCTCCACCAAGGCAAAATGGAGAGTCGACATGGGTGCGTCTTATCCCCCGGCAGGCAGGCTAAGAACTCGAGGGAAAAAGGCCTTACTTGGGCCCATTAAGCTTCCCCGATTGCACGGGCATGGCATCCTGTCCGTCATTGGGCGTGGTATTCGCTCTTTTTTCTTTTTTTGCCCGTCTTTGCTCTCGCTCTTTTTTTTTTTTATCTTTCTTGTGCTTGAGCTCGAAGCCCTTGGCTTGCTGCTGGTGTCGGTTGCGATGCAGATATGGGAAAACCGTCATCAGAAGACCCAGAGCCCCAGGGACCAACGCCCTTTTAATCAGCGAATATATACTCTGATGCTGTCCCGCTGCCTCCTGAACATCCCTTCCCCCCGTTTCCTCTTTGATGGTCGTTGCTTCGTCTGCTCGTCGATGGTGAAGTCTGTCTGAGAACTCTCGCCCATCTCACTCTCTCTCTCTCTGTGTGTGTCCCTTCTACTGAGACAACAGCCAGCCCATGAGATGAGACCGGGGCCTACAGCAGCAGCAACACCACATCCTCCATAATCAACAGGATCACTCTGCCCATCATGATTCTAGCCACGGTCAAAGAGAGCGTGCGTACCAGCTGGGGCATGTTCAGCGCAGTCGAGCGTCGTAACATCTTCCTATACATTCTAGGTATCGCCTTCTACAAGTTCGGCCTCGAGGCCTTCAATGGTTCTATTCTCGCCCTCGCTACAAACCGGTACGACTACGATGCCTACTTGAAGCATAGACCGGCCAAGACCTTCGAGCGAGTTGGGCTTCTCAGCGGCCTCAACCAGGCCTGCCAGTGTGTGGGTTCGATCATGATCGCACCCTTGGTCCGTCGGGCTCCAGCCAGGCTTGTCCTGGTTGTTTCTGTCGTCTTGTTCGGCCTGTTCACCGGTATCCTAATGGTCGTGGACGCTGCCACCGGCGGAACTATCATGCCACCAGAGTTCCGCGGCGACCATCCGGCCATGGATTTCCACTACTATGGAGATTACAACACCGACGGTATTATACCCATCTACTGTGTCACTGGTCTTGTCTACGGGATGGTCGAGTTGATCCGCCGTATCATCCCTCGCGATATCGTCGGAGGAAACATTCAAAAGCTTCGTCGACTCGATGCCATGGTCCACGTCTTCTACGAGACGTCAGGTACAGCTAGCGCATTCTGCACTGCTCTAGCCCTCATCCCGACCCTGGGGAACAACTACTCATTCATCATCACCCCCGTGTTCTTCGCCATGGCCGGTGCAACTTGGTTCTTCATCAAGGAAGCAGACACCTTCCAGCCTCCTCCTCCACCGCTCATGGGCAAGCGACCAACCTACATCAAGGCAGTGTTTGTCTCCTTCTACCTCTTCGGCGAGTCCATCTGGACTGGATCCAAGCTTCTTCTCACCAACCGACGGTTCATCTGGCTTATCCCTGGTTACTCCATTGCCTTCTACGGTCATCGCTATCTTGAGAACGGCCTTGCTCCCGCGGTCGCCCGTCGTTACCTCGGTCACTCTGCTTGGGCTAACATCATTGTTGGTGGCTCTAACCTGGGAGAATTGCTCGGTGCTCTTTTCGTCTTCCTTTTCACCAACCTCGTCACCACCCCGATTCCCTGGGTTCGACTCGATGCCGTCATGTTGCTTGGAGTTTGGTACCTCTCCTTCTGGACGCCTCCACCAGACCAGGTCGCCTACGCCTGGATCATCGGCGCGACTTTCCTCCCCATCTCCTTCGGCTGGGCTGCTGGAGATGTCTCTCTTGCAGCCTACATCCAAGCCGCTCTTGCTCGCCACGAATCCAAAGCTCAAAACGTTTCCCCCCTCGGTGCCGTCATGGCTTGCCTTTACACCACCTACATCGTTACATACGCTATCACATCGCCGCTACTGGGTCAATACATCGACTCGGTCTACATTAGAACCGGTGGCCGTGACGGAGGAGACATCCACTCTGCAATTCACAACGTTGCAGGTGTGCAGTACAGCGTAATGGCTGTCATAATATTCGCCAGTACCTTCATTCCACAAGGAGCCTGGCGCATCAACCCCAAGATGCTGTTCAACCAGAACCTCGACGCCGACCTTGAGGTTACTGAAATTGGAGATGGCATCGACCTGAAGAAGAAGAGCCACGAGCGAGAGACTTCGCTCAGCACAAACCCAAGAGATAGAGAGTCATGGTGATTTCAGACTCCCACCCTCGTCTCTTATCAATTCTTCCTCTTCTTCTTCTTCTATGCTATATATACCCCTTTTTTAAAACTTAACTTTTTGATCTGGTTTCTTTTCTCTCTGATTTAACTCATGTGTCGCTCGGTTACTTTGCGTGGTGTTCTGGCAGGATTTCTCTTTCAAACAAGTACACAGCTCTTCCATATACGTTGATGCGAAACAAACACCCTTTCCTTTCCCATACCCCTTCTTCCCTGTCCTCGTCTCTCTATCTCTCTTACTCTGCCGCTTCCTCCCTACTACATCACAACAACCCCATAAATCTCGCGTTGTCTTCTGGATTGGTAATGATGCATATGCAAGTTTATTATGTCTACACCTATACAACTAATTAACAAGCAAGGCCTGCAGTGTCTTGGAATACTCGAATATCGCGCTCCAGCCCAACCTCCCCCACCCCCTTTTCACCGTTACTGTCAGACGATGTCTTCTCCTTATCCTTCCATTCCCTTAATCTCATTTGACGTGACCGGGCTTGATGCCAAGCCTGATAAAAACGCTTCCGCCGTACTTTCAATATTTCCTTATCCTACTTTTCTCACCTTCTCCGTTCCACGTCGCTCTGTTTATGTACCAGTAAGGATGGAGTTGAGCGATAACGGCGAAGAAAGAAACATATCTTGCGAAGAAGCTAGTCGTTTAGTTAGTTAGCTGGTTAATATAAAAATCGACTTGACTTGTCAATATCAACATCCTTCGTCCATACAGAGTACAGGCCCTTATCTCATGGATCCTGGCCCTGACCTCCGTGATCAGATCGGTTAATTCATTCGCGGCAGCCTCACACTTGATAAGTCTTCGTTGCCTAAGTTATCTAGTTTGCCAAAGACGTCGATGACTTTTAGACACGCAATTATCTACTCCCGCGGTCTCAAAAAATTCTACTTTCCTTTATTTTAGACTTGGTTCAACTGAAGGACACTCCGTTTATATTTCTACTTTTTGCTTCATTCCACCATTTGGAAACCCAACTTCCCCTATCCGAAAAGCCGTGGCTTGAAGGCGATATGCCAGATAGGTATATACCCGTTGACCGCATCCAAGGCCCTAAGGAAGCGTTGGCTGACATTGCCTTTCGGATATCAACTCCCCTCAACGTTACGGGTATCAGGGAAGAACCCCATTCGTGGTCTTCAAGCCAGAGTGTCGGCAGCGCTGCTGAGTAAGCCGTAGTCAGAAATGCTTATTAGTCATCTAATGCTCCACATTTATCGACAACTTTCGCCAAGGCCTGCTTACTCATCAAACTCGATCAATGAGAGTCACGTGCCTCAATACAGAGCGGAACACAAATTATGGAATGCTGCAGCGTCTAGGATGAGGACTGGAAAGGGAGGTAAATAGGCGTAGAATGGATAGATGGTGATGGCTATCGAGACATACTACATCCATTCATCTATGCAGGAATGGGCTTCGTCGAATATCCTATGCCTACACCGATATGGAGCAGGCGCATCGTATAACTAATGGTTATACGGGGGGGAGGGGGCGTAGTAGTTAACCGGGTTATCTGCAGTGACAGTGAAAGTTATAACAAACTCTAACTTTCAGAGTCTACACCTACGAGGTAGTCTACTTTCTGCCATTCCAGGTACCTTTCACGCCGTTCGTCCAACATGTTCTCCTTTCCAGCCCAACTCGAGTCTGACCAGCAAACGCGGAACTGGTACCAGGACCTCCTTGACCACCCAGAATGCCAGGGCGACCCTGTAAGCGATGCATTCAGCCAATTACTGAAATTTGAATGATTTCTAAGGCTAACCGAGACGTGCAGATAAAAGTGCAACAGGCATACGAGTCTTACAGACAAGCGAGCCTGGCAAGGTCTCTTGCATCCATGACACTGGCAGATGGCAAGGCGAAGATCATACCCAGCCCTGCCCTTGTTCAGTATCTCTCGCATACTGCACTTACCAGCGGGCCTAAGGAGATTGAGAAGCACTATAGAGACGAGAGTGTCAACTGTATGGTGATCTGGGCTCGTCCAAGCCGAAAGATCCTCGAGCTCCTGCTTGGATTACAGAACAGGCTTAAAGATGTAGTGGGAACTGGTAAGTGGTACTTCTTACGAGTTATGTCATGGCTGTAGTCAACTAAATTGAAAATTTGAACACACTGGCAGATATGTGGTTTCCAGAGTCTTCTCGGCTGCATTTATCAGTCGTTGAGATCTCGCATCGCCATCCAATGGCGCACCTGTGGTCCGTGTTCAAACAGATTGGAAGACCGTTAGTCCAGGAAATGCTGGACCTCCCAGCCTCCCATGCTGCGTCTCATTCAAGGGTTGCTCGTCTCGGAAGGCCGATGCTTTTGTTCGACGCTGCTGGAGTAGCCATCGCCTTCGTTCCAGTAGGGACTGACCCCTATACCTATCACCATTTAAGAAGAGACCTCCATAGCATGGCCATTAGCAGTGGAGTCAAAACAGACACATGCTACACTGCCTGTATGGGACATATCACGCTTGGTCGTTTTATATCCACGAAGCACTTTGATTCAGACAATGTGGAAACGGCTCAAGAGCGGCTCAGAGTCTGGATGGCTACGATCCAAGATATAAACGAAGAACTAAGGCAAAGCTATCAGGCAGCAGACTGGGAATGGACAGTTGGTGAGGAGAAGGGACTGGAACTCCAGATGGGAATGCTCAAATTTGGACGAGATACAGAAGAGGCTGAGATAGCTGGGCGGAGTTTTGGAGGTGAAGCGACAGCATCGACGAAGGCTAACTAGTTAACTAGCCCCGGCAGCAAATAAGGGGATATCTACCCCGAATACTTGTAGCCGCGCATTTAATCCTCGCCCTCCGCCCTAAATTTGACCTTATGCACTCAGAATAGCGAACACGGGAGAGTAAGGTGGCTTGCATAGCTAGGGGTAGCCGCAAGGCTGTGCTTCTCGTAACCCAAACCACCACCGCAAAACTATTTACAGCTGAGCTGCTGCCTTTTCACTGCCAGTAATGGAGAATCCGCTCGCTGTCTCGTTTCTTCCCGTTTAAGATCGATAAAAGTGTTGCGGCATGGACAAGATTGACTGGCGAAATTATCCTGTCGGCCTGCCCTCGTATTCTCCAGCCCTTGATGACGGGCGGCTCTGCCAGAAAGAACTAACGTCGGCACCGACTTCCTGGCGATCAGAGAAATACCCAGCAGCCTCGAGAGTGCTCGTCCTTGACCATGATCGTGGAGTAGGTATGTTGTCAACAATATCTAGTTCTAAGTACCTGTTTTCACCGGTTGACCGAGCCTTGGTTCACCTGCGGGAATTCCCGAAAGCTTGATTTTCAGCGGCTGATCAACTTCTGCTCTCACCAAAGGGAAGAAACAACTCTGCGACGACGAGACTCTGCATAAGTTGCTGGTAAGTTATCCTGCGCATCGCGCCATTTGATCGGTCAAAGCATCCATATATCGACGGTATAGTAATTTCCATCGCAGGTCGGACCGCAGCCGCAAATACGATTCATGTAAGTAACTACCTGTGGCCCATGATCGTTAGCTACAACCAGACTGATGGTCGCGTTTCTCTCCAGACTCCTTGAATCGACGCCCCACGAGAAGGTACTTCATCGAATACATACGAATGCTGCGGCTGTTAGCGTGATCAAAGCCAATGCGCTGGCCGACGAGAAGACGGAAGCTCATGTCGAGGACGAGGTCGCGGACGAGTTGAACATATCGCTTGACTCTCTACTGAAAGTGCTGGCTCGATATGACTTCCCTCCATCTGCCTGCTCGCATATACGCGGACAGGAACAGATTTTTGGATCGAGAATCGGTCGAGATGACAAGAAGAATAAAGTAACTGCTTATGGTAGGTATATATTTCTTCTTATATAGAGGTTGTTTGGATGTTGGCTATGACCCGGTACTGACAACGACCTGACTTTGGATAGATTTCTGGTATGCGATACGAGCAAGAGCCTACATTCGTGCCGTCGATAAAGAGGCGGACTTGAAGATGACGATAGTGACACACTACGACGTCAAGTCACAGTCGAGCGTCATACTGCTGAAACACCGCTCGTTCAACGATCTCCCCAAGGCGCTAAAGGATGAACTCCACGATAAGTTGGTGGACTTTATACTCAATCCCAGTACGGCGGCTCTTGCGGGAAATCCATTTGCTCTCCATCTCCTCCATTTCAATAGCACCATCCAGTACTACCGGCGGGCTGCCCGAGATCCTAGGGATTCCGTGAGAAAAGAGGAGATCAAGGCCCATGGAGGGAGTTCCGGCCTAGAGGAAATCAATATACAACGACTACACCTGACGCTTACCAGTCTTGACCAGGATAAACTGCAGTTAAATTTCATTCTTGGAGTTCTCGCCCGTTTGCGGAAACAGCACGACCAGTTTTACAGGATGGTTAAGGGTGCTTCCGACGTGGACAGCCGTGACTGGCTCTATACCCGTGTAGAGGAAGAGTATGATCGATTCGAGAACCAGATTACATACTTTAAGACATCCATAGAGGATGTGGCGGCACGGGCTCAAAGACTTTTGGATCTGGTATGTTACTTACTAGAGTCCCAATTATATCTAGAACTAGGCTGACTTGAGATGACAACTAGCTTTTCAACTTGAGTACTCGGCACAGTACACATTTCAGTTCTCGTATGGCTGAGGAAGCAATGAAGGAGAGTGCATCGATGAGTACCATTGCGATCATGACCATGGTTTTCCTTCCAGGGACATTTGTTGCCGTACGCTTTACTACATACTAAACTATGAAGGCACAGGCACACCAGCTAACAGTGGGATATAGGGATTTCTAGGGACTAATCTTGTTAGTGGTCCGGGCCAATCTGATGGTCCCTCGGCGAAGACTGGCGGTAATTCTACGACGATTACGATATCATCCCAATGGTGGATATTCCCAGCTGCAACTATTCCACTGACTTTACTCACGTTTCTACTATGGTATTTATGGAAAGTATATGCCGAAAGAATGGTCAATAAACGCATCTTAAAGGATAAACGTATGCAAGGCGAAGTTTGATTTCTTATAATACCCCTATACATTATTTTAATATTACTTAGGAGATGGTCATGAATATTTGTCAAATTATTGTCCTGTCCTTTTTGGAACTTGATTAAATCCGGGGTACGACTATCCTCCTTCAGAGATGGAAAAGTTCATATGATCCTTTACTTCAAATGAGCCCAAGCAGGTTCCTGTTCGACGAATTTTTTCCAGGTGGTCGGGGCCTCGTCAAGAAGCTATCATGGCAAAGTTAGCATCCTGTTATAACGCCAGGTTTCATGAATGAACTGCCACTTACGTCAAGACTCTCCTTCAGGCTTGCACCACCATAATACCCAAACATATACAATAGTTGCATATTCTGAAGCATCTCCTCCCTTGCTTTCTCCGACATGTTGCCTATGGCAAGGATCCCCTTGAAATCCTCGTCCGGAATATGGATAGCAGCGCCGCCCTGGCCATCCTGCGTCTTGACAGCTTGAAACTCGGCGATAATGCGGTCTGGAGTATAGTAATCGGTTGCTCCATATATCTGCTTCCCAAGGACTTTCTCCCGGTTGAGCAAGATGGCTTTGACGAATTTTCCGGTATCCCGGTAGCTGTCGAAAAGGGGAATGGGGGTATTATTTGGAACCGGGTTGCTAAAGTTATATACCCCGGATACGTTGTTTAGAGTGCCAGCTGGGATATTGGACATGTAGAAGCCAGGAAGGAAGAACGTGGCTGGTACATCGATGCTGCGAATATATTCCTCCACAGCAGCTTTGGAGTCAAAGTGAGAGACTCCTGTGAGCTTTCCGCCAGACACTTATATGGTAGTTAGCTTGACGTTTCTTTGGTTCGAGATGAGGCAGAGACAACAATACCCTTCGTCACATTGATCAAGCTACTCCAGATCAAATGCTGGACATTATCCTCCTATACATTTTGACGTTACGTCAGTATAACGGGTATCGTTTGAATACAGGAACGACTATGAGAAACGCACTTTAGCGGCATCAGCGATATTCTTGCCCTGCCGAATCTCCGTCTCGGCGCTTCCTGTCTCCCAGAAATTGGTGACAGCATATACAGCGTATGCGCCCTTGAAAGCTTCGATGAGAGATTCTTTACTGTTGAGATCCGCCTAGACACTGTTAGCCCGATAAAGTAGTAATTGGGCATTCGTTAACTGTGAAGCAAACCTTGACACACTCAACCCCTCGTTTAGCCAGAGCCTGGGCAGATTGCTTCGATGGATCTCTTGTAATTGCACGGATAGAGAACTGCGCTGCGGCCTTCTCATCGCCGAGGATGGAGTTGATAACCGAACCACCCTGCTTTCCAGTCGCCCCAAGCACGACGAGGAGTTTCTTGTCTGCCATATTTGTCTGGTGTGATGAAATGATATCTAACGATGCTTGAAGACCCTAGTTATCGGCGTGATAACGGGCGTAGTTATATAGATTAGATGGAAGGATGTTTGGAAGAGGGGGACTCGATTTGACATTAAATGCTGTGTCGCCAGTGATGTCATTTAAGTGATCCGGCCGGAGCAGTGGTATCTATGAAGCTCTTATATAGACATTTTTCTTGCTATGTCTAGAACAACGCCGAATACAAGAAATGTCTCATTTCTAATCGAATCTCTTGTCTCCTCCCCAGCTCGCTCTTCACGAAAGGGCCGAATGTGGCGAGGACATGGTTTGGTAATGCTTAGGTGGCTGATAGCTGGTAGTTTGTAATCCGCTGGGAACATCGACCAACTTTTACCTTGCTGAATAGCCAATTTCAAGGCGTTTCGGAGCAAAGCAAGCACCGACGGCGACGATGTGTTAGGTCGCCGTGGAGGGTCAGAGAAGAACCTGCAAGTGGTTACACTGCTGGTTGTTGCGTCGTCGCTATGCAGTGTATGTAGGGTTGTCCTTTTGTACACAGAATGTTGATTGTGATATTATTGTGTACTCAGAGGCCGACGCGTCTGGATATGGTATGGTTAATGCATAGTCTCTAATTGCGGTTGAAAGCCTGCCTGATCTTAGTTGAGGATATATCTCGGACGAATAATTTGTGCGTTCTGGTACGACGGGAGGCGTGGAGTATACGGAGTTACATCGCGTTCAGGGTTTGAGATCGCAATAATATCACAAATAATTGAAACACCGATGTCCTCGACCTAGCGGGTTGTCCTGTCAGCCAGTCTGTTTCTTTCCAGCCAGCCAGTAGAACGCTCAACATGCAGTCAGAATCAGTCAAAATCAGTCAAACTTAGCCTTCGCTATGACAGTCCATATCATCAGCGCCTTTATGCTTCATGCATATTTTATTATGCACATTTTATACAGTATATGCACTCCCAGATTACATCATGGCAAACTCACGTGATGCACCTGGGGCTTTTGCATTTTCTTCCTTTTATGTTTCCATCGTCGGACGAAGAACAAAAGGGACAAAAATAATAATAATCACTATACGAAGCGAACCAGAGAAAAGGGCGAGTCACAGCGAACGCAGCGAATGGCGATGCAGGAAGCGGAGGTCAGTGACCCCTCCTGGGCGACGAGGTTTCATGATGGCGGTTCTCTCTCGGGCGGCCCCTTGGACGGTGCTTGCGTGGTGCGACCCCAGAGCCAGCGCTGCTGCAACTGTCTTGCTCGAGAACATGCGGACATCCCTGCGTTCCTTGAAATTGGCGGCCAATCAGCGCTCGCGTGGGCGACGGCGACCAACCTCCTGAGCATCTCTCGGCCAGGATCCACCGTCCAGTCCACACTTGACGGGATTTGCAAGTTCGATTCGATGCGCAAAGACTGTGGCCATGCAAGCACCGCAGCTAACATGTTTCGGGTTAGCGCCGTACAACTCTTGATATTCTTAGGTCCCAGTAAGATTGATTTCTCTGGTTGACCGTCACCACGCTAACCAGGCCCTAGAGGTGCCCAGAGCACTCTGTCTTCAGGATTTGGGCAGATGGCATTATGACTTGCTACCGTCTGCGTGTTCGAAAGCTGCCGTTTTTTCTCTCGTCTCCGTGAAGTCGTGTGCCTTGCTGACTAGGACTTTGAGGTGGAGAAGTGCCAAAGACTCGATGGAGTACTCCGTACTTTTCGCGGAATAAAGCAACCTCGCCATGTGGTTGTCGTATGATACGCAATAAAAAATGAAACAAGGGAAAGGATGCGCGTCTTTTAAGTAGACACCTACCGGGGATTTGTGATGGAAGCCTGATGTTTGGTGGAAATAATAAGCGTCAACACAAAAGCAAGCCTGACGTGAAGGCGATCGAGCTCACTCCCTATCTAACTATCACGTGACACGCACCCGGCCCACTGGATTATTTATTTTTTTTTCCCATCAAAAAGGCACATGGATGGAGGCAGCAGAGGCAGGCAAGCCTAAAAAGCTCACTGGCGGCGCCTAGGGCCAAGGGACATCAAGCCACAGCGACGACTAGTGGCTCGCACCAGCACCAGCACCACGCAAAACACAGAACGCTGCTGGGAGAGTAACGACGGGCGGGCGACGACGACGGCCTGCTTTCTGCTGTGATTCGCTGCCCCTTGCTATCCCGTCACCCTGGGCACACCTCCTGGCCTCCCCTTCGAGCCTTCAACTGCGGCCAAATCAGCTGCTGGCGATGCGAAATAAAAAAAGAAGATCTGGAGAGGGACCTACCACGTGACCAACGCTGTTCCAATGCGCGCGAAAGAAGAAGGAACGAATAAAGGTGGTCCTTGCCTAAAACAGTGCAAAGCCCGCTAACCTAAGCTAAAACTCTTTTACTAACCTGAGCTAACTCGGCATCCTCGAGTTTTCCAGCCCTTCAACCTCCCTCCAACCCTCCCTCGACGCAACAACAAGGACATCGACAGCGACGACGACGTTGTGATCGCTGAAGATAGGATCCACCGCAGCGGCAGAGACGAGCTCAAGGCCTGGAGAATCAGTTTATCCCAGGCTCCGTTTTGGGATTCGCCTCTTTTTTTTTCTTTTCTTTTCTTTTCTTTTCTTTTCGCAGCCTCAAATAACGAAAACGGGGGGGAACAAGAGAATCGAAACCAGACTTGTTACTTGCGCTGCATCGACGCGCATTTTCTCTCATCTTCATTCTGCTTAATTTATCTCTAGCCGGATAGTTTCTCTCTCTTCTTTGGCAGTTTCGCCTTTTCTTCTTCTTCTTTTTCTTCTTTAATCCTTTTTCTCGTCGCTCCTTTATCCATCTTTATCAACTTCCCGCTTCACCGCAAGAGAACTGCGTTCCGAGGAGGAGCTGGATATCGCTCTCGTTTTTCTTCCCGGTCTACCTGGATCATCGACTGTATCTCCTGTCGTTTCCCCCTTTCCCGCCTTGTCTGGACGGAAATTGGACCTCTTGCATCCCTGTAATGCAAGGTTGACTGCCTGATCTTGAAGCTCCATTCATCAACTGCGCGGTTCCTCTGTCGCCCACCGCTTGGTGCTTGTCTCGCCGCGCGATCTCCTGCCCGGGATTTCGTGATCCCAAAGAGGTTCACGCCTTAGCCACGGCTCTTCAAGGTGTTTCCGTTTATCATATCTCTCCATTCGCCTTTCCCGCAATCCTCTTGCGCGTTGGCCGTTTTTCCCTCTTGCGTCCACCAAAGCCGGGAAATCACGTGTTGAACTTTATTCTTCAAGATTACATAATATTGATGCGGTCACGTGTCTATGGCTTCTCGATTCCCGCCGCGGGACCGCTCACCACCGCCATCTAGATACGGCGACAGGGGCCCGCCGCCGTCTCATGGACCATCACATATACCATCGGGCCCCAGGGGGAATGACGATGTCAATTCTACACCACTAGGTCGAGACCCTCCTCGTGGTCCTAAGGCCCTCATAGATTCGTCCAGGGGTGGCCATTTCCTTCCATCCGGCCCAAGGGGAAGAGGATTCCCTAGCCGGAACGACTTCAGAGATCGAGATAGGGACAGGATCGACCCCCGGGACCTGAGGGATGGCCCGCCGCCCCGAAGAGGCGATGGAGACCGTGACTGGCCTCGTAGAGATCGCGGGTTTGATTCGCGAGACAGTCACGGTCGGATGGGGTTCGGTCGAGGACGATCGAGGTCCCCTCCTATGAGAGACTTTAGAGACTCAAGAGACAGCGGACCCAGAGAACTGGATATACCACGTCTACGCAGAAATTCAAGAGATGGACCAATTTCACTTAACACACCACTCTCAGATCTTCCTCCCCTGAGAGGAGGTTCGATGCGAGGCCGTGGGCGTGGTGACCGAGATCGAGGGCGAGGGAGAGGTATGCCGCTGGAAGATAGAGATCTATTCAGAGGGCGGAGTCGGTCTCGCGATGGCTGGCGAGACGTCCGCATGGACCGAGACAGGGAGCGTAACCGTGACCCACGAGATCGGGATAGGGATAGAGATCGAATGCTCGATCGAGAACTCGACAGGAGGGAACGCTTCGACCGTCGTGATCGCGATGATGATAGGTGGTCGCAGCGCGACGACAGAGACCGGTTTGAGCGGGTGGAGCCTTGGAAAAAGGATCGACCACCAGCTCGCATCGATACCAAGACTTCTGGTTCTCATTCTGCCAACCCGTCATCTGCTGTATCACAAACCCCAACCCTGATGTCTCTCGGTACGCCCGCAGTTGGCACTGAAGACGAGGTTACTGCTGCTTCTGCTGCTGCTGCTGCTGGGCCCCGAAAAGCTGGTAGTACATCTTCCACTCCCAGGGAGTCAAGGCGGCCATCGGAAAAGACAGAGCATGTCACCCCTATCCGTACACCGACACACGTCCAGTCAACGACGGCTCAACCCGAACAGCCTTCTGAACGGCCTACACCACAGTTCTCTCCTTCTCCTGCTGCCCCAGAAGTGCCTGCCTTTGGTTCCCTCTCTTCTGCTGGCTCGGCTGCTGCTATTACGGAAACCGCTACCCCTGAACCATCAAGAAAATTATCACAATCGGATACCCCCAGAGAGCGTCCTGATCTATTCCCTTCCACCCCTATCAAGCCTCCAACTGCCCCTAGAGCCGATAGAGTGGATGCACAGCAACGTTCCGACCGGAGTAAAACTGAAGTGCCCCTTCGATCCAGTCGTCCACCGTCAGCCTCTCCGGTAGTCCAACCGAGCTACATGATTGACCATAGCCACCCTGTCCCCGCACTTGACCGAGGCATCACTCATGAGCCAGCGCCTCAATCAAACAAGGCCAAGGATACTCATGCTTCCTCTAATGAACAGGAGCCCGACCTTTTTCCTTCGTTACATGGCCTGTCGGGCTCCAGTAACGCTGCTACCCCGTCATCTACTCGCGCTTCATCTCTACCGACACAAACTCAATCGCAGCCACAGAAGTCACCGCCACCTCATTCAACCTCGCTTTCTCCAAACTCCCAGCATGCATCTATACCTACTGGGCCAAGAGCGCAACAACAGCGCTCCACCGGTCAACGGCCCGGAGCCAAAAGTAGTAATCAATGGGTCAGGCCAGGGTATGTGAATAGAAGAATGTCAGCCACTAACTCACCGTCAAGTAAGAGAGACCTTTGGGATGAGGGGAACAAAAGACAGGCGCTTGAAAGCCCGTTCGTACCCGAGGGTCCTCTTAGCAGCAGCGGCCATGGGGATGAGGAAGCTCAACCATCTATTAGCCCTGTGAATGGAGAGGATAGCGAAAAGAGAGAAAAGGAGAAGGCAAGCTCTGAGCCAACAAGAGAGCACACTGAAGAAAATGAAACTCGTCCATCAGAGGAGGAAGTACAGGGGCAATCTCTTGATGCCGATAATGATACAAAGATGCTTGATGCACCGGAGGCTGGGGAAATCAAAGAAACGGAAGAGACTCAGGAAGAACCAGAGCAGCATATTCCAATGCTCTTCGATGAACCGAGTGACCAGCAATCTGATGATGATGATGCCCTAGATGAAGAAGACTTCAATCAATCCGAACAACGTTTCGAGAAGGAAATGCTGGCCCTAAAATCAGAAATCCCGCTGCCTCCGCTGCAGGACCCAGTTGTGGTTGATCTACTCATGAAGATTCAGATGCTTGGGATGATAGCTGACGGCGCCGCACCAGCAAATCTTGATCAGCCAGGAGCTGCCATGGAAGTTGAAAGTCCTGATAAGCCGGTTGCTATCATCCCATTATCGGGTAAAGAAGCGGAAGAGGTCGAGCTTGCGGAAGAAGTAAGACCTATTGAGAATGCTGCGGGGACGCCTGTGACAATACCTATCATCGAAGCCAAGGCGGTAGAATCATTGCCATTCCTACCTTCTGGTCCACCTACCCCCTTCTCGGATATGGAAACGTTACAGGAAAATTATAAACTCCATGAACGTATAAAGGATTCGCTGTTGGAAGATATCATCAAACAACGAAGTGAAGTTGCTAAACAACATGCCGTCTTGCGTGAGCAGTACGCGCGGTACTATAAAGCCTGGAGACTGAAAGTACGCGACATGGATAAAAAGAAAGAGGAGGCGAGGAAAGCTGAGTCGGAATTATCATCCACCCCTCCGCCCTCCGCGGCCGCTGCAGCAGCTCTCCCTGTGATCGAAGGAAGGCGGGGATATAAACTGAACAGTGAGCTTGACTTCCAACTTGCTCTGAAGGCATCCGCAATCACAGCACAGGAGGAATCAGAGCGTCGTCGAGATCAAGAGGCCACCGTTCACCCTGACATGACTCGTGAAGCCCGTATCCCGGACATGCTGGACGAGTACCAGAAGAAAGCAAGTCTCTACCAAGACACTAACCAAATGGTCGACCCTGCGGATGCCTTCACTGTTTTTGCCTTCCATCCCCCGCCCAACGACTTTACGCCTGAAGAACACAAAGCTTTCACTGAAGCCTTCATGGCTCACCCGAAGAAATGGGGCAAAATTGCTGAACTACTTCCAGGCCGTACTTTCCAACAGTGTGTGATGCATTACTACTCTACCAAAGAAGAGATCAAGTACAAGGCCAAGCTTAATAAGAAGTGGACGCGCAAGGGACGCGCAAGAAAAACTGCAAGAGCCCCAAGATCAAATGCTCTCATGGCAGATTTGGGAATCCGACCTGCTTATGATGCAGATGATGCAGAGACACCTGTTGTTACCGATACAGGAAGGCCCAGACGTGCGGCTGCACCTACATTTGGCGAGTCAAATGCCGACACTGAAAGTAACACCCCCACACCGGCGTCTGGGAAGCGCGGAGGCGCAAAGGACTCCGGCGATCAGCCTGCTGAGAGAGCCCCCGGAAGACGAGCTGGTCGTGGTGGCGGTGGCGGCCGTGGTGGTCGAAGAGGGAGGGGAGGTGGTCAGCAGGCTGCTTCGAGGGCGGAGCCTGCACCACCTACGACTGCAGCTGCTGCAGCGTGCGCTAGTACCCTGCCTGCAGTCGCCCCCTTGCCAAAACCTGAGGCGGATGCCGTGGAATCATTAGTTGATGCGATGTTGAAAGCTAAGGAGGAGATCGAGAAGCCGGTGGAAGAGGCCGTGGTGCGCTCCAAACCGAGTAGAAGCTCTCGCAATAAGGAGCAGCAGCAGCAGCAGCAGCAGCAACCGGCACAGAAGCAACAGATGCAGCCAGTAGTTCAGCCAGGCCTAGAGGCCCCTGAGCCAGGTTCAAAGGGAGGCCCGGGCGATGGCGGGTATGGCTCACTGCAGCCTACCAGCTATTGGTCTGTACCTGAAGTCAAGGATTTCCCAGACCTGGTGGCGCATTTTGGCAAGGATTTCGACGCTATTTCTCAATTTATGAAAACAAAGACACCAACGATGGTATGCATTAAATAATTGAATTCTCTAACAGAGCTGGGTGGATGCTAACAACTTTTTATAGGTGAAAAACTACTTTCAGCGCCGTGTTGACGGTGGGAAGACGGAACTAGAAGAAGTTGCATTGATAGCCGAAGCCAAGAAACTGAGAGGCGAGCCCACTGGACCCCTACCGACCCCGAGTGTTAGCTCAAAGCGACGATATGAGGCTACCCCATCATCAATTGCGCCACGAGCTTTGGCGCCCAATATGGAACATGCTGAGATGATGGACAGAACCCTAGCGCCTAAGGCCAAGCCATCCGTTATCAATATGGCACCTGCACCGCCTGTGATACAACCACGTCAAGGTATGGAGAAAGACCGGTCACAACCAAAACTATACCCCCTTGTTCAGGCTCCTGCAAGTCAGCCCAACCTCGCTGCCACCAGTGATGAGCTCCACCAACGCTCTGTCAGCACCTCACAGTTGCCTCAGTCCCATCGAAATCAACAAGGGCCAAGAATGGGTTATTTCACTGATGAGCGTAGGGAGAGCCGTCCTCCCGTTCACATAGCTGCTCACATGTCAGAGCAGGACGTGAAGCCAATACCGTCTTCATTGACGAGCCAAGTAACTCCGGGGATGCCATTGCAGACTCTTCCGCGACAGAACCCAAACGTTGTGCCCCAAATTCAAGACCTTGGAGACATTCCACGCTACGGCCCGCTGTCGCAGCCGCCTACATTCCCTCAAGGGCCTTACCTGCAGCCGCCGGGTGGTTCACGCAACACCTCAACGACGCCGCAGTCACACTCTCGTCGCTCAAGTCGTACAATTCCTTCTGCCGTCACTTCTCCTGTTCAAAGGCATATTAAACTCGACACTGATCCAAGTGGAATACCAGCCATGGAAAGGCCGGCGCCCATAGGCCCTCCAGCGTACTTAACTCCTAGTCATTCTGTATCTGTAGGCCGACAAGGCCCTACTCTTACCCCACCTACGGACCATGGTCGACCGAGAATAGCTGCCGCACCAGTGCCACCAGCGCCAGAGCCTCAACGTCAGGTGCCTGCGAAACGTTCCAATATCATGAACATTCTCAACGATGAACCGGAAGAGCCTCAGCCAAGGAAAAAGTTTGCAAGCGAACAGTCAGCGCCCTCAGTTGCTATTGGGCCGCCCTCTCCATCACGGCCTGTTTACCAGGGACGTCATTCCTCGTCAGGCCAGCCGGGTCATTCCGAGGATCAACATCATTATCAAAGGCAGCCACAGTATTATTCTGGTCCATCTCAGCCTCAACATCACCAGCAACAGCAGCAATCTCAAGTACAATCTGGATCTAGTGGACAATATGCGGAACCTCCGTCCACCTCGACGAGAGGTTCTACTACTCAGGATTGGATGGCGAGGTTTGATCCTCGCGAGCAACAACAATCACATTCCAGTTCTTCTACTCCATCGATTTCCAGACTACCTAGCTATAGTCATGGATTCTCTGGTTCCGGGCCTCATACGCCTCATTCTGTATCAGGCCTTCAACATATGTCCGACCAGTCTCAAGCTGCCACCCAGCCACGCCAGTCGTTTTCACATCAGCCTTTGCAGCAACCGCCAGTGCAGGGCTTGCAGGACCGGAGCCAGCAACCACAGCCACACCTGGGTCCCGCAGGGCGAGAGTCCCCAGGTCCTCGCCATATCCAAGCCCACCCGCACACGCGGTCGCCCGTTCAGCGACACAACGCCCCATACTCTAGCAAAGTCTCGCAGCAACGTTCTACGTCGCCTTTACCGTCTGGCCCCGGTAACATGAACCCGCATGTGAGCCAGATGTCTGGTTACAACCCGCCTGGGGTCAGCCACCATAAAGCTTCTCAAAGCCAACATCAGCCAGGTCCTCCGCATTTACTGTCTCAATCCCACCAGCATGGGATGCATGGAAGTAATGGGTCACAGTATGGTCCACATGTTCAGCAACTGGCGTCATCCACCTCACGCCACGCACCTCCACCATCCGTCATGCAGCAAGAACAGCAGGCGCACCAACATCAGCATCTTCAGCACCAGCACCAGCATCAACGCTCGCATCAGCCTCAGCCACACCCGCATCACCAACACCATCAGCATCAGCCCTCCCTCTCGTTAAGTCAACGTAGCAATTCTCCTTTCGGTCACAGCCCACATATGACTCCTCAACAAGTCTCTCATACCCAAGGGATACCTCGTGCTGGGGGTCCCATGTCATCTTCCAACGCACCTAGTCACCCTGGCATGAATATAGGAAGATCATATACCCCTCCATCAAACCTGAGCCAGCATCACCCCCAAAACGGCTCCAACAGCGGGCTATCCTACTCAAACACACCGTCTCATCCTCTTCACCAATCCGGCCAAGGAAATAACCTTCATCAACAACATATACGACCGCGTCATGGATCTGGTGGGCCCCCACCCTCCGGACCGGGCCACCATAATATCTACCCGCAAGAACCCAGACAATGACCATATTGGATAATGGCTTTAATTCTATTGACTTTTTTCGACTTTTCTTTTTCTTGGCCGCCTTTGGCCTCGTGTATTACCATGATATGTGTGGATGCCCTGATGTCTCAGCTTGAAAATGGATGCTGCATAAATAATCACGTCTCCTTGTCTTGCCGTCAGGGTCTATTCAATTCAGTCTTCCAAGTCCTATAGTTTTCTTTTAACCTCTTCCCCGTTTACTACTTGACTTATTCTGCATTTTACGACTTCTGATTCTTTTTTGTTTTGTTATTATTAGCCATTCTTATTCATACGGACGTTGGCTGGTTTTCTGTCTCGGGATTTTTTTTCCTTGCCTTTCACTTGTATGCATATAGTTTTTTCTTCGTTCTTTTTTTCCTCTACATGGCGGGACGAGATAAGATGGGTTGATTGACTAAATGCGGTACTGAAGCATGGACATGGGTTTGATTCATACGTTCACATATCATTAATAGTCGATAAATATCTGTATATCTGTGCCTCTATCAAAGTTTGAAATTATATAGATAGTCATTAATAGGATTGACCGCATTGTCTGGTACTATTCCTCATCGTATAGAAGATCCAGAGACATGATATAGCAGATCCAACAAGAGCTTTGCTCTATATGTCAAGGAAATAAGCGGGAACGAGGTATCCAAGCAATTAGGCTTGATTAGCAGCTACACCCGGCGCTTTCTCTTCCCAAGAAGGGTCTTGTTATTACGATTTTCATGCCCGGCTCGGTCGTTACATCACTTACGGCATCTATACCCAGACTCTTTCTTGAAAACCTAGTTAAGCGACAAGCGAAACAGCCGCGAGTCTTTTCGCCTGTTATAACTCTATTACGCATGAGCAATGACGTTTATTAGTCAGCTGGATTCATTTTCTTTTTTTTTTTTTTCTTTTTTTTTTTTTTTTTTTGGCGGGATGTCATAAAAGAGACACAAGCGAGTTGCCGTGGCAGAGACGGTGACAGTGAGAAGGAGGAGAATGAGAGGAATAAAAGCTTATCATTAGCTGGAAGTTGGCCTCGGTTCGCGATTACGATTGACACCTTGCTGGCAAGTGCTGTGCGGTCGAAAAAGGTCATGAAGTGACTACCAACATCCCACCATGACGTCCGAAAATGTTGCGCCTGAGGGCGCCAAAGCAGCTGTGCTGGTCCCGTCAGAGGCTATTCCTGAAGACGCAAAGCAGGTTAAGGGGCTCGAATTTGATCAATATGCCGACCGAGACATTACCGCTGCGGAATTAGTCGAGAATATGGCCACAATGGGCTTCCAGGCCAGCGCTGTTGCTGAAGCAGCTCGTGTCATAAACGACATGGTAACGGCATACTTACCCCACATATAAACTAAGATATATGCTAACAGGTACACAGAGAGCCTGGCGCGACCCAGAAACTGGTGATAAGACCACAATCTTCCTCGGGTACACCTCCAATCTGGTATCCTCCGGTCTCCGGGAAACAATCCGCTATCTGGTTCAACATAAGCATGTCTCTGCTATCGTTACAACTGCCGGTGGTGTAGAAGAGGACTTTATTAAATGTCTTGCTCCCACTTATCTGGGCAGTTTCTCTTCCCCAGGAGCCGGTCTTCGCTCCAAGGGCCTCAATCGTATCGGCAACCTTGTCGTTCCCAACAGCAATTACTGCGCCTTTGAGGACTGGGTAGTTCCTATTCTCGATACTCTCGTTGCCGAGCAGGAAGCATCGAAGTCGACAGAAACACCTATTCATTGGACACCAAGCAAAATCATTGCCCGCCTGGGCAAAGAAATCAACGATCCTTCATCTATATACTACTGGGCCTGGAAGAACTCTATTCCCGTCTTCTGCCCTGCCCTGACAGACGGCAGCCTCGGTGACATGATGTATTTCCATACATTCCGCTCCTCTCCTGACCAGCTACGAGTTGATATTGTCGAAGACGTGCGTGCCATCAACACTTTGAGTGTTCGCGCCAAGAGGGCTGGCATGATCATCCTCGGAGGTGGAGTGGTCAAGCACCATATTGCTAATGCATGCCTGATGCGCAATGGTGCCGAGAGTGCAGTGTATATCAACACCGGCCAAGAGTTTGACGGCAGTGATGCGGGAGCTCGGCCTGATGAAGCTGTTAGCTGGGGCAAAATCAAAGCTAATGCAGACAGCATAAAGGTCTATGCTGAAGCAACTGTTGTGTTTCCTCTCATCGTTGCTGCTACATTTGCTTCCCAGAAGAAGCAGGCTTAAAATAGCCCTTTGAATACATTCAGAGTCGTCGGGTTCAAGACTCTCCTCAGCATCCCATGCATACGGCGTGCAGGATATGTTAATATCTATTAGCAGAAGGACGTGTAGGAGTTCACTACAAGCCCGCACACCGAATATGTGCCTGGGACATCATACAGTTTGTGGGATATAGATCCATCTAGGTCATATAGACGAAACAACTAGGCTGAAAGCTCACGAATATACGAAGCCCGTCTCTTTCCAAAGATATGTGACGCAAAAGCCTTCAAGCTTCCGGTCCGAATATGGTCGGTTCTTTTTAATTAGAATGCTACTCTGCTATGGAAATTGCGGTCCCGAGATCAGCCCTCTCTTTAATATCCGACAACGTCGATCTGTGGTATATCGGTAGAAAGTATACATCCTGCCTTATATGTGGCCCTCATTGGCTATGTCACCAGTTTGGAAAATGGGTTCACATTCCCGGCGAGAGTGTTGCAGTCAACGACCATGTTGACGTCACGAAGTGCTCATCCTTGACTGACTCGCGAGTGAACGACGTAACTAGCTAAACCCACCGGCGATCCGAGCCCCATTAGCTACCGGTTCAATAGTCAATTTAGTTGCCTCGCGGCCGATGCGCGGACTTTAGCATAGGCGGCGTTTTCATCCATCAAGGAGGGTTGGCGACATCATGAAGCTATTTTCTAAGGAGGCAAGCAGAGGGTCGTGATAATGTCACAGGGCTCAAGTTTATACATACAAGTGAAAGTCGCTACCTAGTGGGATGATATACTGGACCAATTCCATGCATAACTGCCTGATGCACTCGATCTAGCTCCATTCAACATTAGACACTGCGATGTACCAATCTCTGGCATTCGCTGAGGGGACAGTATAGTATCGATGACTGACTGACTTTGAAGCCTAACCGAACTTCCATACCGCGGTATTCTATAGCTTGTTAATCGGCTTTACTAGTGACTAGATACGGAGTACCAGGGGTGATATAGCAATCTATTTTGCGACAACTTAACTGCTGTCTCAGCGAAGACCATGGAGATGTTAAGATGCCCCTGGGTGCTATTTGACAAGCTAACAGGTTGAACGACCACTTAACTAGTCATGCAGGTGATCAGGGGCTCAATTAACTAGTTAGCTAGCTATGAAATTCCACACATTACTGCTGCCTGTTTTCATCCCTTAAGCACCTCCTCTGCCTGCTCCGACTTCGTTAAACAGAATATAGACCACCAGCATGCCCGGTATCAACTTTACCTACGAGTACTTTTGCGATTTTGTCCCTATTTTAACCCAGGCCTCCTTATCGCCCACCAACGCCAGCAACCTCAACCCCTTATCCATGAAGTCTTGACCCACTACACTGACTCGACTATCTATGGGGTCGGCGGCACTCCATCTTGATATCCATCTCTGAGGACCTAGCCGTGAAGGTCTCCTACAGAACTGGCGGAGAGCATATCCGTCACGAGCAGTCCGTCTTCACGCTCCTACAGACCGAGCCCTGTCCATACATAGCTCATTCTTACTTCTCCGCACCAGACATCATCTTTATGGAGCTTGTAAGGAATGGCACGCTCTACGACCGCATGGGGCAGAAAGACAAACCACGCCCTATCATGAAGTGGATGCAACAGCTCTGCGAGACAGCGGTGGCTTTGGAGAACATAGGATACGCCCACGGAGACATCAACCCTCGGAACATCCTATTTGACGACCAGGATAACGTTCGACTAGTTGATTTCGATCATGCACCCAAGATCGGGGAGAAAGTAGAAGTGGGTGAAGAACCGTATGTGCGTCGCTGCGGGGCCCACTATGGGATCGCAGGAGCTTATACAGAACAGTTTGCCTTGGGATCTGTGCTGTGGTACCTGACTCGGGGCAAGGAATTGTATTCCGACATTGATGGAGCAGAGTAAGTCAATAGGCTGAGCCGGCGTATCTTTCCCGAAGTGGACTCCGACGATCCCATAGATGCGATTATTAGTAACTGCTGGCAGGCGAAATTTGACTCTATGGCCGCTTTGGCGAGACGGGTTCGTCAAGTCGCTTTTGAAAAGAGCATTGAAGAAACGAAGAAAGAGTGTCAGCAGTACTACGATTCTCTCCGATCTGCTTTAGATAGTACAGAGTGATGTGCAGAATGATTAGCTTAGCCGTTAGAACCGTCGCTTGTTAGTAGATAGCATGGTGTTGATCATTAGTGTTTCATCGTCTGTTTTCCTTTTGATCAGGTCAGAGTCGCATGACATGGCGTTGTTCCAGACCCAGGAACGCTAACTTCCAGCAGATCCATCTCCTTATTTGAGTTCGACGTCAACAGGCAGCCGAGATAACTACTCTGCCGAGCTGTGATAAAGACTCGAAGCTAAGCGCCGGGGTGGAAGGTGTGCACATGGTGGTGGTGGTGGTGGTGCATGGAGGAGCACTGTGCCCACAGAGCAACATCAGTCATAGCTGTGCCGCCCTCTAGGCAGCAGCACGGCTGCCTGCTGTCAGTCCCTTGCCAACAAGCCAGAATCATCACTTTGTAACCAGTCATCTCGACTAAACTTCGTATCCTGGACGGATGCTGGGGCGGTGGATCGGTTCCACTCTGGAGGTCGAGTCACTGGCTTCAAGGGTGCTTGCACTCTTCGGCCAGAACTCGCAGCCATCCAGCCAACAATGCAAGATCCCAGCACCCGTCACGACAGAGTACTGTAGCCTAGAGAGAACCGAGTCAGCGAGGAGTCATGAACGCGGGCTGTGGCTGTAGGGTATCGAACTATACGGACCAGCTGGGCAGACAGGCAGATCGGGTCGGCAGGGAGAGCCACCGGAGCCAGCGTGTCTCCAGCCAGCGATCTCCAGCGTCTCCGCCATCCATGTCTCGCCGGCGCCGTCTGTCCTGGCCGTGTCTTCCTTGTCCCGTCCTGGCTCCTCCTGGGCCTGTCTGCGGGCGTCTCGCCGGTGCTGCTGGTTGCCTTGCCTTTGCCCTGCCCTGCGGCCGGCGATGCTGGTTGGCCGGCGAGCGCAAGGCGGTTAAACCCTCTTTTGGGGCTAGCGGGCTCCCCGTTCGGCTTAGTCACCAGAGCTTCCCGCTAGGCTCGACTAGTTAAACGGTGAGCCCCAGGAAGGCCAGCATCATCGACCTCCGTCACCGTCCATCCTTCTCCCCATCCCCATCCCCATCCTCGCCCAACAACCAGCTCGCCAGCAACGCCAGCAGCGCCCTCGACGCCTTCTTACTGCTCTGTACGCCTCAAGCCCTCTACTATCACCACCGTCTGCCATCTAGGAGACGCTCTGTGGCTGTTCACTGCTCGCCAGCTAGTCTTATCTCCGCATAGCTGTCCGTCATAGCTGTCTCACCCTCCTCTGCTGCCTCTCCCCGGCTAACCACGTCTGCTCTCACAGCTGTCTGTCCAGATACAACGCTCTTGCGGCTCTGTTGATGTGTTGTCTGCCTCATCTTGTATTCATCTGCAAGCCAGAAGAGCCCATCTCTCACGCACAGAGTACAGCCTAGCCCCCAGCCTACGCACAGCCATCCTCCCCATTCACGGCACAGCCTTTCAGCTCATAAGAGCCAATGGAGGTTGCCGTGGAAGCTCAACGAGCCTCTCTCAGTCAACCGGCCCCTCCCTATACCTCTTCCTCTCAGACTCATGCTTCAGCCGAGCCAGAGCCGCAGGCTGAGTCCCCAGATCGCCACCAGGACCAGCAGAGTCACGACCAACCGCTACAAAATGGCGTTATGCCCACGGTAGCAGGTGTCCCTCCATCTTCTGCTATACACAGCTCTGCTACAGAGACAGAATCCTCGGCTCCTGATCGACCGGCCGTGGAAACTCTTGCACCGGTCTCCTCTGAAACAACCGAGCAGTCAGTCAACACTCAGGTTGTCGAAGTCATCGAAACTCCTTCAACGGATGCTCCCGTTGTGAATGGAGAGCCGGACACGATGGAAACCGATACCGCTGTAAATGGCGGTCAGGCTCCAGTGGATGGCCAGATTCAGCCCCAAAACGAAAACACACCCGTCAACGGTACCACCGAACAGCAAGATCAGTCACAACCTCGAGAGAATGAGGCACCATCAGAGGACTCCTCGCCTTCTACCGCTTCTGACGGGTCGACAGACTCCAGTGAGTCAACCGAGCGAACGGGAGAAGACTACGACGAGGAGGACGAGAATGATGAGCCGGCCTACTGGGCCGAGTACAAGGAGGATACCTCCGTGGCAGAGGGAGACGAGCTCAAGGAGATCGAAAGCGGGGACGCCGATCACAGTGCTCATGAGTGTAAGCCTCACAGTAAACTACTTTTAAGCAGCGCAGCCACTTAACTAACCTTCTTCTCGATAGACGATTACATCGAAAAATCATTCTACCATGAACTAGACGATCCAGAGTACAAGCCGATAGAGAAAGCCCGTATAACGTGGAAGATAACCGGAGTCCGGGGTACCAAGGAAAAGCCTAACAGAGCTACCATCATTCGGTCTCCACCAGCCTACATCGGCGGATACTATTGGACCCTAAAGTTCTTCCCTCGTGGAAACAGTGTGGGATCACTCAGTGTCTATCTCGAGTGTTCCCCAACACCACCAGTGCAGGACAAGGTAGTCCTCGAGACTGAATTCAAAGTCCTCAAGGGACCTCCCGATGCGGTTTTGAGCGACCTGACCCCCGACCAAGAATTTAAGCTGGCTGCCACTGTCGCTCCACCCAAGTCCACACAATCCGAAGAATCTTCCAGAAAGAGTCAAGAAAAGGACCGAGAAGAGCTTCCAGAGGCAGACAGCGAGGAAAAGACAGACAGTGAATCGTCTCCCAAGCCGAAATCGGACTTCCGTATCTCGGCTCAAATCGGAGTCGTCCTCTACAACCCAGACGAACCACGAACAGGCTGGACTCAATCCTCCTGCCACCAATTCAACTCCCACAACTTCGATTGGGGTTGGACACACTTCCATGGGCCCGGGCCGTGGAACACCATCCACCTCCGCCAGCATGGCCAGCGTCAAGCCCTCCTCCGCAACGATACTCTATGCTTTGATGCATACATCCGCCTCTTCGATGACCCCACAAAATCTCTGTGGTGGCATTCTAGCGACTCTGAACCTATTTGGGACTCTTACTCCCTTGTTGGCCTCCGGCCTATGGGCGATGTGTCGGTGAACTACTGCCAGCACACAGCAGGCCTAGTGCCATGGCTTCTCCTAACTCCATTTAGAGAAATGGTCAAGAGTATCGATGTTATGAAGCATATCAATCATATCGCCGCTCGCCCAAAGCCGGTGTGTGAGGCACTGCAGGTTATCGTACATGAGATGACTGCAGAGAACATTGCCTCTGTACGGACCGAAGGAGTACGAAGGGCGCTAAGATACCTGCTCGAAGCCTCTGGAGATGTAGTTGAATTCTGGGAGCGCCTTCGACGAAGTCTCCAGATCGAACTTGCCGGCACTGATGCTATTGAGAAGCTGGCCTCCATCTTTGACAGCCCCCACGATGACTCGAAGATGTCAGACGAGTCATTAAATATGCTTCCTCGTGATTTCAACAGCCGCATTCGTATCACCTCCGAGAATACTGAGAGCATTCAGTCCGGTGTCACAGAATACTTGAAGGCTCGGGAGGGTAAATGGTCCCTCCCTCCTGTCCTCCAGATCGAACTCTCCCGCCAGAAATTCGATAAGAAGGCTCGTCAGTGGAAATTCCTTGTCAACCGTGTACACCGTAATGAGGAACTTGATCTCTCTAGCTTTGTCGACTCTGAGGTCCAGGGAAAATACACATTGTTCAGCTTCATTGCTCACAAGGGCCATCGGACATCACGATGGTATTACCCACTCGTTCGGCCTGCTGGCAAAGGAACCCATTGGCTCGCCTTCAAAGGTGAAGACCCTTACCGAATCGAGTGTTTGACTGCCAAAGCTGCCACAGAAAATTATGAAGGCCTAGATATTGCAGAGGTTGGCAATGGAGAGCCCGTCAACGCCGAGATCGCAGTCGCATTTATCTACATCCGCAATGATCTGCAGGACCAATACTTGACTCCCAAGCTTGAGTCCTGGACCCCTTCGCCTGCATGGCACCGTTATATGCAGGGTCTCTCCCCTGATAGATCAGCTGTTGAGCCAGAGCAGCAAATTCTAGTTGTCTTCTATGGCATAAACGGCGTGTCGAAGGATGCACGGAATCCTGCGGCGGCATATGATGTTATTGACCATCTAACCTCGGAAAAGGACACCATAACAATGACCGTTCCAGTTTCAATGAATATCGGTGAATTGAGAGCCAAGCTTGCGGTCCAACTCTCAACAGATGAAAAGCCAGTTTCCAACGAAAGAATACGTATGTGGACTATTGGGGCACCACATGAGGTCCGTTTGTTCAATTTTAGCATGGAGCCTCTAGTTTCTATGGGCTTTCAGCTTTCTAGCCTTGGTTGGAATGCTTTGCGCATATGGGTTCAAATCTTGAATGAGGGTAAGCAATAACTAAAATTGAATGTCGTGCGAGATATAGCATACTGACTTTGACTTCTTCTTTAGAAGATGTGAAATACTTCTCCATCCCCGAGTTTGTTCCCCCACCACCTGTTCCCAATGAAACAGATGTGAAGGAGGATTTGCCAGCTCCTCCATCACCACCCCCCGTTGAAAACGAGGAGCAACCTCAGCCAGCTCAAGAGGTCCAACCGTCCAGCCAGGATGAAGATGTCGAAATGAATGATGCTAGCCCTGAGGAAGCACCTACCCAACCTAATCAGAACCAGGATGAACCTGAACAGCATTCAGAACATGTCCCTAGTGCACCAGAACCGCCGGAACATGAAATGTCCGATAATGCGCCTGAGCAACCTGAGACTAATGGCATTGAACCCACCTCCGTCCCTGAAGCCCAGACCGATGAGCAAGCTGCAAACGAAGCTATCATTGCCTCAATAATAGCACAAGACCTTGCACTCCTAGACCAGCCGCAGGAAATGGACACAAGTGGCAGCTTTACAGAAGCCAACGGAATTCCACCCCCTCCCCCTATGATCGACGAAGAAGCCGCAGGTTCCCCAAGAAATGAAGTTGAAGAAAGCAGAGAAGTTCAGGAGCGTCACCCTGGCTCTGAAGACTCGCAGATGGAAGGTTCTCCGATTGTTGAATCTCAAAACGATGCCTCTGAAGAAACAAATGCCCAAACAAGCCAAGAGGAGGTCCAGAGAGAGGAGCCCGTGGTTCTTGAGCCTCCGGTCACGAAATCAGACCTTATCTTGCCATGCGACCAAGTGTACTATTTCGTCCAGGAATTCGATGCTGACAAGCAGACTGTGGAAACCGTTGGTGCTTTCTTCGCGAGATCATCTTGCAACATTCGCGAGCAGGTTCGAAAGACCCTATCTCTCTCTGAAGATCAGGGGTACAACTTCTGGTCCCGCCGTAAGGCCGTGGCTTCGGTTCACAGCGTGTCGTCAAGTCACAAGTTCAGAGATCTGATAAACGACGTTGGATGTATCATTTTTGGAAAAACCATCCCCAAACGCCGGTAAGCAACCAGTATAAATCATAACTAAGTAGTAGTTACTAACAAATTATCTAAATAGACAAACTGAACTTGTGGAGGAAGGCTGTTTCCTTTCTCCAGACCGTCTTCTGGAATATCTATGGGCCGTTGATCGCCAACACCCAACTAAATCCTTCACAGGCAAAAAGACAATAGAAGCCATTCTAAATGGTGAATACTACTCTGGTGACCTCTGCAAAGGTTACTACCACGGCAACGGAACTCATATCTCCGAAGCCGGTGACACCTATACCGGTGACTTCGTCCAAGGCCGTCGCCAGGGTACAGGTATGATCGAGCACAGCTCTGGTGACACGTACACCGGTGACTGGTTCGAAGACCAACCACACGGACAAGGGACGTGGGTCGAACACAAGACTGGCAACAAATATGTTGGCGGCTACCGTAACGGTAAACGCCACGGCAAGGGCGTCAGTTACTGGGAAGTAGCTGACGAGGAGATGAACCTTTGCCAAATCTGCTATACCGAAGAACAGGACTCGCTGTTCTATACCTGCGGACACGTGTGTGCCTGCGGAACATGCGCGAGACAAGTCGAGATTTGTCCCGTCTGCCGAGAGAAAGTCATCAGCGTCGTGAAGATTTTCAGATGTTAAGCATGATATCTATTCGCATATCATATACCATAAACCAAATACACCAATACAACATCCTACCACCCATACATGGACTGAGAATTAAAAACCATCTTCTCCCTTTTTCCAACTTACCCCTATATCAACCTCATTTCAAAATCTCTCCCTAGATCAAATGGTCTCTTTACATGGCGTCCTGTCTTTTACCTGAGCCAATTCCAGCAAGTTTACTCCCTTTTTTCTTTCTTTTTTTCTACCTTTAATCATGACTTGAACGCTTGGTGTGGTGTTAACCTCCACGATTCCCTCTCCTTTTTCCTCCCCGAGTTTAGGCTATGTTGATCTTTTCCCATTATCTTAACCCAAGTGCTACTTTTACCCGTTCCACTCATCTCTACCCTAACTCTACTATCTTCTTCCAATGTATTCAGACCAAAGTATCCATACCTTCTGGTGCCATGTTGCTTTGCGGCTTCTCACGGCGTAAATTGTTCATTTAACCCCTGACGATGACGAAATATTAGTTTGAAATCCTTTCTTTCATTTACCTAGTTATGCTATCTACACTGATACTCATTCGGGCCCGAATTAGACGTTTATCTTTCCAAAAACAAAAAAGTCCATAGTTGTTTATCATTTGCTAGATGAGGCTTGCTTGGAGATCTAGAAGTACTAAAATATCCCGGCCGTGGTAGCTGAACTTTGTGCCAATGATAAGACAAAATGACGGGTAGGTTTGGAGTGCATAAGAAGAAATGTCAAGTATATCTGTCCATCAGAGCCTTGAATAAGGGATCCTGCAGAAGCTCAGCTGCAGTTGGACGTTTCTCTGGTTCCAAGCAGAATCCCCGGCGGAACAATGAAGAGGCAACTTCAAGCTCGGCTTGATCAATGTCGGGGCGCAACCGTTTTATTTGGATTTCGAAGGCGCCTTGAGGACTTGGTTTTGTATCCTGATCATACCAATGGTCTTTATATTCCCAGAAAAGACTCCCCTTCCACTCAGCGGGGAGTGGACCAAGGCTTTCAACCATACTTGGAATGATATCACCCCCGAAAGTATTCCTGATAATGGGAAAACCCAAATAGAATTCCGAGAGTACACACATGTAACTCCACATGTCGCAGGCCGTGCTGGGTGGGAAGCCATGAAGCCGTTCTGGAGAGCAATATCTCATGGGTGGCCGGCCTTCTCGCTCGCGGGTTACCTGTTCACCGACATTGATGGCGAGGCTATAGTCTCCAAGGTAAAATGTGTCTTGCTGTAATTCCACCGGAACCTTTAATGGTATGACTTGCTGAGCTGATTTCCATATCTCGAACTGTAGCTTAAGAGGGCGACCAAGTAGTTCATATTTGTACTTCTTCGTATGATTTTTCATCGGAGCAATGCCTTGGAAGCAGTTGTAACCTGTCACATCTGTAGATAGATAATGTTAACAATGCCGTTTGAGTGTTTGCTCTGGAGAGAGAGGTGTCATACCCCGATGTACAATCCCAGCCCTATGTAGATTATCAAGAGCCTCAAGCATTTGCCTAGCAGCTAACATCCGTGAAGCCATTGATAGTTTCTCGAGCTTCGGAAAGGTGAGACATTCGCCGACCCAGGGGAATACCAGAACTTGGTGGTGATTGGACGCTTCGCCTTGGAGCGAAAAGGTCCTCAGGTAAGTGAGAATATGGGAAGTGTCCTTGACACGTCGAATGATCTCTTCGTGTATCTGAGCTTCATGTTTGCCTATCTGACTCGAGTCGGTGACTTTAAGAGCCACGTCTGTCTTCTTTTCAAGGTCGTAAGCTAGCCAGACGGTAGCGAAGCCACCATGTCCGAGTTTATGGTCGATGCGGTACCTGTCATTGAGGGTTTCTCCTATGCAGATTGGATAGAAGGCTCTTGACGCCTCACTGTCATATCTAGAACTGTCCTCGCAGTAGTATTCGATATCACCCTCTTCTTCCTCCGTAGTCACAAAGTCGCCCATGTCAGAATCACCATCATCCGGGATGTCACCGCTTTGCGGGGGTATATTCATGTCTTGTGGAGTCATTTGTATGGAAGTCTGAGGACTCGCCGTAACTCTTCTTTTCGGGTGTAGAGTAGAAAGGTTCTGCCTGTTCTTTTTGTAAAGTTGCAGTTTTGAAAGAGTCTGAAGGTGACAGGATTTGGTGATGTCGAAGTTCTCTTGAGCACGCTGTTAACTCTAGTTTGAGTAACTACCTAGCTATCTAGTAAAAGAACCCTGCAAAAATCACATCACGCATGGGAAGTTCCTCCAAAACTGCTACGGAGTAATCAGCCAATGGCGGCAACAACAATAGTAGCAGTGATAAGACAAGAGAAGTTTAAGGCAGACTGCGTCTCCCCTGCCATTAAAGGTATTGAATATATATATAACAGAAGTAAGGTTAAAGCTATAATCTCTCTTAATTAGAGATTTAGAATTAGAGGTGAGGGAGTCCATAGATAGACCATGAGCTGGCAGACGGGCCCATCTCCTTCGAGGTAAGATCTGTTCGTCTTGTAGTTTGTGTAGTTAAAGGTATAGAATAATGATGTATTATCCCAAATGAAAGGTTAATTTTAATTGGGCAGGTATCAATAAATTGAATAGAAGATAAAATGTTATTTAGGTGTAAGGTCAACCCAATTGATAAAACAGAAGTGTAATGTAATGTTAAGAGCTGGCTGGCCGATGGATCTCCTTGGGTACAAGCTCAGTTATGACCTCCTCCAGGCGTTCACCGATGGTATAGTGTGTATCGTCCCACTCCTGGAGCTCCGAGTGAGGCAGCTTTTCAGCCATATATCTGGTCAACCGAATAGGTGAGTTTGCGTCCTGTGTGCCATGCCATATCTGGATCTTGTCGTACGTAACATCTTCAAAGCGAAACCCCCAGCCCTGGGAGAGGAGTTGTGCCTCATGCACAAATCCACGAGATCCCTGCGCAAACCCCTCAAAGGCAATACGCAAGAGAGCCTCTCTCCCTTCCTGCGTGGGCGTCTTGTCGTCTTCCTTTTTCGTGCTCTCGATCCAATTATCGAGCCAGCGTATGATGTAGCCTGTACCTGACACCCATCGTAAAGAACCAACGAGCATGTTTGTCATCCCGGTAAATGCCCAGGGAACGTTGTTAGCTGCCACGCCCATCATCCTGGAAACAAGAGGTACGTCCTGGGTGCCAGCTATCCATGGACCAGCCCCTGCAAGAACACCAACTGCAGAAAGGGACTCGTGAGGCAAGGCATGGGCACAGGCTACGGCATAGGGTCCTCCGCCCGAACCACCCAGAATGGCGAAGCGGGATATCTTAAGGTGGCGAGTGAGGTCCTGGATATCGTTTGGCCAGTCCATGATGCGACGACGGGGCTGGAAAGCAGATATCCCAAAGCCAGGACGGTCCGGTGAGATGATTCGAATTCCATGGCGTTTGGCAATTGAGTCTGCCAAAAAGGCTTCCAGTCGCGAAGAGGGCCATCCGTGAAAATAGAGCAGTGGATAGCCTGATGGACAGCCGTATTCAGTATACCCTAGCACCCGGCCATCACGGAGAGAGACTGTCTTGTCTGGGAATGATGCCAGACTGGGGGGTATAAATGTAGGTGTTGCAGTTGACAGTGAGAAGGACAACCTTGGAAAGGGGGCTTTCATCTTAGAGTAAACCGAGGAAAATATATATTTATTGAGGATGAGAATGGGAATGAGGATGAGGATGTTCTGGAGAAACAGAACGAATCTGCCCGTCCATGACGGCTGTTTATATATCCCATCTTCCTGTCTTCTCTGGCCTGGTGACTGACTGCGGTCGTCGGGACTGGCTTGATATCAGGTCCTGCGCTTAATATTATGAGCCGCCGTATGCATCCCAACACGGACAGTGCCTCGCTCTGATTGGCCAGACAGACCCGCCAGCCAGCGCCGCTAAGCGAGCTTCCGCCGGGCTTGGCAGAACTCGCAGGATCGGGGCGTCGATGGGAGTTTGCGGGAGACGACGCTGGACGAAGAAAAGCCGGATGCGATGTTGATGTTGACGGGAGCCTGAGATACGGAGTAACTAGACACTGTCTTATAATTAGGAAACTCTGGAGCAGGTGTGATGTGATGGTAGAAGTGGCCAGGGTGCCTTCTTACCAGCAGCCCAACGGCCAGCCTAACAGCCGACATCAACATCAACACCACCCGATTGGAGTACTCCCTTCCGACAAAACGAAGAGATGAGATGATTGATTTCTCATATCTTCTTCATGTTTTTGTACAGAGTATCCGTACGCTGTACTAAGTACTCTTTCATTCATCTTATTTACGGAGTATGCCGAGGAGAATTGGCGAGCTGACATCTACGATGACTTCAAGCTTTTTATTTCTTCTTCGTGTGCAACCTCAGCCTCTGGGCTAACAACTATCGATGCAAACTAGGACTTTGGCCTCCTCTGTCAAGTCACAGCAAGCCTTGATATTCCTTGATCAGTGTGCATCCTGCAGTCCAACACCAAGCCGGGCTGATTGAAAATACACAGGCAAAAGAGAGCCTCTGGTGCTAGATCTTCACATGAGCCGAGGGCAGACATCGTAAGCTCTGCCTAGTGTCCAATGGAGCAGAAGATGCACAGGGGTTCGACGGCTTCGACAGCCACTTAATACGAACTTCCCACATGCAGGAGATGAAAAGGTCGTACGGAGATGGTCGACTATTCGGGCATTAAGTTCGCCATCGCTGCTAGCAGACGGCACAAAATGCAGATTTTCCCTTCCCCAGGTTTACTGGTTTGCGGGGGACCAGCGGAGCAGAGGAAGCCGGGGATTGATGGAGTCTATAAAAGGGAGTTCCTTGGACTGCTGGCGATACCAGACCACATATACCCACCGCTGTCCATCTTCCAAGTCACAGCCTATATCTCCTCCTCCACAAGCTATAACGAAGCTACAAAACACAAGATGAAGCTCTCGTCCATCTTCTCGGCCGTTGTCGCCGCCCTTGCTACCACCGTTGTCGCCTCTCCCATTGCAAAGCGTGACGGAGCTGCTGTCGTCAACTCTGTCAATACCATCTCCCAGCAGATCACCGACCTCGACAACGTCGTCAAGTCCTACACCGGCGGCTTCATCACCCCTATCAAGATCCAGGTCAAGACTAGCAAGTTGACCTCAGGCCTCAAGGATGCCATCAAGACCGTCCAGGAGTCTGCCAAGTTCAACGACCAGGAGTCCCAGGCCGTAGCCACCGCATTCGTCCAACTCAAGCCAAAGATCGATGCCGTGCTTGCCTCCCTCATTAGCAAGCAACCAATCTTCAAGAAGGGCATCCTCGGCGTCCCACTTGACTGGCTGGTGAGAATCAACCTCCAGCAGCAAAAGGACCTTTCGGCCAAGCTGGGAGACGAGACCGTGCTCAAGCTGAACGAGCAGTTTGCCAAGTTGGCTCCCTTGATCAATAATGCCATTGCCGAGGCTTTTGCTAAGGCGATTGCTGCTTTCTCTTGAGCAATAGGAGTAGGATGGATGGTTGATGCACAGGATTAAATGAAACCGTCATGTCGTGCCAATGCATAATGTATATACCAAACTTTCCCCTTAACATAAGGGCCGTCATGATAAAAGTGACAGATAAATAATGGCATTTGTCTATATCAGCCAACTGAGTTCTTGTTGCAGTAGAGGAATAACCTTCCGCATGAAGCAATAGATGGCCCAGCACTGTGGATCGAAGAACAACGTAGTCCATCAAACAGTCAGCTTGATCGTCTTGAGAGCCTGGTCTGTGCATCTATATGTGCTGAAATTATTAGACGGGATTCATAGCTCAATTCAGCGACTAATACTGCCTGTTATTACTGTCGTTATCATCACCGCCGTACAGAACTTCACATACCCCACCAATGGGTATGTCCATCACTGCATCAGTCCCTTCATTCCACACCTGATCCCACGGTATTCTCTTCTGCGAGCCCATGATCTGGGCCGTCGCCGCGTCAGGGTTCATCTTCGCTGAACCTCCTGGTCGACGCCGCCCTTTGCTATCTATCACAGCAATGTTCGCCGCGTCATCAACTAGATTCTCAATGCTGTTCATTGGTAGCGTTAGATAGCCCGTGTTATACGCTGCTAGGGCAACATATATGTAGATAATCGTCATCACCAGGAAAGACGGTATTGCCAGAGACCACCATCGGTTGGGATAGTAGTGTATGCCCAGATTATGTAGAAATGGAGATGGTAAAAAGGACCATAGCAAATACATCACTACATCATTATCTCATTAGGAATTGTTCTCGGTGACTGGAAAGAAGCTCTCGACTTACGGAATGCAAGCGACGACGCCAGGTACAGGACAAACCCATAGTATTCATACGTAGGCACTTTTGGACTCGCTCGAGGCACGGTCGTCGCATTGCGCGCGGACTTGGCCACCGCAGCTTCGGTATCATTGGGCGTTTCAACATCAGAGCTATCGGGTGTCGTGGGACGTGAGGTCGTTGCCGAGAAGGACGGGCGAAGAAGAGAAGTCAACGACGGCGAAGGAGGGAGAGGAGTAGGTGGTCGGTTATAAAACGGTGGCGCAAATGCATGAGGTAGAGATACCGTTGATCGTAGGTACGGCCGGTCAATGGCGAGGTTGTCTTCTTCCTGGGAGCTCTCTTCTCCCTCGCCTTCTTCTACTTCGTCGTCTTCTTCCTCCGACCCAGACGCTTGCGGTGAATATTGCGAGAGAAATTCTGCTTCTTCCGTGCCCCTGACTTCATCGACCTCTTCTCCATTGATCACCACATCATCCTTATCAATAGCGTCTCCTCGCTCTTCATCGTCTCCTTCTGGCCGAGGCTCTTCCTCTTCGATATAGTTGAGAGACTCGAGATCAGGGCTGAGTGGAGGGAACGGCTGGCTGGACTCAACTGACCGCACGCTCTTTGGGCTCAGGGGACACTCATCGGCGCTCCCATTCATCGCACCTGGCATCAGCTGGTCTGAACTTCAGTCGCTTTCAGCTTCTGCTTCGTCTGCTTCGGCGTCTTGATCTTTTTTTGCTTCTCCAGATTCAAAACGAAGTTACATCATATGGAGGCTCAAGTCATGCTTTTACATTACAGTACACAAATTAAAGCGATAAAGGCAAAATAACCAGGTACATACGGTAATATTACACATCTGCTGGTTAGTCATGTATTGAGCCTCTATCAATTTTCGCGAGGTTTGATGAACTTCGACAAGGCAGCCAGCTTTTTGATATCATCTTTATTGAATATAGAACCGGTTTCTCAGATATTGCGAAGCTATCAGCGAGATGGAACCTTCACAGCCTGCAACGCCGAGTAAAACAGCCGGTACCCCTAATCCAAAACCACTTACTCCAGAGCAAATCCAGCGTATAGTAGGCATGACCTTTGATCCGGTTATAAAATGAGAGATAAGGCATCAAGCAGCTAAAGGGCTTTTTCAGGAATTAAACCGCTTGAAAGCAAAGGCTCTTCGTGAACAGCGAGAGGCCGAAGCACGAAACCGCGGCACTGGTGGCTCTGTTGTAGCTGGGCAGAAGAGGCCCATATCCTCCGTACTCTCGCCATCCAAAACGCCAGCCAACCTTCGAGATGGACGAAATAACCCGTCCACGACAGGTGAACGGCCACTAGATACTATACGGCCTGTACGGGCATTCGCCAAATATGTAGAGTACGACTTTAGCAAGATGACAGATACCAAGGGTGGATTCCTGACTGCCGATGATGATCCTCACAACAAGGCTCTATACTCCAAGGATCAAGATGGAAAGCCGGCTCATATGACTCAACGAGACTGGGAGCGGTATCAGCAACTACAGGCTGCTCGGAAAGATCCTCATGGGCCCTTTGCTCCAGGGGCCACAGCACAGGACTCTGGGAAGCAGAAGAAGTGTCGGGAATGCGGTACCGTGGACATCGACTGGAAATGGGACGAAGTCTTCAAATGTTCGATTTGCAGTGTTTGCAAGGAGAAGTTCCCTGAGAAGTACAGCTTACTCACAAAGACAGAAGCAAAGGAAGACTATCTCCTCACTGACCGTGAGTTCACGGCCCAACATACCGTCTTCTCTTAATCTAGCTAACATTTACGCGCAGCTGAACTCAAAGATGAAGAACTGCTCCCTCACCTAGAGCGGCCGAACCCGCATAAGTCAACATGGAACAACATGATGCTCTTCCTCCGGTTCCAGGTAGAAGAGTACGCCTTTTCGGCGAAAAAATGGGGGTCCCCCGAAGGCCTTGATGCCGAGTTCGAACGGCGGGAAGCCGACAAAAAGAAACGAAAAGAAGCACAGTTCAGGACCAAGCTGAAAGAACTGAAGAAACGCACCCAGTTCGAGGCGCATCGCAGGAACAGGGAGGGCGGCGGCGGTTCGTTTGGCGATACCCTCGGTGGCCGCCAGAGGCACGTCCATCAATGGGGGAGGCCAGTAGACAACGCCGAGACGGGCATGAGCGTCAAGACCTGCGTCGACTGCGGCATGGAGGTAGAAGAGATAGTATTCTAATATGTACCTTACCTTTTCTCCCCGCAATCGTGTTCTTCTCTGGCTTCGAGCGGTTGTCACTATGTTATTGTTTGTATATAACGGAGTATAATGGGCGGGATTATTCATGTTAGCATCCCAGGAATGCCAGATCGCGGCTTGGCAGGCTAAAAAGTGAGCTTCGAACAACAAGCAGCGATCCTTTTTTTTATTTTTATTCACCTTCGGCATCGAACAGCAAACCGGTGGCGACAACGCCGCAGATTCACCTCGTCTGGACGTTGCTACACTTGCATCTCACCTCCGAGGCCTTGTCGGGGGCGGTTGGTTTATTCTTAGACAGCACTTGACCTCTCCCTTTTTTTTTTTTTTTCCGCCAGCCGAAACGCCGTTGACGGCTTACCCTGCCAAGCGTGTCCTCACAATAGTAATAGACCTGTCTACCCTTGACTCTGGCTGGTCTGCCGATATATCTTAGTCCGTTCGTCCTGGTATTTTGATGGCCTGGCAGCCACAGTCTGCCATGGCCGGAAATGGTGGAATGGGTGGTGGGAGTATGGATGCGAGTAACGGTGGAGGCCAGCCTCAGGGCACGGAATATACGTTACAGGGTCAGTCTTGCACGTCTCCTGGAAGACAACGCCCCATTTATTGGGGGTTGAAGGCTCTATAGAGAGTTGAACTTGTATTTGTGCTAATAATGATTCGGTTTATAGGTGTGATGCGATTCCTACAGACCGAGTGGCATCGACATGAGCGTGACCGAAACGCTTGGGAAATCGAGCGCGCTGAGATGAAGTCGAGGATTGGGAGACTAGAAGGCGATGCTCGGACGAGTAAAAGGATGCATGAGTCTCTGGGGAAGCATGTCCGAATCCTGGAGGTCGCGTTGAAGAAAGAGAGGGAGAAATCGAGCAAGTTGGCTGCAGGGGAGAAGATCGAACCCAGTGTCGACCCTAAAGAAGTTGCCAAAAAGAGTCTCAAGGCTCTGGAAATGAGTATGGAACTTGATCCTTCCACGTTCGTTGTTTGATTGTTTTTCTAATGCGCGTTTACATATAGAACAACCGAAGCCGTCGTCCGGTCTCGATAATTACGCCGACGATGAGGAGTCCAACAGCCCTGACGCCCAACACGAAAATGAACGAGACAAATCTAGGCTGTACCTTGGAAAATGCACACAAGAAGTTGCTTACCATATCATCCCCGGATCTCATCCTCCTCCGGAAATAAACGAGCAGGAGCTGTTGAATCATGACTACCAGCAACATCATATGCAACGACAACCGTTGGACAGTAGTTATATTCAGGAGCACCAACGGCAGCAGCAACAATCTGTGCCACAGCAAAAGCAACAATTAGTCCCAGCACAGCCTCAATTGAATCATGTGAGCATGGTTCGAGAACCAGAAGGCTGCCAAATGATGATGCCAACGTATAACGAAAACGGTGCCCAGGGTTCGGCTCAACGGGAGTTCCTTGATAGGAGACCCCAGGAACCGCAACGAGCAAACGAAACCACGCAGGAGGAGCGCAACGTCAACTATGAATTCCCATCAAAGACCGAAGAACCCTCACAAGCTGAGAGCAAGTCTCCAGAAGCACTTTCAGGAAAGGAAGATTTTGGGAAGCCAACGACTAATGATATTATTGTTGACGAAGCCGATGGCTGGAATTTCGATGAAGCGCCCTCGACCGAGCCCACCCCGGCTCCTGTCACTCGCCGCCCCGACACAGATGCTTTCCCCAGTGCCAACTTCATTCCCCCCAAGTCTCCCACCCGTGGACGTGGATCCAGGAGAAAGAGTTCTAGCGGGAGAAGACGAAGTGACGGTAACCCTGATATCCGTGAACTTTCTGGATCTGTTGGCCCAAAGGCAGATACAACTAACTTCAAAGTACGGTTTGCTTTACGTGGGCACTTGGATGTAGTTCGATCCGTAATATTTACTGGCGGTGGAAGTCCCTCGGAGCCCGAAATCTGTACCTGTGGTGACGATGGAACTGTCAAGCGATGGATAATACCCGCAACGTACGGCGTCTTCGGCTCCAATGTTGCAGCTCCAGGGTCAGATCTTGATGTTACGAGCTATTTTACTCACCGTGGGCACAACGGCTCTGTCACTACCCTTGCTGCTTGTCCGCCATCCCAGAACTTCTCCAGCGGTGGTCGTGCTACTGGCGATGGCTGGGTATTCTCCGGTGGACAAGACGGGTGTGTTAAGGTCTGGGAGCGAGGCAGAGTCGACCCCAAGGCTACCTTAGACGGCCATAAGGACGCTGTCTGGACTGTCTGCGTTCTCCCAGGCACGTCAAAGTCAGTATTCGGTGATCAATGCAACACCAATGGAGGCCCCGATCGTGTACTCCTTGCTTCTGGCGCTGCTGATGGTAGGATATTGATATGGGCCATAAGTGCACCGCCCCAGCTCTCTTCACCCCAGACTAGCTCTAGAAGAAGCGCCGGTGGGAGCAGGCGTGCAAACTCCATTTCCTCGGGTTCCAATTTCCCCACGTCTCCTCAACCCAGCACTGCCAGTTCGACTGCATTCAACTACACACTGGTCCATCAGATTGTGAGAAATGACATTGCTCCTACCTGTATCAGCCCGTTGTCATTGGCGGGAGTCAACTTTGTTGTTTCCTACGCAGATGCTTCTATTCTAGTCTATGATACCCGGACGGGAGAAGAGATTGTGGGTATGGCAAGCCTTGAGACATATGACGGCACTCGAGCCACTGGTGTCAATGCCGTTGTTGCTAGCACCATTGGTTTCGATGGTACTGCTAGCCTGGATCCTAACCGAGCTCTTTCGGAAGAAGAGTCCGTTGTCCATGGCGCTACGGGCACAAGTGGCGGCGTCGAAGGCGTTGTCATCAGTGGTTACGAAGACCGTTATATCAGATTTTTCGACGCTAACAGCGGTAAGATAATAATTTCCACTAAATTTCCTCCTTTACACAACATATCTTCTAATATGAATAGGTCAATGCACATACACGATGTTAGCACATCCAGCAGCAATCTCCTCTCTTTCGCAGTCGCCAGATGGACGAGAGCTTGTCTCTGCTGGACATGACGCAAGTTTACGATTTTGGTCCCTAGAGAAACGAAGTTGCACGCAAGAAATCACGAGCCATAGACTAATGCGTGGCGAGGGTGTTTGTTCAGTCGTCTGGAGTCAAGACGGAAGATGGGTTGCTAGCGGTGGCGGTGACGGCGTTGTCAAGGTATTTTCAAGATAAATATCAACACCACCGCCGCGACGTGAAGATTACTCGAACGAAAACAATAGGCCCCCCCGCCCACCATGATATACATCTATCTTTCATCTACCCTCTATCCTTATAATGAGTCTCCTGACTTCTTTGAGTGAGCATATTCGACTTGGGTTTCTCCTTCGCAAACGTGCGAAGGTAGTCTTCTTGTTCTGATGATACCCCTTCATTTGCTCACAACTCTTCTTTACGCTATTATTATTATAAGATCTGGGCGTTTGTATCCACCCATGCGCTGAATCTCTTCTTGAGCCATGTTTATCCCCCGGCTTGGAAGATACGATTTGTCGCCTTCCCGTTTCTCCTTTAAGACACGTACTTAATGCTTTTCCTTTCAATGTTTTCACATTTTGACTTTTTCTTCATTTCCCTCCCCCATAACACATCACCTTTAACGCTTTTCCTTTCTCTTCTCTGCTGTGATGTATACTATCAAATCCCTAAGTTTCAACCCAATGTCTTCTTGATGCATCAATTTAGTTCTTTGACGAATATATACAATTTACGATTTCTTGGTATAGACATTCTATTGTATATAATTAGGAAAGGCAACGCTTTCATTATCCTATACCATCACTAAACTGCTGACAATAGGTCTACTTCAAGTAGTCCTTCAACCCAGCTTTGAAAATTGAGATCATAGTCGGGGCATGATCTGGGTTCGGTATCTTGTCTTGTATAAATATCCTAATATCCTCCCAGAAATTGTCGGCATCATACAAGTTGGCGAACTCAGAACGCAAGGATTGATCGCCCTGCGGTAACTCTCCTAGTTGTTCTGAATCAGGATCCTTCATCTCCGTATCCTCCTGTGGGCCTAATTCAACAGGAGGTTTAGCCACCTTCGTTGCGGCAGCAGCAGCCTTCAATTCTTCCTCGGGGATAACAGACGCTCCTCCTAGAACCATCACACTAAACTCTGCTGGGATTTTCCCATTGACTATGTCTGGTTCATCTGCCAAGATATCGGCAACAGATGTACCTTGAACAGGCTTGCGTTTCCACAATAGCTTTATCTTGTCTAATGGTACCCTTTCGTCGGGATCGGTCGCATTGCTCGGTCGTATTCTCTGGTGGACAGCATCCTTAAGTTCCTGAACTGTGGCAGTAGCAAGAGCTACATTTGGAAGCTTGATATCTAGCACAGGGTTCCGAGCGGACTTTAAATGAACGCTTATTCCCTTGGATGAGCCTGGCGGTGCTGCTGTCTTGACTTTCTTAGGCATAGGCGGGTGAGGAGGGTCAGTTAAGCGTGGGAGGATGATCTACAGATAGGCAACTGTCAGTACGTGCTAGCCTTTTAGCAAAATAAAATATATATATAAACCCATACCGGGAAACGAGGGGCGAATGTTCGAGGGTCATAGACGGTATCGGCTGGGACTCTGATTGGTTTTGAGTCGAGAGAAGCCAGGAAACTCTTTGTAAATGATATCTCCGCCATTTTGACAGCTTTATCTCCTGTTTTTAAGGCTGGAATCTCTCTGGCGTCCGTCTATCAAAGCTGGATGTCTAGCAATGTCCTCTGCGCGTAGATTCGTGTTTGGTTATTGCTTCTGCTTAGTAAGACCGATAAGCTGTACCTATCACGTGTTATGATAAACTCTAAAAATTATTTTTTTTCCTTATCGGCAAAATTTCGCTGGAAGAAAAAGAAGCAACGCCAGGAATATTTATATATCACCAACAGCACGGCCAATTGCGCCTTGATTTTGGGGAATTGACGCAAGATGGGTGTCGGGCGTCGCATTGGGAAGAAGCAGGGTCCTCCACAACCGCTTGAAGAATTCACTGTAAAAAGTGGTAAAAAGGCGGTTAGGAAGCGGAAAGCAGACAAGGCGGACAGCGCTCCTAAGGGAGTCAAGCGACGAAGAGGAGTCGATGATGGAGATGACGGCGAAGAGCGGCCAAAGAGCGCAAAGACAAACGGTGCGAAAGCCGGGAAGAAAGACTCTGTGAAGCGGAAGAATACCAAGGCGCCTATCACAGAGGGCGCACGCACCAAGGATGAGAAGAAAAAGGTAGCAAAACCCGTGGAGGTTTCTGAACCGGAAGACTCTGAGGAGGATATGGATGGTGAAATGCTTGATGATGAGTTTGGTGACCTAGATGGGGTTAGTGACGGGTCCGCAGATGATATGGATGCGTTGGATCAGGAAGATTCAGATCTTGAGAGCCATTCAGCGTTCGATTCAGATGAGGAACGGCCCCGAGAGAAGATGTTCTCAGATGACGAAGATCTTTCAGATGCGGAAGAGATTCTCACTGCCGCCAATATTGAGGGATTGTCCAAGAAACTGGACATGCAGAAGGAAGAGGAGGCTGCACAGGCAGAGCTTGAGCTGAAAGAGGCTGCTATGCAAACAAATATTGCAGGTGATGCACCCGATGTATTTGCGGAGCATGAAAATCTCACAGCTGGACTGGCTCCAAACCTGCAACTGCTTCGAACTCGCATCACAGATACAATTCGTATTCTTGGTGATTTAAGCACGCTTGGTCAACCAGGAAAATCGCGCGCAGACTATACCGACCTCCTCTTAAACGACATATGTGTATACTACGGATACACTCCTTACCTTGCAGAGAAATTATTTTCTCTGTTCACTCCTATGGAAGCATTCTCTTTCTTTGAGGCTAATGAGTCTCCCCGACCAATTGTTATTCGAACAAATACACTACGTACCAATCGACGATCACTAGCTCAGGCATTGATTAACCGAGGAGTTGTTCTAGAGCCTGTTGGGAAGTGGTCAAAAGTTGGTCTTCAGGTATTCGAGTCCCCAGTTCCTCTGGGTGCTACTCCAGAATACCTTGCTGGACATTACATTCTGCAAGCAGCTTCATCCTTCCTCCCCGTCATGGCGCTTGCTCCACAACCTCATGAGCGTATCCTCGACATGGCAGCTGCTCCCGGTGGTAAGACAACATACGCCTCTGCGTTGATGCGAAACACTGGCAGCATTCTTGCCAACGATGCCAGTAAGACTCGTGCAAAGGGTCTTATCGGTAATATTCACCGCTTGGGATGCAAAAACACTATTGTCTCAAACATGGATGCTCGAACAGCTTTCCCCAAAGCTATTGGAGGCTTTGATCGAGTGCTGCTCGATGCCCCCTGCTCAGGAACCGGCGTTATCTCCAAGGATCCAAAGGTGAAAACGTCCAAGACAGAGCGTGACTTTTTAGCGCTACCGCACATGCAGAAGCAGCTACTTCTTGCTGCTATCGACTCTACCAACCATGCTTCGAAAACGGGCGGGTATATAGTCTACTCAACATGTAGCGTCACGGTTGAAGAGAACGAGGGCGTCGTACAGTACGCCCTGAGGAAACGACCAAACGTGAAGATAGTCGACACCGGCCTGGGAAACTTTGGAACTCCCGGCTTCAAGAGCTACATGAACAAAAAGTTTGACGAGAAGATGCCGCTGACTCGACGATACTATCCCCACCGTGAAAATGTTGACGGGTTTTTCGTCTGTAAGCTGAAAAAGACTGGACCCAGCCCTGCGGAGACGACCCAAAAGGCTCCAGGAACCTCCGAAGGTAGCGGTGGCGAAGAGATTATTGATAGGACCCCAATTACCCCAGAGACTGGGGATACCGATGCGGACGGATTTGGCCCCTTCAACGAGGACGAGGACGAGCAGTACATCTCCCGCGCTCAGAGGAACAAGCTCCGTCGCCAGGGCCTCAATCCCAAGGCGGTGATCAACAAGAAGAGCAGCCAGGATGGCGAGAATCACAAGCAAAAGAAGCAAAAAGGGGCAAAGGAGAAGAAGGATATATCTGCTTAGTCATCCGTAATATAATGTATTCGGAATACCAGTGTAATTTTTCAACCTTTATTTCCGGTTTTTTATATTTTTTTATTTTTACGAAGAAAACATCTTTCACAAGCGACGAAAGCGACGACGACGAAGAAACATCTTCTGCATCACCGACAAACGCCGTCTGCGTCCCCAAGCCCCAGCTGCTCGTTGTCCTTTTCGTTGGTGTTACCGGTCGGCTACGTGTTTTCTTCTATCCCGTCGTCGACGTTCAGCGCTTCTGCCCCATAACCGAGTCGTCATCATCATCCCTGAGAGGAGGGAAAAAACGCCCAGGTGGCCTTGCAAAGTCCATATACCAAGCCGAATTATCATATCGGCACCACAGCACTTCGATAGAACTTCGAATAAAGCCCTCCAGACCTCGATAGAAAAGTTTCGATAAACTGTTCACGATGTCGGACCAGAAGAAGAATGACAACTACATCCCCATGGACAAGATGGACTCGGAGTCCTCTAGCAGCTACAAGCCGCAGCCACCACCACAGCCGCGACACTCGGCTGTCGCTTCTGCAGCAAACAATGCCACTCTCGCTATTATCAGCTACTGTGCTTCCTCTATTCTAATGACTGTGACGAATAAATATGTTTTATCAGGTGTGGATTTCAACCTCAACTTTTTCCTTCTCTGTATTCAGGTATGTCAAGAAACAATTTCTGTCAGTGGGCAGTGAAGCCGTTTGTCTAACCATCTCTTCTTTCTAGTCTATTATTTGTATCATTGCAGTGCAGTCTTGCAAGACCTTAGGATTTATCAACTACCGAGATTTCAGTTCAGATGAAGCCAAGAAGTGTAAGTGCTTTGTATAGTCAACTTTCCGACCATCTCATGCCCCCAACTAACGGAGCTGTTTTGCAGGGTTTCCAATTTCCCTCCTCCTTATCGGCATGATTTACACCGGTTCCAAAGCCCTCAAGTTCCTTTCGATCCCTGTTTACACTATTTTCAAGAACCTTACCATCATCCTTATCGCCTACGGTGAGGTACTGTGGTTTGGAGGCTCCGTTAGCGGACTCACCCTCTTCTCCTTCGGTCTCATGGTTCTTAGCTCCGTTGTTGCTGCCTGGGCTGATATCACCCATGCCGTCAGCACTTCTGCTGGTACTGGCGCTGTTTCCACTCTCAACTCCGGCTATCTCTGGATGTTGATCAACTGTGCTTGTACTGCTTCGTATGTCCTTGGAATGCGAAAGAGAATCAAGTTGACCAATTTCAAGGATTTCGACAGTAAGTCAAGTTTCTAGGGCCCACGCATTTACGCAATTCTAATCCTCTTTTCTCTTAATAGCTATGTTCTACAACAACCTTCTCTCCATTCCAATCCTCATGGTCAGCTCTCTCCTCGTTGAGGACTGGTCCAGTGCCAATGTGGCCAAGAACTTCCCCGTCGATACCCGTAACAGACTCTACGTTGCCATGCTCTTCTCCGGATTGTCTACCGTTTTCATCTCCTACGCCTCCGCATGGTGCGTTCGTGTTACCACTTCCACCACTTACTCCATGGTTGGAGCCCTCAATAAGCTTCCAATTGCCCTGTCTGGTCTCATGTTCTTCGGCGACCCAGTCACCTTCCCCAGTGTCTCTGCCATTGCTATCGGATTTATCAGCGGTATCGTCTATGCCCTCGCCAAAATCAAGCAGAACGCCAAACCAAAGACTGGTATTCTCCCAACTTCGAACCCCCCTGTCAGTGCCAGTGCCCAGAGCATGAGAGACGGATTCAAGTCGTGAGCAATTAGCTGGTCTTTAAAAATACCCACTCTGTCTTGATTCCTATATCTCTCGCTTGGCATTGGCTTCGGCATAACGACTTTTTTACGCAATCGACGGGTGTATCTATTTCTTTGTTTTTGGTGATACTAGGTGATGCTTTCCACCTGGCTCACCCAAGAAGAATGAATCCCCAGACTGCGGAAACGACTATCCATTGAGTAACGTTATTTTCAGCGTGGACTTCTTACTACTCCACTGGTGGTTGACGAACAGCTAAACCGCATTCCGCAACACATAGAGCTTGTTTTCTGTTTTGGCTTGTTGGTTTTCCGAGGGTAATTTATCATTCCTTCTTCAATTGTCCCTTTTTAATATGCGGCCGATTTCCTCTGCCACTTTTTTTTTCTTCCAGATCATATGCTAGAGGCATCAGGTTACCTTGGGCACTTTTCTTCTTTTGATATCCCCAATTCTTTTATGCTACAGAGAGACCTGGGTATCTGTAGTATGCTGTATTTATTTTTCCCCTTTACTCTTAAATATTTCCTACTTCTGTTCTAACATTCTTCCCTTTGTTTCTTTGATCCATGTAAACCAGTTTAATTCATAGAATAGTGTTTCCCAGTATATGTTTACCGGTAAATGACAGCACCATCCGTCGTATTTCCATGACCGTCACGAAGCAATATATAAATAATCTGAGACAATAGGACAGCTTCAGCCTCTCGGTGAAACCTGGCCTCAATGATTACCCGCCTATCGCAGCCTTCGCCTAAATCCATGAGGATCCAGACTCTTTGGGCCCAAATAACTAGTCAACCAAACTAACTACCTAGTAGTTAGCTAATTAAATTAGATTAGCTAGATTTTAAGATTTTCCCTGCCAATCAATCGATTATCAACAATTGCCAATCACCAATATAACGATATTATATCCCAAGTACTCGATTATCGAAACCACTGCACGCATATACTACCACCCCCTTACTGTAGATTAATTGGTTCCTTCGGCAAGATGGGCAAGAATCGAAAACCCGCCGTGAAACAGAGCAACAAGAAGATGAAATCCTTTACAAAGCTGTCAACATCAACAAAAAAGACCCAAAACGTCAAACAGCAGCAGCAAAAGCAAAATCAACCACAAATCCCCTTCAGGCCGTCAGATAGGGTGCTCTTGATTGGCGAAGGTATGTTATTATACTTGTTCATATTACAGACAAAGCTAATACTTCAAGCTAGGAGATTTCTCATTTGCATTATCCCTTGCAACTCACCACAAATGCCGAAAAAGGCTAATGGCAACATGTTATGACAGTGAAGCCAAGCTGATTGAAAAATACCCAGATGCCAAAAGGCATATTGAACAGCTTGAAGCTTTCTCATCCTATTCGCAGGAGTCTAGGGCCGGCGTAAAACGTAAGAGGGATGAAGGAGTTGGTTCAGACCAGTCAGATGAAGAGGCAGATCAGAAGCCGCAGGATCGTGTCAAAGTTGCTCCTGTAGAAAGCAACTCACCTAAAGCACCGAAAGCATCCGTGCCATCCCCAAAAGTTGTCTTTTCAATCGATGCTCGAAAGCTAGGTACCACTGGCGGAGGAGGGAAGTTGATACGGAGCGGATTTCCAGCTCCAAGTCCAAAGATACATTACTCAAATTGGTCTAAGAAGGGCGGCAATGACCTTACAGGCGAATCAGGAGGGCCATGGGATATTATTTGTTTCAATTTTCCACATGTTGGCGGCCTGAGTACGGACGTGAACAGGCAGGTTCGATCAAACCAGGAACTACTAGTTGGGTTTTTCAAAGCATGTGTTCCCCTTCTTTCAGTCCCAAATCCAACGGATGACTGGTCTGATTTCGAGGATGAGGATGAATATACGGATGAGGAGGAGAACGGTGATTCCCTTTCTGGCGCTAGTGAAGTGCGATGCAAGCCTAGGAAAGAGCCGGGGCATATTATTGTGACTCTATTTGAGGGTGAGCCCTATACGCTATGGAATATCAGGGATCTTGCCCGACACGCGGGCCTACGAGTTGTGACTAGCTTCAAGTTCCCATGGGCAAGTTATCCCGGCTACTCCCATGCGCGGACAATAGGGGCTATCGAAGGGAAAGATGGTGGTAGAGGTGGGTGGAAGGGAGAAGAACGGGGGGCAAGAAGTTATGTATTTGAAAGAAAAGGGTTCGAGAGTCAAGGCACTAGCTCTGGGAAGTTTAAGAGAAAGAGAAAAGGATCTGGAAGCGAAAGTGACTGATACTACCATTTGTTGTGATCTTGGATCGAGGATAGGACTATAAGTCGCTGAATTGGTCATTAAATCATTGATACGCTGCATTGAACCATCCGACTAAACCTAGTAAACAAAACAGAAAAGAAGGAGCACACGAAGAAATAGGCAGCTACCACTACAGCAGTTGATATTCACTGCTGTTAATCTAAGAAATAAACACTTTCTTCAACTCTGACACATCGAACACCTCTGAAGTAATTGGATCTTTGACTTTGCCGGTGCTAACACCTGATCTGCTCGACATATAGCATAAGCTTTCCCTGCCATATAATCGACCATTGGGTAGGACAACCGGGTCATTGTCCACCGAGCTCTTCGTATGGTGAGCATAAGGCATAGGGCGGGCAAGCTCATTAAGCTCAGTGGAGCATATGGGACATATAGAGGACCCTGAGGAGTAGGTCGCACTTGAGGCAGACGTAGTATATTCTGAATGACATGCGGGTGTCTTTAGAGCCGAAATGCCTGCGGAGAGGGCAATCTGCAGTAATGGGTGTGATGTAAGTGAGAGAAGATCGTGGTGGGTTTTAACGAAGAGGTTTGATAGCGTTTGCCATCGCTCAGAGGAGTAAATAGTCTAGACGGGCTGGTCAGTTTACAATGGACCACTAATAAGCATTGGGATTTCATCATACCTTGTATGGCTCGGCATCAGTATTAGGGGGGAAGACCATCAGCCCGGCAGCACGGAGTATATCTGATTTGTATGTCTCACTGTGTGGTGTGAGGTATTTTTTGGCATGCTGCCTTGCTTCTGTTCTCTCACCTGCACGTAACATTTCGATATACTGTTGCATCCGTAGTTCAAATTCCAGCTTATTCTGTTTAGAGCTGTTAGTAAACGCTTTCCAAACACAACGACAAAGAGGGAAAAGAAACATACGTGTAGCTTCTTTAAGGCAACTTTGTTCTCTCCGCACCACTGTAGAGCTTCTTTCGTCTCCCCTCTCCGAAGGCTCTCTGCTATGCGCTGGCATTGCGCAAAGACATGTACGTCCACCAAATCTTCAAGGCCTTCCTCATGTGCAAGCTGTTTTGCACTTTCAAGGTAGCCTGAACGCAGCATATGGTCTACCAGCAACCTGTTCAGCCTTGTCTTCGACCATCTGTCATATTTGACATCTACCAAGCTCTGTATGCCGAAGAGGTCCTCAAGGTGTTCGATCCGTTTCCTGGACTGGGAGAGGATGCTCTTCTCCTCCTCTTGTAGTGCCTCCATCTTCCGCTTTAGCCCTTGCATCCGGGTTATCATCGTGTCCAAAGAGGCGAGTGCTTGGGCAGGATCTTGGTTCCCAGAGAGCGAGGCATTTGCTGATTCTTTCAAGGCGGGAATGACATATTCCTTCTCTCTCTCCACGATGCGCTGAACAGTTTTGAAGTTCCGGCGAGCTAGCTCATGTGGAAGCCGTAGGAGAGGTTGATCCTTTAAAATGACCAGTTAGCAGGGCCTCCTTTCATATATTCTTCGTCTTTGGAAAAGCTGTGGTGTACCAGAATCAGGTGGCTCTCTGCGTTGAGCTTTGTCGGCCCAAGTTCCGCTGCCATGTTGATGACAAGTCCAAAATATTTCTATTTGCAGTGCCTCTTTTCATATGCTATAGCCCCCAAGATTTAATATAAGAGCAGTGTGGGTGTCGAAGTGGTCGTGTGCGAACGGAGGCGTGAGGTTGGTTGATGAGGTTGAAGTCGACGTTGTGATGTCAGCGAGATCGACGTCAACACGGCAAAGCCACATCACAGCCGAGATCACCGAGACCAGCTACCAACGCATGCTTCTCCCTCTACTAACGCAGCAGATTTCCCGGAATACTGCTTCGTTTTCTACATGAAATTTGGTCTTTAGTTGTCAGCTAGACAAAGAACAAGAGTTTCGGTATTAAATTTCGGAAGCAGTATATTCAGCCAAACTACCCAGGCTAACTATTGAAAAAGTAGAACGAAATAAACACAACCATGTACTCCAGCAAACATAAATAAGAAGCCCAATTTTGGATCAGTCCCATACTCCAACGGTATAAAAAGGGATATGATACAAAAGAAAAAGGTAAGGTAACTGACGCCTGCTGGGCAAATCCAATCCCTTAATCGCTGTCACTGGCATCCTCGGCCTGCTTGGATTTTCGCTTTTCCTTCTTCTCTTTCTTCTCTTGTTTTTTCTTCTCCTTTGCCTCCTTTTTCTCCTTCTTTAGGCGCTTTCGTTCTTCTCGTTCTTCTGCGGTCTCTCCATCCTTCCTCTTTCTCTTCTTGTCAGCATCATCTATCTCTTCATCTTCCTTCTCAGGGGATGAAGCAGCGGGAGCAGCCGGGGTAGACTTTGCGGGTGTAATAGCACCAGGTGCTGGAGCGGCATTCGGTGTACCAGCAGCTTGAGCATCATAATCCTTATATTCCGCCTGCCACTTGGCTGGGGTGGAGGCATTAGTGCGGCCATATTTCTAGACAAGAGTTAGCAAGAGATGTAAGAGGCAAAAAAGAACTGATCAGATTAACTTACGTCAAGCTTCCCGTCAGCCTTGAGCTTCTTCTTCTCAAGGGCAACTGGGCCCATACCCCATCGTCTGGGGTAAAGATCACGCTCCATGATACAACGCTTGACCTTGGCAACTACTCCGTGATCACAGGTTGAGAGTTCAACGGTGGACATCTGAGCAATACCGATGGCAATGGCCTCGCCCTTGGTGGTCATGAGTACCACCTCCTCATATATCTCAATACCAGCCTCTATAGATAGCATTTAGCAATTTGCCAGATATCAAAAGGGTATTGATCATGGAACTTACCAAATCGCAATAGACCTGGAATCATCAATTTAGCTCCGTAGCAGACGGCGTTGACTGCGCTATCCTTCACAACAATTCGCTTATATGAGGTCAACAAGCTCTCCAACGGCCTAATGACCTTCCTGAGGTACGATTCGTCACGGTGGTTATCCATCATCCACTGGGCGTCCAAAACATCATGTAGAGTCACCATGCCATCCTTCTCGTCCATGGCTCCACTGCGAACACGGCGCAGTTCCTGCATATGAGCTCCAACTCCCAAAAGCAAACCAAGATGCACGCAAAGGGTTCTGATATAGGTACCAGCCTCGCAACTGACCCAAAATACACCCAAGTGTCGGTCATTATCGAATTCATACAGCTTGCTCTCATAAATCGTTCGGATACGAAGCTGACGTTTGACAGCAGATATCAGTGGAGGCCGCTGGAACAAAGCTCCAGACAGCGTTTCAAGGGCACGAGCAAATTGCGCCTCGCCTCCGGGAATCTTGTCATGTAGTCTAATAACACAAACGTACTCCTTTCCGGCTCCCTGCTGCGATTTGACTAGACGAGTGGCACGGTCAATGCACACGATCAAGCACCCAGTAACTTTTGGGTCCAAAGTTCCACTGTGTCCAGTCTTTTCCACTCTATTGAGAATGAAAAATGGCTAGTTAGCTACCTAGCAATTCAACTTTAGTAGAGAGAAGAAAATGGCTGTGCGAACCTGAGCATCCTCTTCATCCATGCGACAACCTCATGACTCGACGGGTTCGACGGTTTATCCAAGTTGATCACACCAGAACTGATATAGGACTTCAAGTCACGCTTGAGGGGAGTGCAGCCGTTAGGGATTGGGGTGAAGTGACTGGTTCGCACAAGTACTATTGAAATTTAACGGCCGCACAGATTAGCAAATGAATGATCTTTCTCACTTATTTCCCCCACCACATAGATTGCATATAAAGTACATACGTTTATCATAATTTTTCAGTAGAAGCGGCCATTCTGAGGTGGGAATTGGAGGAGCAACAGCTTCAGGCTTGATGCTGTAGTCAACAACATCGCCTTTGCCAGTTGTAGCGGCCATCGTAAAAAATCTAGCTCTTCACTGCAGGGCAAAACACTCGAAAACCACACAAATCAAAGTATCAAGATTCAATTAGCACTGCAAACCCAACACCGCGCGCGACGACAACACTCTTTCAGGTGCTATCAATTGGGTCGCAAGGTGTAAAATATTTGAAGGCTTTCTTTTTTTTTCTGTCTGGAATTTTTGTTCGCGTCAAAATTTGCTGTGGGCAAAAAAGTTGATCCGCCCTCTGTACTGAAATTTTATTGGACGCATAGACGCCATTAGCCGCGCGCCAGCTTATCATTGAGCAGCTTTAAGCGACTTCAAGTTTACGTAATCACATAGATGTTGACATTAAGCTACTGCATAAAAATTTTAGTAGTAGGTAACCGTGTATCCTCCTCACTGTTAACGCCGATTATTCGATTGCATGTTTCCTTACTCCGCAGAAAGCTTCAGGTAGTTCAACCAGTGCCTAATTTTCTGCCGGCTCCTCTGCCTTTCCATGACCCTCCTCCCATGCCCGAGAACCAGCTTCCGGTGGATTGACCGGTGCTCCTTGAGTCGGAGCTATTGCCATCGGCTGGGCGATGCTTGCGGTAGCCACCATGTGCTTTGACGTAGTTACCACTAGATCCAAATAGGTTTTGGATGAAGCGGGGTGTCTGGATGTAGTTGGTGCCTCCCCCAAAGTCGGGATAAATACGGGTTAGGAACTCGTAAAGATGGGCTGCCAGTATACCACAGGCTTGGGTGATTGCGGCGTGCTGTCCAGAGAGGACAAGGGTAGCAATTAAGCTGGCAAAAGGGAGGTATTCCGCCGGAATCTGGAAAAAGATGAAAGCCATTTTCTTCCCTGCGTTATCTTGAGATAGGGTAGTGAGAAAAGCGAGAGATAGAGCTACTCGGGTTAGCTAAATGACTGGGAAACATGAATAGGCTTCCCACACAGGGGAGTAGATAGATGAGTACGAGTTGTGGGTAGGTATCATCGTACCTCCGAGGAAGACGAAGGACTGCAAGTACAAGCCCGCGGTTAACTGCACATGCGTCAGCTCTAAGAACTAGAAGATAGCAGGATATAGAGGATATTGATATGAAGGGTATTCTAAAACTAAATACAAGACAGTCGAACGACAGCGAGAAATATATGAATGTAGGGCAGCAGCATAACCAGTGCAATATAGACATCAACACTGGTCAAGTCATGCCACAATCCCACCATGCCTACACCGCATGCATACCCTGAAGGATTGATATTATGCGAATGATGGGTATGCACGAAGTGCAGGGGTAATCTCCCTCGAATTCAGGAACCGCTGCAGCTAGAATGGGCTGGGCGGGCAGATTTAAGAGGTGTTTTGCAAATAAGGAAGACAGAACAGGGTAAAGGCCATGCTTGTAACCCTCGCGCGAGGCAAGGAATGAATGACCACTCACCAGAATGAAAATAGCTACGAAAATCACATAGGTGACAAAGTCACCTGGTCCAGAGAAACGAGGCGAATTGACCTCAATATCGCTGGCGTATTGGAATACTGCGCATCTGTTAGTTAGATCTTCACATGATAGCAAGGTATTCATTGTCGTTTCATGGACCCATACAGAAGTAAAGGTCCAAGAAGAAGCCAATGCCTCCTCCAGTCAGAAAAAATGGCGTCACAAGCCTCCATAGCTGTGGCGGGATCTGAAGTATCCTTGGTAAGAGGAAGACAACATGCATGCCATTCAAAAATCCCCCATGAACCAGGACTGACTGGACAAACGTAGCTGCCGTCAGCGTTCTTTAACAGAGCTGGGTCAGTATCCTGCAAACGAGATCCCTTGCTCAGGTATAGAAGCTCACCTGCTGACTGGCGGTGCTGCCCAGAATTTGTCCATCTTCACCAAACTACCAAACTGCTTTTGCTACAAAAGTGTTTGGTGTTTGAGTGTATTTCTGAGTTGGAGTTGAAGGTGGACGAAAAGCTTTTGTGGTCTTTTTATATGTGGCTTTTTGGAAGCAAGACAAAAACTTTTCCAGCCCGAACTCTAATTTAGGACAACGGAATTATGTAATTCCATTTAAGTCACGTGATATAATAGGGTCCATTAGGTAAGCAGGAACTGTATACACGGGGGTAGCTTTACAGTAGCTATTGTCTAGGAGGTAATACGGCTAGTCATTGCTAAGAGTCAAGTCTGCCATAGTGTGCAGTCTGGGTCCTGGTAACTGTTAATATTTTCCTTCCAGTAGCCATCTCACGCCTTTGACGGTGTCCTCCACGAAGGTCCTGCTCATTTCAAGCTCGGGAAAATTCGTCCAAAAGTAGTGTCCGAGACCCTTATACACGTCGACTTTCGTCTTCACCCCGGCCTCCTCCCTTAGAACTCGTTCATATATCAGAGCCTCATCTCTCAGAGGATCTAGCCCACAAACCTGAAAGTATGCTGGCGGGAGATCCCGATGGCCGCGTTCCCCTTGACCATAGAGGAAAGGCACAAACAAAGGATTAGACATATCACCACTCATTCCCGCAATGCTGTATACCTTTGCTAAAAGGTTCAAGGGCAGAAGGCTGAGTATGAACCTTGGAACTGATGAAAGTGGAGTGAATGGTCCCAGTGACACATTAAGAATGGGGTCATTGCAAGGCGTCACAAGGGGGTGGGAGAGGAATTCCGCCTGATATTGAACAGGGATATGAGAAGGTGGCAGGAAGCACATAATGGCAGGGACACAGAGATATTGGCCAGTTAAAGGTGGAGATAGCTGTTCGTCTCGTGCAATATGTGCAAGAACGGCGGCTATATTCCCGCCTGCTGACCCGCCTCCAACTATAAATCCCCTTGAGGGGTCAGCACCGAGCGCCGAGGCATTCCTAGCACACCATTGAAGGGCATCCCAAGAGTCATTGATCCAGGTCGGGAATGGATACTCTGGAGCAAGCCTGTATTCCACGTTGACACAAATGGCACCCAGATCCCGAGAGAAGAGTCGACAGTTAACTTCTTCATCTGTCAAATCTCCCATACCCCAGCCACCCTCGTGGAACATAACGATTAATGGGCTTCCATCCTGTTTCTTAGCTACCGGCTTGTATATTCTGATTGTGATTTCTGAGCCATCACGGACGGGTATGTTCCGGTCCTCTTCAGCAACTTCATCAATCGGCCCAGGAAGGTATCGGAGCCCCCACTTTTCTCTCAATATAGTGGCCCTGTGTTCCCTAGCTGCCGTATGGTCCTTACGGCCATAGTAAGGGTCTGACGGCCTTGGAGGACGCACTGCTGGGCCGTTTTCCAGGATAGCGGCCATGGCGGGATCCATAACCGCTAGAGCAACGAGCTCTTCCCTTGTACGTGGTGCCATAATGACGGCGTGGGCGAGGCTGAGGATATGATAAAGGAAGAAGTTGTTGTTTTCAGCTCGCGAGTTTCTCTTTCCAAGCATTTTCTTAAAAATCGCACGGCACGTGTTTCTAGCGGCCAGGCGAAGCTCAGAGAGGGAACTCACGCTCTTCAGGATTAGGTATTCAGGGAGAACAACGCCATGCACCGACCATTACCTGTATATATTAACTAGCACACGGCCAGGATACAATGCCTTAGTCGGATTCAACTGGCACAGTCTTGATGGCTCCTTTAACTGCCAGTCCCCCATTGTTGTCCTCTACCCAGATATCCCAGCTCCCCGTTGATCCGTTAGACTTGCGTGCAGCGCATACCTTCATCTCATGCTCCACTAGAAGGGGGGCTAGGTTTCGATACTCAATACTTGATACAGCCTGTCCTAATGTAGCCGCATGTTTCTGGAATGTGCTGAGCATGATCGTGAGCGTAAGAGGTCCATGGACAAGAAGGTCGTTGTATCCTTCGACGTTACGTGCATAGTCTCGATCAAGGTGGATGGCATGGGCATTGAATGTAAGGGCAGAGTATCTGAATAAAAGTGATTTGGAAGGTATGATGGTCTGGGAGAATTCAGCTGTAGCAGGAACTGGGCCATCGTATGTTAGCACAAGATCAAAACTGTGGATGCCGGCAGCTATTACTTTTCATTATCCTTCGTGGAGATATATTAGCAGCAGATTTCGCAGCTTCAATTTCCTTTGATGTTCTGTCTCTCATAAAGACAAGGTTACGCCTTTCAATTACCATACTGGCTCCTTGTTCCTCCTCGGATTGCGTCCAGACTCTACTCCGGACAGCATCATCACTCTCATGTTCATCCACGGTGGCTACCCGTCTTTCGATTCCAACAAAAATCTTTTCATCGCCTTCCTTGCCTTTTATATTCACCTCGCGTATCCCTTCGACACAGACCGCTCGCTGTCCAGTAAGCAACGGGCCTCCATCACCGAAAAATCGGACCGATCCACCAGCCCACATCCGGCGATTGTATGGCTGGCCGGGAGAGTGCAATTCATCACAGCCGTCTGGAAGGAGTTCAGATGAAGGGACTTGAGGCGGGAAATATATCAGATGGTGGCCGCGAGGCATGGGGACCGGTCTGGTTATGGACGGGAGGCGCCATTGGGACTCAGGAGAAGCGGATGAGCCGGGTGTTGACACATTAAGGCTATCGAGGGACAGGCTCAGAAGATGCGATGGCTGCGGCGAGAGATAGTCATATATCAGAGGCAGCCGGCGCCGTACCAGCTCACCTTCAATGCTTGATAGTGCCGGAGCTGTAGCCAAAGCGCGCATTTGCAAAAAGCTTGTAAGCCGCGGACGAAGGCATACCCGGGCCAATTGCACCATATCTACCTCGCGTGTTCCGTAGAGGCGCACATCCGTGGCGGCCACTTGTGTCTGCTTGGTATCTAGTGAATTGCGGTGGTGTAGCTTGCTGGATGTTTACGGGTTGGAGCAAGTTTGATGTTTGCGGTTTGCCAAATAACTAGTTAGTTAACTTAAAAAAAAAAGGCCCGCCGATCTCGGATAACAAACTACAACTCCGCAACTTGACTCAATATTTAGACCGCCAGGATGTGCGCAAGTACAGGTATTGAATAACTAAGAATTCGAAAGAAGGAGGTGAAGAGAGGCAGGTAACCTCTAAAAGATAGAATAGTGCCTTTATTTCTATATAAAGTGTTCCCTATGATGCCCTCCATGACTCCGAGCTTGGGTGCCAATACTTTGCTCCAGCCCGTCGTTGCATTTCTTGGACCTTTAGGCTCCTTTTCACATCAAGTGAGTATATATAATAATACGACTGTTGTGCTTGCCTTGGGCTTATGCGTGCTTCAATAGGCAGCTATAGAATATTTTGGCTCAAGCAATAACACCCTTAAAGCTGAGGTTTCTTTCAACGATGCCTTCTCAGCCGTCCAGTCCCAAGAGGCCGACTATGCCATTATACCACTAGAAAACTCTTCGAACGGTGCTGTTGTCCAGACTCTCGATTTGCTAGCAGACCGTGGAAACTTATACCCTGATATTACTGTGTCTGGAGAATATTATCTCAGTGTCCATCACTGTCTTTTGATGAAAAACACACAAGGTTGGTTCAAGCAGGCCCACGTCACGCATTTATGGAATGCATAACTGACAAATTCCAATATAGAAGGACACGGAAACTCTTCTGAGCCTAACCCGGAGGTATCCAAATTCTACTCCCACCCGCAAGTCTGGGGGCAATGTACCAAGTTTCTTTCAGCGTACAGTGGAGTAGAGAAGCAAGATGCCTCTTCAACCTCCAAGGCTGCTGAGATAGTCAGCAAGGACAACGATCCCAAAAGTGCAGCTATTGGAAGTGAGCTTGCAGGTAGTATCAATGGTCTACAGGTTGTCAAGGCCAACATCGAAGACGACCCTTCCAACGCAACCAGATTCCTTATCCTACAGAACCTCAAATCAAACTGTACCCAGGCAGTAAAGCCGCCTCAGAAGACACAGTCTTGCTCGGATCCGGGTTCAAAATGCAAGTCACTTATCACCTTTATGGTTGATCATACGTCTCCCGGTGCCTTGGCGGACGCGTTACATGTGTTCAAAAAATATGGCCTCAATCTGACCAGTATCAATTCTCGTCCAGGAGGTGTTAAAGCGTGGCAGTACGTTTTTCTGGTAGAGTGTCAGAGGGTATATGGTGTTCACGATGATCATGTCGTGGAAAAAGTCATAGAAGAGCTGCAGGATATTACACAGACCTGCAGAAATCTAGGGAGTTGGGAGGATCAACTTATGGAAAAGTAAAAAGCAGGGCATTTTCTCGGGAATACGGCATTATAAAGGGATTTAAACAAGCAATTATGATCCAATTTACGCATTATATCTAAAAATAAGGAGGGAGGTGTGACATAGCCATAGACTTGTTGTGAATAGCCGGTGCCAGAAAGTATAGCAGGTAACGAGCGTATATTTTTATGGATTGAAGAAAAACACTAGCACATGACCCTGGATGAGCCTACACTTGAGTTTAACAACGTAGTTTGAGAAAGAACTATGCCATCAAACTCCAAAGCGCAGGCTTTCATATTCCAAATCATAGAGCGAGGCAGGGCGCAAGAAGACGACAGCAGAAAAAGCACACAATTTAAATCATTTAGTAGGAAGCAAGGAGGAGAAGGTTTCCACCGAGAAGTGCTATCCCAGCTCAAGTTCGAATCTGAAATGATAGCGAGCAGATTCGAAAAAAAGAAAAAAGGCATCGATCTTATCCGGTCTTCAACTATGAAGTGGGTTTTGACGAAGCGAAGAAGATACGCTGGAATAACGTCCGTCAAACAGTCTACCCTCGTAGCATATGTTTCTGCTATGGCCACTTTAATTCGAGGTGGCCACGTTGCGAAGCTTGGATGGCCCTGAAGGAGGAGAAGTTAGTGATACTATGTAGAGACCAATCTGAGAGAACGTTATAAAACGTACCTTTGAGAAGCTTCGAGCTGGCGAGGTGATGTGGGGCACAGATCTGAACGGCTGATGCGTTTGTATTGCCCTTGACGCGGTTGACGTGGTTCAAAGGGCTAGTCGTCAGAACACTCCCCGACGGGATTTCCGGGCGGTCGTCCTCGCAACCCGCGAGGTCGCCATATTGTCAATCTAGTTGTAATGGGTCAGCATATCGGTACACAATGTAAAAGCCATCGTGCAGTACATACCATCGTAAAATTCATCATCGTCTTCTTCAACATCGGCTAATTGTTCGAAGTTGACCTTGTAGCGGAGCATTGCTCCAATACCACCGAAGCCCTTGACGAACTGGTTACCCTCGCCAGACTTGTCAGAAACAAACTCCAGAGTGGCACCGAAATCCTTGTAGTTCTCAGCAAGCCATTCAAGGAGAGATCCCTGATCAACGATTTCCATTTCCTGTCCGGTTTCCTTGTCCATGAACTGCTCTCTGTTGGCCTCCTGGGCCTTGGTGGTGTGGAGTACGATGTCAGATCCGCTGGAAGGCCTGAGAACCCAACGAGTGATGTCCAAGTTCTCAAAAACGATAAGAGTCTCAGCGGCTCCAAGCTCGAGTGCTTTCAGGGTATCTTCAACGCCGTAGCAAACACGTCCGCTATCCTGGCTGATTTCCTCAAAGTATTTGCCAATAAGCTTCTTCTCCTGAATAAACTTGACGTTGCCGAGAGTCTCGGAGGAAAGTTCAATAGCCTGGTTAAATCCGTTTTCACCACCATATGACACGTCAACGACCTTGATGACCTTGGACTGGAGGCGGTTGTCGAAGAGATCGGACTGGTTAAGGTCATTCTTGAAATCGGCAGAACCAGCAAGAATCAAACCGGCAACGTTGACCTTATCGGCAGTAATGAAGTTCTGGACAGCAAGTTCGGCAACTTTACGGACGTAATTGTGACGCTTTTCCTCACGGAGACGGGCAAAACGCAGAGCAGACTGACCACCACGACCGTGCTTCTTGGGTAAGTCGACACTGAATTTGTGCACGACGTCTCTGGTATTTCCGGATAGAGTACCAAAGAGTGCACCATTTCCATCCATGATAATGAAGCCGAATTTCTGGTCGGACTCGAGAAGTTCGCTGAGGGCTTCGGTATGGAACTTGTTGTCACAGAGATAAAGGGAGGTATTGATAGGCTTGAACGGCTCAAAGTCGATGTTGATTTTACGTTCCTTTCCTTCGGAAGTGATAATTTCGCCGCAGTAGACCACAAGACCATTTGGAGGAACCCTGGTGTACAGCTTCAGACGCTGCTGAGTAGACGTAATGGCCGACAGAACGGATAGACGGTTAACTCGGGATTTGATGTTAGACGCGGTTCCCTAAGATATTTGTTAGAATAATAGTTCTTTATACTGATCTTAGCATCAGGGTATAGGTAACATACGAATTCTTCAGCCAACATCTTCGCTGCTCTCGAGATCTGATCCTTTGGAGCTGTAGAGAAGAGTTAGCGGGGCACACAACCACCTGGGCAGCATTATCCAACTTACGGATAATCAACGAAATCATTGAAGTTCCATTTCCACGCGCTGCCTCCAGGCGCTTAATCAACTTCTTGACCTTCCATATCTCGATGTTCTTCTCCGCCTCGCCTGCTCCTTGCGGCGCGCTCATGTTGGATAGATGGCTCTCTCAGCTCAGCCCAAGATGCAGCCAAATTATTCGGTTTGGACCTGATCGGTGAGCCTGACTGCCCACGCAGGCCGGTAAAAGTCGAGAACCGTTAAACCAACGCTCTACGCCGTATTAGACGTATCTGACTGTTTCACTGGCCGGCTCAGCGTGTCGAAGATGTGGTTTTTCTCTTTAATCATCAGTGAACTCGACGACTGATTGTGGGGTGTGAAAAAAAAGTCAGGTCTAATGATTATGTAAGCAGTGAAAAAGTTGGGCATTGAAGTTTGATATATCATCATCGACAAAACACAGATGTGCGAGTAACTACGCCGGAGATGCAAGGGAGGGTGCAGGAGTGAAGATACCGATGGCTCGGATGTTACGATGGACACAGGATGCATTCACTTGCGCTCCGGTGGGTCGTCTACAATTCCCAAGGGGTGGCATTGAGGTTGTTCCTGTCAGCAGCATACTCGAAGAGGGCAATGGGATGTTCAAAGCAGGCCACTACTGCTCCATCAACATCGATGACGTATATTCTTCCTACTGGGTACTAGGTAAGCTAGGATACGGCTGGACGCCAACCGTCTGGCTGGCTCGGGACATTCGCTACGGCGGCTATCATGCATTGAAAATATTCGCGCGCGGAACCACGACCGGACCTGCGAGAGGGAAGTCCGAACGTGCAAGGCGATTGCGAGAGTGAACCAGTCCCATCCTGGGTGTAGGCACGTCAGAAGAGCTGTGGAGATGTTTCCGATTGAGCGGAACGGGGGAAAGGAGCACGAATTCCTTGTTCAAGCGCCACTGGACCTTCTCGATAGAAATGTTAGCAGCCGGTTCTCCGTAGAGCTGCTGAAGGTTGATCTACAACATCTTCTTTTGTCTCTTGACTATCTTCACACAGAGAGTATTCAGAAGGCTCGTCCACACAGGTAGATTACGCCGAGACTCGCAGATCAATATATCTTGCAACAGGTATAATTAGATGTCAGAGCAGGTAATAGACTGCATGCAGTTGTTGACGATGAAATCTTCGAGTTATTTATTCAGGAAGACGCGGTAACGCCATCTCCACGGAAAATACGTCAATGGCGCTCCGGTGTACAAGTCCGGGCGGTTTGGCCAGCCGAACGACTGGGGCATAATGGTGCTAGGTGACGTTGGCGAAATGGGACGGGGACGTTAAGCGAGATCACTATGCACAGCCACAGGTGTACAGATCTCCCGAGGTTCTGCTTCAGGCACCATGGAGCTACCCAGCAGGTATATGGAATGCTGGAACCATGGTGAGTTCTCCTCTTTTGAACCTTGAATGTTAATAATGGGCACGGCTGGCAAGAGAGCCACAGATCTGGGACGTTATTGAGGGTAGCCACTTGTTCTATGGGACAGACCCCAGTCCGGAGAAGTCCTATTATACCACTCGAGCCCACCTGGCAAAGATAATCGGGCTGCTAGGCCCACCGCCGTTGGATCTGCCCCAAAAAAGGAATCCGATGGAAGAATTCATTTCTGAAGATGGTAAGTCCAACGTTGAGCTTCTGCCGTGTCCGAAGCTAATAGAGGCGAGAGGCAAATGGATAGCAGATTGTCCGATTCCCAAGGACAACAGTCTAGAGAAGGCTGAAGTGATCTTCAGCGGGAGAAACAAGGAGATGATCCTCGACTTTGTCCGAGGCATTCTAATGCCGTGTCCAGAGAACCGCAGGACAACCAAGGAACTCCTCACGTACCCATGGTTGACCACCGGGGAGATTCCTTGATTGATATTCTCTACAGCATGGCAGTTTGATGCTGTATACCGATGTGTTGTTATCAAGCAGAAGGTTTCAAGACAACGGCAAAGTTATTCTTGCCTGGCCCCGGGTTGATGATCTGCTTTGGAAAGGCAGCCCCCTGGGTCCTAACGTGGACACCAGTGTACCTCCAGAGGTAATAAATGAGCTTCGAGGACACTTTCCGCTGTAGCTGCTGGTATCCGAGCGATGCCATGATGTCGTCTAACCTCTCTTCGGTCAGGTATCTTGAATTCAACACACAGGCAGCCGGTAGTACTAGGAAGAGCGCTGGCAGAACGTCGTCCTTGACACTCGATGTGAGAAACTCGACTGTCCGGCGTAGCATCTCGCCTCTGCCCACGGGATCGGGGACGTAATTGAGCACCAGGGACAAGCTGATAATGTGAAACCTGTCCCCATCGGTAGTTGGCAATGGCCGTTCCATAAAGTCTTGCTGCAGTATTCCCGCCTCTTGCGAATGGAGGTCGATCCTCGTAACGTCCAGCGCCTTCACCATCGAGCAAGCATTCCTACTACTCAACGCGCCAACTTCTAGTACTCGCAGTTTGCCTGTGCCGTTGTCTGGCTGGCCCTGAATGGCACCGAGTAACTTGGGCTTCAGCCATTGCAGCAGGACATGGCTGGAATCACCTCCGCGCTCCTTCGACTGGCCCTTCTTGCTGGCGATCTGGTAGCTCTTCAGCCCGCCCTTCGCGGCTATCTCGCTGTCCAGCTGCCGCACCAGCTCCTCGTTGCCTTCTGCTGCTGCCCTTGCGCGCGCCTTGTGTAGCTGGTGGTGGCTCCGGATGAGGTCTCGGGTTGCCCTGGCTGACAGCGACGCAGCCGGCTTCTTGACTGTCGGCGGCCGTCCCTGCGCCAGCGACTTTTTCCTCTTCATCTCAGCCCTCCTCGACTCTTTCTTTCTCCTTCTCTTTCTCTCCTCCTCTTATTCTATGTCTTCTACTTGTAGTTATCAGTTGCAGTTCTTCTATTGTCGGCGTTTCTTCTGCGAGTCTGTCTTAGTCAGCATCACGTGCCCCACGAACTCAACTAAGCGAGAAATTTGACGAAAAGCAAAAAAGTCGACGAAATCGAAGAATTTCGCGTTTCGAAGCAGCGAAAAGACACCACCAGCGACAACGAACTTCGCCGTGAATCGACAGCCATGGCTCCCAAGGATACCAAGAAAGGTGCGTATTCCTTGCCCCCGATGCCGTCGATGCGCGGTACCGGCGACGAAGCGATCCCAGGAAGCCCGATATCCACCGATATCTGGAATCTATCTATATGAGAAGAGGATGCGAATTGTGCGTTTGGGAGATGAATGCTAACTCGAGGTGATATACAGCCACCAAGGCCAGCTCCAAGGCTGGTGCTGCCTCCAGGGCCGTCATCAAGGGGGTAAGCTATGTCCATTGAAGGGGGAGCAACTATAAAGAAAAAAAGGAAGCGAAAGACGAGAAGTTTTTAAAACTATTTGGCTATAATGGGGAGGGAAGAAGAATTGAAGATTAACGACGACGGCCGTCCGACAGGTTCACTCGCACAAAGTCCGCAAGGTCAGAACATCAGCGACCTTCCACCGACCAAAGACTCTGCAGCTGTCTCGATCGCCCAAGTACCCCCGAAAGTCGATTCCCCATGTCCCCCGTATGGACTACCACCAGGTGATTGTGCACCCGCTCAACACCGAGTCTGCCATGAAGAAGATCGAGGAGAACAACACGCTGGTGTTCATTGCCGACGTCAAGGCCAACAAGCGCCAGATCAAGCTTGCTCTCAAGAAGCTCTACGACATAGATACCGTCAAGCTTAACACTCTCATCCGGTGGGTTCAACCGTCTCTCTTGATATTTTTTTTTTTTTTTTTTTTTTCGTGGGAATATAGGGTGATGCTAACGGTGCTGCAGACCGGACGGCTCGAAGAAGGTCTTTGCCCGACTAACGCCAGACATTGATGCGCTCGACATTGCAGCCACCAAGCTTGGAATTGTTTAATGGGGTTGGGAAAAAAACGAGACGGGGTTCTGCTGTTTTCTTAAATTTTTATGTGACCTACCAAAGATATCAACCGGCTGTTGCAACACACACACAACAACGCCAACCAACAAGCAGAAGAAAGAAACAAATGCTACCAAAGATATCATGATGATCCAAAACCCGCCCGGTCGAGGTCGTCCCGCGGACCTTGCTAGCCATCCTCGTTACTATTAAAGAAATAAACACACGAAAAAAAAAAAAAAAAAAAAGAAAGCCACATCTACTCCGTAGCCGGCAAACAAAATCAAGCCAACTCTATGTAGTTCCAGTCAAGTCCGTCCCTGGATGCAACCCCAGCGCTTGTCTGCTCCTTTTCTCCGGCCCCTGACTCGCCTCTCCTGCCCGCACCTTGCGGCCTGACTGGGCGTCCTCGCCGCCCTGTCTTCCATGCTCGTCTCTGCCCGAACGCGCTGGCAGTGGGCTCTGCTCTCCGCCGGGCCCCTAGTGGACAGGCTTTTTGGGCCTGGCGGGCCCCGTAATCGTACAGTAGCCTGCGGTAGATCGACTCAGCCAGAGCCCGCGCGAGTTGCGGTGAATCCCGCCTGAGTCGCATCGCCCGCGCCGCCGCCGCCAGCAAATAAAAAGCAGCAGCGAGACCCAGCGGCCAGGGAGAAACAGGGAGAAGCAGTTCCTCTCGCTGTATGGAGTAGCTAATTTCAATTTCATCATCATCATCATCATTGTATTATATTATTGCTATTATTCTTAAAATTGCTTATCCTCCGTCCAGCAGGCGGCGCGAGATCCGGCGGTGGCCAACCAGCGAGCCTTCTTTTTGGCGTTGCGTGTTTCAGCTGCCAGCCAGCAAGCAAGCAAGACTCAGCTAAAGAACTGCGACTCGCCGGCTTTTTCTCCCCTCCCACTCTCGCTCCTTCAGCCATCTCATCGCCATCAACAGCGACACCACAGCGACAGCATCATCGACAGCATCATCGACAGCGACATCACAGCTATCTGCGACTCTCGACTACTCTCTCGACTACTGCTATCGACTGCTATCAACTGCTATCGACTTTATCAACTTCTATCGACTATCGACTATCGACTGCTAGCCGCGCTGCGCATGCGACGAGCCCATCACCAGCGGCCTCCTCATCACCACCACGACCATCGATCGCGTGAACCAGACGCTCTCGACGCGTCAAGAGACTGACTATCACCGTCTGCGGCTTCGTCTTCACCGTCGCTGCCGTTTTCACGATGGCTTCGACGCGCCATCCGCCGCCGCTGCGTATATACCAGGACCCTCCAGGCGCCGCACCACCAGCGCCAGCATCACAGCCAGCATCACATCCATCATCAGCATCAACATCATCATCATCCTCCTCCTCCTCCTCATCATCAACAGCATCATCGTCGTCACAGCCAGGCGCAGGGCCCAAGTCGCAGCGTAAACAGCTGCAGCCGTCGCCGATGCCGCTGCAACCCCTGGGGAACTCGGCCAGGAACAACCGCGACCTCGTCCTGAACCCGCCCTCGCTGGACCCCTTCTGCGCCCACAGCAGCACGTCCCCTATCAAGCACCAGCGTCGCACGAGCGCCCACCTCGCACACAACAGCAACAAGCTGGAATACCTCCCCATCTCGGCTCCAAAGCCTGCCCGGTTTCCCACAGACTCGCCCGCGAAGAAGCCGCTTTCTCAGGAGCACCACCAGGCTCGGCGTCCCTTGCCGCCGCCCTCTTCACGCCTGCCGCTCTTCACCACGTTCCCCAGTGTGCCTCCCAAGCCCTCTGGGTCTTCTTCTTCTGCTTCTGCTTCTGCTTCTGCTTCTTCCTCTTCTGCCGGCAGGACGGCATTCCACCATCAGCACAACCACTCCTCTTCTTCTTCCTCTTCTTCTTCTCTGGCCCCTCCGCCACCACGCTCAGCTTCTCACTCCCACTCCCGCTCTGCATCTGCCTCGTCTGCTTCTGCTTCGACGGCTTCAGGGATGCATGCTCCAGCCAAACGGAGACTCACTGTCGGCAGCAGTGACATGGTGCCTGCTGCAAAGAAGCTCAAGCGTGAGGAGCTCGAGCAGCCGCCTCCTGTTACCCCCCGGCTGCCAGAACCCCATGAGATGCCCCCCGTCGAGGATGACGGCTCCAAACCACCTTACAGCTATGCCATTCTCATAGGAATGGCCATCCTACGCGCTACTAACCGCCGTCTTACCTTGTCTCAGATCTACAAGTGGATATCAGACAACTTTGCCTTCTACCGTGCTGGAGACTTTGGATGGCAGAACAGCATCCGCCATAACCTCAGTCTTCACAAGGCGTTTATCAAGCAAGAACGGCCCAAAGACGACCCCGGAAAGGGCCACTACTGGATCATTGAGCCTGGAATGGAGGGCCAGTTCCTCAAGGACAAACCCTTCCGCAAAGCACCCATCATGTCTACCATTCCAGCTTCCCAACCTCAGTCGGCGGTGCCGCCGCCTTTGAGCACGCCAAAACAGCCAGACTTACCCCCGCCATCAAGCAATACGGGTCTTTCTACCATCAATTATTTACCATCCACCACTGCTGAGTCGCAGGACGTGGCTCCAGCGTCAAACCTTCAAGATCTCTCGTCTGATGCCACCCTCCCTGCCTCCGACCCAGCTCTTCAGGAAGATGACGTTAGTGATGAGCAACTGGCCCCATCTCTGGCGCAAATAGAGCAGCATTTCTCTTCGCCGCTACAGGCAATGCGCTCGTCTCCACCAGTTGCCCCACGCATATTCCACCGTCAGGCTACCCCTCCAACTCCCTCACGGCCTACCTCGTCCTCGGCCGGTGTCTCGCGTTCAAAGAGGCGCGGTAGTAAGCCCTCCAACATGAATGACAGTGGTTATTACTCCTCCCTCGAGTCTTCAGCCATGAGGCCCCGTGTTGCTGCTGGTCATATTTTAACATCAGAGCTAGATATCGAACCTCCGCGTATCAAACGGGGCCGTGCTGAAGAGGAGATCGCTCGTATTCGATCTTCCTCTCATGATATCAGCCCTATGCGTCTCGGCACTCTCCGAGACTCAGCACAGGCCACCGTCGGCTCATCACCCCTTAGAAATGAATACATCTCCATCCATGCTGCCCCCTTGACCCCGGCTATCAAGTTTAAGAAGCCAGTCAAGCCACCAGCGTTCCTCTCCCCTAACACTAACCTCCAGAACCATCGTCGGAAGATCCAGCAGATGGTCAACTCCCCAATCAAGCGTCTTGGACTGGGTGAAGAGCTCCAACAGCCATGGAGCCCGGCATTCAACATCCATGACGAAGTATATACCCCCAATGACAATCTCCGTCTGCCATTTGATCCATTCTCAGACCAATTCCTCGCCAGCATCGGCACTCCCCCTTTCTGCTCCCCTGAGAAGCGCTCTGTCAAGAGTGACGGCCTTGGAGCAGGTGTTCTCGCTGACATCACTGCCCTAAGCGCCAACACCCGCCTCAAGACACCTATCGACAAGTCCAAAGCCTACAGGTTTCAGGAGTCTCCTTGCAAACGCCTTGACCAGAGTCGCTATAACGACGCCGCTAACGATGAGCTGTTCTCATTCAATCTTTTCAGCGAAGATGGTGCAGGCGACGTCGACGGCGTAGATCTCTTGCAGGGATTCGAGAAAATTGGACAGCCAAAGGAAGAACGGTCTCCCAAACAGTTCCTTGGTAAGACCTCGCGTTCGAGCCATGGTCCTAGAGGCGGCATTCGATTTTGAGCCGCCCATACTTCTTTCTATTACAACATGATTGGTCTTCAGTTCTTGGACCACATGGACAATTGCCATTATCAAACTCATCTTAACACCCGATTATAACTATCATCAAAAAAATGATCATATTACATTCTCACTTGGACCGCCATTTGGGTCATTATCACCCTTGGTTTCGCATGTTGGGTCCTTTTGCTCATCCTCTTACCAGCATACATATACATCAGCCTCCCTTCTCCTGCATCCGCTTACTCCTCATCCCGACCTCCCCTCTATTTCTTGCTCTACTATTGTCATCCCTCGAGCTTCTTTATCTCACGCCAGTCGTGCCTATCTGCTCTGACTGGCAGAATATGTGGTTAAATTGTTGGTACATGCCTTTTTTTTCCCCCGTCATCTTTTATTTGGTCATGTTTTTGGTATCTTTCGGGCGGTAAAGTCAGGGCCAGTCGGGGACTTTGTGGGTTGGCTTCCCTTTTTCTTTTTAAAACAAAACTCTTTGCATTGCTTTTGGGGTTTTTATCCTCTTCATTCCTTTTATCTCCATCCACCTATTCCACATCCTCCCCCCCACTTTACTTGTTGCTTCTCTATTTCTTAGCATGGAGTTTGTTGTTATTTGCAAAGGTGCTTTAACGGACAGGGATGGGATACGGACACGGACACGGACAGGGAACGGGAACAGGGCGGAATTTTGCAATGACCCTAATGTGTTGATGTTTATGGATCATGGCTAACGAGTTTTAATTCCTGTTTCTCTGTCTATGTTGTTTTACTTTGGTGTTTGATGGCCTTTTGCAGTCAAGATGCCGCTTGAACAAAATATCACTTATTTTTACCATTTTATATCCACACTGAGCTCTTCTCCTATTCCTTGATGATGGTGGAAGATCGTATTAATGTTATATTCATGTATAGCATATTTTGGAGTTGGTGGGTATCTATACAGTATTCATCGCTCAAAGCAGCGACTCTAAGAAACACGAATATCGAAAATCCAATGGCAAGAGATAAGAACTCAAACCAACAGTACAAAGCCCAGGCTGAAACACATATAATAAAAAAACTCCATCATCATAGCTTGGAAACCAAATAATGGAACGCCGCTTCCAGACCACCGAAAGAAAAGAAAAATGAATAATGCCGTCACACACGCGATTCCTTGCATCTGCATAGACAAGAGACAAGACAGACATGTGTCTCCACACCCGTCTGTCTGTCTGCCTCTGCCTGTCCATCTGTAGTGCATCACGTCCAAGTCCAAATCCAAGTCCCAATCAGAACCTCAAAAATAAAGAGATTCGTCTCAATCACTACTACTGCAACCGCGACACCCGCAGCTCACACACTGTATTCCCTGGTCTTCCTTCAGCTGCGCCTTCGGAACACGACATATACAAGTAGCGTTGAAATTGGTTTCCTTGGTCTGAATGCATCGTAGACAACACAGCTATACAACGTCAGCTTCATTCATTCCTTCCAACCCTCGTCAAAAAAACTCCGGTGCGTAAAAACGTACCTTTTCATAGCCCTGTTTCTTCCATTTAGCTATCAGGTTGGCGTCCGCGTAGCCGTTCTTGAGTAGCCAGTCATAAAGCTTTTTGGATATCGCTTCTTTCTCATAGTATAAGTCATATATATATCGGGACCCTATCCAACGTACGTACGTACGGAGAACCCATCAGCCCCTGTGCCCAGTTGAGGGGAGTGTACAGCTGGGGGAAAATGAAAAGGTACAGGGGAGACTTACGCTGGTGGCTGATTTGGAATATGGGCCATAATACCTCGTGTCTCTTCTTGCCTTCGTGAGAGGCGTTTTCAGCATCTTTCATCTTATTGCTGAATTCAAGCAGGGTATCTTCGATATCGTCGAAGCCATCTGGGGGGGCCTTGCGGGTTCGCGCGCTGCGGATCGGCGGCATGTTGGAGAGTTTGCTGAGTTATGCTTCTAAGGAAATCAGATCCGTCGGATAAAGGTATCGAGAGAATGTGAAGGAGGCCAGAGGGATGTCAAACAGCAGCTGGTCGTGTGTCTTATATCAAATCTTCAAATATTGGCTTGCTGCGCTGCTTATCGCGGACGGAAACTTTGTTTTTTTTGAGCTTGAAATATTACGTAATATGTTTTTCTGCTGGTGCTCGCCGCCTTGGGGTTTTTGTCTTTTCAAAGGCTTTTCTACATTATCAAAAAAGTTACATCCAGTCCAACACGAATAATTTGATCTTCTACAACAGACACCAATTGCACTTGTTTATTTCACGCGGACGACCTTTCGCTTCCTCATCTCAGTACACCATCCCAAAAAACAACCAACAGCCAAATACCCCGAAAGCATGGAGCAGCAAGTCCAAATCGACCCGTCCAAGCTCTCTCCAGCAGACAAACAAGACCTGCAACAAATCCTTAGCAACGAACAGCAAAAAATACAAGTCCAGCAAAGTAATTATCACATCTATCCCTCGCCCCGCATCTCTACTCTCCGGATACACTAGCGGAGATATTTGCAAGTTCAAACCATAGCTAATAAGTATTCCTCCTCGGTCTAGCGGTCCACCATCTTACCAACGTATGCTGGACAAAATGCATTCAGGGCAAAATCAGCCGCAATACACTGGAGAAGAATGAGTCGTCGTGCGCACAAAATTGCGTCAACCGATGGATGGACGCCAACCTCGCTGTCATAAACCACTTGGAATCTCTGAGAGGGAGCCAATAGACGAGAACCTCGAGATTTATGACGGGACCGAGAGGGTAGATGACGAGTACACAACGAGCTTGTTGGCTACGTGGATACTGTATAGTTTTGCTACTGTTGAAGACGTACCTAGTTCTTATTTGGGTTAGAATTGGCTCTCGACATGCCGGATGGGATGGACGGTTCGGCTGCCTTGCTTCCTGCCATTGTAGGGATTAAGCGGGTTAAGCCCCTTGTATTATATGTATACCGCTGATTCAAGTGAAATGAAGATGCATACGAAGCAATTATTTGACTGTTTGTAAAATGAAGGGATGGTTGGCCTGAATTCGAGATGGAATTGATACGAGATAATTCTCATTTCTTTGGTTGGCGTTGAACTGGTGACAGTGGACAATAGCTAAGTATCATGGAAGCATTGAGTAGAGCTTTCCGTAGGGAGTATATTTTCTATGTAAATGTCTCCATTGCGGAGGTATTTTGTATATGGCTGATATTGCAGCATAGGCAGAGATTGGATGCCTTTGTCTATTATTGTCCTAAGGCCAAAGCTGGCCCAAGGCAAATGAAAAGGAAAAAAATCGCTGAAATAACAACAAAAAAAACAGTGTTTAACCCTTGTTAGTTCGCAGCTAGCGCCTTGACAGGTTATGCAGATGTAGAATTTGCAAGTCTAGCTCCATTGTTGGAATGGGGCATAGCCACTTCTCATATCCTTAATATCTTCGGGAGAAACAACGGAAGAGTCAAAGAAGAAATTGTTAGATAATGGAAGGGGTATCAAAAAAAAAGTAGATGAAAGAAAGCAAAAAAATGAAACTGGCCAATATTTTTTTAAAGGCATGTGAAATATCGCTTGAGATGATGCAATTAGCCTATTCCGTAGAGGCCAGATTATTCGAGGAAAGTAAAGAGATTGGTGTGAAGGATATTGATGGCTCGGTCGGCATCACGTTCTTCTATCACGCAGGATATGTTGATTTCGCTGGCGCCTAATTGACATGAAAGTTAGCTTCGAATAACCATATGATCACCAGCAGCAATTTCGGTCATACCTTGTGAAATCATTTCGATATTCACGTTGTGTTCTCCGAGTACGGAGAACATGCGACCAGCTACGCCAACCATATTTTTCATCTGCTGTCCGACAAGACTCAAAATGGCCATCTCGGGTATAATGTCTACCGTTCCATACCTTCGCAAGTCCTGGATTGCCCCACGAAGGTCTTCGTCGATGATTTGGTATTCATCGCGGCCAACACCATTGAGAAGAGGTAATTCCGAATGTAAAGCTAGGGAAACATGTACCTCACTAGTCGAGATAAGGTCGATAGATAGTCTCCACTTGTCAAGGACAGAAAATATCCCGGCAAAGAATCCGTGTGAGAGGGATCGTTTATTAGAGTGAATATTGATAACCAAAATTTTATGTTTTGCGGTCACGGCAGTTGGTCGTTTAGGGCCTTCGCTGTGAGCCCAAAAGTGAGGGCCTCGTGTGCGGAAGAACTTGGGATCATGACCGGGTGTGGTTCGTTCTAGCTCTGAGCGTGAGTCAGGGAATATTATGGTGCCGCTACCCTTCGGTTTCATGACGTTTTTGATTCTGATAGGTATTTTGGCCCGGATGACCTGCTCCATGGTGAAAGGGTGGATAACTTCTGAGCCATAGAAGGTCAGCTCAGCCGCTTCTGCCGGGGTAATGGCAGAGAGTAGCCGTGCCGTGGGAACCTTTCTAGGGTCAGCAGTGAAAATTCCATCCACTTCCTTCCAGACCTGCAATTCCTGGGCATTCAATCCAACAGCTACCAATGCAGCACATAGATCGGTATATCCACGCCCAATCTTGTCCAAGAGGCCTCCTGGGACGAGGCCGAAGTACCCGGTGAGCACAGGTACTTTGCCAGGGTAGGCATTTACCCTTTCGGCAAAGAGCTTGGCTAGACGGTCGTAGAACTCCTGATCCAGCACTTGAACACCGGCAGCAAAGTCTATGGCATCCGACAAGTCAATGTAGGTAGCACCAACTCCTCGGTCGTTCAACAATGCAGCCATGAGTCGGCAGCTTAGTTTCTCGCCGGCACTTATGACCATGTCCACGCATCTGCTACTGACTTCTCCAAGTGTTTGAGCAGCTTCTAGTATTTTCAATACCCGTTGGCATTCCGCATCAAACTCGGAAACCAATTGGGATCGCAGGTCGGTAGAGTGGATAAGATCGTTTGCGACGCTTATGTGCTCCGACAGTACTATATCGACGAGGGTCTTGTATTGTGAGGACTGTGGGTTCTCTGCTTCTCGTGCTGCCCGTAGGAGCCTACATTGAATTGTCATATTAGCAGCTCATTCTTAGAGTCACACCACCTTCTCTCCTGGTGCGTTTTGCGTTTGACTCACCGGTTAGTGGTCCCGTCCGCCTTTGAAGAACTGCTTCGAGCAGAGCATACAACAGCAACATGGTTTGTAAGGGTGCTCGGTCTAGGCAAAGCAATAACAGTTAGCAATGATGCTGCATTCCTGGTGGGAAAGATCATACGAGAAAAGAGTATGACATACTGGATGACCTGCTCAACAATCTGGTGGGCGAATTTGCCCACGCTTGTACCTCCGAACTTTTGAACCACCCAGTCTGAGGGAGGAGTGCGCGGGACTCCGTTCGCCATGACAGCCGTCTGGCCGTTCACCACATGTCCATTACCGTTCATGGCGGTGTTATGAAATATGATGGCTCGCAACGGAAGCAAAGCTCGTGGGGGATGCTAGCTAGGGTTCCCCCGCCGGTCTCTCGTCTCGTATGACTGCTCGGATCTTAGTTCCAGGACAACAATGGCAAAGGCAGAAAATGAACGACAGTAAAGAGTGTGGCAGGGAGGAAGATGATATCAAAATCTAAGCGTTCTCATCCTTCTTGCCCCCCCAAAGAAAAAGCCGCGGATGTTCAACTTTTTTTCGTGCTTCGCTCTTTCCTCCGCTTATCTCGTTTTTTTTTTTTTTGCACTGACTCAATAATATTTTAACTTTGGAAATTTTGCAGATCGGGACTTACGTAAGAAAATAACCTTTTCCGCTTGCAAAAACCGCGTTTCTGCGGCAGAACTAACCGCTTTGGGTTTTCCGTGCTCCGACTGCGGAATGTTTCGCCGGTCCGGATCACGCAATATTTGGCGCTAAGCTTGATCTGGACTAGCGTGGATGCAGCGACGATAAGCAACTTGGGGAAGTTTGCCTTGTTTGTCTTGTTTGTTTGGTTTGTTTTAGACCAGCTTCCTCTTTAGGAAAGGCAGGGGGAAGGCAATTTCAACGACAAAACAACGAAAAACCGCCAATTCGATATACGATAAAGGAGCAACCTGGGGCTGGCAGGGCAGAGATGGAGATTATATGTTGCAGGCGGGCAGTGCTTGCTTGCGTACGACCCTGGTCAGACTAATGCCCCTGTCGAGGAGAATGCAACGAGGATATCTGACACGGAAGCATGAACCGCTGTACTTACTCTGGGTGATCCCTGAGCGCTGTCTGGCCCGTGGTATCGATGGCAATATGGACTGGAGGCCACGCGAGATCCCATGGCAGACCATCAAGCAAAGGAGGTCGACTCTTATGTCGGGTCCCGGGGCGCTTTACCAACATTCTAATCGATACCCATCCCTGCGCGATGCTTGCTTACTTGGGATAACCGGGACGGACCGTGGAAAGCCGTAATGTTGGGCGAAGGCGGCTTCAGCGTAACAACTTGCGCTCTCAGTCCTGCCAGCCGATACGAAGCTTGTGTCTATAAACAATACTGACCCTGGCCGTGTTAATCACTCAAGAAGCGAATGTTCCTTGAGTGAGATTTCCCAAATTATGATCTGTTGTTTCTAGCTTTCTGTTGACAGAACTTTGAATCCACCGTGCAAGGATCAAGACCCCGCAGGACGACGCATAATCTTGATGATCCGGACGCAACGCCATGCTAATTTCAATATGCCTGGAGGGCTGTGGATTAAAAAATGACCGAAAGCCCGTTGAGATAAAAGGCTATCGGGAATGGATTTTCCCCGCAAACTCGCCCGGAATGCATCCGGAAAGGCTATTGAAAGGCAGGCAATCTGCTTCACTCACCCATATATCTGCTCAACAACCCGTCAGGGTCGGTCGGTCGGCTGGAAGTATTTTGTTGTGCTGGAGTTAAGTAATACTCTCATGCAATATAATCTGTGAGACGGAAAGGATAAACACAAATGAATAACCCATGCTCTCTCGTTATTTATTTTATATTTTTTTTTATTTTTTATTTTTTTTATTTTTTCGTTACTTTTTACCCCCTACAACACCTAGCTTCCCTCGGATGTGAAATTTGTAAATCTGACCTGATTATTTATTCACCATTATTTGATACCAAAAGTAAGAGCGCTGTAACTATCATTGCGATCATATAGTGGGTGGGTTTTCAAAGGTCACAACGCCAGTAACATGTTCTCTATTTCTGAAGCCCTTAAAACGCTATAGAGTCAATATGTAGAGCGAAGCCATAAAGATGCTGACCTTGTTTACTTGTTTCCAATTGATATTAGCTTCTCCCTGGAGGTTTTCCTAGCCAATATGGCGCATAGCTGTTTAGCCAGGCATTCGACTAGGTAGTGTCAACTGTTAACTTGGCGCGCAATCAGAGTGGGTAACTCACCAAAAAGTAACTAGCAGTTAACCAGCCAGCCTAGATACAGTCATAAACTTGGCTGCAAGTATTCAATATCTGGACAAACATATCAACAGCAGTCAATCTATTCAGCTTGAACGTCGATATTTAGTTATTCGACTTAATGACTAGGTTTATTGATTCCCATATATCACTCCAACACAATGGACGGCGCGGAACCGTTATCGTGTCCATTCTGTGATTTCACTGACACTGATGCGGACTTCTTGACTCAACACGTAGAATTCTGTCACCCCGAAAATAGTGCTTCGCCTGCCCTAGAAACAGAGGAAGACACAAATATTGGATCTTCCAGAAAACCAGAGTGGTGGTGTGGTGACACGCCACTTTACACTGATGAAGATGCGGGGACAGATATCAAATATATTGACTGCCCAACTGGCTGCGGCGAAGCAGTGACTGAAGATCAGCTTATGAGCCACCTAGACCTACACCTCGCAGAGGGTCTAGCTCTGGAAGAAATCATAGGCTCTGATACCAAGGGCACAGATATGAAATTATCCGGGGATATCGAAGAAGACGAAATACTATCTCCCACACTGAGCAAGGTGCTGGGGAAACAAGATGGGAAACGGCAGAGAGATGCACCAGTCAACGCAAAAGCTACAAAGCAAAAGAAGAAAACAAGGAGAGCGGGCCAACTCGGGGTATGGTGTTTATATTGTTTTTTGTGGTCAACGTGCGTTGCTGTCGTTCGGACCTGGACTCCCCTGCTAATGCGCAAATTTGATATCTAGATTACGGAGCTAGGGCCCTATGCTCGAGAACCAAAAATGCCTTCGTGGTTGCGCAAGGTGCTTGAAGATGGACCTGCTATTACTCGGGAGAACAAGATTTTCCCGGACGGCACAATACACAAAGTTGAGACCGTCTCGAATGAAACATCTAATCTTATCCCGTTTATTGCTCGGCTCTGCCAACAAGATTCCTCGGTAGAGCAAGCTTATCTCTGCAGTGCCAATGTTCGGCATATCTTTAAAATGCCAAAAGAAGGAGGATTCTGTGGATATCGTAATATTCAGATGCTCGTGTCTTATATCCAGGACAGTAATTCAACAGGCTGTGAACACTTTCCTGGTAGGACCCCATCGATATTAAGACTACAGGATATGATTGAACAAGCGTGGGATAATGGTTTCAATACCCATGGGCGGACGGAGACTGGGGGGATAAAGGGCACGCGAAAATATATAGGAACGTCTGAGGTAAAGTATATATCCTACAAATTATGGAGGCATAGGCCATACTAATCAGAATTATGTGAAATAGGCTGCGGCATTGTTCCAGAATTTAGGGATTCCGTACGTGCAGCCTTGACAGGCTTGGGTCTTGTAGATGTATAACTAACACTTGCGCAGGTGCCGCCCGAAAGTCTGTACTGAGACACAAGACGACAAGGCCTTTGAGGTGCTCTACTTGATAGTGGCGGAATATTTCCTCCACCACAAAATATCTGGTTCCGGGAAGCATATTGTTCAGACAGATCTCCCTCCGATATACTTACAGCATGAGGGTATGCCAGCCCAGTCTCCCCAAAGAAGTTCTCGATTATTTTGGAGTCCCATCAACTGACACATAAAACAACCAGGTCATTCTATGACAATTATTGGATTCGAAGTTCGACAAGACGGCAGTGTTAACCTTCTTGTTTTTGACCCAATGTTCAGAACATCACCTGCAACTTCAAAGCTGATAGGAACACAGTTCCATACTACAAAACCTGAAAATTATTTGAAAGTTTTTCGAAGAACTAGCAGATATTTGCGACAATTTGACACTTTTGAACTGCTGATGTATGTTCCCGAGTTTCCCTTGAAATGATGGGTATTAACAAGGTCATTTCTAGGCTCGAACCATCAACATTGGAATCAACATCCGAAGTCAAATAGGGATTGATTTTTAGCTGAAATTTTGACAGGGTGCTATTAATATTTGGGATATTTTTTGATAAATATAAATGGCAGGGTTTATGACGCATAGTTTGGTCGTCTTTATGTTGGAGTTGGTACCTGAAATCGCGGGCAGTCGCCGTCTTCACGTGACAGAATTTTTGCGCCGGGGTTTTGGGGAAATTTTTGTATCAATCCACCATAGACAGCACGTTAAATGATACATTCTAGACATCTACCTAGTTACTGATCAGCCTTCACTCAGAAGGATATATCGCATAAGGAACACCTGGAAACACTTAGTCTCAAGGAGCTATGAGAACTTCGCCAAATATAATTATCACTGGAACCCCCGGAGTGGGGAAGACTGTTCACTGCGAGCAGCTGGCGCAGGAAACAGAATTGAAGCACTTATCAATAAATCAAGTCGCAAAGGAACGGGGATGCTACGATGGGTTTGATGAAAAGCTCAAAAGCCATATTGTTGACGAGGATAAGGTATTCAATATACGTGTGCTCACTCGCAACTAGATACTAATTTGATGAACCAACTTAGCTGCTTGACGAAATCGAGGCCGACGTATTACAAGGCGGGTATCTTATTGACTGGCATGCCTGCGACCTATTCCCAAAATCATGGATTGATCTTGTAGTAGTGTTAAGGTGCCCGTCAACCGCCATACACTACGATAGACTGGCAGCAAGGTAAGCTTGAAATAGTCCAGCATCTTGAGTTGGTAGCGCTATTATCCCCGAGCCAATTCCTGAGAAAAAATGTTAACTAACATGTCTACTCTTGTTCTATATAGATCGTATTCAGAGGAGAAGCTCCAAGAAAACCTTGACGCTGAGATTTTTGGAGTGCTACTCGAGGAGGCCAGAGAAGCTTATGACGAGGAAATTGTGGTTGAACTCGAAAGCGAGACAGACGATGCGATTGAGAGCAATTGCCAGCGTATAAAATCGTGGATAGATTTCTGGAAGCAATCGCATGCCACAGGGTCAGATTGATTAGCTCGAGGGTCGCACTCGTTTCGTAACCTCCACCATGCGATCAGCAACTTCAAGCCCCAGCGGTTGAAGGTTTCCGAAGAATTAAAGCTGCTGCTGCTTTTTCTGTTCTTCGATCCACGCCTTGAGCTTCATCAGCGCCTTGTATCGATGGGATATCGTGTTCTTCGAGGTATATTGAATCAGCATAACGGCCCGTCATGGGTAAAGAGAGATCAGACAACAGAAAGTGCAGCTACCTTGTACTTTGGATCCATCTCGGCATATGTTTGGCCTTCATATTCAAAGATCGGATCCCAACCTGGTATCGATAATATTAACCTCTGACTGTGCAAAATCATACCGGCTAATTCTGGACTGCTCAACTCACCAAAACGGTTTGACCCTCGAGCAGGAACTACTTTGCCCTGTTGATTTTTTTTCATCAGCTTTATGCCTTGTCAATATTCTGGCGCAGTCCCCGAGCACTAAGGGCCCTGCGATTTATCAAAAGGGTAACATAAGGTCGGACTTTTATATCCAAAAGTCCTGGGCAGTACAGCGGTTGGTTTGACTCTTATAGATATAACATATAAATTTGACGACCCCTCTATATTACCAATTACCTTTGATAAAGGGTAGGGCTCCCTGGGTGATCCTAGTAGTAATATTTATACAGCTCACTCACCTCAGTTCTTCCTTGAAAGAGAATTGGCTCCTGTCCTGGTCCGGCGCAGAAGGCAAACGTAGCAACCGTTACAGCGGACTTGTCCTCGTATGGCTCAACCAGTTTATTGAGTCCAACATGGCCTAGCTTCTCGAGAAACCATTTTCTAGATATATGTTAACCATTAGATGCAAATATCACAGTAAAATGGAATAAACAGGTATAATTTAAGACACCCTTACATATACGGTCCTGGTAGGCCGTTAAGTGCATTAAACTCTAGGGCAGTATCGTCTGTCAATGCAGGCCCGTTGACCTGTTTATCATGAAGTCAGTAATCATCAAGGAATCGAGGGCTTATTGAGAATGATAACACATGAAATGCAGGGTTACTCACTGCTTCAGCGGCTTTACGACATTTCTCTCTAGCGATATCTTCTATCGTTCCTTGCAGCTCAGGGACATCGACGGATACACTCTCGACCTCGATGGTACCTTGAAGTATTGCCTGCACTTCGGCGAGCTTGTTTTTATTTCCTGTGACAAAGTTGATGCTTTTCATCTCGGCTTTTCCTGCTTTGAGTCTGGATATACGTAGAATGAACAGAGATATATATATATGATAGTGAAAGTTGGCACTGGAGGAACGATCTATGACTGATATTTTACGACTGCCGCAACCCCCACTAACTAAACTTAACAGCTTAACCAGTTAGGTGCAAATTAACCCGATCCGAAGCTCACGAAGGCCGTACTGGGTCGTGGTTGAAGAATATAACCAGTTTTTTGTCGACGGTAGAGAATAATTTCGCATTTATCTTGGGCATGGAAAAATCCTAGATATTGTCATCAATGTGTCGTGCTGAATTTGAACAAAACACCTCTTCTGAGCCTGAAACCCCTGGTATATACTCCGTACAGGTTTCGCCCGTAAAGTCGTCGAAGCAGCGTCTATTTTACACTTGGAAGCAAGTGAAGTGCAACAGATATAATACAGGAAACATAACAATGGGCCGATGCGAATGATAAAACAGTGCGAGGTCTCCAAACACTTTAAAGGCGCGTATGAATAAGAGGGCCACGATACGTGAAGAAGTAGAGACGAGCATAAAATCCGTTAGAGGGAGACCAAACGAACAAAGTAAAAACCCCTGGAACCAAAATATCTCGAACGGAGTAGATGGTTAAACGTAATATGGCCTTATCGGGAATCACATAGTCACAAGAGTTAGACATTACCGTGTCTCAAACAAATGAAAGAAACAAAGGAAAAGAAAAGGAAAAAGAAAAAGAAAAGAAAAAGAATAATTAATGCCCCTTTTGAAATGGAGAGGCATACGTCCACTGGAAGCTTTTCAGATGGGTTCTTTCGAAGCAAAGACAAAAACTCCAATGTCTATAAAGTCGATGGTAGCAAGGCGAAGTTGCGGGGGCCAAAGAAGGATCATTGACCATTGTGATGGGCAATATAGGGAGATACAGGGGCTTTAATCCTCTGGTGGCTCTCCCATCTCTAAGCTGTCAAGGCGGTCCTGCTGGGCCATTGCTTGGACAGAAACAATCTCTGCGAGTCGTTTAAGTCGAGGAGTTTGCAGCCCTATGGCCATGTTAGTATGGTAGCAGGAAAAATGAAGGCGTCTTAGTGGCACATACAGGATGGTGTATACGTCTCAAGTGCAGTAATGGCCCTAGGCTCAGCAATCTCATAAGGACCGCTGTCCTCCATGTCAACTGCAGTCAGAAGCAGAACATCGCTCTTCTCAGTTACACGGGACGCAACAGCTTTCATGATTTCACCATTGATAGGCTGTTCGTAATCAGCAACAAGGTACTGGTTGAGAAGTTTTTGAATCTGGTTCGGTGAGAGCCTGTAAAAGTATGTGTAAGTAATTTATCCTATGACAGCAGAGGGCGGTTGTTATAGCACTTACATCCAGCAAATATCTTGAATGATCTCTATATCGTTCAAGGTGGCCTTCTTCAGTTGAAGCAGCTTGGTTGCTTGCTGTAATGGGAAGTACGGTTAGAATAGGGCCGAATCGAATATGGGGATGGGTGCTTACCATTAGATGTTCTAGCTGTAGGGTACCCTCTGGCATATCATGGCTCTTGCACCATTCCTCAATACGGGTGATGTTGTAGTTAATTTGCAGACCACGCTTCCATGAGAGGAAATTACGTCGCATGAGCAGGTCATTGAACGCAGTGACACCAACAAGTCGGAGCAGCTCAGTGACGGTCTGGGTAATGATGGAATCTTCAAGGTAGTATGCTTTCATAGCCTTGAAAACATTGTTCAACAGGCTAAGGAGATTGTCCATGCTGTACGCAGGGTTGTTGTTGGAAGGCAGCAGTTTTCCAAGGAATCTGTTCGTCTCGCTTGTGACGAAACCCGGTAGGGACTGAGATTCGATGATGGCTGGGACAATCATCTTGAATAGCTTCTTCTTCAATCCCTTCATCCATGTGTGGTAGATGTTGAACTCCAAGGATTCCAAATCATGCTTGACGATCTCCAAAAGACGGTCGTATTCATAGTTGTCGGTCTTTTGCGCTTCATACCAGTCCTCTGCAAGGAAGACAAAGGAAAGCATTTCGTGGACGTTGGAAAGCCAGAACGCACCAGCGCTGATCGTATCTTCACTATCATGTTGCATGACCTCCTGTTGAATTGCCTGCATAACATTAGCAAGGAAGCGTTCGGATTCTTTCACGAAACCGTTATTCCACATCTCGGATGTGACCAGGTTAATGAGGTAGGATGGGAACAAGACTTCCTTCTCCGTGGGTGGTGGATCAGAGCTGGGGAGAGGAATCTTAAGATTCTTGATGAGACCCATGCTAACTTCGTCGTTAAGGGCATCTTCTTCGGAGAGAAGGTTCTCAAGTTCAATCTCCACAGAGTCGATTCCAGGAGCGAATGCTGAGTTTCGGAAATCATTGCGGCCAACTCCACCGGTGGGTATGGCCATAGAGACAGGCCTTGGGTTGTAAGCACCGCTGAAACGATGGTCGATTTCAACCTTTTCGAGCCCGGCGCTGCGTCTCTTTGGCTTGGGTTTCTTCGAAGCAACCAAGTTGATCAAACCAGATAAGCTTGGCTGAGTAGGTGCGTTTCCATTCAGGTCTCCATTGAGTCCATTGAGAGGCGCAGACCTCTTAGCAAATTCAAGCTCATCTTGCAGTTCAACAACTTGCTGGCGGAGGTAGGTCTTCTCTTGTTCGTGGACAGCAATGGCATTCTTAGCATTATCAAGTTCAAGGCTGGTAAGACGGAGAGTTTCTCGGGTTGACTTTTCTTCCTCTTGTAGTTTCTTGATAGTTGCAAGTGACTCGTTATGATTATGCTGAAGCTTCGACATTTCTTCCTCCAAAGCTGTCAAGCGGGCAGCAGTGATACCAGCCTGGTTAGCCTCAGCCTGCAATTCGCGGGACCGGGCTTCAAGAGCGTTATGCCGGCTTCTCCAGGATTTGATCTGTCCATCATAGTTCTCGAGCTGGGAAGTCAAAGACTTGTTCTGCTGCTTCAGAGATCCGAGTGACTGGGTCAACTCCACCACCTTATTTTCAAGCTTGTAGGATATCTGCTTGAGATCGCGAGCCTCCTCACGTAGAGTCTTGTACTGTCTGCGAGCCTTCTTACCACGCCACAAGTTCTGTACAATGACAACCTTGCGGCGGTAATCTCTCCATTTGCGGATTTGTCGCCATGTTCTGAAAGACCGTTGAATAACTTTCGCTGCGTTTCCATGGATACTGTCCATAATGTTTCGGCGGCAAAGGTAACCCCTCGCCAACGACTCCACGAGAATGACATTGTTTCTGATCTTGTGGTAGTATTTGCGGTCCTTCTGGCCCCTCCAGACTCGCTGGATAGTGGTCGCGGCCTTGACCTGGCGGGCTCCTTCGGCGTGCTGTCTGGCCAAGAATCCGCGAATGAGGCCTTGGAAGGCAAGAATCGAACCACGCATGGCAAGATACTTCCGTCTATAGAATTTGCATTTAAGATTCTTCTGAATCATAATGGCACATTCATTCAAGCGGGAAGTACGGAGATTCTCTAGGAAAGCAAGCATACCAGCTCGGAAGAAGATCTTAGTCAAACCAAGCTGGTACTTGTCTTGCTGTTGCTGAGTGATGTCACCCAAGGCTTTCGATAGAATAGCATGACACATGGCACGAATTTCAGATGTCCATTGCGAAGAGTGGCAAAGCATATAATACCTGAGAGCGAACTCTTCGTAAGTCCATCGGGTTGGGTAACCGGCACAACTTATTCGCACGGTCTCAAGAACACCACAAGCTCGAAGCTGACTGAGAACCATAGGGCCCTCAAACTTCCAGGCTTCCTTCGCTTCATTAGGCTTTATGCACCGGATATAATGCACATCAGTGGAGTTTATAGTGTTCATAAGCTCAATGAGGGAGGACTTGAAGATGCCTCCTAGCGTTGGCTTACGGTTAACGGCAACTCCGATCTTCCTTCCTGGGGCTGCAACGGCCCTGGAGGACATGGAGGCAGAATCCTTTTCGCGAATAGCCGTAGCAGCTTGGAGGACATCCCTGATAAAGGAGTTGGAAGAGTTCTTGAGGACTTCCATGTGCTCGTCAGGGACTGTATCCCTGTTCTTCTCAATGAAGCCATCTGACTCGTAGGTGACGTCAATGGCATAATGGCAGACGGTGAAAGAGGACTTGCCAAACCGGGGCTTCTTGTAGAACTTTTGCTTGTCAGCAGCGAAATTGTGGTGCAGCTTGTTGACGAATTGTTCGTCAGCACCCATTGGCAATCTAGACTCTTCATCAAGCAGAGCTAGAATACCCAGTTTGCCCTCAATGAGGTCAATGCATGGCTGATTGTCAGAGAAGTTGATAAAAGTCCAATCAATCTGTTCCCTAACATATTCCTCCTGTTCCAACTTGAAAACATGTTGGTTGAACTCTTGTTGCAACTTCTCATTTGCGTAATTGATACAGAACTGCTCAAAGGAGTTCTTTGCGAAATGCTCGAAACCATAGATATCGAGGACACCAATGAATGAGGTAGCTCGGCTAAGAACTTCTTCGGTTGCCAAGCTGCGGTTGATTGTCTCCACCAGCCAGTCGAAGAGGCTGGAATAGATGAATTTAGCGACCGAATCCCTGACAACGAGAGCCTGGGCCTGGTTGAGGTTTGAAATAATTTTCTCGCCTCGGGTAATGAGTTGTTTCTTCACGGTCCATTTAGCAAACTCAGTAGCATCAATACCCAGCATCTCACAGGTTCGAACCAAAGATGGCTCAGTAGGCTCGAGAGAGGAGTCATTCCTGGTAGCAACAATCTTGACATTGCCAAGGTGAAGCAACGCAGCCAAAATCTTAAAAATAGAGGCCTGTATGTCATCATCCAATCCAATGGTGGTGAGGGATTTTCTGGTGGCTTCGAGCTCAGCCTTGTCATCGACTCCATCAATGACAGGTGTTCCTCCCTGATTCAAGTAGTCAAACTCCTCGACGGTTAACAATCCCAGCTCTTGCCTCTCAGCGTCGGTAGCACCGGCAATGAGTTGATAGAAGATATGGTAGTTTCGTTCTTTCAAGGGTTGGAAGACCAGCCTCGACCGTTCTAAAAGGTATGTTCTGATTTTCGCACCAATAATGTTCGTTCGGTTATCGAAAAGAATCTCAATGTATTTACCAAATCGCGACGAGTTATCATTTCTGGTTGTCTTTGCGTTACCGAAGGCCTCCATGACGGGGTTGGTGGCTAGAATCTGTTCCTCGGTCTCACTGATAGAGTCTGCCCGTCCGGTAGAGTATGAGCCAGGTTTATCTGATGTTTCTCGGGTAGCAAAATATCTCATGATATACTTTGCACTAACGGTCTTTCCAGCACCAGATTCACCAGATACGACAATTGTTTGGTTTTGGGTGTCCCTCAACATGTCACTGCTCAAAAGTTAGTATACATGTAAGGCAAATTTGAAATTCTGAAGTGTAACTTACGCGAAAGCCTCCTCAGCAATAGCAAAGAGATGGGGGGCCTGGGAAGCTCGTTGCTTCCCAGCGTAAACTTGAACCATTTGAGGGACATAAAGAGAATCAACACGGGCAAACGGGTTGGTTGCTATAAGCACGATACCGGAGTATGTGTAGATTTCCTTCTGGTAGTACCGTAGCTTAATAGCTTGGAGGACTATATTGTGGAAATTGTAAGTATGTACCCTAATTTACTCGAGTGTTTGTAAACAGAGCATACCAGCCGGCTCGTTCAAATGAGACAAGTTCGTCAAATCTTCACTGGCCTCTAGCATCGTCGGGTTCATCAAAGGCGGCAGCTTTTCATTTGTGTCCGAATCCAGCTCCGACAGAGTTGTCTCGGTAGTTTTCGTCTATACAAACACAACATTATTAGCCCAATAATTTCGACATAAGACGATTTTTTTTCTCAGACAGAGCTCTGTCCCACGACTCACCTCTCCATTCTCCAAAGTAAACACCAGCTTCACTTTCTCCCCGTCCACTACCTTCTCAGTCACCTCAGACGCAACCCATCCCTCAGTCGGGTCTGGTTGCCACGCCCGCGTGCCGACCTCATATGTATGCACCATCTCGTGTACTCTGGTACCGGCAGGATTAAAAAACTAGTAAATAACACGAAGAAAAGACCACGATCACGGTCAACGTCACGGCTATGGTCAAACGATATCGATATCGAGAAAAGCAGGCGAAGAAAAAGCGTTTCACGTAGCCCGGCGTGGCGGGTCTAGAGCATGGTTGGCCGGCGTGCAGACAGACGTTAACACGTACAAAAAAGCGTGTGAAGACGGCTCTTCGACGGCGCTTTAATGGCTTCCTCTGCTAGTCTCCTGGTTCCAGAATTAAGGTAGAGTAGCAATAGGCGTGCCAACAAATAAAAAAAAGGGAGGTATTATTAAAAGAAGATCGCTGGCCGCGAGGTAGAAGTGTAGATGCTGCAAGAGAAAATGACGACAGCTCGAGGCGTTGTCTGTCTCTCTGTGCCTCTCGCAAACGGGCCGTTAAGAATAAAGGAACAAAGATGAAGACGAGAACACAGACGGAGACGGGAGCGGACTGGAAGGCCAAATTAGCAGGTTCTCTCGTCGAAAGTAGCGTCGAGGGTCGGTGGTCGAACTTCTTCAAGCCCCTGAAATAAGGAATTATGAGGTTTTTAGCTCGGTGAGTTGTGATAGTCACGTGAACGGCACTTTTCTAGGGTGGACGTGCTCGAACCTTTTTCAAAGGGATGATGACGAGAGAGTCTGTGAGAGATAATAATGGTGAACAGGATGAGCCAGAGGCCAGGCAGCAGAGGCGAGGCTGGAGTATCATAACTGCCGCATCGGCTTCTACGTCTACGTGCTCGGTTCGAGTGGTGCCAGGAAGTGCTTCCCACCATCATCTCGCGCTGTGCTGTCAAAAAAATAAAATACGAAGAGCGGTCGAGGGCAGACAGAAGAACACTTTTATGCCCAATTAAGGAAACATATCAAATACAAAGAATCAAGCCATACTCTCATCTCAGTCCATGCAGCTATCCCTCATCCTCGCCGTGTTTCTAGGTAAGTAAATATGAAAGATGCAGTTCGGTTACTCTGCGGTTATTGTTATTGTTGGCATTGGTCCTTTAACAAACCCCCGACGCCTATCACTATCACTGTTGCCGTCCATTCCGCCCGTCGTCTATCCATCCCTACTCCCCAGCTACTCGAGGCACAGCTTATTTATGCTGAAGGGTTGGGACGAGTAATGTCGTATCGTATAAAGGAAAGGTAACGGCCGTTGTAAAGGAAGTAAAATGTAAAATATAAGGGGAATGCAGGGGGGAGAGGAGGAAGGGAAAAAAGGGGGGGAAGAGAGAAAATCTTGATATTTTGATATTAAAGTTACTATGAGTTGGTGGATGAAGAAATGAGTAAGAGAGTATCGAGGAGGAAGATGCACATGGAAGAAATGAAATGGGGAAGCGTTCAACTATGGAAATGGAGATGGGGGATGATCAGATTAGCATGGACGTAAGGTAAAAACAAGGCGTGGAAACGAAGTACAATGCAGCAGTTCATTGGGGGAAGAGAGAGAGAAAGAGAAAAAAAAACGGGGGGGGGGGGGGAGAAGGTCGATGGGATAGAGGAGGGTGCTGGGGAGGTGTTGGGGAGAGACAAGAGATGTCGGATATGGAGTAGGATAGGTAATGGTAAGGAAGGGGCGGGGGTAGGGGCACAATAGAGTGGCCGAGGGACATCCTGTTTGTAGGCCGATTGTTAAGATAATCTTTTTTGGCTTTTTTGTGTGTTCAGTTGAGATGATATCGTTCTTTTTTAATCAACATGTTTCTTGTTTCCTCTTTTTGTGTCCCTGTTTTTTTTCGTAGTCATTGAATTTCGTTCTTTAACTTTGTTTGCACTCAGTAGCTTCCTTCTTGGGCTTTGAGCCGTCGTCCTATTCGGAGAGCTGGGTTAGTATGGCACGTTGTCTGAAGTGTCAAGGGGTAGCATACTCCTTCATCAGAGTCCTCATCATCGTCTCCTCTCTTGTCGTCCTCCTCATCGTCGTCGTCCTCATCGTCGTCATCTTCGTCATCATCCTCAAAGTCGGCCTCGAAGTTCTCCTCGATTTCTTCATATCGTAGGGCTTCACCAGTAAACCAGTCGATAGCACGGGGAATGAGCTTCTCCTTGATGTCTTCACCCAGTTGGTAGTCGAGCTCAAGACGTTCCTCGATATCAGATGCAACGTCATCGTCCTCTTCCTGTGGGGGTTTGGGGGGAGAGAAGAAGTTGAAGAAAGATTCTGTGGGGACAGTAACTTTGACAACGCGGGTCTGTTTGGTGTCTATAAATATATAGTCAGTGGCAGTCTGGACAGTTCAAGGAACTAAAAATACGTACTCTTGTTACGCTGCTTCTTGCTCTCTATCCGGACAGTGAGATCCTTGCCCTCCTTCCAGTCAATCTTCTCACCCTCCGCATGGTCGTAGATGAAGTCACCGCCATATCCGTTCTCTTCTTGGTAGTAATAAGTCTTAGCAATGGTCTTGTTGGTGAAGAACTCGTTCTCGGCGAATTCAAAGATGAGTCGGAAGCCAGGGCGGTCAAGGTACTCCATGCGAATGTCCGTTAGCTCCTTGAGGGCACCTTCGTCTCGGTCGGTGATAAGCTCGGCAAGGGAGATCTGGTTCTTCATGGCGGACAGCCAGAACTCTGGGATACCACTAGCAGGTGTCTCCTCGGACTCAACTGGAAGCTGCTTAGCCTCATTCTCCTTCTTCTCATCTTCCTCCTCGTCCTCGTCACGCTTGCCGGCCTCGACCTCCTCATCGGTAGGTTCGGCAGAACCGTTGACGATGGCAGAACGGCGCTGGTAGAGCGGGGTGTACTTGGCGAAGTACTTCTTCTCGAGCTGCAGGACTTCTTCCTGGAAGGCGGCTTCGAGCTTGGCATGTTCGGTTTGGATGCCCTTGAGGCCCGCGACACGGCGACGAACAGAGGCCGGGAGAGATTCGATGTAGCCAGATGAGCGTCCGATGATCGATCCGAGCTTGCCCTGGATCATGGAAACGAGCCCGGGGTTCTTTGCGAAGATTGAGGCGGCAGTCGCTGGGTCGAGGTTCTCTGGAGAGACGTGTCAGCGGGCTGTAACATGGGGGCTTATTACACCAAACATGGAACGATTTAGCTCGTTTCTTGCCTGAACAGCAAGAGGAAAGTACCCATGACAGAAAAGTTAGCACGAGCGGGAGTACACACCTTCTTTGATGCTGGCGATGCCAGGTTGCTGGGCGTGTGAAGAAATAGGGGCATGGTTTGCGGGCGTGTTCTGAGGGGTTCTTCAAAGTACGGTCAGCCAGGCTGTCTGGTCTTGACGGGGGGCACAACTTCGCATCAGATAACACTTACGGTGCGGTCACCTCAGCCTTCTTGCTTCTGATCGGCTCAGACATCGTGGTAGCGGGCAGCAGAGGACACGTACGAGCAGGCTAGAGACGATGTGCGAGGCGTTGCGTGTGGTGGGAGCGAGGGAGCGAGGGAGCGAGCGAGAAGGCGGTGGTTGTTGTATTTTTTCTGCGTTGAAGACTTATCAAGCAGATTTACCTTTGGTGGGCTACTTTTTTTCCTTTTGGCGTGGACGAGACTACGACGGATCGGGAAGCCAGGCTTGGCGTGTCGGACATCGACAGCAAGGCGGCCTTTTTTTGTTTGATCCTTGAGGATGGCCGGTGGATGGACTGGCTGCAGGGGAAGAGAGCAGCGAGGCGACGGCGACGCTTGATTGCTAGGCTTGTACGCTCGTGTTGGCTAGTTGTCCGTTGGGCGCCCCCGGTCCGGTCGACAGGCGTGTACAGACAGTTGATAGCACGGTACTCTGTATGACAGACAGACACTCATTCTCCGGACGGACGAGCTAACTACACCACCCGCACGCTCTGGCTAGGGCTACCTATGGAGAGACGGAAGAGCACTGCGAGGCTGCTACTAATCCTCAGCTAAGCCCTACCTATATGATAGCTACTATGCGATATCATAGTCTCCAGCGTCCAAACAATGTTGATACACGTCCCTTCCATCCGTCCTGGTGATAGCTATCACATCATTCTCGCCAAAGAGGGAATTAAGCCATTGTCTAGACCGTCCCTGGAATGCCTCCCACAGCCCGACCCAGACATGTGGTGTTGTTGACCGCCATCAATTCCATGAATTTCCATCAGTAGAATAGTTACAGTGGAACTGGTGGGCCAGAGAGGAGACACCGTCCAAAGAGATGATCCCATAGCTAACTCGCTGAGAGAAGTGGATTTTCGACGCCAGCCATGGAGAATTAGTTGGTTAGCTGCAGTTCTTGACTCTGGGGTACCGGCTGAGCGGCCTGGGTGTTCACCAGGGGTTCATGCTGGGCTCGTCAGCAAACTAAAGCGTAGCCTGTCGTCCGTCCACAGCTACGAAGCATGAGACTTATCCAGCCTATCTTCGTCTTCTTCTTCTTCTCTCTCTCTCCATCTCCCTATAGAGCTGTCTTACTCATTCCCTCTCTCCTGACTCCCTAAGCTCCTCTTCTTTGTCGTCTTTTATCTCCGTCCCGCAGCCTGCAAGCTTCAAGGCTTATCGCAAGCCACATCACGTGGAGATAACCATGGAAGACCCCTGGCCCCGTGACTTGGCAATTCGTCTCCATGGCTCATCAAGGTTGAAAGCTCTGGAAAGCTTGAAGAAGAATGTTGTTTTACGCCCTCGAGCTTGATCCATAGCACCTGGAGACATCTACTTGGGCCAGATAGGATGCAGCGTGCGCTCCAGAGCTGCCCCAGATGGATGACGAACATACTAACGGCGAGGACCACCATGATCGGCCTCGACCGCAGAGCATCTACCGCAGCAGCTTCATGCGGAGCAGGTACTGTTCTCGTTACCCATCTTGTTTTGAGATGATAGTATAGGCTAATGACCTAATAGGACGAGCCTGCTGTCTGATGTAGAAATGGCGCAAGAAGAAGTGAGCTGGACAACCCATGCAGTTCGGGAGGAAAACAACCGGCTAATGACCACACTTTCAGGTTTATGCCGGCCCTATATCTGAGAGCATTCCCTCAAGCGTTGCATCCTTCGTGCGCCGTCGTTCCCGTCGTGAATCGAACGTCAGTTTTACCTACTTTCAGGAGAATAACGGGTCATTTGTATGGCCTGATGACCGTGACGAGGAAGCGGTTATCGAACCGGACCAGCTTGAAAACGGGGACCTACGTATCCATCGTATTCGTTCGGACGAGCATGATGATCACACCCTCGAGCGAGACCATGAAGATGACCAGGAAGCCGATGTTGAGACTCCCTTCCGCCCCTCTAGCTATTTTGGTCCGACCCCTTCGCATGACTCTGCTGAAGACCCCTTGCTTTGGCGCCGTGCATCTTCCACGGACCACCATCGTGGAGGGAAGACATCAGACGGTATTATCAGCCAGAAGATATACATTGCCTCCGAGGACCTTACCGCCGCCATTGCAGGGTTCTCAACCAGCATGGCCGGCTTGGCTACGTACCTTGCCATCTGCGTTTTCACTTGTGGTCTCGGCTATCTCATCTTTAGATGGGTCCCGAAATGGCGAGTGTCATTGATAGGTACTCCAACGCCACTGTATAAGTGTCAATGGGTCGCTATTGAAAACCAATGGGGTCAATTCACTATACAGGATATCCAGAACCAGCCGTACGGGCGCCAACTCTCTACCGTTTTTGGGAGGGGAAACAAAGAAGGTACTGCTGCTAACTACGAGTATGATGATGATCCTATAATGCCAAATTTACGATATCTGGATTACCATTACGTTCGGTTCTTCTATCAACCCGTGCAAGACAGGTTTAGTATTAGCGGGACTTGGGCGGACCCTGCATGGGCTGATGTGAAACTCCTACGCCGTGGATTGGATGCAGACGAAAGAGAGAGCCGGGAGCAAGTGTTCGGCGCAAATATTATTGATATCCAGGCCAAGACTATTCCGCAGATACTGCTGGATGAAGTATGCTTTTCCTATAAATTTAACCACTCCTTAAAATTCATCTAACTAATATCTCGCCAGGCATTCCACCCTTTCTATATCTTCCAGATTGCGAGCTTGACCCTTTGGTCAATGGATGAATACTATTATTATGCCACTTGTATTTTCTTTATCTCTGTGTTCAGCATAACGGCAACCGCCATCGAAACCAGATCAGTACGTTACTCCCCATATCTAGAAAACTTCCAATTACATACATACTAACGTTTCAGACAATGCGACGCTTGCGTGAGATTGCACACTTTGAGTGCGAGATTCGAGTGTTAAGAAGCGGATTCTGTAGGTTGACTAGGATTCCGGGGTTATACCTAATTCTAATGTTATTTTTTTTGCCTACTAATAGGGACAACTGTACCTTCAACTGAGCTGATACCTGGCGACGTGTTCGAGATTTCCGACCCATCTCTAACTCAAATACCCTGCGACTGCCTCCTACTCTCGGGTGACTGCATTGTCAACGAGAGCATGCTAACAGGTTCGAGCTAATTTATTAACTTCTTAACCCAGATACAGTTAGCTAATAATTTCCAACAGGAGAATCTGTTCCTGTCTCAAAATTTCCTGTAACTGACCATTCTTTAGCCCAGCTAAATCTAGCTGCCACTTCAGTTGATCCAGGAGTTGCCAGGCATTTCTTGTTCTGTGGCACAAAGCTTATTCGTGCCAGAAGGCCCCAAGATCCCGCAGATGATGAAGCGGCCGCTCTCGCCATGGTCGTGCGGACAGGCTTCAACACTACGAAGGGTGCCCTGGTTAGATCAATGCTGTTCCCTAAACCATCAGGTTTCAAATTCTACCAGGACTCTTTCCGGTACATTTCTGTGATGGCTACCGTTGCAGCTGTTGGATTTATTGTTTCGTTTGTCAATTTCATTCGTCTAAAGGTGAGAATTTTGTCCTTGCCCCGATTGGCAACTGTAGTTAATATTTGTCTTAGATTGTTTGGCACACAATCATTGTTCGGGCACTTGACCTTATTACCATTGTCGTACCTCCAGCCTTACCGGCGACTCTTACAATTGGAATCAACTTCGCCATATCCAGGCTCAAATCCCAACAGATATTCTGCATAAGTCCACAAAGGTACTTTCTAGACAGGAGCTTCTTTGTATACATGTTACTAATTTTGATAGGGTTAATGTTGCCGGAAAGCTTGATGTTGTCTGCTTTGATAAGACTGGAACTTTGACTGAAGATGGCCTTGATGTACTCGGAGTTAGACTCAGTCATCAACGAGAGCAAAGGCGGGTTTCCCTACTATAAACATCAAGATGTAAACTAATCGAATTTTCAATACAGGTTCAGCGATCTTCTAACAGATGCCTCACTCATTTTACCTCAGTTACGCTCTGATCGGGATCCTACCCAGGATTACGGCCCAAATACGGCCATTCTTTACACCATGGCGACTTGCCATTCACTAAGGATGATAGACGGAGAACTAATAGGCGACCCTCTAGATGTTAAGATGTTTGAATTTACAAGCTGGTCCTACGAAGAAGGTAGCCACAACACTGCAGAAGTATATGAGGATTATGAAAATATCTCTCCATCTATTGCAAGATCTCCGCTCAATTTTGCTCCTCCAAATGATGCCGGACCAACGCCTGTGAGTTTGTTATTATTCCTAGAATCATGAGTGCAATTCTAACTTGATATCTAGGAAGCAAGTAATGCTACTGAGTTATCCATCCTTCGCATTTTTGAATTTGTCTCTCAACTCCGCCGAGCTAGTGTTGTAGTACGCCAACCAGGTAGTGATGGGGTTGACATATTCGTTAAAGGGGCCCCAGAGTGCATGAAAGATATATGCATTCCTAAAAGCTGTGAGAACTTATGCGCTTGAACATGCATGCATACATTCATTACTAACTCTCAACCTAAGTGCCACCCGACTTTTCTGAACTCTTGAATTACTACACCCATCGCGGGTTCCGAGTTATTGCCTGTGCAACCAAACATATCCCGCAGTTTTCACTTCGAGACATCTTTTCCATGAGTAGGGCGGATGCCGAATCAGACCTTGAATTTATTGGCTTCATCATCTTTGAGAACAAACTAAAGCCTACTTCGAAGGGTGTTATTACCGAGCTACATGAAGCTGGTATTCGCAGTGTAATGTGTACGGGCGATAATATTTTGACAGCCGTCAGCGTTGCAAGGGAGTGTGGCTTTGTTGAGGGCGCCGCCCCTTGCTTTGTTCCTTACTTTGTTGAGGGTAAGCTTCCACTCCGAACCATTTAATGATTTTATGCACTAACGAGAAACAAGGGTGCTCCTCGGACCCAGACGCTCGTCTTTGCTGGCAGAGCATCGATAACCCCGATCACCAGCTTGATGAGAATACTTTAACGGTATAGCTCTTGACCCTTGTTTCTGCCGGAACCCTCCAGTTTTCTCTTCTTATCTAACTTCCAATAGCCGCTTCCACACAGCTCAGTGACAGACGTGTCCGTTCCTTATAATCACTACAATAAAATGACCTACGCCATTGCAGTAACTGGAGATGTGTTTCGCTGGGTTGTTGACTATGGCTCCGAAGGGGTGCTGAATAGGGTACGTTCTGCTCTCTCCATAATGCTGTGTATGAACAATGTCGCTAAGACAGAACAGATGCTCGTTCGTGGCCAAGTCTTTGCTCGAATGTCCCCTGATGAAAAGCATGAGCTTGTTGAGAAGCTTCAATCCCTTGACTACGGTTGTGGATTCTGCGGGGATGGTGCCAATGACTGCGGTGCTCTTAAGGCCGCAGACGTGGGCATATCTCTTTCTGAAGCAGAGGCTTCAGTTGCTGCCCCATTCACTAGTAGGATCTTTGATATATCATGCGTTCCAAAACTCATCAGGTATGTCAACGCACTTGCCATCCATCTATTTGATTTCCGCTAATAGAAATCTAGGGAAGGAAGAGCAGCATTAGTTACAAGCTTTTGCTGTTTCAAGTACATGAGTCTTTACTCTGCCATTCAGTTTACTTCTGTCAGCTTCCTTTACGCAACTGCTTCGAATCTGGGGGATTTCCAGGTAAGTCTTTAAACTCAATGGTTTCCCCTTCTGTTTAGTTGAGCGGTTCTAACCGTCTGGGTATAGTTTCTCTACATTGACCTGGTGATAATTTTGCCTGTGGCTATATTCAGTAAGTCAATGCCGGCACTAAAATGAATACAATACATGACTAACTCTAACTCTTCGTAGTGGGGTGGATTGGTGCCAGCCCAGTTCTATGCCGCAAGAGACCAACTGCAAACCTTGTTTCACGGAAGGTCTTAACTCCTCTGCTTGGACAAATTCTTATATGCATTCTCATTCAAGCCACTGCTTATGAGACTGTGCAAATTCCTGAATGGTAAGGATTATATACCTTTAAACCGTTGTCCTTATTCTGCCTTTAGTATTGACGACCCTTAGGTATATCCCGCCAAAAATTAGCCATGAGGATACCAACATCAAGAACTCACAAAATACCGCTCTGTTCCTTGTCTCCTGCTACCAGTATGTATTCTCGGGTGTCGTTCTGAGTGCTGGCAGGCCATTCCGAAAGCCAGCAACCTCTAATGGTATGTTACCTTCATCCAAATTGATCCTAAAGCAACCGCCAGTGCCTAATGCGATCTCTTAGTTCCGTTCGTGGCCACAATTATCATTATTCTTCTCTTCTCTTCTTATATGCTCTTCCAACCCGCCAAATGGCTGTACAAGCTGATGGAGCTTACATACATGTCCCCTGAGTTCAAGACCTGGATTTTAATCCTTGCATTGGGCGGTTTTGCAGCCGCATGGGTTTGTGAGAACCACATATTCCCCAAACTTGCACGCGGCATTGGACGCTTAAATCGCTGGTTACGTCCACATACGAAAAAGCAACGTCGTCGATACAAGGTCCTGCTTGAGGGCGGTCAATAACAGATAACTGGGCCTTAGTATATATAGATTTTGGCTCGTATTTTTGTACATATAGCGGGAACCACCTGCTTGCATTGTTTCTACGATTCGTGGGTTGATACCTTTTTGCCAAACATATAGCTTGGATAGAGGGCAATGGTTGAAAGTACGATAGATAGTGTAATTGAATTCCTCCGGTTGAGAAAGCCCTTATCGTTGCTACATCGTGTAGTATCCGTAAGCTAAAAGTGCCATTGAACAATGCTTTCTATGAAATATATACAACACATGGACCGCAGAAAACGTTATTCTTGGTGATACAAAGTGTTATCGCAAGTTATTGTAAAATTGCCGCGCGAGCAATCCTATCAACAGGGCTTTGCGCCTGCTTCACACTCTCAGAACCCATCTGTGTGCGGGCGCCGCTCGCAGGGGAATAACACCACTTGGATTCCTTTTCGATAAAATATAGCCGGGCAGTAAAAAAGGACCGAAGAAATGCGCCGAGAGTACTCCATAATTTAATGATCCCAAGGGTGCTTCCAGCCAAGGAGAACAGGGCCGTCTTTCTTTGCGCGGTACATCAACTAGTTTGAACGTTGCCGTGTTAGCTCCTCCACACAAAGGTACACCGACAGCCCAATTCGGTTCTTTTAACAGCTGCGGATATAGATTGTGAGCAAAACATACCCAAAACCACATGCTAGCACCAAGAGCAGTTGCAGCGAATCTGTACAGCGGAGGCCCTGGAGGCACCTTGATAGGGTGGTTGTTGGTTGAGGGCATGATGGAGGGACTTCGATTGGTATTCTGCAGTAAAAGAGAATTAGAAGGAGTCGATATGGCGCACTTGACTGTATTTAACACACCTGGATAATCCCGCCAGATCACTGAGTTCAGAAATGCGACAAGCTTCCGGTCGTTCGTGATAGTTGCTTCTCCGTCGTCCTTGTAATTCGAGCATTGACTTCCATCACCAGTGCCGGGATTTGAAGATCACGTGCTTAAAGCGGATAATACAAAATCCCCGCCGTGGTAAGATCACATGATATTAATTCACGTGATGTTATGGAAGGGCACGGGCCTCTCAAAACCGTCTCAGCTTTGAGGCTTTTGAGGCTTTGCAAAGTACTTTGAAGTTTTGTGAATTGATGAATTATTCGTCTCCGAATTAATTCCATACCACAGCCAGTATGCCAGTGTATAAGGTCTACCTACTCTCCAAATATAGGCTTGAACACCCATCTTCGCTTTTACATTATTTGCGAAACCCACGCATTCGGGCACTAATTTCCTAGAAAAGAGACCCATGCATGCAATCTGGCAGTCCTTTAAATGCGCGTTTCCATCCCTTCTAGCAGTGAAATCCCAAATGTTGGAACATCTCTTGACCCCTATTTTAAGTTCAAAACAACAGAGGCTGTCTGAACGGTGGAGAAGACAGGCCTTGTGCCTACGAGGCCAAGCTGCAACGCGAAATTCCCAGCAGAAAGATATTAGGAACGGTTGATAATGCAAATTCACCTCATTGGTAGTTCGGGTCTGCACCAGTATTTCATCCAGTCGAGAGAGCCACCAAGCCACATTTGAGTACGTTCAGCCAAAGCTACCACACCGGCTACCAAGATGCGCCGTCCAGTTTATATTACAATAATCATTCTTCGCCAATCCAATGTATGGAGTACAGCATGCAGATTAAATCCTTTAATATCCATTTTCAGGTCGATATCATGCCATGTTGGATACCCGCACTAGCCTGCCTTTCTTGTCTAGATCAGGGCACGGAGTACAAGTTATTGTTATCCTGTCGCACCATCTTACCATCTCATTATGGTAAACGCCAGCTATCTATATATCAAAGCTGCCTGGTTGCCTTGAAACTACAGGGCTAAAGAGAAAGAGGGGAGATCTGCACATGAATTGGCGGGCCAACTAGCCAGCCGGTATTTCAATGGTGACCAACCCCAAAGCTGGTCGGCTCTTTGGCAGATGACTGTTATTCATGCGAATTAGAACATGCAGAGATCGACAATCCAGTCACTCCACTCATTTGGTATGCTGTGCAATTAGGCATTCAGCTGTCTCTACATGTGCTGATTGGTTAACTTATATGGAGTTGTTTATCACCCTCACTGGGCTGGCTGAAATTCCCCGCGTTCCATTATCCAGAATCTCGCACCAACTCACCGTAAATGGATAATCAATTTATTCAGGTTGCGCCTCTAAAGGGAGTTTACAGATGGTTACCCCACTCTGATATGCTATCAATGGCCTGTATGCAGTTTCTCGACCAATTAAGTGACATGGGAATAAGAGCGAATCGAGCCGTGGACAGTTTCATACAATCTATATTGTATGCATATATTATCTAGGCCTAAAAATCTGACTGACTTCTTTCCCAACTTTATACGGTCACACAGGGGAGGGGAGGGCATGGCGATCATGGCAACCGCAAGTTTGGTATTCATTCGAATCATGAAATAACCACGCAATATTCTATAATATATAGCTATGTGCTATATATACTGCTCTCCGGCCTTGATGGAGATAGGCATTTCTGCCTCGCTTGCATCAGCTACACCGCAGCGATCAGAGCAACAAAATGCTTTTGCTATCGGTTTTCACAGTGATTCTCCAGTCAACCTCACTGGTTGCTGCATCCGCGATACCTCCTGGAACCAATGGCCGTCATACAGCAGCGCAAAAAGGCCGTGGGATTAGCATTGCTAGTGAAAGCCAGTATTGCAATGATAAAGCAGTTGAGTTATTCAAAAATAATTTGGAGGCTACTGCGGCGGATGCAGTAAGTCGAATTCCTATGCCATTGAAGCAGCTATCTCAGATAATGAGCCCGGACGTTAACTCATCGCGTTCGTGGCCGCTAGATCATAGCTACAGTTTTTTGCATTGGAACTGTTGGTAGGTGACCTTCCGAGAACCTTGTTAAAATGCCCTGATATGCTAAAGCTTAAGTAGCAATGTATCACAGCGGAATTGGGGGTGGAGGCTTTGCTCTGGTGAAACATCCAAAGGGCTTTGAAGCTATTGATTTCAGAACAACCGCACCTAGTCTAGCAACCGATGAATATTACGATGATCCTCACCATGATGTCCACGTAGGGGGTGCATCAGTGTAAGTGTTCTCCTTTCTTCGCTTTTCAAAAATTTATATATCCTTCAACCCTTACTAAAACTGCGGAAAGCGGTGTTCCAGGTGAGCTTCGGGGACTCAGAAAGATTTACAAGTATGCAAAATTGGACTGGAAAAAGCTCTTCGGACCCGCTATCCAAGCAGCGAAGGGCGATTTCAAAGCAAATGAAGACTTGATGTACTTTGTCAAACGCGTCGCGAGGGACTTACCTCGTGATCGGGATGTGCTTCCGCCAGATGATAGTTGCGGCTGGTTTAAACAATACCCTTGGAACGAAACATTTTGCCCTGGGGGCCAATTGATATCGGAGGGTACCCCGTTGAACCGGTCGAAATACGCTGAGACACTGGAAGCAATTGCGAACAGTGGGAACGAAGGTACCTTTTACAAGGGAACAATCGCAGATCACACTTATGAAACCCTGAAGGGAAGATCAAGCCTAATGTCGAAAGAGGACCTGGAGAACTACGAGGCCAAAACGCGAAAGCATGTTAGCATTAACTACCGGGGCCACACAGTTACAAGCACGCCGATACCTACGAGTGGAACGATCGTTCTTAGCATCTTAAAGCTTTTGGAAAAATTCCCTGGTCGACATGGCGCTTTCCAACCTGGGGCCGATGGACCCAGCACCCATTGGCTGCTTGAAGCAATAAGATATGGCTATGCTCAGGTATGATTACATTACTGCTACGTCTATACACAAATCTGTGTAGTTAACCTGTGCGCTATAGAGATCCAGATTGGGGGACCCTGACCCCAAATTCTTCCCTACTATCGACATGGACAAATATCAAGAATGGTTACTCAATGCGGACAGTGGATTTCCCCATGAAGTTACCATCAAGGACAGGACCCTACGGGACATCCTTGAGTACCTAGTACCATACATTGGAGCCGACCAAGCCATTCCCGGCCTGTCAAACGATACTGTGAAATATAGTGGAGGAACGTCTCATGTCGTTGCTTTGGACAACGATGGTTTAGCCATATCGCTTACGACCAGCGTCGGCGAATGGTTCGGAAGCAGAGTCATGGACCCTACAACTGGGATTATTTTTGGTGATGACATGTCTGACTTTCAGCGCAAGAAGCACCCGGAAAATCCACTGGAGTTTGCAAATAACCATATCCAAGGAGGTAAAAGGCCTCTTTCCGGAATGTCGCCTACCATCGTTACAAATGAGCAGGGCGAAGTGTATTTTGTTACAGGATCTGCTGGTGGGACGCGAATTCCCACTGCTACCTTACAAACAATAGTCAATGTTATCGATAGGGGGATGTCAGCTGGAGACGCTATTAGCTCACCACGTTTGCATGATCAGCTCAATCCGAATGTCACGGAGTTTGATCTATCGCTAACAAACGACAAGAGGATGTACGACAAACAAATCGTGAGAGACATGCGAGACAGAGATCATCCATTTACGTGGGTTGAGCCGGGATTCTCTGCAGCCCAGGCTATTAGACGGGTACCTGGAAAGGCCCCTGAAGCATCTGGAGAGGAGTGGCAGGGTGATTCAGGGGGATGTATCTGGTGGGATGAAGTCAAAGATTGTAAGTTCAAGTCCAGCTAACTAGGTATTTAGATACATAGTTGGTACCTACTGAAAAATGGAACCCATAACAATGATACTACTTTTCACTTAAACGTGCAATACTCCACCATTGTCGCTATCGGCTATTAGGCTGCTCTACATTATAAAACCGGGTTAACTCGTCCTGAGGAACACCGGGCAAGCCCCTACCTGTCACATGGCACCTAAAAGGCGTCACAGCTGGGGCTACTCAAACGTGGAAGTATGGAGTACATATTTCCCCTATACCAGCACATGATATTGTTATTCAGGCTGCAGGATGTATGGATAAATCAAGCTCAAGACTTCCGATCTGACGGAGGCCAGCGCACCAGTTTGCACCTTGTAGTATATCGTACACGGAAAGAAAGGAAAGGAAACTGGAGCATCTGGCAACCTCCCTGGCTTGTACACAATTGATGTTAGTATTGTGTCGAACCCCTGGGCCAAAAAGCGAAGACCCCTAATTGGCTGCAGAGAGAGTCGTTAGTTATCATTGGATGTGGGCTGCTGGTAACCAGTTAAAGCAACACCTCTTCTACCAGCAACACCAGTGACCGGCATAGGAACTTATGAAGAAGGAACGCGGACATTCGAGCCTGTAATGACTTTGATGTCGTTGAAAATGTCTTCCCAGCCGATGAAAAGGCCCCATCCAAGATCCTGAATTACCAGCGTAAAATAACCACCAGGACTAATAGAACTTGCAGAATTCCTTCCCAGCCGATTCTCATTGACTTCAATCAAAGCCCAGTCCAAGAAATGTTCTTGGTCGGTAGCTCGGAATCCAGATGCTCAGAAGAGCCTTCGGTTCGCCTCTTTCTTGTAAGTGGTGAACTTGCTGATGACGAGTACGAAGTGTAAGCATTAGCGAAACAGACTTCTTTTGACAATAACTGACGAGAAAACGACATGTCTGTAGACAAGTTAGAACACCGGAAAGCAATAGCCTGCTTGGATAGCTTGTTGTGGATCGACAGGTAAAATGGGTAGCTTGTGGCAGCCTCGAAGATAATTTGGAGCCAGGGAGCAGAGAAGCAGAGACACAGATAAAAAGAGATGTGCGAAAACGGTGTTGATAAGGAAGGTTAGGCAGATCGAATTCAAAAATCTACTTAAAGTTATATAGTCGAGTTAACAGTCGATCATGTCATACCAACTTCACTGCTATGTGTGATTCACTGTTTCAGGCACTTTCCGAAATTTTTGAGGGCATCATGTAAACACTGGTCCATGTCCAGCAACTAGTATCTTTCAAGCGGCATGGAGCCAACATTTTAGCCAAACAGCAGATTTGGTTGTCAAGGTAAGTTTTTGAGTTTCGGGTCCGCGTGCTAAACTGAACCTTGCATAAACGCCCGGTCTTGGCAAAGCTTAACTTCTTAGCTTCGATCAAGATACTCCGATAATAACACATACTCCACTCTAGCCTTAGTATTATCTTCTTGATCTCGATATCTTATGTATTAAACATTATGATATAGGGAAGTGGAAACTTCTTATTTTGTTATGTGGCTCGTAGAAATACCTACAAAGAAGAGAGCGTTAAGACACGAGGGTTAGCATTAAGTCTCCGCTTATACAAGTTATAGACCATAAAACATATTAGTTAGAAAGGGGCCCATTTCTGCGTGTTCTGGACTACTATATACCGTGCCTTTTTATTGGTAAAAATCAACTAGAAACCAAGACATTCCTCTGATTGATTTGAATCGAGACTTCCAGAGAAGTCTAGCCAACGCCAAGACCTTCTGGCTTAGTCATGATATTATCACGTGCGTCTATGAAAGCGGGCGGAGCAGTGCATTACATAATACGGAATGGAAGATCAGAGCTTCCGATAACACATTTCCACTAAACTCTATTCTACCGTCAACGCAACTCCGAGCTTTCGAGCTATTAAGAGACCCTAAGACTTGAATATCACCGCCCGAGAGATCGCCAGTCCTTCTACCCCTTATCTACCTCGTCCTGCGTCCTGGAGTTGTGGCGCAATCACTCTTCGACCACCCGTGCTATACCAATTTTCCAAAACTCGTTCACAGCTTGTTTCGCGGTTTTAGGGATCGGGGATTAGCCCTTGGAGAGCCACCGCGATGCTTGCGTCGGGTTCGTCGCCCAGGCCTAAGCGCTCCCTAGAGCGCGATGAAGATGGCCGCTTGCGCTTCCAGGGCTGCTCCTCTATTCGCGAATTCGAGTTCTTAGGGAAACTGGGTGAAGGAACCTTCGGGTATTGTTCAAGCTTCTTACTGCTCTCAATCGTACACCTGCTAACATACTTCTTCCTTCTTGAAGTGAAGTTTACAAAGCAAGGTCCAAACGAGCCGGCTCGTTAGTCGCCTTAAAGAAAATATTAATGCACAATGAGAAAGACGGGGTGGGTTCAATCTGGGAATGCACCTGGCGCATTCACACTGGCTGACCCCAACATTGGCTTAGTTTCCAATCACTGCCCTACGAGAGATTAAACTTCTCAAGATACTATCACACCCGAACATCTTACAGCTTCAAGAAATGGCAGTGGAACGGAGCCGAGGTATGTTGCCTCTCGGGTGCTACTTTAGCCTCTGAATACCAGTCTGACCATTATAACAGGCGAAGGACGAAAGAAACCATCAATGTATATGGTAACACCATACATGGAGCATGACTTGTCTGGATTACTGGAGAATCCGGATGTCCATTTTTCTGAGCCTCAGATAAAGTGTTACATGATACAGCTTCTAAAAGGCCTTCAGTACTTGCATGAGGTACTTCTTCATTATTCAACAGTACCATTGCTTATAAGCTAATGCGATACTCCAGAATCGAATATTACATCGGGATATGAAAGCCGCAAATTTATTGATAAATAATGCCGGCGTGCTTCAGATAGCGGATTTTGGTCTTGCCCGGCCCTATGACGAAGCGCCACCTGTTGCTGGTAAGGGAGGCGGAGAAGCAAAGAGAGAATATACGACGCTGGTTGTCACCCGCTGGTATCGGCCGCCGGAACTTCTTCTCCAATTACGTCGCTATACTACCGCGATTGACCTGTGGGGTGCTGGGTAAGATCAACCCTTCTTACCCCAATGTGCCCATTGTAGACCTACAGGATGCTAATTATCGAGACAGGTGTGTTTTCGGCGAAATGTTCAAGGGGAAGCCTATTCTCGCCGGAACCAGTGATCTTAATCAAGCACAGCTTATATTCAACCTTGTGGGCTCCCCCACGGAGGAAAACATGCCAGGGTGGAGTTCGCTACCAGGAGCAGAACCCATACGGTCTTTTGGCTTCAAGCGCCCAACACTTGCCACTGTTTTTCATGAGTAAGTCATCCGCAATATAAATATCACTTCTATCTATACAACATAGCTAATACATAGACTACAGACAAGGCCCTGTTGCAATATCTCTTCTAACAGAACTTCTGAGGCTCGATTGGCGCAAGAGAATAAATGCCATCGATGCTCTCAAGCATCCATATTTCACTACCCCTCCGCTGCCCGCTAGGCCGGGCGACCTTCCTTCATTTGAAGATTCTCATGAACTTGACAGAAGAAAGTTCCGAGGACAAAAGGCTGCATTGCCCCCTGCACCTGCTGGTGGATCAGTTGGGATGGGAGCTCATGGTGAATGGACCTCAGGCTCTTCTCGGGGAGCACCCACCACAGATCCAAAGAAAAGTCGCGTTCCACAAGCAGCTCGCTCTGGTTACGGGAATAACATGCACCCATCGTCCCGACCCCCTTATGACAGTCGCATGCCTGACCCAGTCCACGGCCACAAGCGAAAGGCCTCCGGTGAGCCTCACAGCCACCTTCCGGCATGGCAACGGGATGCAAACTTACCACCCAAGCCACCCGCGCCTGCTAACCCTCAATGGCAAACTGGTTCCCGTCGTGGTGGAGGCCCAGGCCAAGATAGCAGGCGTGATAGGCCCCCGATACCCCGAGGAGGTGGGGGTATAAGTGACAGTGGGCGAGATTCATATGTTCCTAATTACGTCGGCGGTGGTAACGACAGGTATCGATCGGGGGTTGATGGACCCATGCCTCCACGACGAGATAATATAGATCCGGCAACAAGAGATCGATATTGGCGGCCAAGCCGAAGTCGAAGCCCAGAAATGAGAGACCGCAGTCGATCGGGAGATCCTGGTTCTTTATCCCATCATCTGTACAGGCGCTAATTCGCTCGTTTTCGGGTGGGCAGATCTACGTTCATAATCCACCCTTTATCAATTCCTGCACCAATGTTTTCCTCTACAGCTCAGAGGAATATGTCCGAATATCCGCCGTATTCAACCCATCATTTTCACTTTTTGTTATATTTTTCATTTATTGTGATATGGAAAGGCACTGTGCATCAGGCGAACTAGACAGGAGTTCTGCGAGCATATAGTGGACGAATCAAAGACTTTCAATATGTTTGTCGTATCGAGACATGGATTTCAGGCGCAATATGGACAGCCCATTTGTTTACAGCTTATTTAAATTAGTCCTTACTATAATTCGTGTGAGTGAACTTAACTTGCATTGCTATCCAGGAGGGCCTCACAGGCTCTAACTGGAGCTCTATAAATCCTGCTCAATTGAATAATAATTCCATGAATATGTCCCAGAGGTATGACTGTACAAACTAAAGCATCCGGGTGCTCTTGATAAACGGAATCTCTTGCTAGTGGTTTGAGGCGTCATTATACCACGCATCGCCACAGTATTGATAATGCATGGGGGCATAGGAACAAAATATCACTGCGGATCGATATACGGGTATTCCGGGGGAACTAGGTTGAACAATACTAAAGACAAATAGGGTAACTAATTGAGAGCCTGAATGTAAACGAAAATTTAACGATAGGCTTACGGCTGTCCCTTGCGTATCTAAAAAGATCCTAGAAGATTGACTGATGCAATGTAAATTTACTGGTCAAGGAGCTAGGAGGAACTAGTATAGGGGGACTTGGATATGAGGGATTAGTTTACTGTTGTGCTCTCTGTGGGACAGAGCAAGTATATAAGAGGGCGTGTGGTTACTCATTTGTCAAGGGCTATTGTGAGACTTTGTATTTCTTGAAATAAGATTCTAGTATGCTTATTATTATTACCATTGTTCTCTTCCTCCCTCTTTTTGTTTCCCTAAGAATCTTTTCCAGTTTCTGCTGGAATTGTCAGGACTCCGTGCCCATATTCACCCGAGCGCCCGTGGCCCCTAGCCACAGCTATTAATCTAAGCCTCGAGAGTTACGCCTAAAAGCCGTACAGCAAGCCTGTCACGCCCGACACGACGGCATCCAAGGCTGCCAACAACCGGGACGACGGCAAGGATAGGACAGTCCCTGATAAGGCCACGGCTGATGTGAATGCCAAGAACAAGGACACTCCGAGGACGGCGCCAGACCAAACCACCACCGAGGCCTTGTTATACGTGTGGTGAAATGCACTGGCACTGCTTCTGTCCCTCTCGCAAGCCTGCCGCTATTAACTTGGCGGACCTTAACCGCCAGGCTACGCTTAACGCAATTATTGAGGCAGGGCAGGCCGCACAGCCCACCATAGAGGACGACGAAGGTGACGGAGCCTCTTCCCCTGATACGTTGTCGGAGGGAAACTAGATGGCGGCTCCGGCGTCAGGGCGCCACGAGATACAACCTGCACTGTGACCCCAGCAAATCACAAGTGACACTCATTTTTAACCGTCACTTCTGCAACAACGACCCCTTTTACGTTCTGTATCGATACTGGCGCTCGCTTCCGTATCACTTATATCCCAGCGCTGTCTGCTAGACTCTTTAGCCTGTATTGGAGTTCCCGCTACCAGGTTTCGAAAAACCGATGTCCATATTCACCGGTAAGAGGGCCCGTGGCCCTTGTCCGCGGCTAATTTAACCAGGCCTCGAAAGCTACTCTTCTAAGCCTGTGCCGATGCTCCCGTCGGGCTAGAGAGCGGGAGTCTTCTTCCCTCTCCGCCTGGTCCAGCTCTATAAAGCTGTGCCATTTTATTTTATTTTATTTTTGGCGTGGGGGGGGGGGGGGGGCGCTCTCCGGCATCCTCCTCCTTTGCCTCTAGAATGGCTTTATTCCTCTCCAGGGATTCCTTTCCCACGCACAGTTCTTGCTCATTTCTTTCTAGGGCTCTCTCCCTTTCATTATGGTCGGATATGGTCCTATGGAGATTATTAAAGCGCAGGGAGCGCTAATATCAGCTGCCAAGGCAGAAACACACGCTGCAAGCGCGGTAACCGTTGCTGACCAAGCCATATTGTAGTAACCTTGCAGATCTGTTCAACGAACAATTTCCGAGGGCGTCGGGAACAACTTTGAGGGCGTGTCTGGTGGATTACCTAGGTAGGAAGCAGGTAACCAGCGGCTGCGCCCATTCTCCTTCTGCAAAAGGTAATATATTAGTTCCTGCCTTATACGGCAAGAGGGGCAAAAGGCAGCGTAAACAACATCTTAGGCTCGAGCTGTAAAAGAGCGAAGGCCGCAAAAGAGGACACAAAAGTGCCAGCTAGTAACAGCTTGGTGTAGTCACGAAACAGCCGGACATGGGTATAAGGGGGGTATGTGAACGGACTGTAGAGTCCGGTGTCCCTTGCAGCTAATCTGCGGTATCGCCATCAAAGGGAGCCTTGGCTGAAGGGTTGAAGGCGAAGAGCGAGAACTCAGTTATGCGCAGTTGAAGGGTGAGCTTTGCAGGTCCTCATGTAAGTAACGGAATGAGGCTTGATTGGCAGATATTCGGTGGGACTATCATCATGATGATCTTGAAGACTTCTTGGATGTAAGGCAACTGGTTAACAGACGTGTCTATGGTTGTCTGTTCGTGAGGTGGCAGAAGGAAGTTCAAGTTTGTAAGTAGTTAGGGTGGTTGGCTGAAGGATGGAGATCTATCCATGGATTCACCTGGGCAACTGGTCTGTCACGTGAAAAGGTGGATGTTTATATAATCAATTGGCTAGTCACTTCTTGGCAGTGATGTGACTTCGGCATCAACGACGGGTTTGCTGGCTTCGTTCTCGTCGTCGCTGAACGGGGGCTTTTGATACTCCGTACTCGTCACTGTTAAAGGATCCGGAGTTTCGTATGATTCTTGTCTTTTGATATACTGGATTATAACCTTTCCCCTTTCCTGCTCTGTTTGATGTTTTTTGCTGAAAGGTGGCTGAGTGGTTTATGCCCTAGGAGATCATCAAGCGCTGAATAGGGAGTGGCTTCTCCTGGATATCCAAGTATTGTATTTTGGGAGGCATTCGGCTGCAATCAACAAATATACCCAGGCTTCAACATAGTAATATCCTGATAGGAGCAGAATTGTTGAGAAATGTCTTCCACAGGCGGCTCTCGGATGCATTTCTCTTCCTTGCCGGATTTTGCTGCTAGATTTCTGGGATGGCCCATCTCATGTTGCGGTTTTTGCACGGCCTAGCTTAAGTTACTTGCTAGATTTCTGTCCTCTTCTCTTTCATTAATTCCCATCCGGGATTTTCAAGCAAACTCGGCAGGTCTCTTCATGTGGCATGAGAATCACTTCGCCACTCAAGAGATTCCCAGGGTTTTCCGGGCATCATTGTTTTATCCGTGATCCGTAGAGTTTGGAGGCACAATGCCATTGTGGATTAATCGTTGGGGATGGTAGGGGATATCATGCGGGTGCTTTTTCGTTAAAGAAGTTATCATGAGGTGGTATGCTTCCTTTTAATGGAGTCCAGGTGTTTATATCCGCCGCGATATCCTTATGTCAATGGATATCTGTCGATTCAACTCCCAGACCATAAAGCTATGAGTTCGTCTTCGTTTCACCATATTCCTTTGTTATATGGCTACTCGTCACCAGCACTGCGTAAAAGTGCGAACTCTCGCTGGTGTAGCTAGGCTTGCCAGACCTAACCAACCTCGTTAATAGAGGATTTCTTAACCGCTAGGGGGATCCCTCCAAGGTACCGGTGCCCCATTCACCGGTAGGAGGGCCGTCGCCCCTATCCACGGTTCTGCTGGACGTCCCTGCGGATGGACGTCTGCCGCCTCTGCTCTAGCCGGAGCAATATCTCCCTTTCTTCAAGGGCTTCTTCCCACTCGCTGATGGTTTTCATTGCGCGGGTGGCCTCCTCGCACACCCGGCGGCTTTCGGCACTTAGGCGTATGCTCGCCTCATTCCTCTGGGAGACTGCTATCTCCCGCTGCAGGAGCTCTCTCTTAAGGTCACTTAACCTCCTGCTCTTGATAGAGAGGTCGGACGACTCGGCTGCAAGATCCGCCCCCCACTTTGCAAACTCCGCCTCCTGCTTTGCAATCTTCTCCTCCCGTTCCTCCAGCTCCATCTTCTTCTTCTCCATCTCCTTTTCCTTCTTCTCTTTTTCTGGTCGCCATGCTCGCACCTCGGAAGAGACTGCGCACGCGGCGATAACGCCAGTCCCGACGGCAGCAAATGCAGCAATCCACGACATAGTCTTAGAATTCAAACAATTCCTGGTGTTATGCACTAACTGTAAGGACGCTGGCTAAGGACATTGATGGCCAGTCTGATAGGGGGGTATATGATGGCATATCTAAACACGAACTTAAGGAAACTGCGAATCCATTATTACATTCAACGGCGGCAGGCGCTCTGGGTGACTCCTTCCTGCAACATTTAATCCTCACATTTATGTCATTTTATCCCTCTCAACTTCATACCTCACTACCGCAAAGCCCAGCGTCTCTATACTCTCTAGGGGTAGAAACTATTACATTCAAACTACTCAAATCCAATATGAGTATATTTCAATGATATGCAAATCAGTTACAATATTTCTTTTACTTCAGGAACTTCACCACATTTGCGAGTCACCACCGTCGTACCCGTCCAATTAGAGACCTCGAGTCTATAGACAGGCGTGAACTTCCTATGCACCCATTCTGGGATAAGATTGCACCAATACAGCCAACGATTTACTCTCTGCTCTTCTCTTGAAAAAGACGCACCGATATTAGGCGTAAGCCTACTTTGCCCATATCCTGTCCCGGTTGGGGGAATGTATGGGTGGACGGGGACGTTCTGCAGATATTCCTCGGACTCCCACTCCCAGCCCACGTAAGCAGTAGGATTTTCCCTCCAAAAGTCCCGGCACCATTTGCTTCTCACTTTGTTATACCTTTCCCAATTAAAAATCTTGGTAGAAAAGGACTGGTTAAGCCACGTTGGCTCTAGTGGAGAATAGAGCCTTCCAATAGATCGACTGACCTTGAGTGCTAACCAAACCCGGCCATCGTTTCCAGGAGTAGAACTCGGCAAGTCGCAAGCTGTCACCACAGTTTTGCAATCAAAACACCTTGTGGAAGGATCTATCCATCCTGGGCGAGGCTCAGCGCCAGGCTTTCGAACGTATAGAAGACGTACTCCCGGTTGATTCGCACGCATATGTGGACAGAGTGCATAATTAAGGGTCTTAATAAGAGAATGAAAACCTGCAGGTTCAACGTCTGCCCCTTGAGGGAATATGGGGAGATGATACTCTAGTGTGACCTCAGGCGAAGAAAATATCGTGGGAAGCCAATTAGTATCACAATCTCCTCTCTCTTGCGATACTAGCTTCTTGACGTCCGCAAAACTGAAATTACCGTGTATTCCCAAGTTAAGGCACTTCACAGTCATCATACAATAACGTACTGATGGCGGCTTGCTTAGTTGAAAGCTAGAAAAGGCTTCGGGACCATGAACAGCTAAACACCCTCGGCAGCAATGCTGTAACTCCCCGTTTCGCTCCAACATGCAAAGTCCCTTGAATCTTGATTCCTTGCTTGATAGGGTATCCTTAAGGGCATCAGAATAGAAGAATCGGGAACAGGTAAATCCTAAGGCAATCCTGTCGTTTTCGTTGTCCAGGTTCTTGACTACCATGGCCAGAAGTTCTGCTGGCAGTCTAAAGAGAGGACTATTGAATCCATTCAGTTTAGTACGGCTACGGGCCAGAAGGCGCTGGATGTGGCTCCGGTCGGTGGAAGAAGACATGAGCAGTGGCTGTAGAGGTGATAAACTGTAGATTTAAGAATAGATTATGGTTGATACCCTTTGGCTGAGTGTGTCTCTGTGTAGGTATTCTTGGGCGATGCGTAATTCGAATATTGGTGAAGGAAAGTGATAGGTAAATGAATTATCACACATTCAGTGAGATATAAATAGTCTCGTTCATCCCTTGCTTTGAGCTTTCTGCAGAGCTTGTTGCCTCGAGAGGCGGACAACTTGCCTGGGTCGAGCACTTTTATATCTATAAGTGCAATAAGGTTCTGATGCGATTGCCCCAGTAGTTAAAACGTTAGCAGCTATTTTATTGGAGAGATATAGAGTTTGATGTGTATGGCTCATTATATAATTGGCTACTTTTATTTGCCAAGATCAACCTTAAAGTCTATCGCGTCATTCATTCCGCCTGCACACAGTAGCAACTTGCCTCGACTTGGTGGTATGAAGTCACCGTCTGATGGTGTATAGTGCTTATCCTGATATTCGTCATAACCGTCGAGCCCGTTTGTGGCAATGTTGAATTGAAGATAGCTAAGAATAAACAGATAGAAGTAGCAAAGACAGAAATAAACCATGCATGAGACCGTGAGAATCGTCATCGTCCATCCATAATTCCAACTCAAAGTAATTTGCCAGTAAATCTCCTCGCCCGAAAATGAAAATCCCGGCCTGTGTAGGTTGAAGTATTAATGAAGATGAATTTTAAAAAAATATATATGCTGAAACTTTTTTTTCTTTTTACTTCTGTTCTGTAAGGGCAGGGATGCCTTATTTAGAAGAGGATACGGGTCATAATCCGGGCTAAATGTTTCGTTAGTTAATGGAACTTGTTTTGAAGGAATAGTAATAGTTAGGTGCACATACATGAGAGGCCCTCTAGTTGGTCGTATAGATCTTTGATGTTTTCAGAGTCGACATTGCTGACGTCAGCCATCAGGTAGGCAACCTAGAAGTTCGTAGTGTTAGCAATTGACCGTTTGGTAATTACACAGGGAGAAAATAACGTACATCTCCTCTGCTGTCAGTCATCTGTTTATCAACATTGTGGTCACCGAGAATCTCGTTGACTAGAGCCAAGTTAGTCTTGAGGTAAAAGAAAATTGAAAGAAATTACGGTGGGGGGCCGCAAACCTTTTCGCAGCACACCGGGAACGTTGTTGTGGATGAAAATAACTCTAGCATGGTTTGGCTCGTCGATAGTCAAAGATCGAAGAGTGACCTCGGGCATGTTAACTGCACCAAGGGTGGTTCCCTCGTTGACGTATCTTATTAAAGCCTGTCCGACTTCGATGCCGATGGCACTCTGTGCCTCCTCAGTGCTGCCTCCAATATGAGGGGTGAGAATGATATTCTTCAGACTTCGCAGGTCACTTGCCCAGGGTGCTAGATCCTTGTTGAAGTAATCTCCGTTACCTCGGGGCTCGCTGGGGTACACGTCCAAGGCTGCACCGGCGATCTTCTCCGTACGCATGGCATGGATCAGGGCAGGGATGTCGACCACGCTCCCACGGCTAGCGTTGAGAAGATAGCTGCCATCTTTCATCTGCTCGAACTGTTGGGTGGAGAACATGTTTTTAGTCTCAGGTAGCTCCGGAACATGCAGGGTGACGAAGTCGGCTGTGTTGAGCAGCTGTTGCATCGTAGGCACCTGTCTAGCGGTCCCCATGGCCATGAGGTTGACTACATCGTAGTAAATGACCGTCATGCCCATGGCCTCTGCAAGGACAGAGAGCTGGGAGCCAATATGTCCGTATCCGATTATACCTTGGAAACACCATCAGTACGAAGAAGAAAAAGTAAAAAAAAAAAAGGGGGGGGGGGGGGGATCATACCAAGAACCTTCCCACGGACCTCCCAGCACTTATTGCTAAGCTTGTTCCAGGTTCCATTGTGCATTTCAAGCGATCGATCACCCAGTTGACGAGCAAGGGTGATGATCTCGGCAATCATCAGCTCAGCAACGCTGCGGGAATTGCTGAATGGAGAGTTAAACACCGCAATACCGTTGTTGGCAGCATACTGTAGATCGACCTGGTTCGTTCCGATACAGAAGCATCCGATGACCAGCAGATTGTGCGCTTCCTTGAGCACTCTCTCGGTCAGTTTGGTCTTGGATCGGATACCAATGACATGCACATCCCTGTAGTTCCGTAGTTCCGTCAGCCGTAAAATTCTCCGAACGTTTTTTTTTTGCGGGATCGGAGATAGACTGAGGAAAAAAAAAAAAAAAAAAAAAAAAAAAGAAAGAAGAAAGAAAGAAGGGAAAAGAGGAATAAGAAATATGAGCTGACCTGATTTTCTCGATCAATTGGTCTTCTGGGAGCGAAGACTTGAGGAATTCGACCTGGTAGCCCTGCTCGGAGAGCATGCTGCGGCCGGTGATGTTGACATTCTCGAGCAGCAGGACCTTGATATCCTTGGTAGCGAAGGGCTTGAGCAGCTTTGGGCGGGAGACGGAGGTCTGCCTGGCTGTTCGGGCATCGAAGCTGGAGAGAGGAGAGGGACGAGCTGCTGAGGGCGAGACAGACAGGTTCACGCTGGTAGAGACCTGGTCCAAAAGGTTGCGAGCGGCGCCACTGATCTCTGTCGGAGGAGACATGGTGGGAGGGCGGTTGAGGGTGATGCTGATGGCGAGAGCAGAAGAAGAAGAAGAAGAAGAATAGGCCGGGACGAGGGATTGATGGGCTTTTTTATATCGCCAGCTCGCTAGCTGTCAGCGCACCGCCGTGAGTTGTTCGCTGCGTGCATGAAGATGACTCTTATCGCTCAAGTCCTGCTTGCTCCAGCTAAAAGCGGCCCCGCTGACTAAAAAAGGCTCGCTTCTTAGCCATCCCATTGTCTCTTATCTCTCGCGCATAAGAGCGAACCGGTTGGTGGGCAGAGAGGCAGAGGGGGGCAGACAAGCTACTTTGAGCGACGCTGGCCTGCACGCGGCCTATGGCTTGATCTATAAAGGGCCCTGGTTGTCTTTTATCTACTTCCCTCCGCCCGGCGTCGGGGGAGACCCCTGGCTGCTGACCAGGAACAAGCCGCTAGTTCATGCAGGCTGCGACTAACAATACTTTCGGTACTTTTTTGGCAGTTGTTTGTTACTTGTTCATTGTCCAGCATGGCACTAAGTATGTAGTCTGGCGAAATACATTGGTTAGACCTTCATGTTCTCGACGCCCTTGGCCAGGTCCGCCTTTGCCGCATCGGCTTTTCCTCCCTTGGCCTTGACCTTCTGCGAGGTGGTGTCCTTGGGCAGCTCCCTGACATACGGGAGGAACTCTGGGTTGCCGGGGATGTACTTGCGCAGGACCTCTGGCACGATGATACCCTAGGACATGTCAGAACAACGACACAAAGAGGTCGAAAGGGGGAGGGAATAGGCGAAACTTACGTCTTCCTGCTGGTAGTTCTCCAGGATACAGCATAGGGCTCGCTCGGTGGCACACAGCGTGGCGTTGAGAGCGTGGCAGTAGTTCTTCTTGACGTCGGTAAGCTTCTTCGAGCCGAACCGGATGTCCAGCTCGCGGGTCTGATAGTCGGTGCAGTTCGAGCAGGAGACGAGTTCCTTGTACTCTCCCTGGAAGGGGAACCATGCTTCCAGGTCCAGCTTCTTGGACGCAGCATTGTTCAGGGCACCAGAGACGATGGCAATGACCTGGTAAGGGATCTTGAGCGACTTGTAGAATTCTTCAGATGTATCGATCATCTCATCAAAGGCCTTCCATGACTCCTCTGGCTTCGTTATCAGGAATTGCTCAATCTATGGTTGTTAGCCTTGATAGTCGTACCTTGGGAGCTCCAATGCATACCTTCTCGAACTGATGGACCCGAAAGATACCCCAGGCGTCTTTACCGTGGGCACCAGCCTCCTTTCGGTAACAGGTGCTGTATCCAGCATATCTATCGGAGTTAGCCACAAAATATTCTGCAATAAATACGAGGGCATAGCCTACTTTATAGGAAGCTCCTTTTCCAAAATCCACTCTCCGTCGTGCAAGGCAGACAAGGGCTGCTCAGACGTAGCAATCAAATACTTATCCGTGCTTGGATCTTCGCTCTCAGTAACCTTGTATAGTTCCTCATCGAACTGCTCCAACTGCGCTGTCTTGGCCATGTAATTCCTCAACATGAAATGCGGTGGCTGATTGGGCTTATATCCCTTGTTAAACAGGAACTCAAGTCCGTAGTTGACGAGCGCAAGATTAAGGAACAGTCCATAGCCCGTCAGACAGTATCCTCTATGTCCTACGATCTTGACTCCTCGCTCTGGGTCGTAGCCATCAAGCCGGTAGAGCACTTCATGGTGGGAGAGACAGTCTCGCTTCTCGACCTTGACGTCTGGCGGTGCCCAGGTGCGGAGGACGGCGTTGTTGTCCTCGTTCTTGTCGACGGGGACGGAGTCGTCGACGTAGTTTCCGATCGTCTTCAGCCGGCGGTCCCGAAGCTGTTCGCACTGTACTGCTCGGTCCTCGATCGCTTTCTTCTCTTCTTCTAGCTTTGCCTTTTCCGCCAGCAGGTCTGTTGCATCCTCTTTATTCTATTGACCGTTTGTTAGTCGTGTCCATCCATTTCCCCTATTGTATTTCTTCGCGAAGACCAACCCTTTTCTTCATGCCAATCTCCTTTTGTACGGCATTGATCCTTGATCCGACCTGGGTAGCCTCATACCGTGCTGTAGAAGACGACGTTAGCCCACACAGTAAAGCTATGACTCAGTAGTTATCGAGTCAACCTACTCCGGCGAGCATCCTCATACAAGGCCACAACTTCGTCGACGAGCTCTTCAGAGGCAAACCGTCTTCTCTGACTCTCCTTGACCTTCTTCGGGTCTCCTCCTCGCTCGGGGATGAGGTCTGCAATGTCGAGCATCTTGGCCTGTCTGCCGTATGCAGCTTTTCTATCTTTCTATCTTTAGTTATCGCAGTGCGGGGTGAGTGCTGGCAAACAGCGTCAACAACCAGGAGGGCCGAACGAGAGACGGGACTCTCTGCGAGCAGACACGGAGCAGAGACAAAAGATGGGCTGCAGCGACTGCGACTGAGAGACTGTCGAGTGTCTCTTTCTTCGCTGCCCTGGCGGTCCTTTTTTTTTTTTTTTTTTTTTTGTATGCCGAGAGAGAGATTGAAAAGTCGAGGAAAACTGGAGGGGTAAAAGTGCGGTTGGCGTGGCGTTTGGGCCGTGTCGATAAGCGCGGTAGACGATAACCGCTCCGTGATATCAAAGATAGTGGGATAGACAACAGATGAGCGGGATAGATATCAGACGAGTAGGTAAGAGATATAGAGGATAATTAGATATTACTGTTATTACCATAGAGAGGCATGAGGAAAGCATGGAAAAACATGAGAAAAAAAAAAATAGCATAAAATAACATACACGCAGTGCTTGACCCCAATCCGTTCTAACGCTGGTCTATCAACCCATAGTCCCATGAAACGAAGGAAAAGAGATGAAGAGGAAGAAAAGGAAAGAGAATAAGGAAAAGGGGGTATGCTCGTCATCATCAGCGTCAGCCACCAGCCCTGGCAGGGGGAGAAAAGGGGAAGAAAAAGAAGCATTAAATCCAGCCAGGGATAAAAAGTAGAAAGGGTGGGGGGGGGTTAAAAGAAGAGACAGCAAAGCAAGAAGAGAAGCCGAACCGACCGACCCGAGGAACAGAAGAAGAATCAACGCAGAGATATAAAAGGAACAACGACAAGAGAAAGAGAAAAGAGAAATTGTGAAAGTGAAGCAAAGGGTATAACCATGTTGCAGCCAGTAGATAGAGAGCCCAGTAGTTTCGTATCGAGGAGATGTCGATCGAGTGGTAAGAAAAGGTCGCAAGGATAAGCCGTGATCGTCACTGGTTTAATTGACGGGTTGGATTTGTTTGTTCGTTGTTCAATCGTTTGATCGAGGATGGGGTGGAAGGTGACACGCCGAAGCTCAAGTAAGTCGCACCGTAAAGCCATCCGCCGCCTCACATCAATCGTGTATGACCCTGACCATCCCCAGACAAAGCAAGTAAAAACGGAAAGGAAAGCAACGGCAGTGCAAGGCGAACGTCGGAAGATTGGAGAGGACCCGCGGAGAGGTCTACATGACGAGACACTTGCCATTGTTCGCTGGTTCGCTGGGCGTCTGGGACTTCTCGATCTCAGCAATCATCAGCTCAAAGGTGGACGAGACGTTTGTGTCGTTGCGGGCGCTGGCTTCGACCCAGGCGCAGTTGAAGCTCTCGGCCAACTTCTTGCCTTCTTCCGCAGAGACCGTTCGCACGTCTGCGGGGAGATCGCACTTGTTGCCGACGAGCACGAGAGGAACCCAGTCCTGGCCCTAGAAGCTGTTAGCATACACTATCTCTATAACCGCTAGAAAGATACAAAGAGAAGACGAAGAAAGACGCACGAGGTGGTTGAGGATCTTGTCGCGGATGACGGTGACCATCTCAAAGGACTGTCTGGAGGCGACAGAGTAGACGATCATGTAGCCATGGATACCGATGAAGTGCTTCGAGTTGAGGATGCTGTACTCGTCCTGGCCCGCCGTGTCGACGATCTCGGTCATGTAGTCCTGGCCCTTGTGCTTGATGGTGCGGTTGAAGGTGTTCTCGATCGTCGGGTAGTAGTTCTCGACAAAGGTGCCCTCGACGAAGCGGACGGTCAGCGACGATTTGCCTGCCATCAGTTAGCCATCGTGTCTCTTGTCTTTTGTCTGTCCATTCTTCTATATCAAGTCTGTTGTCTCTTGTCTGTTGTCTATTGTCTCTTGTCTCTGGAGTTGGGTTCACTCACCAACGGCCCGACTGCCCACTATGGCGACCTTGCGTTGTTTGGTAGCGACCATGGTGATGGTGGAATCAGTAGCAGACAGCTGCACTCTGAGGATGGACAGCAGGGAGGATAAAGGCGCAGATGGAGATAAAGAAGAAGCAGAGAAGGCGAAGAAGAGAATAAGAAGAAGAGAAGAGAGAGAGAGAGAGAGGAAAAGCAGGACGAGATATTTTTCTTGTTAAGGTTTGTGTCTGGATCTCGAGCTCGGTCGAGTCTCTGCTTCGTATTTGCGGTTCCAGGCAAAAGGGACGGGGAAGCAGACGAAGAAGAAAAGAAAGCAGGACGAAGCCGGCGAGATATAGGCCAACTAGATATTATACTCAAGAGGACTAACTACTGGCGGCAGCGGCTTTATATAACGTCTTCGAAATAAAGGCTGGGAAGATCCTTCTGGTAGCTGCTTCTGGCCTTTTTATGCTTGCTTTTGGCTTCTGCGATCTAGCCAGGATGCTGGGAAAGCTTGCATCTCGAGATGACGTTGAGTTCGTCCTGGCTGTATCATCAACTCACGGCCTGCGGCGATGGCGGGCATGCCACTTGTCTGCTTTGTATAGATTAATACTCCGTACGTACTCCCCTTCTTTCAGACCAAGTATAGTGCGTCCCTGTCGGACAGCCCCCTTCTTCAACCCCTTCCCCCCTTCCCCCCTGCGGCACTTATTTCTGGCACCAGCGAGGAAGCGGTCGACCTGACGGAGCGTGGAGTTCGCTCGCGGGCCCCTGGCCGTTTGGATACCGGATGGCGGCCTTATACCAGCGGAATACATGGACAGCCCAACCCCGTAATATTCCACGTGAAAAAAACCCGGCGTCTGGGCCCTTTTTGCAAAGCAGGTCAAGGCCAGCACCAAGAAACTCCGCGGGCTGGCCACCGTTTTAAGGATGAGCAGCAAGAGTTTAAGGCATGCATAGCGTCTTGTTTGCTTCGCTCTGCCGCCTGAGACGAGACCGCCGAGGCTCTCCTAGGCCCCCTCCCCCCCGGGTGATGCCGTCCTGGGCCCTGGCATGCTCCCTCTGCCTCTCGCTTTTCCCTGGCTTCTCATTTTGAAGCGCTGCTATCCTTTTCTTCCACGCCTCGTTGCTTCTGTGATCTATCTACCGGTCAGTCCAGTTTGAAATAGCCTGCACAGGGATACAGGGAGCTCTTGAAACGCCCGTCAAGCTGGCGACCCTCTAGCCGTATTTCCTCATTCCTCTCACCTTACTTTTCTCTCCCGTGTCTTTTTGCTTCCATTCTTCCATTGGTAGGTACATACATCGCAGAGCCTTGGCCGCCGCCTTCTTTCATGGACAACCAAAAAAATAAAAGAAAAATCCTGCTTTGACCTGTTCCCAGATGCTCGGATCAGATGAGATCTAAATAAACCGATAGATCGAGCCCAGTAGACAAACGCCTGGAAATCTAAAATCCTCTAGCCAGCGCTCATCAGTAAACTTGTCATAACTTGTGCTTGGGATGGACATGCCTCGACCTCTCGCATCCTTTCCTCTTCCCCTCCTCCCCCCTTTCCCGCTCTGCTTCCTGCTGCTCGTCTCCAGCCTGCAGCTCTTTGCTTGTACTTTGTTACATGCCCAGTTACACACCCGTGTAACTAAGTTACCTCTATACACCCCTCCTCCCTGCGTGATAATTACACAGCTAAGTTCGCGTCGCCTTCTAGAAGCCATCCCGAAGGATCGGCATTGGTCAGCTGAACGGCCCCAGAACCTGATCCACCGCCGTACATCCGCCTCGACTTATTTTGCGCGTCTCTTTGCCTTCCTGCGAGTTCGTTCGTTTTGGCTTCTGGTGCCTGTCTTTAGTCAGGTTTGTTTCGTGAACAGTGCAGGTGCAAGACCGGTGGCGTATTATTGCAAGGTGATCTGTCGTATCCGCACTGCGCGACGGCCGTCCAGCAGCCGGAAGCACCGTCGTGCATCCATCTGTCTGTCTTATCCCTATCCCTTCTGCTCATCCTTATCCCGCTGAGGCAGTGGGAGAGTGGCTGTGAAGCGTAACCAAGGGATGGAGCTGCTGGCCAACCGTGGATGCGAGTAAAAGAAGAGGCGACGTTCGACCTGCTGCTTTAGGACGCTTCAGCCGCCTCACGTGAGCACTTCTTTCTCCAGCTCTGGCTCCATCCTCGGCCTTTGCTCTTCTTGCGCCGCGCATCTTCGAGTTTGCGTTATTGACCTTCTATTCGCTGCTCTGTCTTTGGACGACACGGCTCGCCATGGCCCTGGTCCAAGCTGTCTATTCTCCCATTCGACGGACATGTGAACTCACAGGGCGTTTGCCACCGCCTTCTCGACCGTGTTGGCGCTTGAGGCCTTAGGTCAGCCACAGGATATACCCAGACACCCGTGGGATGCTGAGATGCGCACTCTCCGGACGCCCTCATCTCCAGTAATAATAAGCTACTACGTACTGAGAACGCAGCAGTGGGATGGGCTGCTTTCTTCCGCTCGACCTCCAGACCAAGGCATGGCTGGGGTTCTCCTCCGCCTTTTACTCGAGTTGTCGTTGCAATTAGGGATAGGCTGTGGGGCGGCATAAGTTAACTACACTATATCAGCTACATACTTCACCCTTAAAGGGGGTATTATTATGATATGCTCCCTCTCCTCCTGTCCAGAATTGGCTTCGTTCGGAGAAAAAGGCCACGCGACATCCTTCCACTTCTTCGTCATGGAGCTCCCACTCTCGCCAGCTTACCGGCTGTTAGGCAGAAAAGAATCTCCACCACAACTTCCATCTCCGAATCATGCTAACATTTTAACTACGACTCCGTACACCTGCTAAACATCACACCCTGATGTGGACCAGCTGCCTCTTTGCATCCATCCCAACGACCCATTATTTAAGCAGCCAGATATCTGCACTCCAATTCCCCTTTCCTCCTTCCCCTTGCAGTCATATTATTCAAGAAAGATATATATTCGTCAGCGCTGGCGCCCCTCTTTCCGCGAACCCGGAAACACTAAAGATTAGGTGCCTGACATGCGACATATAGGGGGTCCCGCTGGTTCTTAACTTCTATTCGGATATGTGTTCGGAGAAAGCGGAACTTTAACTATCTGTTTATTATCCCACGGAGCTTCCCGGACTCTAGTCAAATTTAGCCGTTAGAAAATTTTCCACCCTGAACGTTTAAAGGCAGTCGTTGGTAAGACACCCTCACTCCGTCGGTAAGGGCCGTGGGAAATCTAATTACACTTCAAACGCCTTGCAGGCATCTGAGACAGAATGATGCTACTCTACCACTCTTGGTTATTGCTTGCTTTAACTTCAAATTCGTGGAGATATCTTCCAAGGAGCGCCTTGTGTCATCAGCACATATGCTACCAATATATTCGAGGATCAACTTTCTTCAAAGATTACCCTATTTGATGCTTAATGCTTGATGTTGTCTTCATGCTTTAGAGCTTCTGGTGATCTTTTGGCTGTCCTGGACACTAGTTTAGAGTAAATCAAGCAACCATCATCATCATTTCCACATCACCACCAAGAGCTTTGAATGCCTTGGATATGCTTAAAAGAACCAAGCTCGGTACCTGGACAACATGGAATCAACGAACCAATATTTTTGATCCTACGATTTGTTTGGCAGTCCTTCCACGTGACCCTTCGGAAGTTCCGATCATGTGATGTTTTGGTATTGATTAGTCAGCCAAACACTTTTGGCTATCCCGAGGTTCGTCCGATAAACGAGCAACAGCCTCAACCAAATGCCGGGATTTCCACAGTTGCGCATCTCGCTGGACAGGCAGGGCAGGAGATGTGCAAAGGCTGAGATCCCGGGACTTTATGACGGATGGCTCAGGTTTCTCTCGGTTGTACTCCGTAACATTACACTGAATACGGTGCGGTACGCAAGAAGAAGTCAGCAACGTAATCTTTCTGACTGTCAGGCTTGTTGTCGCATTTCCTATTCGTCCGAATTCAATATCAATGCAGGTCGAGCTCTATTTGCCACTTGTTTTCACTGTGGCTCTTTTTGCGGGCTGGTCAACTCAACCTTTCGTTTGTTATCTCTATTTCAATTTAGAAAGAGAATGACCACGAAGAAGTTGCCCATTCATTTCGAAGCCTCCAAGGTTGCTCTTGGCTTGGCGAGTTGCGGAACGGCCCGACAAGAGGCAGCGTGGGGTATCTGATTCGGTTTCTCGCTGCAGTTTTCGACATGTTCAATACACAGTGTAGATAGATGTAGGGTTTTAGCAGTTGGTAAGCTGCGACTGTTCTATAATGGCAATTCTCGTACTTATGTTGAATAAACCATAATGACTTTAAATAATGCCTTTTGAAAACTATAGCTCCTTTTCATCATTCTACCCTTCAATTTACCCAAGCTACTTGGCTACATCTACTTGTCAGTACTATTCTTTAGAGGTACTTGAAGTTTGAAATACATAATCTATGGAGCCCATGCCAAACGGTGTATTCGCTACACGGATTGCTACGGAGGCTGAACATGCACTAGATGCGGTGGCTCTATGCCACAAAGGAACCATATTTGAATTTGGTTGCATGCCAATTCCCAGAGGTATCAAAGGATATAAAAGTAAGAGTATTTAACAAAAATTGATATAGTCTATATCACATAGTTCATGATGTTGTTAGCATCACCCGTCCCTGGTTTCAAGCTCTGTCGGCATTCCGTATGCGATCAACGATCCCTTGAAGTCTAGAGGTGAATCCTGTCATTGCATCTTCCGCATCCCCTCTAGCGTCATGAAGCTCGTCCTCCACTTTCCGGTGATAATGAAGGAATTCCTCCACTGTGCCTAGAAGACGCTCAAAAGTACGGGACTGTATGGTCGAGCGTAGATAAGAACGTGCCTCGTCATCAAGAGAAGCAGTACAAAGTAGGACGGATAAATAACCAAATGCAACGTTGGAGTGCGTTTGGACCACAGAATCAGCCTAGAAAAAGTGTGTCAACGTGAGAATTTCCAAAAGAACACTAGTTCCGCCTTGAAAACTAAGGTAAATACTCACCTCTGCTATGGCTTCTAAACCATTGGTAAATAGTGGAATAAGTCTGTCAATCAACGTAGTATTATCTACACGTGATTCAAACAAAACATGTCGAGCTGCGCTGCTCCATTCAGTAAGGTTTATCAGGGCCCCAAGTGCCAATATCACTGTATCCAGCAATGATTCTTTGTGAGGCCCCGTGGTTTCGTCTCCAACGGATTGAAAATTGGAAATGACAATGTGAGCGAGCGCTTCGATGAACTTGGGGGTAGAAAATTCCTCACAGAGGGTGGGATTGTTGTTGGTAACGTTGAGGATTAGTCGGATTTCAAGAATTTGTATCTGCCTGCATCGAACGTCTTGCTGATGCCCTAAAATCGATAACAAGTGACCCAATTTTGAAAGGGGTTTTAGTGCCTCTTGTTGTTCCTCGTTTAAGGATATGGTGTGTATGGTATATGACTCTAAGATTGAAAGTGTAAGTTCAAGAATAAGAAGTTCATCTGGGCCTGCTCCCTGGATATCTTCTATCAACGCATGCTGTATCAGAATATGGATAACTTGGCGCAAAATCGAAACAGGCATGGTTTCCATAGAGTTACCCGTCTCGCGGAGTTTGCGGACAGATAATTCGAGACAACGAAGCGTCAGTATTTGGGGTGTTATAACAGAGGGCGTTTGGCTACTCCAGATCTTGCTTGATGCTAACTTGCCGCAAATATCCTGGATATCCGCCTTGCCAGCCTTCGTCATCTTCAAGTCCTTCCGCTTGGCGAGTTCAATCATGCTTTTATCTTTGAGTAAGGATGGAGCCACTGCAAGGATCTGTGCCCAACAATCTTGTAACGTCATCGGTGATATCGAGCCAGAGCTTAACAATAAAGCATAGACGCAAGTAGTAAGATAACCGCAAACGAGATCAAATTCTCTGCGCTTTATCTTAGCAAATCGCTTCTCTAAGGCATTGCTTAGGAAGCGTTGCGAAAACTGAGCGTCAAAGAGCTTCGTGCATAACTGAACCATACCGCTACGCTGTCTGGATATAGAAGCTGTTTTGTCTTCAATATCTTCGAATATGGTGTCGATCATGGCATGATATCTTGCATTATCTCCGGAACGACGGAGTTCATGAATACTCCGTATAGTACTAGGGCCGCTTATACTTTCTTCTTCCAAGCAGGCCGAAAGTGCGGATGTTTGGCGCGCCAGGCCCAATGGTGGCTGGCTTGAAGAGCCACTTATTTTGCTTGCCATCGAATCGGGCGGAGGAAACCCGGAATCAAACAGGTTACCACCTATTTCCTCTATGGTGTCCATTTCGTTCAGAAAAGATCGTTGTCGAGAATAGGTCGCCTTTAGCCCGCTTGCGACTGCTTGATGGATGCTGTTCTGTTTTTGACCTTTAGAACGGGTAGCTCCTGTATCGTCTGATGGCACGGTATCAACTGTAAATCGCTGGTCAGCGGACCGTACTGGGCTATGAGAATTCGCCCGAGACATCTGGTCCCTAACAGATCCCTCGTCACCCGACAAATCACTCGAAGAATCTGCCGTCTGTCTACCGCCTAATGCATCAACTATCCGTTTTCGTTCCGCAGTAGGTGTGATCGTCTTTGCAGGGCTATCACGCCCCCCGCCAACTCCAATACCAAAACGGCCATAGGTATTCCTCAGTCGGTCGGTACCCGTAGAGAAAGACTTTGTCAATCGCGGCACCTTTTTCGGTGGCGTGGTTAGTCGTCGTTCCCGTACTGGAAGATCTCGCGAACTTGCAGCTACAAACTGCGCATTCGTTGAGGTACTGCTAGCACCACCTTGCATTGCCGATCTAGAGGGAGGTCGCTCCAGTTTCTGTTTCGAGGTACGTGTCTTAACATCCTGTCTAGGCTTGGCCGGGGAGCGGATGACTACTTCCACCTCAGGAAGTTTCTTCTCTTTTATAGGATGAGACGCCGCATCTTTGCTTCCACGGGTACTGGCAGTGCCATAGGTGATCGCTTTCCTGGGCGGGGTGTTCTTTGGTGCAGCCTGATCGAGTTCCTCTGACCGCCAGACAGCCTTGGGCGTGTTCAGTTTCCTTCGTTTAAGCCATGGCTGAGAGCGGCTTTGACGGTCCTCGTCGGACAGCTGAACATCATATATGTCAAATTCCTTTTTCTCCTTGGGTGTACACGGCATTGTGGGTGATGCAGCATTGCGCATAGCTGTCGAGGATCCCATATCTCGGGTATCACTTTTCCTAGTCTCCAGGGCCTGCCCTCTTTTTGCCAACGGGGAGTCATTTGCTTTTCCGTGAGCCTTATTCACGTCACTAGGAACGCGCTCCAGAAACCTGCTTCCCCCACTGCGCGCCTGTTTACCATACGTCCGTATATTACGCGATGGCGTGGATTTGTCGGCTGTAGGCATGTCTAACTCCATTTTTCCTTTCGAGAACTTGGTAAGAAAGCAATCTTAAGGCCAAACCAAGGCTTTATAGAGGCCGAGCCGTATGGTGGAAGGTAGCGCAAACTTGCGCGCAGTAACGGATCAAAGGGTCTGTCATCGGAAGGCCGCATGTATCCTGCTTTGTGAAGGTAGATTGGCCTAATAAATAAGAATGAATATTCATTAGCTCTTCATTTTCTTGCATTGTATGCGACAGCGACGGTCTGTCAAACGCGTACAGCGCATTCTGGTAGATGGAAGATAGCATAGACTGTACCGATAAATTGCCGCTACAGTATCTCCATGGAAAATTCAGTTAAATACCCTCATACAGCTTGACCAGTGGACATCCATTAGATTAGAATCGGCTCAGCCGAGTACTTGTGGGAATTGATGCCGGCTACAGCTGTAATTGTTGACAATGATGATGTTGTGGGCAGCGATGGTAGTTGTAACTGGTGGGTGGGCTTGGTCTGTCTGTAGTTACTTGTCGAGACCATACCGGAAATATGTAGCTTCGGAACACTGTCGGATTACTATTCTTCTAAA